TAAGTTATAAATAAATAGAGAGTAATATAATTCTAAGGGAAGCTAGTTATCCTAAATAATTATAGTCTCTATATAGAGATACTAATAATATTTTATAATAAGCTACTTAGGAGCTACTTAAGTATCTCTAAGACCTTTAAGTAGATTAAGTAAATATATTAATAGAAGTTAATAGAAAAGGATATTAAAGAATATATATTAATATATATAATATATTAATATATAAAACTATAATATTACCTCTTATATAGGAAATTAATATTACTATTAGTATTTAGTTACTTATAGAAATATATTAATATAGACTTTATTATAAAGCTATCTATCTTAAAGGGGTTTTTAAAAAAAAACTATAATAATATCTTTATTATAATAGACTACTTTATAAAGTATATTTTATACTTATTAATAAGGAAGATACTTATTATAAATAAATTAATAGCCCTCTTAATAAATAATATATTCCTGAAATATAAAATAGCCTTCTCTATTATATTAAATAGAAGCTTACTATTTATAAATAAGTTCTAAGTAATAATAGCCTATCTATTAGCTATTAAGAGGAAACTTAATATAGTATATTACTTCTAAATAGATAAGTAAATAGAGCACTAAAACTAAAATATAAAATACTTCTTATAAGTCTTTATAAACTTTAATTAAGATAATTAAGTTAAATAGCTACTATTTGAAGAGTTTATATATAATAGCTCTATATATATTACTATTAGTATACTATTAATAGAGATATTAATAAGCTATATACTAAGAGAACCCTATAACTATAGCTTAAAAGAACCTTAACTTTATAATATTTTAATAATAAGAAATTAAGTATAATACCTATTTATAAAGTATTATAAGATATAATATTTACTAAAAGATATAAATAAGAGTTATATAAAGTAATATAATAAGTACTATATAATATTAAATCTAAAAGTAAGTAATTAAGCCCTTATATCTATAAAGTATATCTATTAAAAGTAACTATCCTAAAAGCTAATAAATAAATACTTAAGCTTATTTATAGTTAAGTAGATAGTTAATAGGGGGTAAATATTTAAATTAAACTTTAGAAATAGATATTAAATCTATAATATATTTACTCTAGCTTAACTAGAGAAGTATAAAGGGGATATTATTACCCCTTAAGTAGTATTAATTAAAGAGAAAGATATTAATATCTATAAAGTAGACTATATTATAAGCTATAAAGGCTCTAAAAGAAATAAATAGTATTTAATTAAATAAAAGGAGTATAACATAGAGAAAAACTTATAAAAGCTATAATATAATATTTTAATAAAGTTATAATTATAATATAAAAAGTATATAGAGGGGGTTACTAAGGAAGTAATAGAGGAGTAATAAAGTATTATTAATAAAAAAAAAGAGCTAAAGAAATTTATTTAGCTTTATAGCTAGAGAGTATAATAGCTATAAAGCTAAAAAGTCTAAATAAATAAAAGAGATATTACTATAAAGAGGGCACTAAGGGGGTATTAAGGAGATACTTAAGACTTAAGTATCCTTATTACTATCTTTAAAGCCCTTTTAGCTATTAGTAAGAGTAAGCTTAAGAGAGAAAGAGTATAAAATAAGCTTATTTATATATTATAAACTTATTAATATAGAAAATTAAAAAAGAAATAATATTAAAGAGGTATTAAAGAGAGTAATGAAAATATATATAATATAAAAGTAAGTAATAAACTACTTTAAGAAAATAGACTATAAGCCCTAAAGAGCTATAGTTTACTCTTAAAGAGTAGTAGTTTAAGTCTTAAAAGCTATAGTTTATACCTTTAATATATTAAGCTAAATACCTTTAGACTTAATTAATAAAGTAATAGCTTTTATTTACTTATTAAATAAAGAGGTAATAGTTTTAATAATAACTAATTAATAATATTATTATAGCTTTTCCTCCTCTTTATTCTTAACTTTATATTTAGTATTAAACTTATTAATATAAAATATCTTCTTTTAAAAGGCTTTAAGGGTTATTATTTAGTCCTTCTTAAGGTTCTCTTAAATAAGGAGTTAATGAAGAGATACTAATAAGAGAGAGGGAGAGGAATATATAGTATCTTTATATATAATAACTAGAGGGTTAAGCTCCTTAATATACTCCTTAAAGTAATACTTAAAAATAAAACTAATAGGAGTAATACTAAAAATAGCTTAATAAAGAGTTAATAGGGAATTAGTAGGAGATTATTAGCTATAAGAGTAGCTCCTAAAAGAGAAAAAATAATAACTTATAATAATATACTCCTTATTATAAAAAGTAATATAATAAGAGTATTTATTACTAGCTATTAAAAAGAGTTAATAATAAAGAAAAATAAAGGAGTATTAAGAAATATATTAATTATTTTAATATAAAGAGGGAGTAAAATACTAATAGTAATAAGCCTCTAGCCTATTTAGAGATAAAAGTAATATTAATAAGAGATAATATAAATAAAGTTATAAAGGGGGTTATCTTTAAGGTTATTAATAATAGGGGGGTAGTTAATAGGAGGCTTAAGAGGCTAACCTTTTAAGAGAGAAAGAAGTAATAAGAGAGTAATAATAATAAATATAATAATAATAATAATAATAATAATAATAATAATAATAATAATAATAATAATAATAATAATAATAATAATAATAATAATAATAATAATAATAATAATAATAATAATAATAATAATAATAATAATATAATTATTTATAAAAAAAGGATTAAATAGATAATATATATATATATAAAGTTTAATTATATTAAAAAGACTAACTTTTAACTAAAAATAGTAAAGAAGTATATAATAAATTAAAGCTAATAAATAATAATAATAAAGAGAGTAACTAGAGGCTATTAAAAGCTGAAAAGGATAAACTATAGAGTAATAAAATATAAAACTCTAAATAAAAAGTTTTTATTATTTTAAATAGCTTTTTATAGCTCTAATCTATAGAATATAAAATAAGAGGTAATATATATAAAAGAGTAATACTCTATAAAAATAAAACAAAAGCTATTATAAAAGGTGGGTATATTAAAGGGAAATAATAATATAATTATAATAGATATAAATATCTCTATAAGTTAAGGGATATTAAAGTTAAAATACTTAATAAAAACTTAATATTAATATTACCTAAAGGGGCCTATTAGAGGGATACCAAATAGAATATTAAATAACTATAGTTAATATACCTTAAGAGGCTAATATTACTTAAGTAATAACGCTATAAGGCTAAAGTATTAAATTAGTATAAATATTTATATTAAACTAGGGAAGCTAGCTAAAAAGGGACTATAGAGTAGTAACTAGAGTACTTAAGCTAATAAAAGAACTAAATCTTAAGGATAAAACCTTATAAGAGGGGAGATTATATTAAGGATAGTCTAATAGAGGGGGGCTAAGGGGGCACTAGGGGTCTACTAAAGGGGGGCTAATATACTAAATTAACTATTAATCTACTTAAGGGGCTAAAAGGGGGCTATAGAGCTATAGAAAAGTTAGAAGAAATAAGTTTAAATAGTTATATAAATAGTAATATATATATAATAAGAGATCTTATTACTTAGTATAAACCTAGCCTAATAAACGTATAACTAGTAAGAACCTCACTTTTACTAATAATTAGGAGTAGTATATATTATTATTATTATTATAGTATTTAACGCCTACTCTAAACCTCTAAGAGGCATAAGTATAGCATCTTTATAGCATTCTAATTCTCTTAAGAAATTTCAACTATAATCTCCTTACTTAGGCGCCCTATTAATAAGGCAGAGTCAAGAGGTTTCTTAGCCTCAATTAAAGGCTACCTATAATATCTATTATTAGACTGGTAAGCCCCCTATCTAAATCGGCAAATATCTATTCAAGGAATCTGCTTAGGAGCGGAAATTATATAAATACTATGGCGTTAAGAAAAGTTTACCTTTCTCGCGGTTCGTTAGGTAGATTTGCACTATGTTACTCCACCACTGTCCATCTAATGGCCGCTTGAACATCGTGCTCTACGTGAAAAGTCATTCCTCGAGGTATCGTATAACATGGGATCTTTTCTTCTTCTTTCTTTTCTTATACTTTTTTTCTTTTCTTTTTCCGTAACACGCGATCATCACACATTTTGTATGACCACTTTGACAGGATGACGTGGTACCCGGGTCAGCGCTGTGGTCAGCAAGTTTAGCAGACCTTGATTGCATCTTCAACCTGAATTGCTCGTAGTAACACCACAGATAGATGGAATGCGTTATGGGCCCATACAACTTAGGGAGGTCTCAAATGGTGTTGGTGACGGACCTTGGACTCGAGCCAAGACTGCACCCACCCTGACCAGCCAGGCTTGGGTAAGCCTCAGCCTCTCACCAAGCCATCTCGGAGATCCTTTTCCCGCTGTTGCTGTCGCTAAAATTAGACACCAATCCTGCTCGCACTTCATTAGCGTGTATAATCATCGCACTTGGCCTCGCACTTGCTGTTGGCTTCATGGCAAACACGTGCGCAGCTGGGATCAGCTGAAAAACCATCAGGTCGTCGCGGTGTTCATCTGGAGCTTCTGTGGGGCGGAGTCAAGCGACATTGGCGGAAGCCCATGTTTATGCTTATTTTGGCGGAAGTTTGCTTTCTTTTCGATCACTGCGGATGTCTTGGTAGACGTGGGAAGGATCGAAGCCTTGCAAAAAGCTGTGCGTGCTGAGCCTGAGTCCGGAGCTGAGGCCCATCGTGACATTCTGATGCGATCGGAAGCCTCGCTCCAGCCCCGCTGAGTATAGCACTCGTCGGACTTCATGAGCGGATCTACTATTTCAAGGCTGATGTCGAGTAGATATAAAGTCATATCTCTTCTCCTTATCGATTCAGGTTTGTATCATCCATCCCATCAGTACACAATCAAAACAGCCTCTCCAGCAACAGAGTTACACTGCATTACATCCCCCTTCAAACCCGCCTCGCACAATCTTCTCCGCACATCTTCACCGCCTCAAAATGTCTCCCAAGCTCCTCCTCGCCCTGACCAGCATGATCTCTCTCGCCGCGTCCCTCCCCCACGCGGCCCGCGAGTGCTCCCAAACCTCCGTCCCGCCCGCCGCGACGACCGCGACCCCGGGCATCGCCGCCCACCCCCAACACTTCAACATCTACCAGTCCGCCTCGCAGCCCAACCACCCGACGGACAACGTCCCGCATCTCGACCTCCACACCAACATCACCCGCCAGGTCGTCGTCTTCACCGGCATCCCGCCGACGGCCAAGTCGTGCGCGCTCGGCTGGCGCCAGGGCCCGCTCGAGACCCGCGTCTTCCGCGTCGACGGCAACGGCCTCGTCTCCTCGCGCCAGCTCAAGGCCGAGGGCTTCCCGACATGGACGACCGGCAGCGACGTGCTGATCAACCCGACGACGATCGCGCCCTTCCAGGGCGGTAGCGAGTTCACCCCGGGCATGGACTTTACGTTCTGGGACCAGCCCGACTTCTCTGCCCCTGCGACGCACAGCGGCCCGAGTGTCAAGTGCCAGGAGAGGATTGTCGTTGAGCTGGCGGTCAACTTCAACAACGGGCAGGATGGACGCGTGTTTATGGAGGATGACGCCGAGAATGGACTCTACGTTTCTTACTCTTAGGAGGCGGGGCATAGGGCAATATGGACTTAATGGCATCGTAACGGGTTGACTTGGGCAATTTTGGGATATTTTGGCGTTGAATAAGCTGTTTACTATGCATAATACCACGAACTTTCAACACATTTCAATGTAGTGCGAGCTCTCCAGCTGAAATTTGACAAAGCCTTGGACATGACCCGCCGTCGGAAGGAATTCGATTTGTAACAGGCATATATCCCATGTTATTGATACCAGTTTAAGTTGTGACTGTTCATGGAGTGTTGAATAAGAATGAGAGAGAAAAGTAGCTACTGTCCAGATGGGATACAAACTTTACGGGCAGGCAGGACCTTGAGCATGCAATTTCACAGAGATGCCGCTCAATTGGCGACAATGAACGTTAATTTGTTCGGAGAATTCTATCTTTGAGGCATAGATCTATAATTGTGAAGTACATTCTACAATATCTGTATGGCGCTCCATTAGTAGATTTCAGGTCGGCCGCGTTTGCATTGTTGGATCATTAGTATCAAGGTACGTCCTGGGCTCGAAGAATCTGCGCAGCCGAAGAAAAGCTAATTCAAGGACGCGGACGCAAAGAAGGTTTCTAGTTGACATCCAACACCAGCTCCGCTCTGACGAGACAACGCTCAGCCAGGTGTTGGCGACCCATGCCGACCACTTTGAACTGAAAAACCTTGTCCTCTGTCAGCGAGATGCTAAATCGAGCAAAGATTCTGCATATTCTCTGTTACCTAAGTAGAAGTAAGCTTCAAGTTGCGAACGGCAAGAATAGAAGACAATGGAAGGTACGAAGAGTGAAACAGGAACCCTACGGGCTGTTCCACCTGATGAATTGCTCCGGTCCGTCTATGAAGGAGGGTGATGACCTACTGAACGCCAACAATATTTGAAGTCGTGTGGCCGAATGCAAGGTATTTATTGCTTAGTTTAAGCTTTTGCAGTCTCTTCTTTCTATCTTTATGTCCATGTACTTGACTGTTTTAGTGTGCTATTAAACTAACTGCTATGGATGAACAAGGGCTTCCACTCTCGTTGTAACTCCTTCTGATTCCTTGTCGTCGTTGCTCGTCGTCGCATTCCTAATTCATAATATGGAGATGATTTGTTCTGTCTTCAGTCTCGCCTGAGACAGGTCGTGATGCGAAGTAATTGACCACACAGGATAACTTTCAGAAGCTTGCGACCTGAATAAGGCGTAGTTCGCAATTGTCGACACATGCGAAAAAATAGGACGGGGAAGGAGGAGTGGGGGCAAGAAGAAAAACCGCATCGGGGCAGATTCTTAAAAACACGCAAGGTAGGTAGGTGCAAAAGTCAAATCATGATGGATCGCGTTATCTGAGAAAACTCTCCGCTCGTCAACAGAGTGGCAAAGCTTTTCATGCCAGGCAGCCGGAGAAAGCTTTGGGTGTTATTATATATGGCAGTCTTTTCCCTTTCTCACTCCCTCTCTTTTCCTGTTCTCTCGCTCCCACATGATACATTGCAACCATCTCTTAGTTTCATACTCACTCCGGAAATCCGGTACCTCGCAATCATGGAAATGGAAATCGGCTTCGACTCCGACGAGGAGGAGCAAGACGTCTATCCCGGCCTGGTTACCAACATTCACGCCCCAGCTTACGATCCCGACACGGTTCTAACCCTCTTGCCGCACCAACGTGTGCGTCAGCCCTATGGTCGCACGATGTACCCTTGGCCTAAGTCTCCCCCCCCACGTCGACAAATATCCTCGTGGCTTCAATCCGAGCCTTGAAGTTCCCAAGAATGAGCAGCTGCGCTTGAAAGTGGTACGCACCATTTGCGGTGGTGTAGGACCTCAGGTTGTCCTCGTTGAGGTCATCGAAGCTCCTCAAGTCGAAGAATATACTCACGCTTCTGTGCCTTCCCCCACCAAAGACAAGAAAGTCCTTCTCGTGGCTAAGATCATGGACCACCAGTGTTACAACCGGAAGACTGATTGGACCGAAGGTCCGTACTCGCGACCCGAGCTCGTCGATCACCATTTCAGCCTCGAACTGGCCGTTTATCAACATCTTTATCTCACGACAAAGGACAAAGACTTTGAGGACATCCCTGGACGCAAAAAGATGACTGGAGCTTCTTCCTTTGCCCCCGAGTTTTACGGCTCCTGGGTCATCCGGCACCAGTCCACGCAGTCCGACACAGCAACCAATACCCCCGCCCATGAAATCGAAGCCGGCCCGAGCAGCCGCATCGCTTCAGGCAACGAAAGATTCGTCGGAGTCATCCTCCTCGAGCACATAGATGGATATTCCATCCGAGACTATTGCAGTCGTAAGGGACCTGACGGAACCCTCATACCTCGCACAGAGTCCAGGCCAGGAAGGCCATCCATGCCCCAGCTGAATGACCGCCTAGAGGTGCTTAAGCAAATCATCGACGGAATTGTAAGCCACCTCCACGTCGGAGTCACACACGAGCATTACAACACCAGAGACTTCCTCATCGTTGAGAAGAGAGGTGAGCTCCCGAGAGTCGTAAAGGTCGGCCACGCACTCTCCACAGTTTGGCGTTGGACCCGAGAGGCGATCAAGTACAAAGAGCCGCAGACCGGATACATGCAACTGCCTAGACCAATTCATCCTCTGAATTGGGTCAACCTTCGGATGAGCAGCTTTTACTTTCTCGAAGATTGGTACCCAACAGAATGGTCGGACGAAGGCGACAAGGACAAGAGCACATCCCTGTTCGGCAAGTGGTTGCTAGAAACGTTTGGCGAGGAGGCCGAGGACGTTCCTGGCTATCACTACTCGGTCTGGTCAACCTACCAGAACAAGATGATCGCAGAGGATGAGGCGATGATCGCTGCGGATGAGGCTGCAGAGCAAGCAGGCGTCTCCGGCCCCGAGGAAGCGTCCCAGAATGACACCGCCTCGGGCCAAGACTCTGGCCAACCCGATGTTGAGAACACCAGCGCTTCGGCATCCGAGAACCTGACCTCAAAGGTTTCTGGCATCGATACATCAACTGCGGCAGCTACAACCGTCGACTCGGCAAGTTCAGAAATTCTTCAGCAGTGGCTGGGGCTTTCTACCCTCTCCATTTCGGGACAGCAGCAGGTCGAGAGCAAGCCGGGTGTAGACGAGAAGGCCAAATAAACGACCTCAGGGAAAGATGCACAGGGCTCTGTTTGTGACTTACCCTCTTATGACACATCCCTAGACCTGGCGCTGCTTGAAGTTGTTCTAAAGAATACAAGCTTGCATTCTCACGACATGTTATTGGAGATGAAGATTGTCAAAGTTACTAATTGCTAGGATATTAATACAATTCCGAGTATAGCGCCAGTTGGAGTCGCATAATATATCTTCTAAAATAAAATCTCATCATTATGAACTCTCTTCCTTCCCCGGTCGTCCATTCTCTCCAACACGTCATTGGATTGCCGCTATGAAGGAGCCGAAGTCAGCTAACATCGAAACGGAGAACGAAGTGACTGGGGAAGGTTGCAAGAAAATGAAATCGCATTTCCGCCAGCTTCGCAAAGCTAAAAAGGGGGCTGGTACAACAACTTTTCCGATACATGAAACGAGCTTTAAATAATCTACAAGGCTCTCGACGACTTGGAAGAAGATGAGACGAGAAGTCTACCCAGTGTTTTCACCTAGGCCCTCAGCCGCCAGAAGCTGCCAGAAGGGAATCCCAGGAACAAATCCGGACAATCTTTGTCCTTCTTTTGCTCTCTTCCTTTTACTTTTCGTTTGTGGAAAGGGCCTATGGTAGACTGTATACGGGGTAAGGAAGGGGGCAACAGTGGATGTTAATTCGAAGGTTGGGCACGATTTTTGCTTTGTAATTCGGGTTGAGATAATACATCATTCGCATAAGATTCCGTCCATACCTCTCTCGTCTTCCAAGCAACAGAAATGTTCGGCGCCGCTGCGATGGCCACATTTCTGTCCTTTGCCAGCATGCATCCTGTCAAAACCGTACACCTGTCTAGGTAACCCTGATGACCAAACAGCTTCTTTGATGCACGCTTCTCTTGTAGAAACCCAAAGAATAAATCAGCCTTCCTTAACTTGATATATTCATTCCCACGGAACGTTTCCAGGACTGAGTAGCCTCTCGAATATTCGCCATCCCTCATCATCACTCAAGGTCATCCTTGCCCCCATTCGTTGACCAGTTGTACTCGAGGAAGGTCCTTCACGAAACAGCAGTAATACCCACACTGCCCTCATGTTGACCCCCGATTCTTCATCATCCAAGTCGCCAGCCGAGTTCTGCCCCCCTGGCTGGAAGACGGACGATGAGTTGGAAAAGGGATATGTCGTAAGCGACGAGGACAAAGAATTCTTCCACTTCCACCGAGAGATCCGGGAGAATCACAATCTGAGTTCTCATGAAATCATGGAGCTGGTTATGAGACGATGGCCCGACGACAAAGGAATGAGGCATGGCTACTTCGACTGGCGCGAGAGATACTACAGCCGATATTTCGACTCGTTCAACCAGGCCTGGACTCTCGACGATTTCTGCAACAACCTAGCCCAAACCGACTTCGGAAACTTCAAGTCTCTCGCCCGGTGGGTTTGGACAATGGAACAGGCTCACCTGCCTTTCATGCCCTTCGGACAGGTCAACTGGGGTGGTTACGAAACAGGTTTCGGCCTCTTGCCCAGCTCGGGCTACATCCATCCGCACGTCGACGGCCACAGATCCCGAAACGATGAGTTGCTGCACAGGTCCATCATCGCGACCAATGACATCGTCATCAAGCCGACCACGCCGGACGGCCGTGGCGGCGATCAGATGCAACCCTCGCGTCCCTCAAAAGCGTCAGACGCAAAGGTCCTCGGGAGACTCAACTGCAGAATCTTTGCGCAGCTCGGATCCTTGTATGTTTTCGACGGCGACCGGCAGAAGGCCAAAGATTCCGAACAAGATATCAGAAAAGGTCCGTGGCGGTCGACCGGATTCGGTGTTCTCTTGGAGCTCGGCAGCCGTGGCAGGCAGCTGGGAGTCCACGTCATGTGGAATTTCTTCGGGGAGCTCACCAAGCCGGACGGCAGCACCACACGCCGCCACATCGAGACCGCCGACGCGCAAGGCAAACGTCTTCCGCATATCGGATTCGTCCACGAGAAGTGTAACATCCACACTCGCTTCGTCATGGAGAAGATTGCGCACAGCCTTGCCGATTTCCAGTCTCGGGAGAAGCTGGTAACGTTTACGAGTCTGTCAGACGGCGACCCGTTTCCCAAGGATGAGATTCAGGTTGTCCGCGTCAAGCACCTCAACGACGCCGTCGGAGGAAGGATCATGTTGCCCCAGTTTGTAAAAGATTAGAAAATAGACATTGTGCCCCTTCCATGTCTGTTCAGAGGTTTATTTGATACTTCTTTCTCCACTTTCTTCGATCCCTATATTTGAAGTAGCTAGATGCTTCAGCCGGTGAAGTCGATGTCGTGCCTTCCTCTGACCGGTTACTACCCAAGCGGAGTTAATTGATACCTATGAGAAGATTCGTCATTTGACTATCCGGGTGGATGGCCAAAGGGCAGTCTTCGGACCTGTGAAGCATGGATGAATTTGATGCGTGGGCTGGCTAGTGAATCCATAAGGTAAGACGGCAGTAACCAAGAATCTCGCTCCTGCCACTTCCATGGTACGCACTTCCGCGACAGGCGCTCGCTCCGGATTAATAAACTCTTAAGATATAACTCACCTTACTCACTTTCACCATCTCGAATACAAGTTGGATGAGCCTGTCCCTCAAGGTGCCTTCCTCTCACCAAGGCGGAGAAATCTTTTACCCTGCAAATATCTTACCTAGCAACTTCGCTTCCCGCCCTGAACACGGACTCAAATCCCCAGCTCACCCTACCCTACCGTTGCATCGCAAGCATGGGAAGCTCACCACACGGACCTGATGCTCGCATTGGGCGGGATCCCGAAAGTCCCAACAGCTCGCAACTCCTGTTGCCCGGCGACGAAGAGCTCATCGAATCCTTCCAGGGGGACCCCCAACGGAAGAAGTTCTACGACTTCAACTGTTATCTCGACCAGAACGGCAACAACGTCGACATGATGACCCGGATGAGATTGATTATGAGAGAGTTTCCAGACCCCAAGGAGCGCACGGAATTCAACAACTTCACTGCGTCGTGGTACGGCAGAACCGCGCTGCTGAAGCCCGAGATCGACAGTGTCGATGATTTCCTGACCAAGCTCCGCAGCATGAACTACGCTGATCCTGCTGCTCGAGCCCACTGGCTCTGGACGATGCAAATGGGCTCGGCGCCTTTCGTTCGTCTTGGAGAAAGCAAGCACGGAAGCTTCTTCACCGGCTACGGCATGAGGCGAGCTCCCGGATTCCTTGAGCCTGGCTTCTACAACCCCGAGACCCACGACCTTCAAACCGGCGGCAACTTGCAGAGCAACAACGTACTCAAGGTCATTCACGGCAGCCTCCTCGGCATTGACAAGAACACCGAGAACGCCGCTCCCCAACACGGTACTCTTCCGCAGCAAGGCATCTCGGAGCCTTTCGTCTTTGCCCAGCTTGGCAACCTTTACGCCTACAACGGCGAGATTGAATGGAATGACATGCGACACCGTCAATACAACGAGGTTCTCAGTGGCGGTACATGGGATCAGACTCGCTTTGGTGTCGTGCTGCGCCTGACCTCGATGGGCACCTCCCTCGGCGTCTATGTCATCTACAACTGCTGGGAGCATGATCCGAACACCGGAGAGGACACCCTCATCAGGCCTGAGGACATGGACAAGGACTTCGTCGGTCGCGTCCATCGGCGGTGCGGTAACTCGCAGCGTTTCACCGTCGCAAAGATTGCCGAGAACTTGAGCGACCTCGAAGACCCGCACAGAACATTCGATTTCCGCATCATTTCCACCAAGGTGCCCATCCTCGTCAACGCCTTACAGGCGGATCACCGTGGTGCGAACCTCGTCGGCGACTTTGACGGCGTCGGGGCCGGCAACTAAACGTTCACCACATACTCTCCGCTCTTCACCTAATGCTTCTTCTTGGTCGCTCTCGAACCAAAATAACGCCATTCTCTCGCCTCGTTCTTTTCAGCACCTCTATCCGCGGTATCCACAACTGATGAGATCCTTCATCTTGAGATCATGAGCTTTCGGACAAGTGGGAACCGGAGTCGAGCTACGCTGGCGAGATACCCAGCTGTGAAGACGAATGGTAAGGGGAACACTTAAGCCCGGTGTCCATCCTCAACAAGGCTTGCTGACGACCTCTCCTCCCAGACTTCTTGACTTTTTCTATTTCGCGATACGCCGGCAGCGACACCGCTGTCTGCTTCATGATCTTTTCTTCTCGCGATCACTACGGCATCCACAGGGCTGGCGTCGGAGTTCTCGTTCTCATTATCAGTTCGCGCACTACGAGCCACGAAGCACGATACCCAGATGGCGTTTGGAAACTTGGGAGGCGGCACTTATTCCGCAAACGGACCGTTAGAGGATCCTACACTGGCGATTCGGAGTTGGGAACATACCGCGGCGGTAGCATCAAGGAAGAATTTGATTTGTTTTGCTCTTTCCTTTCCTCGAGTCTTCTTTTCTTTTCGCATGGGTCGACGGAGCACGGGGGAGCCTCCCGACCAACGGATTTCACCTACTACCCTCGTATCGAGACATCACCCTTAATTTCCCCTTGGTCACAGACAGAACGGATACGGAGCCATAGACCTTTTCAGATACGCAACACAGATTGTCCGCGCACATGTTCTTTGCTTGACTTGACGTGACATTCCAAGTGTTCTTCTTGAACCAGGCCATTGGGATTCCCAAATGAGCTGTGTGCTCTTTGATGCGGCCCCACGCATGAAGAAACTTCTCTCCATATCCGGATGTATCTGGACATCCCATGATGCAGCTACCCGTCTTCATGAGACAGCTGAATCCCTTTCCACTGGCGGGCTGTTTCGTTTATGTCGCAACACTTTCATCTTGCTGCCTGTTCCAGAGGAAGAAGCACGTTAAACCTGGTCTTTGGCGATCTTGCCGTGGGTGGCACTACCTGGGCGTGTCGCACTTCGTTCGGCCCCGGTACCTGAATAGATGGAATCTCCTCAATGTTGTAGAATCTTCGCGTCCCATGGAACCTGCACGCAACCGTACTTGCATCAACCAGAACAAACGGCAACACACACAGGAAACCGAACAACATAATCTTATGCGAGACAATTGTACGACTCAGCTCAGTGGACATAACGGAAGCTGACCACGCCCTCCCCGCCGTGTCCCGCCTTGGAGCCCGCGATGTGGCTGTGGCTCGTGACGCCCGCCCTCTCCTCCTCCTCGAACTTGGCGTTCTGCTTCTTGAGGTAGTACTTGATCGTCAGCGCCACGCCCGCGCACACGAGGCATGCGCCGGACATGACGGCGCCGCCCGCGTAGTACCGCGGCTTCTGGCTGTCCGGGAACATGTAGCTCGTGTAGAAGTGCGCGACGCCGGCGGCCATGAAGTTGACGATGGCCAGCGCGGCGGCGCGCTTGGCGCGGGGACGCGGCAGGGACGCCGAGAGCCAGCTGACGCAGAGGTTGTAGGGCGCGTAGGAGCCGGATGTCATGAGGAACATGGAGAAGTAGCGGCCGCCGAGGGAGGGGACGAACATGGCCTTTGTTATTTTTTGTCAGCTCTTCTTCGAGATCGTCGGTGTTTGTTCGAGGAAAGTACGTACCAGGATGTTTCCGAGGAGGGCGAACATCATCGGGATGGCAATGTGCCAGCCGCGCTCGTTCTTGTGCGCCGCGTGGAAGGAGACGCAGAGGGAGACGATGAAGGCGAAGAAGTAAGGCGGCGAGGTGAGGAGGAGCGTCGTCGTGCGGCCGTAGCCGAGGGTGCCGACGATGGAGGGGAAGAAGTTGTTGAAGGACTGGGCGGTGATCAGGGCCATCTGTTGGATGATGAAGAGGTAGAGCTTCGGGTCGAAGAGGGCTTGTTTGAGGCCCCAGAAGATGGACTCTGGGTCTTCGTCGCTGATGCCGGCGTTTTCCTTGCGGATTCTCCATTCCTGTGATGATGCAAGTGGTCAGCGGCCAGTCGTGGCAAGCACTACCGGCGAGGGAGGGCAAGAAACGTGACTTACGGCGTAGAGCTGCTGGTCGTGAGAGATGAAGAGGTGTTTGCTCTGGAGAGGGTAGTCGGTCAGGAGGGGAAGTAGCAGCAGGGCGATGACCACCGTCATCGCGCCCTCGATGATGAAGAGCCATTCCTATACATCGTAAGCATGGAATTCGGTTGCCAGCTGTGTGATCAGAACTCACCCAAGCAGGCTTGCCAGCCTTCCCTTCCATCTTGGAGATGATGCCCGCGGCGATGAGACCAGAGAAGGCTGTGGCCACCATGTTGCCACCGTAGAGAATCGCGATTCTCGGGGGAAGCTCTTTGCGTGTGTACCAGCAAGACATCAAGACAAACACAGCAGGCAGGAATGGAGCCTCGACAAGGCCCAAGATGAAGCGAACTGCGGCAAGCTCGGAGAAGTTCTTGACGAAGCCTTGGCTCATGGAGAGGATGCCCCAGAGGGAGGTGATAAGGCAGATGTAGAGCGACGGGCGGACCTTTCCGATGATCATGTTCGAGGGAACCTGAGTGATGCAGTCTGGGAGACGTCAGTTGGTGTGCGGGAGGTGGAAGCAAGGGCTGCGTACATCCGACGTAGAACATGAGAAGAGTGGTGTTGTACTGGTTGTTCGTCATGTTCAGTGTCTCGGGGAGTCCGGCGATCTTCGCGCTCGCGATGTTGTTCCTGTCGCTGATATGAGAGTCAGCAGCGATCTTGTCGAGCAATGGTGCCATCGCTCCTTACAGGATGTTCAACAGGAAGAGGATGAAGACCGTGGGCATAAGCGTCATGTCGAGCCGCCGCGTCAGCCCTCTGTCCAGGATCCTCAGCTCGTTGGCGTCAAGGTGTTCCAACTCTTGCGGGAGCGGCAGCTCGTCTGGTTGCAGAGCGCGTCGCTTCTCATCGTGCTCCGCCTCGAGCTTGTGCTCCTGGATCGCGTCGGACATATTGACGGTCGTGGGTATCGAGATGGGGGCGGTCTCCAGGAAGTTCCGGCTCGCCTGGGTAGGTCGAAAAACATGGTTGAACCTACTCGGGAACGGTATATAAGAGAACGGCAGAAGACCACCGAGACACGAGAGGCTCGTTGGTGAGACATGGATGGAACGTCCGGGGAGAACGCCGGTGGGGTTGATCTCGCGGCGGGGGCGGTCTCCAATTTGGGGCCCCGGATTCTTGGCTTGCGGGGGAACAGCGGGCCCCGGGTACTGAATCCTAGTGGGGAAGCGCTCCGGCCGAGACCTCCGAGAGACCGGAGAGAATGCCGATGGCAAGGTGTTGGGAAGAAGATGGCCAGATGTGGGAAAGTGGTCGAATGATGGTCTTTTCCGCCCACATGGACTACTCCTTGCTGCAAGGATTGACATAGCGAAGGACGCGTTGAACATACCCTTCAGACGGAATCCAGCAACTAAGTCCGGGGGGGTCAAGTGCGTGTTGTCTCTATTTCTGCGACTTGCTTTGTGCGGTGAATGGAATGGTCGCCTAACACGAAAGGAGGAGTTACAAGGGAAGAGTGATCAATGTTCAAGCAAAGATCCATTGTTGAGAGGAAAAGAAGCGAGAGGAACAATGGGGCAGAGATATGAAGAGGAAAGAAAGATATCTGTGTCTCTTGATCTCAGCCTATGTTGGTGGTGAAGTGGCCAACCACTGAGACCGATCTTCCCATGATACTATTCTTCTCATTTTCGTCTCTATGGTCTGAATGATTACTTCGAAGCCGACTCGAATGCTTTCCTATTTACGGGTGTCAACGGCTCACCGATAAATTGTCCGTCCGCGCCCACCACCTCAATGATGTTCTTCATCGCATTCAACTCAAAGTTCATCCTCGTCGTCAGCGCAGCGCCGCCATTATGACACGTCAACGTCACGTTATCCATATCCGCCAGCACCTTCGAAACCTGCGGCTCATGGTAATGCACATCAAGCGCAGCAGCAGACAGCTTCCCACTCTGCAACGCCTCAATCAGCGCCTCCTCGTTCACGACCTGCCCGCGCGCCGTATTCACAAGCCTAGCGCCCTCCTTCATCGCCGCGAACGCCTCCCTGTTCATCAGGTCCTGCGTGTGCGCGTTCAGCGGCGTGTGCAGCGACACGCAGTCCGACACGGCGAGCAGCTCGTGCAGCGTCGGGTGGAACGTCGCCCCCAGCTCCTCCTCGACCGCGGCCGGCGAGCGCGCGACGTCGAAGTAGTGGATCTCCATCCCCAGCGCCGTCCGCGCCTTGTACGCGAGCTTCTTGCTGATGTTGCCCAGCCCGACGATGCCCAGGACGTGGCCGCGCGGGTTCCACGAGATGCTCCCGACGAGGCGGTGCATGGCGGTGAACTGGTCCGGGTCGCAGGTGCGCGCGGCCCGCTGGGAGCGCCAGAAGTTGCGGAAGACGGAGAGGATCATGAAGAGGGCCGTGTCGGAGACGGCCTCGTCGCTGGCGCCGGCGCCGTTGGCGTACCAGATGCCGCGGCGGCCGAGGGCGTCGACGTCGGCCCAGTTGAAGCCCGCGCCGGCGGAGGCGAAGATGCGCACCGAGGGCGGGAGGAGGGGGATCAGCTCGTCGTCCCACTGGCCCATCTCGCCGCCCGTCTGGAAGTGCGGGCGGAAGATGGCCGCGACGTCGCCGTACTTGCGTGACTTGAGGGCCGCGATGAAGGAGGCCCGGTCGGGCTCCTCGTTTGCCACGACCTCGAAGCGGTCTGTGAAGACGTCTCGGTAGTAGTCGTGGTTGTACTTGATGTCCTCGCCAAGGCGGAGGACGATTGGCTTCTTCCCCGTCATGTCGGGCTTGTGGTGTATACTTGGGGAATGATGTTGGTTGCAGGGATTGGGCTTTGCGGTGGACGAGCTAAGCGCGGGTGACGAGCCGGGGAGGACTTGTCTCGCAACGTGGTGGCTTGTCGGGGAATTGTCTCCAAATGAGAGATCGGTATCCTTAAGTGCTGGATCTCCGGAGACGTCTTGCGTGCTTCTGTGGATCGTATTTACAGCATCTCGTGCGATGTCGCTGGCGAGCGGGCTGCTCCGCCCCTCGTTTGCTGCAGAGTGACGATGTCGGCGAGAATGCCGATGCGTTTCCCACCAACAAGCGGAGGTTGTCCGACGCACATGAGATGAACCATGGCCCATGAGACGCTGGCGAACTAACAATGCCATCATTGCATCGCATGAATCCGACACAGGAACGACTTCAACGCTGACGCATGGAGCTGGTGGCCGTCGTGTCCTACTTATCCGGATCCGCGATGTCCGCAATTCGCTCCGATCCCCGGCCGGAAAGATTTCTGGAGTCTCGTCGACCGCGCTCCCGAACACAAAGGCTGAGCTTCGTTGACATTGACGGATCATTCAAGAAATCAACCAGGAAGAAAACAAGAACAAAAGTCAATGTTCGAAATCTTTGATTTCAAAGACATTCGGGACTTCCAAGAGAGAAAGCAGAAATACGTTTGTTTTTGAAGAAGACGAACTTAGTCGTCTCTTGGTGTTGTCTTTCTTCATCATTCATCTATGTATTAATCCATTAGGTATGGAAGGCTTGCTCGCCTCCCGCGTCACCAACGCAATTGTTCCTCCCTTGATCGTGACTCAATCCATGTCAACCCTTGGCATGCTTCATTGACTATACATGCTCCACATCCAACACCTTCTCGTTGGAAACCTTCATGGTCTCCAACACAGTCGAAGCACTGCGGGGCTCCAAGCTCTTCTTGACGGGGTTCGGCGCAGAGAAGACCTCCTCCAATTCCTCAAGCGTGCGAGCCTTGGTCTCGGGGAAGAAGAAAAAGATGAAGATCGCCTCAAGGATATCCCTAAAGCACCTAGAGTCAGCCACGGTCGCCAGCAACCCGGCCCAGCCGGCATGGAAATTGTCACTCACCAGAACACGAACACCAAGTAAAAGTAGTATCCGATCTTCTCAAACGCGGGCCCGGAGCTGTAAGCCAGGACCAGCGAGATGGCCGACGACGCAAAGTTGCCGACGGCGGTACCCTTGGCGCGGGTGGTCGTTGTCAGCGTCTCGGCGATGTACATGCTCTGCTGGGCGGTCCATCCGAGGGAGAAGACGACGCCAAAGAGGTACACGAAGGCGATGGTCGTGTTGGCGGCGTTGGTGTTGTCCGGGTTGTCGACGGCCATCTTGGACGTTCCCGTCATCACGGCGAAGGTCATGCTGCAGAAGAGGATGCTGTAGATGAGAAGAGGGCGGCGGCCGACGCGGTCGGTCAGGCGGGCGCCGACGACGCTGCCGAGGAGACCGAGGACGCTGTTGACTGCGTTGAGGGCGAGGACCTTCTGCTCCTGGACGATTCCGGCCGTGTTCATCATCGTCACGAGGTAGTACGACGACAGCGAGTTACCTGATGCCTTCTCGATGTCAGCGACAGCGTGGGTTCTGGTAGGTTTGGGGAGCCACTTACCTGGCCCATGATGGCCATGCCGATGACGCAGATGAGTCTTCTGCGGGCGGAGTGGGTGTTCCAGAGCTCGTGGTAGTCCCACCACTTCTTGTCGCTGGCTTCGCTCGAGATCTGGGCCATCATCTCCTTCATCTGCAGTTGGACGATGGGGTGTTCGGGGTCGTTCTCGCCGTGGAGCTTGGTGAGGATCTTGGCGGCTTCCTCGTGTCTGTCGTTGGCGACGAGCCATCGGGGCTGTATCACTCAGTCAGCGACGCCCCGGGGTGATGAGTTTGGCAGGATTCTTACGCTTTCGGGGAGCAAGAGAACGAAACAGACAACGATTCCACTGGTGACCATCTGGATCCAGACGGGGATTCTCCAGCCGTCGTCACCCGGAATGAAGGAGGCGCCGTAAACAACCCAACCGGCAATGATTGAGCCAACAGGCCTAGGGAAGTTTTAGCACCTTTTTCTCGCTATCGTGTGCTTCCTGTAGCAAGGTTCACTTACCACATGCAGTTGTAAAGACCGGTCAAGGTTCCTCTCCACTGTTCATCCCGTCAGTCGAGTTTCTCGCGATCAGAGGCCCCGGCTTACCTTGGGATGCGCAAGCTCGCTGACGTACGTGGGCGCAGATACGCAGCAGAAGGAAACACCGAAGCCGAGGAGGAAGCGTCCGCCCAAGAAGTGAGGGATATCGTGGCTGGTAGCTCTATTCCTGCTGTCAGCGTGGAGAAGTTACCAGGGTATTCATGAGACCATCTTACTGCACCGCGGTTCCGATGATGATAATAATGGCGCCCGTCAACATGCCCCAACGACGACCGAAGAGATCGTTTACGGGTCCGGTGAAGAAGATGGCCGCGACAGAGCCGACGTTGTACCTGTGTTCTCCTCATTAGGTTCCGAATCGCAGAATGACGGGTTTTCGGAAACTCTTACATCATGAAGACAATACCTGTAGATGAACCAGAGGTCGTCATGTTGAAGGTGCGTTGGTACGAAGTCATTCCGTTGAGACCACCTTCATCGAGTCAGCGGCTGCGTCAATCCGAGCTCATTCGCAAAGCCTCGACGTACCCATGAGCGACCCATCATAGCCGTTGAGAGCGCCGCAGCAGTACGCGACGAAGAGCACGCCGTACAGCGTGAACATGGACTTCGTCCAGGGCGAGTATTTGCTGTCGTCCACCTCGTGGGCGATCTCGTGGGCGACGACCGCCGCGACTTGAGCAGGAGGCGCATCCTCCTTGAGATCGCTGCTCGCGTTGTCGTACTTCTCGTCAAGGCCCGTCTGGGCGTTTCTTGTAGGCTCAGCCATCGTGGCAGGCGAATCAGGCAATCTCTCCAAGGAATCGGGCTCCGGATGCTGTACTGGAGAGTCTGGGGAGGGAGTAGACCAGAAAGATCAACAGCTTCCCCGGAAAGCCACAGACGCGCATCCCCCTTTTTATAAGCTCCATTACGAGCTCCTCAGTGGTTCGCTTCTCTCCCTCCTTCTGGTGCTTTGTTCTCACTGCAACCAGACCACCCCGGGGAGGCAGCATGCAACACCAACGCGTGAGGTCGAATGTGCCAAAGAACCCACCGCGTATCCACAAGTCGTGGGTGTAACGAAACAGCTGAGGATGCTTGCTCCATCCCCGCAATCCGTACCCCAGACCGCGCGATCCCCCGTCCGATCACATGAGAAAGCGGCCGGGCGTGGTGCCAAGGTGGGATGGGAAATCCGGGTTGTGTCCGGCACTGTACACCGGGACCGCAGCGAAGTTGGCGGTAGGAGATTGAACCGGATCGCCGAGGCGCGTCGTGATTGGAGGGGTTAGAACGTGCAGTCGAGGATGATGGCCGTTTAAGGTCCTGGGCCGCTTGGCGATCCTTTGCGAGATGGGGTGGTTGGTTCCCGCCGGCTCCGGGTTCCCCGGCCTGGTCTCTTGAACTGGATCTCTCACTGGTTCTTGTGTGGCGCGACGTGGAGTACACCGCGAGAACCAGAATTTCATATGCGCATGTCGAGCCAAACCGTAGGATTGGAGCCCTTGATGGGTTCATGTTTCCTCACGCTCGGGTGGTGGTTGCAGTTGGTTGCTGCCCAGATCCTCGGTATTGGGTTGGATTGGGTGGGTTATATTGAGCCATCTGGACTGCCGACCTTTGAAGTGTTCTGTCTGCAAGATCATGGGACAGGTAACGAGATCCTGTGGCCTGTGGCGTTATGGTTTCTGCGAGTTGTCTCTCGGCCGGTATTTGTCGGGGTTTCCGGCGCCGGCCGGGGAACCGGTCCGGGTCCTTTTGGCTTTTTTCCTGGGGTCCCTACGCAGTATGACGGAAAGGATGCCACGGTCTTCTTGCTTGTACGATCCAGAGATGGTTCATGGTGTCTCTGATGCGTGTCAGCAACACAAAGCCAGCTTGAGAACAAACAACCCAAGTTGAAAGATGAAAGAAACGTTCACTGGCTGATGAGTTGTGGAGCTCTCGTTCTTCGTGTTCCCGGAGCCGAAGGCTCTGGCCGTGGGTCTGGAGAGCTTGTCAACCTGTCACTTCCCCAGTCCCAACCCTGCCAAACATGTGGCGCGACCGCTGCATTTGTCCCCTCGCTTCGTGCCTTGACTTGCTTTCGGGGACAAGTTTCCGAGTCCGTCGCGTCGCCCTTCCATGCGGAATCAGGACTCTTGCTGTCTGGACTTGGGACAGCCAGAGCCCGCCAAAGACTTCTCCCACGTCCCGTGACATCATCTAATTTACATGCGGCTTACGAGCCTTGGGAGACTTGAACAGGGGAGTTCGTCAAACAGCCAACCCATGTCGGCTCAGGCCGGCCTCCGTCGGACCACGATCCCCGCGCTCTCCATCCCACAAACACCCGCCCTCCAGTTACTTAAAAAGCGGGCGTTGCGGGCCCTGATGACCCTCTGATCAGTGGAGTTTTCTCTGCGTGAGTCTGGAACTGATTCTTGCAGCGCGTTGCTCCGATGTTGGACCATCACGGGAAAGCCCATGATCTGAGGTTGCCACGCTCAGTCGACCCTCTCTTGCCCCCGCAAAATCCATGTCTCGATCTCTACAAAGCAGTGCCAGGATTTTATTTTATCGTCAAAGTCAAAAAATATCAAGATGCGTCGCGCAAGGGTGAGTATATTCAAACAGGGGCGCGCCTGCGTTTGCTGAGCCACAATATCTTCAAATTGGAAAATAAATAGGTTTCTTTCATAAAGCCTAATGCCTGGCTCACAATCGACCTGTTATTAAACTAAATTGTTAGAGCAGATTATGTCCGTCAATCTCTCAATGGTTCCGCTGTCATCAGAAGTTGAGCTTCAAGTGCTGAAAGTTTCCAATCTCGTCTGGCCAACCTGAGGCCGACCGGGATCATGAGAGTATTTCTTGCAGAAGTAAACGGGATGGAAGACCTTTGAAAATTATCAGGAAAACAGGATGTTTAAGCACGTCATCGGAACGAAGGGACTGGGGTGCGAAACTTGTGTAGTATGGAAGAAGCGTAGCTTTGTCCGCTCAATGCATGTTTCACACGTACTTTCCTGAACATGAGATGATAGACCTTCCTATCTAGGAACTAACCCATGATGAAGTCGTCCTTTCGAATCGTTGTTTAGGTAGGCCGCCGAGAGCGTTCTAGCCAAAGTCCAAACAAGTTGATGATTTGTGTCGCGATTTGAGTAATTAATACACGAACAGAATCTTCAGATTCGTAGAAGGATTCTATAAAAGGCTTGGACTCACTTTTAGTGAAGTTTCTCTTTCTACTTTTGAGTCGTTAAACTAAGTTTAGCACAATGTCATCGTCAAAGTTGTGAGTTAGGTGCTGGCGACGAAGATCCAAAGAGAAGTTAGAACTCTTCTTCGATGATAAGAGACAACCAGGGGCACTTGTTCCACTCTATTACTGAAAATAGTGGTTGATCGAACATTAATATCAGAGCACAGTTTCAAAACGGCTTTAGAGTTGCGTGTTCAACTTGAAGCGGTCAACAAGTAGGTGTGGTTCTGCATACTAGAACGACACCGGTAGTATCCTCGCTGTCCCTCTCCTTCGCATCTCAACCCTTTCTAAGCACTACTACCGACCAAACAAATATCAAGCTGCAATTCCGTCTGTTACTGGTGGGCCCTTGTAGACTGGAAGTGCGTCAGTAAGAGAAATCGCAACAGTCAAATCGACAAGAACTTACCCTTCCTTGCATGAATCCTGTACCATATGGCAGATAGAACAGCAAATCCCACGAAAACCACGCTTGCGTAGTTCATGGTGACAGAGGTCACCGGCAGGGCTGTGGGCATGCTGAACAGCACTGCTTGAAACGAGATCCAACCAACTGCGATGTAGTTGACCACCGGCCCGATTGTCGGGCCACATGTATAACGAGCCCCGTTGACTTCTCTGCGCCCATGGAAGAGGCTTATGATAATGGGGATGAGATAGCTCACTTCCAAAGCCATCACTCCGACAGAAACAAATGCCGTGAACGCGGAAGTGCTTCCGATATTGATGAGCCCAAGAAGCATCTCCACTATCGTCACAAGGATGATGGCATTCACCGGGACTCCAAGTTTCGTATCAACCTGCGACCACAGGCGAGATCCAGGTATGGCGTTATCCCGAGCGAATGCCCAAGTGCAACGAGATGCAGCCACGGTGATGCTCAGACTACAGCCTATCGTGACGACCAGAACCAGACACAAGAGCCCAAGACCTCCCGCATTGCTGCCCATTGCGGAGCGGAAAACAACCGGTAAAGCCTGACCGTATGGAGCAGCGATGATCTCGTCGAGAGGAGCCATGGTGAAGCAGATCGGGAGGATGAAGAAGAGACCTGCTACGCCTTGGATGGGGACGGTGAGACCGATGGCTTTAGGCACCCTAACGGATGGGTCTTTGCACTCCTCGGCCATCCCAGAGATCATACCGACAGCGCAAAAGACGTAGGCTGATGGAAGAAGACCGATGAAGAAAGTGAAGTGCCCCCAGCCAGAGAACGTTTCTTCATAATGTCCCAGAGCGTAAGCGGCGTCATGTCGGCCGGCCTTGGCTTCGACCGAAAGTGCTATGAGAGTGACGACGATTGTCAGTCCGATAAATGCTGCGCAACACGTGTCGACGATCGAAAGCCATCGGTTCGCAAAGATGCACACAACTGCGGTGAACAGCAGCAGTCCGTAGAACATGAGCAGAAGCTGCCACGGCGTGGCGACCCAGCTCGGCTCCATCATCGTGATCGTACCGGCGAGGAGAGACGCGAAGCCGAAGTTCACCGACAGAGTGATAGTCCAGTTGGCGATGATCCAGGTCCATCCCGTGACGAATGAGAGAATAGTCTTGCCCCTGGAGGCAATCTGGAATGACCAGTAGTAAGGGCCAGCGGAGGTTGGGTATCGAGATGCGAGTTCGGCTACCGATAGCGCGACTGACTGACTGAGAAGCGCGACGGTAATCCAGCCCACGAAGAGAGCCAGAGGGCCACCTCCGTAGATGACATTGATGAGAGGACCGCCCAAGCCGTACGGTATTGAGCAGATGGCGAGTGACTGGAAGAGTAGTGTGCTCGTGGAACGGTTTCGTTGTAAGTTGGACGGCTCGTAGCCCAGCTGCTCCAAGGTTTCGACGTCGCCGGCTATCACGCTGTCGAACGTGCCACTTCCGGATGTTCTCCTGGCCCCGGTCGCACTTTTGACCTCAGTCTTGGACTGGGTAAGCTCATAGTCGTTCTGCGCCATGGTGAGTGGACTGTTGACTTCGGAGACTTGGCGAAAAGAAACGCCAGGGAATTTGGGACGGTATGACTATTGGGGCACATCACCTTATCAACAACACAAAACACATGTTCATATATCTTGCTACGCCGTTTTGCTTTTCAGTGGCGACGAATGCCTGCCTTTCTGACTGACTGAAATAAGCTCAACGTCAGTTGGTCTCCCGAACCCCGCAGATGATAAGGCCGTATAGCAGATGATAAGGCATATCACCAGGGCGTCGCCGGATATGTGCCCGCCGAGGTATACAGCCGCAGGGATGGCATCCGTCCCAAGAGACTGGCTAAACCGGGGTATCTTTCCAGACGAACACAAGTGAATGAGGGCATGAAATCCTGCCCTTACGGTTAAAACGGCATATGTTGATAAGGAGGTGGTATCCTGCACAGCTTGCGCAACACGAACTACCGAGAAAGCGTACAGGCAATTCTGTAAACAGCTAAAAGATTGCCCAGATGGGTCCCCGCCTTTCAATGTAACCTCCAGTCCGTGAGATCACTAAATGCATCAATCGGGTCGATTCTGATGTGGACGTAGAGGAAACAAGCTTTTGTGAATCTCGTCTCGATTAGGGAATCCGTGACGGTTCTGCCCCTTAGTAAATTCGCTTCGACCCCGCATCGGTCAACAGCGAATCGCGTAAAAGTCCTGAGTTTGGAGAATCTTACCGATAGGCATCTACCATGAAGCATTCAGGGCCTTATCAGTGCACGTACTGGCGGTGATCATATGCGTGATTGGGATTTGGCTTTGATGTTGACATCTTGTAAACTGTCAACTTGCGGCTGAACTTTCCCGTCTCTCATATTAGCCTCTCATGTTGGCCGTGAAGATGTTATATTTCGACGAGGAACGCTTTGGCCTTCAATAAATGCACCGACTTCTCAGTGAAAGAAAGCCGTAATCGGTCTCAAAAGTCAGAGTTGAGCAGCTTAACCAGCCCACGATAACATACTGAACCATAATATGCAATAGGAAACAAGTCAAAACATATACCTTCTCATTTCCTTTATATTTGCGACAAATTCATAGCCTCGTACTAGAAGAGCTCATGTCATATGTTCATCAGTTTTGACCACGATTTCTTCGAATCCGTCCGCTTTGGTGTATCTCTACATGGCACGCTATTGGCTGACGCTTCTGTCCACCGGGGATGCCACGTTCTCAACTCCTGCAGGCTAATATGTGGAGGCGATCGCTGCGGGACGGACGCGTAGATTTACCAGTTTTAGCTCCTAGCGCGTCAGCCGCAACCCCCCGCATCTGAGAGACAATCCTGCAAGGTCGGAAAAGTCCACATCGACCGACATTCGTCGTAAGGGTTCTGCCGTTGGAACTCAAGGGGCACGAGTGAGATGGAACTCTTGGACTATAACGTTGTTGACATATCTGACGATTCCGTTGGATCTGCCGACTCGGACGCTGGCGACGGAGACCTGGCATACAGCCCCGATATCTACTCGTCTCTATCTCACCCGGACTCAATAAGAATCCTGCATCTCTTGCCAGTAGAGGAGGACGACGCCGAAATTCGGGGCGAACTGGTATCGACGAGAATTTCCGACTGTCAAGATGCCCGCAACTCATACATCACCCTCTCGTATGTCTGGGGTCACCGCATGAGCCCCGAGCCCATCAACATCAATGGGGAACAATTTTCCGTTCGACAGAATCTCTTCGATGCACTGCAGAATCTACGGCATACCAATCAATCCATCCGACTTTGGGCAGACGCAATCTGCATTGACCAAGTCAACCTCAAGGAGCGCAATCATCAAGTCCAGCAAATGCGAGACATATACGCTTCGTCCACCGAGACAATCATCTACTTGGGCAATGATGATGGAAGCAACACATCCCTCTCGGCTTGGAACTTTTTGGAGAGGCAGAGCGAGTGGTCTCTCAACGATAAGGGCGACAAGGATTACGAACGGCCCTCGGACCTGGAGGAAAACCTCACAAGTTTCCGAGGCGAGATCTCAGACGTCGAAAACTCTGTCCTGATACAACCGTGGTTCTTGCGGGTCTGGGTACTTCAGGAAGTCGTAGTGTCAAAGCTGGTATCCATTCAGTGCGGCCGACGAAGGATTCCGTGGGACGACTTTTGCAATGCTCTTCTTTCGAACCCGCGCTATCACGACCAGTATGGGTTCAGCTTACGGGCCAAGGAGAAAGTCGACATTGTGCGGGACATGTTCCAAGCCCGATGCGCCTATCAAGAGTCTCACGATCTCCACCACCTCCGGCCGACATGGCACTCTCGCGTCATCAGCTACGGAAGCCGAAGTGACGACATAGTCGAGATGCTCACAAGAGCCCGTCAACTGGAAGCGTCCGATCCCCGAGACAAGGTCTTTGCCTTATTGGGTATCTCCACGAATGTTGATCTCGACGACGCGCGGCTGTCCGTCGACTACGACAAACCTGTCGCTCAGGTCTACGCGGACTTTGCCAGGTATGTCATGGAGACAACTCAGAGCTTGGCCATTCTGAGCTACTCCATGTTCATGTCTCCGTTTACCAATATCCCATCATGGGCACCGGACTGGAACCGCAGCATGATGGCTCGAGAGATGGAGGGTGAAAGACACGCCAGAATGATTGGGAAGATCAGGAAACAGCGTGTTAGAAGGAATCCCAGATGGTTTGACGAAGACGAGCCTTTAGAAGTGGAATCTGAAGAGGAACCTGAAGAGAGGTCCTCGGAGGACCTCGTAGAGCCAGCACGAGACTCAACACAAGCACCGATGCAGAAGCAAGAAGAAGAAGCCTCCCAGAAATCGTCGAATAAGGAGGATGGACCAGAACGAGACAATGCTTACTTGAGCGTTGTTCCAGATGTTCCATTTCAGGACTTTATCGGTCCGACCATCCTGAGTTCACTTGAGAGGGAAGCCGAAGAGACAGAAGCTCGGCGGAAAGCCGTGGCGATGAGCAGTATGAGGTGGCCAGGCAGTCCAAAACTACGCCTCGAGCTCATTGGGACTTGCATAGGTCGAATCAACTTCCTCGGACCTTCGATATCTCTCCGTGGACTAGATGAACTGGCTTTTGAAAAGCTCAGACATCAGTTCTCGGACAATCCAGCAGAGCTGAGAAGGGCAATTCTGCGCAGATGGAGAGGCCTTCTTCTTGTGCGACACGCGGGACCAGCTTGGGCAGAAGGGACTCTTGTGCATGAAGATCCGGATTTTGTGGCACTCACAACAGAGGGGAATGACTGGAGTCTCTTTGACGACGATCCGGATCTCGGCCCCGATACAATCGAGAGCCATCTGTTCGCTCGAGGCAGGAAGACGGCGGCTTGGTCGAGCGACCAAGGGAAACTTCCAAACAGTATTATCGACAAATCATCTGTTCTCGAGGGAACGAGGATCGGAACTTTTTACAACTTAATCAAGCATAGCCCGCACACGAGGGTCATCCTGCCACTTGGAGCATGCGCCGAGGACTTCATTGTAATGTTCCGCGGCGCGAGAGTTCCGTTCGTTGTGCGGCGCATCGCGCCCACATCAACATATTCTCCTGAGCCGCGCAACATATCAGAAGGCTCAGAGGCAGCTCAGAACACCGAGAATCCTGAAGTATCCGACTTTCGAGAAGGGATGCCATTCGAGCGGTGCAAGCTGATTGGAGAATGCCTCATCAACAATCCCAATCACTGGGCGGATTTTGGACTCGGGCGAAGTCATGGAACCATATTCTCGCTCGACTGAACTACAAGGTTATTCTGAAGAGTCAATGTTAAAATACTTCTTCTATATGTTTGGAGTTTATGTAAAACACAGTCAAATATGTACAAAGAAAACCGAAAGATGTATGCAATGCTGTTGCTTGCTGCTTCCCAGATGGCTCATGCTGGAATCCTCATAGATCAGGGGAAGCAAACTCGCTCAACTCCTTTAGTAGCCAAGCTTGAAGCCTCCCCAGTTGAGCTTGGTGAAGGTCAAGTCAGAGTCGTACTGGCCCCTAATCTGTCTCATCTTCTCAACATTCTCGGCGCCGTACTGGGGGAAGGGCTTCTGGTATTCGCCTGCATCTCCCATGTAGATGAACTCGGTAGCCAGACCCTTGGCCTTGTTAATCTCATGGTGGCGGCTGAGCAAAGACTCGTGCCAGGCAGTCATCCTAAGGTCGTCCTCAGCGCGGGCCCAGGAGGTAGTGAATTGCCACCCTAGAGAGGTATGTCAGCATCTGTCGAACAGAACAAACAGTTGAATCGCTTCACGTACAGATGTATGACTCGGTGTCATCGAGGCCGAAGGTGTTGCCAACGCCGTTGGTCTTGGCCACAGTCAAAGCAGACTTGGGGACCAAGTTCAGGATGTAAGTAGGACGAAGGCCCTCGACATCAAGAACGTCCTGGATAGCCTCGACCCAGGACTCGTAGATCTCGTAGAGTCTGTCGGCGTCGGGCTTGATGGTGTGGTGGCCGAATTGAACGCTAAGAACACAGGAGTTAGTAGGGCTCAGGGTTTCTCATCATCAATACTCGGTCTTACCGAAACATTTGGTTCGGGGAATCGAATTTGGAGTGCCAGTCGATCGGCGCCGTGACGTTGTGCAAGCGGAGGGTAGCATTGGGAATGGCAGTGAAGTTGGCGAAGTGCGAGGGAGGGGAGTCAGTAGTCTCCTGGAGACCGAAGACCTGAGGAATGGTCTCTTTGGTGGTGGTGTTGTAGTTCATGTTAATGACAGCTCCGGCACCTTGGCTTGAGTCCTCGAAGAGGGCCATGTTGCACGCAGCCTTGATGAACTCGGGGATAGCTTCTTCAGGGAAGACCTGCATCGTGCTGGAGACCAGAGGGATATTGTAGGTCTTCATGACGAACTTGGTGACAATGCCGAAGTTGCTGCCACCGCCCTTCAGAGCCCAGAAGAGGTCGGGGTTAGAGGTGTTGCTGGCGACAACCTGGGTGCCGTTACCGAGGACGACGTCGTAGCTGAGAATGTTGTCCATGGAGAAGCCGTACTTGTTCAAGAAGTAGCTGACACCGCCGATCAAGGTGAGGCCGGGAACTCCAATGGTCTTGAGACGGCCACCGATGGCATACTGCTTGTGGGGAGCCAGAGCCTGGTAAACATCCACCCACTTGTTACCGGGTCCAACCTCAATGTTGTTATCGTCCGCGTTGACCTTGATAGCGTTGACTCCGTTCAAAGCAAGGAGGATTCCGTCATCAATCGTGTTTGATCCGGGGTACTGTTGGTCCGTATTGTCAGCAAGCGTGTGACTTGAGCAAGGTTATGAAGGAGACTCACGTTCATGTGGCCACCGCCCTTGACGGCAAAGGGGGCTTTGTTGGTGTGGAAGATCTCTACGGCCTTCGCAACATCCTCTGCACTCGTAGGCATATAAATACAGGCCGGATTGAGGTTGGCCCTCACGTCCCAGACATTGATGCGTTGGGTCTCGTAGGCAGTTGAGTTGGGAAAGAGCGTAGAGTTGGACGCATGGGCACTGAGCTGGTCGCAAGCGGTTTTGACGCTGTCGGTGATCAACAGCTCTCGACGACCAAACTTATGGTTGTTGGCCGCTGCAGAGCCGACCAACAGAAGGGTGGAGAGAACAGGGGTAGACAACATGATTGTCTAAGTCCGGGGATGATGGAACGAATGTTGACTGGAACGAGGGAAGATGGGATGATGAGTGTTTCAAGACAGAACGAACGGAAACTGTGAGAGTCTTTATCTAAAGTCGTGAGCGCTGTTCCGGATGGTATTTGGTTCCTACATTCCCCCTTTCCGGTGCTACCCTCCACTGAAGTGGCTCAACATCATCATTGACCCCCCTATTCTCGATTACCTCGTCCTCCATATCTCCAACCTGTTCCAGTTCAACGTCGCAATCGGTCTCGGTATGCTTGTATCTTAGAGCCACTCAGCCTTGCTAGTGGATTCGGAGATATCATCGCACCGCTGACCTGCAGAAAGAGTCCACAGATTGTCCCGTAGACCCTCAGAAAGACGTACAAGCTCACATTAGCGCACGGCATTCGTGATCCTGTTGCCTTCCGGGGTGTGCGGATGGAAGCCACGGGGGCATAGGCGTCCCGCAATATCTACCCATAAACGGCATCGTAGGCGAGGCGTTTTTCATCATTAGTCGCGTCGTCGACGTGTCCCGCCGTTGGATCTCACCCAACCCGCGTGGCTGGGGAGATTGAAGTGACACATGGCCATCTTAACGTCAAGCGTTGGGACGAACCGGGCCATTCAATTGACGGGGAAAAATGGGTTTGAATGTACCTGACCTAGTTTATCCTGACTCCCACTACTGTATTCTAGATATTCCAGACCTTAGCTCGGTGCCACCCCGGCCTGTCAGCCACACACTGGTTCGCATCGCGACGGCTCGGTCTCGGTTTCGCTAGATGGGGTACTGCCCGGACTGATCCGCCCCAAGATCCGCAGACGATCAAAATGCGGCGCACGGGGTTCAGCTTTGGCTGTAAACGTCAATGCGACCAATGAATTGATGAGCAGTACGTGTATAGTTAATCCAATGAAGTTGAAGCTGTGACTGAGCTCGTGTGGATGAGTAGGTGCTATGATTGAGCAATGTGTGGCGTAAGACATAGACTGCGGTTCCCTTTCCTCAAACAAAAAAAAGGAAAATGGTAGGAAATTTCCAGAAAAATTGTCTTCCTTGTTTGCTACCTCTTGACTTGTGCTGTTGTTGCTTTCCCAAAGAAACATCGACCTCGGCTCGAAGTCCGGGATTTATGCCGCTCTCGGTCACTGTCCAAGCATAGTTCTAGCCATCAATGGTCACTACAAAAACAACACAAACATCAGACCAATTGATCAAAGCTTCACAACATGTCAGTGGTCGGAGATAATAAACCTCGAGTCTGCTGTTTCATCGGATCAAAGTTTGCTCCTCGCCGTCCAGCAACCACAATGGCCAACGTCCGCCGACGTTCGGACGTCCTTCTCGAAGTTCCTGTGTCCGGTTATTCCGGTCTTCCGTAATCTTCCTCAATCAACAACAAGCGGGCCTCGATGTCCGGTTGAATCAATTATCGCGGCCGCCTTCCGCACCCATGCATCTTACCCTTGTTGGAGTGACATAACCCCTGTACCCTTCGATTCTCTCACCTCGCCGCCTACACGTCGCGCTATAGGCTTATGGCATCCGTTAACAATCACACGTGGCCCGGGGCCATGTCCGAACTGAGACTCCGAGGTACCGTCGGCTCGGCGGCTGGTGGCACGTTGCTGCCCAACTCTTTCACGGCGAAGGGATGGCTTGCATGCGTCGTTCTGTCACTCTTGAACGGACTTCTGGACAGGGTCATTCGACATCATCAGAAAGGTGCCGCACGGCGGGCTCAAGATGAGAGGCGGCGTCGGCGGCTTGGCGTATGGGAGGAGCGACAGCACAGCGGACTCGAGAAACTCCACGAGATGCTCTCGGACCTGGATATTCCAGAGGTGGACTTGAATACGGTGGACATGCACGAATGGCTGGACTACGCATTTTATCGGTCATGAACGACACCACGACCACGAGCATCAAAGACCAGGGTCGAAGTTCTGGATGTCACCTGGTTTCTGAATGGGACTATGATGACGCGTCAAATTCATCCTGGATAGACTGGGATTTAGAAGTTTCGCGTTCGGGAGAACACATTGCTCCACGACAAAGGCGAAAATGGACGTCGAGCAAGGCTTTTGTTCATCCACATCGCAATACAATCGTCAGCACATGCTTTCATCCACTATCATCCACTCATATTCCTTCGCAGCCGAACGGCTGCTTGCATCAATTCAAACTCGAGCTGTAGATACCTCCAATCAAATTGTTTACCATGATAATGAACCATCATCTCCGAGAAATTCTGTCAAACACGATACCTGAGCAACTGCTACTACTACTAAGACTCCGAGACAACAACCCTACCTCTCGGATGGATAACTCTGTGGATTCACAATTAATTAGAGTTTAGCGGAATCAATTCAAACCCTGACAATTATTAAGCTTGTTCGCAGCAAGACCGTCCCCACAACAGCGGCCCGTTCTCAGCAATGGAACTCAAACTTATTTCAAGTTCTCTGATCATATCTCCGTACAGAGACTGAACTGGAGGCCAAGCATGGGACACTAAGTACGGAAGACGATCACACTGAAGTCAAAACGCAGGAAACATGTAGGTGCCAATCGTTTCAATGCCTTTCAACGATTGAAGAACGGCGTGTTCGAAGCGGCCACAGGAATTGAATGATCAACATGTGCAGCTTTATTTGTCGTATATAGGTCAAGACTGCCTTCCAGCCCGCCTTCTCTATCTTAGCGGGGCACTTTCACGCTCCCATTCTGAATTGAAGCTTCGTGATCTCGGTGCCCTTTGAGCCTCTTGTATGACCCGGCATCAAATTGGTTTCCTAAATGTACGAACTTTGCAACAGTTGACTCAATCAACGCGCCGCCCATCTAGGAGATGATGTGAGGGTTCACCGGAGGACCATACGCCTCCACAGTGTCCTTCTTCGAGATGATATGCGGGTTGACTGGTGGCCCGTATGCTTCGACGGTTTCGCGCTTCTGCTCGACAGTGGGAATGTGAGGGTTCAACGGGGGACCATAGGCCTCGACGGTGTCCTTCTTCGAGATGATGTGGGGGTTGACGGGAGGTCCGTATGCCTCAACAGTCTCGCGCTTCTCTTCGACTGCAGGAATGTGAGGGTTGATGGGCGGCCCATAGGCCTCGACGGTGTCACGCTTCACCTCGACGGCGGGGATGTGAGGGTTGATAGGCGGGCCGTAGGCTTCAGAGGTGATGGGTGCGGCGGAAGCAATGGAAACGCAGGCCGCGACGGCGGTGAGGAGAGCTTGGACGCGCATGATGGGCTGAAGGAACTTTGAATGCCAGGTCAGAGAAGGAGGATGCAGCAATAAGCGTCTGATATGTAGTCACAAGCCGAAGCTCAGTCATCGAGTTGGTTGACGTCGCCTTATATGGTTTCTCTCGCATCAGAACCTAGTCTCCTGCATTTGTGATGAAGAACCATCAGACTGCGATGCACCTTCTTCGCATGTACATTCGCTCAAGAGTCAGTCCTCGGACTCCAATCATATCAGGCCAAGACTCTTGAGCATGAAGGATCGGACTCGAACGAGAGAGCCCCTCGCAGCGTAGCGCCAAAAGTCCATCGTTCTTGATCCTTCATGAAGATTTATTCCAATGAAGGCATGTCGTTAAGTCTTGAAGGAGGCAATGAAGCATCTAGACTGTTTACGGTCAGCCTCAGCGTACTCATATACTAGCCGCTTCAAGAAGGTAGAGAACATAGCCCCCAGTCACTAGGGTATGTCGCGAGTTTTGGATCTTATGCACAATAGTTCAAATGGACGAATGAGAATCTCTACCAAGGACTCAATGGGAACCATGTGTGAGAACTCAGTTGATATTCTTATCGTGATAGGGCCAATAGGGTCCTCCGACCTCGGACTATCACGGCATCGCTTTTTACATCAACTTTTCTGCGTGAGATCTACCTTCCTATTTGGCCATGTGTCGCTTATAGATACAAGGCACTTCTCGTAAGATTTGCCCCTTCGCTTGATAGCTCTCAGTTCGTACTCAATTGTCATTCTCTTGGCAAATCCTTCTCGTCTTTAGCGCATCCTGCGCCTGTTACCTCTGCATACAAAGTGCGAGAAACAATCAGTATTCACACCATAATAGGCCAAAGGCTCCATTCTGGGCTTTGCAGTTTGAGGCAGGTGTAACATGTCACAAAGTATGGCTCGTCACGGTTAGCGGTCGTCGGCAAAAGTCGACTTTCACCTCTGATTATGTCCATTCAATACCGTTCCGCCTTCAACTTTGCAGACCACAAACAATATGTTGTCTTTTTCCAAAGTTTGCATGATACTCAACTTCTTGTTGTTTCTTTCATGATTACGGATCTCAGCCAGTTTCCACTATGAAGGAGATGTACGACAATGCCCTAGATGAAGGCTCAAGGGAGGGGCTTCTAGAAACTGTAGGTAACGTGATCATGTATTATCTTGGGCACTTCCTTTAATTCTACTATGTCGCACTCATATGAGTAGTCCTTTCGGGAAATTCAAGAACCTATCTCACATACTTGTAGTCAGACTCGAGGTATTTACGTCCAGACCGACAAGAGGACTGGAGTTTACGCTTGAAACTCATCACTGCTCTGAACGCCATTTTCTTTCTCACGTCATGTGGGCTACTCTTCATCTCATGGAGATGGCTCGATGACCCAATCCGATTGATGAAGCGCGTTTCGCCGTATAGTACGCCTCTCTCCCCCTTCATCTGACTCGCTCTATTCACATACATTATCCTCGAGGTCCAATCCTTGACGATGTTCCAATCAGGCTCGAGACAGTCGAAGTCAAAGGAACTTTGTTCAATGATTACACTCCGTCGCGCATCTGGAGACAACCCCCGAGCGAGGAAGTCGACAAGGCGTGGGACGACGTAGCGCGCATCGAATACTTCGGCGTCAGCGGCGACGCTCTGCGAAAGATGGGCAAAGACCCGGAGATATCCGTCGCCATTCCGGAGGACTGGGGTGTCGGCCCTGACAAGTACCTCGTCGAGATTGACATGCAGCACCAGCTACATTGCCTGAACGCTCTGCGGAAGTACGCATACTGGGACTATGTAAGTGAACCGTCAAGCCCAACCACATCAACTTCACCTCCATATCATGAGACTAATTGCCCCTTAGTACTACGGAAACTCGTTCAAAAACATGCAAGTACCCCCGCCGATCGTAAAGCCACGTTGATTCGCTAACGTCGCGCCAGCTCAATGGCCCCGAAAAGACACCAGGCGCACCTGGCGCACTGCGTCGACATCCTGCTGCAGTCTCTGACTTGCAATCCAAGCCTGGACTTGATCTCCCACAACTGGATGAAAACGCAGGCGAATCCCTACCCGGACTTCAACATCAAGAGGCAGTGCGTGGCCCACGACCCCATTCTGGAGTGGCAGCACAAGAACGGGATATCAGAGCAGATTTTGAAGTTCAAGAACCTGCCCAGGCCGGAGAACTTTCCTGAAGTTGAGCCCGAGCCTTCTATTTTGTTGATCGGAGAGGACTTGGGGCACCACGAGTAAAAGCAGGAACGGCGATCGTGGTACGACGATAGGAATAGAATCATGTCTTTATTTCAACATGCAGAGGCCTTGTATCATTAGTCTTGGCAGGGGATATCAAGTTTGCCAAGGTGGGTTTGGTTTCAGAGCAGGCGTACTTGAATCAAGTCGTAACGGCCAAGCACCTTTCTCGCGTAGCCTGCACGGAAAGAAAGGAGTTATAGCAATATCCCTGGCAGATTATGGCAAGATAGAAGCCATGGAGAAGTTGAGAGGAGGGGCTACAGTGAACCGCAAAGCTAGTAGAATGACATACTCAAACCGGCTGTTTGTTCTCCCAGTGCTCGCAACAGTTCGAGTAGGGGTCCTCGGCGCAAAAGGCTGGGCTGATAACTCGCTTTTAGGGGTCGGATACAGAAACAGAAGAAAAGAAAAGAAATCATACCACTCAGCACCGGCATAAACAGGCTTGTCAAGCTGATCATTGGTGGCATCCCACGGTCAGCCTGCAGGGTAGACAGGCTTGCTTGAAGATCGGCCCGAATTTAAGTCAAATTCGCAGTACTTCTGGACCAAATGGTCTTGAGACCTGAAAGATGTGATGCGTGAGCCCCGTAACACCACAATGCCGAATACGGAAACGAAGTGGACAGGCGGCGACGACGCCGACGAGAATGAATAGAACGTGAACTCAACTTGCCCCGGGGGTTCTTAACTTAGTCCTATCCATGCTCACTTCCTCGCCAGACTTCTTATCCATACAGACTGGTACGCGTAGTATGGGCTCTCAACTTTGAATACATCAAGCCTCCACAGCATGTCCTCCCTTAGAGAGCTGGTAAAGCTGGTGACCAAGATGCGGCTGCGGCTTCCCCTTAACAAGAGCAGACGCGTCCTTGAAAACAATCTTCTCAACCTCCTTGAAAACAATCTTCTCAACCTCCTTGTCCCACAGGCAAGGCTCTTTGCCCTTTCCTCCATGGTTATTCTCGGGCCGATACTTGTGCGTCTTCAACTTTATAATCAGAGAGTGGTGGAACACCGCGTCCGGCGGAATATCCCTCGTGGATCCCTTGTTGAGCGGAAACTGCACCCATTCCCACTTCCCACTGGACTCCCCATCCGTCCCGGAAGCAACCGCGGGCTCAGCCGTCCTCCAGAACGCGAGTCTCGACCAGAAGGGCACGGGATCGAGCTCCCATCGCTTGATGAGCGGGAAGAATTCTAATCACGGTCAGCACACCACACCCCCCTCGCATAGCACGCAGAAAACTCACCCAAGAAGTTCCAGAACAGGACCGTCGTCCACTTGGTACCCATCCCGAACATGACCGGATCGTGAACGGACCCCTCGAGCGCCGAGTCCTTGTTGTGCTCGTACCGGTGCCTGAACTCGTTCACCTTCTCCGCGTCCCAGTGCACGCCGCCCTCCTCCTCGAGCTCCTTCATCATCCACATCAGGGGCGTGTCGCTCAGCTGGCACGGCTCGAACTCGACCCTCTTCGAGCGCGTGTGCAGCGGGTTCTGGCACACGACGTCCTCGTGACACCGCCGGCACTCCGTCTCCCTGCAGCGGCTGTACTCCTCCCGGCACGGGTCCAGACGGCCGGCGTGGTGGCGATCGTCCGCCTTGCAGAGCCCGCAGTCCTTGCAGACCAGGCACTCCTTCTGATACGAGAGGCCCTTGGCCTCGTCGGAGGCGTCGCCGAAGAACCGAGCCTTCAGACTCGACGTCTTGTCGTCCGTCCGCAGCTTGTCGGCCTTCGGATCCCACCCCCCGCCGACGTCGCCGTGGTTCCCCGGGAACCAGACCTCCTTGATGTCCTCGTGGTAATGCTTCTTCTTCTTCTGGATCTTCTTGTCCTGCTCGAAGAGCGCCGCCTTGAACTTGACCCGCCTCTCGTCGACCGCCACGGCGTGCCGTATAATTCGCGCCGTGCCGTGCACGAGGACCTCCCTTGTGGCCTTCCTCTCCATCACCGAGACCGAGTTGACGCAGTCCCACAGGCCGAGGAAGTGCACCTTGACGTTCACCAGCTTGGGCTTCTTCCCGGGCGCCCTGTGGCGGTCCCTGTCGCGGTCGACCTCCTTGCGGCAGAAGGTGTTGCTGAACTTCTTGAGCTCCTTGGTCCGGGCGTTGCGCTGGTGGTTGTCGCGCTCGTCTTTGAGCTGTTGCTTGATCGATCTGTGGTCCGACTCGTGGCAGTCGTCCACGTGGTGGGTTTTGTGGTTCTCCTCGTCGTCGTCCGAGTCTTGGTCGCGGCCTTCTTCTTGCTTCTGCTTCTCCGTGTCTTTGTTGTGGCGGCAGCTGAACTCGCCGTCGAGGTAGCGGTCGTACAGGCGGTATGCGAAGGGGACCATCTCCTCGTTCCCGCGGCAGAGGAGGCCGACGGTGTTGACCATGCGCGCCAGGAACTTTGCGGTGTACGCGCCGCGGCTGAAGCCGAACATGTAGATGTTGTCACCCTGCGCATGGCTTGTATTAGTGAAAAGGCTCTTGCGGTCTGGTGGTTGGTAATACACACCTCTTCGTAGTACTGCATCAGAAACCGGTAGCCGGCCACCACATGAGAGTCAAAAGTCATCCCGAAACCCTCATCGAGCGTCGAAGTCACTTTACCCCATTGGTCCTGCAGCCACGTCTTGTGTATGGTCTTCTCATTAACCCCGTACGTTCCAATACCGGCTGTAAATAGCGCGTCAGCAACAACATAGACCGGCAGCTCGGGGTCACTCACTCTGGTAGTAATGATACTGCTCTTCATGACGACGATCCAGCATACTCAGAAGCTTGACGACGTTGGTATCCTTTTCGGTGCCGGAAAAGTCGTTGCCGGTGCCGTCGAAGCAGAGGATGAGGTTCCTGGGTCTCCTCCCCGGCGTACGGTTCCAGCGACCGCTGGCGAAGTCCTGATGGATCGGGCTGTCCATGGGTGAGGAGAGCGCCGTGCCAACGGACGCGTCGGAGTGGTGGGAGGAGAAACTCATCTTGGCTGGCGGTGTTGAGCAGGGAATCTTTCGTAGGGTGGTGTCTCCAAGCGGGATTCTGACTTTCCATCGGCGAGAAGCCTCCATTTATGAACTTCGACTCCATTGCTGCCATACACCACGGCGGCATTGGCACATTCTCAGCTGGCCTCATTTACCATAGTCTGCACAAAAACACGCGAACGGAATTCTCAAATCCAATGTCCTCGTCCACTTCTGCGACACGGCTCGTCCCCACGGCACGAAAACGGTCTCAATCACATTCAGAAAAGCCCATCTAACTCAGCATATGGCCGATTACCCGCCAACACCACCAGCAGAACCGCATATCCAAGACGGAACCCAACTGCCCATCCCTCTCGTCTAGTCCACGACGGTTCTAGCTTTCAGGTAGCCACATGGATCCCGCAATCCGTTTGTAGATCCCGCTCTCCGCCTAGTCGGAGCCGGGCGCGGAGCTTTTTTTTCGGTTGAGACATGGTGCGAGACAAATGTCTGACTGTCGACACCAGCTCCGTGTCTTGGAGCTCGATTCGGCAGAGAGGGAAGAAACACGCCGTTCTCTCAGCGGTCGTCTCTGCTCACTTTTCCCCGATCCGGCAGCCTCTCTTGGCGTACCGGGGCATTTCGTGAGATGATCGTCTTGGATATGACCGCTTTCCGCAGAGACATGTCGCGGAAGGGGGTGAAGATGCCGTCCGGCCCATTTCCTCGGGATGAAGAATACGAACGCAGACATTCCCCGCCGCCGCGCCTCTCCTCCCTTGACAATCCGCCCGAGATCATGGAGGAGAGCTGAGGAGAGACGGGCGACGAGGCTTGTAAGCTTTTAGAATATTGCCCGTTGTGGTGACAATCTTCAGCGGTGTCTCGGTCTCTTCCCGGGTCGACAGAGTCCCGGGATATTCAAGACTCCAGAGCTCAGAAAGCAGACAGCGACGTTCATGAGCACGGAAACCGACAAGAACCTCATTCACTCAGCCTTCCGTTCCATGCCCAACAACATCTCACAACACAGCACATCGTACACGGTAACCTTTCCATTTTCTCCATACGAAAACCTCCTCCCTCACGCGCCCAACTTCTCCCTCTTCAAAAACACCTTCACAACCTCCTCAAACGTGTCCACCACACTCCCCCTCTCCGCCCTCCACCCCAGCCTCGCCATCCGCGACGCCCCGACCCGCATGTTGATCCCGTACATGATGGCAATATGCATCGCCCAGGTATCCGGCGGCGGCGGCGTCGCGTCCGGATCATAGTCGCTCCCGCCCATGCTCGCCCGCGCCGCCTCCACCACGCTGACCGTCTTCACCTCCGTGCTCCCGATCACCCCGTGCTCCTTGAGCACCGGCACCAGCGCGCCCATGAACTTCGCGAACGAGATGTCCTCGCCCGTGCCGAAGTAGTACGCCTCCGGGCCCCAGAGCTCGAACGGTTCCGAGTCCGAAGGCCCGGTGACGGCTTTGCTGATCAGGATGAGGTACATTTTGGCGAGGTCCTCGACGTGGATCCACGCGTGCGTGTTCTCGCCCTCGGCGATCTTCCACCCGGACTTGAGCGCGCGCGCGGTGAGGAAGATGGCGGGCGTGGTGATGGGCGTCGGGTGTTCCACGCTCGGGCTCATACCGCCCACGAAACCGGGCGACATGATCGCGACATTCACATCTCCCGCCGCGTCGCGTACGATCTTGTCCGTGACGGCGTGGGTATGCGCCTCGCCCTTGAACGCCAGGATATCCCCCACGTCCTCGATATCGTCCCACCACCGCGCGTCCTTGGACCCGGCCGGCTCGTCCCAGATGAGCGAGGCGCCCGAGGTGTGGATGTAATAGGGCCGCACGCCGTCGCGCGACTTGAGGCCGGAGAGGATCGCCTTGATGCCCGCGTCGTGGGTGATGTCCGGGGACGTGTTGACGACGACGTCGGCCTCGCGGGCGTGCTGCTCGAGGAGGTCGAGCTGGAGGGTGTCGCCGAGGACGGTGGTCACGGAGGGGTACTTGGCGACGAGGCGGGCCGCTTTGGGTTCGTCGCGGACGAGGGCCTTGATGGTGGCGGAGGGGTGGGCTTGGACGAGTTGGTGGAGGACCGCGCCGCCGATGTGGCCGGTCGCTCCGACGCTGGCGGTGGTGTTAGGACATGCGGAGAGTGAGGGTTGGTGAGTGAATGTTGCACTTACAAGAAGATATGGACCATCGTGACAAACTTCTCTCTTTCAGCACTGACTAGTCTGACGTTAGGAGATGGGGGCGAAAAAGAAACAACGAACTTCCCGGATCCTGGGCAGACCACGGAGAATTTATTTGGACAGCAGCGGCGGAGAGCTCGGCAAACCCCTCAACTGATAATGAAGATCTGCCTGAGCCTACGGAAGACTCCACCGTTGTGGGAACGTTCGTGTCGACCGGTGTTCAGGGGTTTTTGGCGAGGACCCCTTGACGACGTGTGGAGCTCCTCATGCATTGACAGCTCACGGAACGGGTAGGTCAGAACTGAAAATGGGCTGCCAAGTTGAAGAATCTTAAAGAATCAAATGCGGGATCCCAATGCGGGATGATCGTTTATGGACGGCATTTGTTGGTGTTGCGAAAGCCGTCTGGTTGCTCCGTCATTGGGCGGGGAGAGGGGGAGGGGAAGGGGGAGGTGATGGTATCATGCATCGTCGCTAATCCCACGTTGCAACCTGCGTCCCCCTGCCTCCTCCTCGCTACCGGCGGCAGGTCTCGATATCAAGGTTTAACTCTGCACGGCGGCCAAGCCCTTGCTTCTGTCCTGTGAAACGTACCAGGAGCGGGACCGGGGTTAATAACTTGATGATTTGGCTGATGAGATAGATAAAGATGCTGATCCCACTACTCTAGGGCCTGGGTTTGATGAGGAGAATTCCCTTGCAAACGGTCCGGTTAGCATGGACGAACAATCGCGTGAAGAGCATGGTGACGAGGCTGTTGATGTGACACGAGAGGACTTTCCATATCAAGTCTCCAATGGGCAATGAAAGAACGGGAGACAAAAGTCAGGGGAACAACAGACGGCAGCTTTCTATTACAAGATAACAGTTGATTAAAACATACTAAAACCCCCCGATGAAACCATTCTCACTGACATCAGATGGTGATGAGGTGGATAAGGCTGAGATAGGAGCTGACGTCGACACAGATATGGCTCGCAATAGTCACATAAGCAGGCCGAAAGTTCAATCTAGTTTTTCTTCATTCATCTACCTCTGGTCTTTCAGAGTAGAGTAGCCAGTCTGTTCGACAGCATACATAACAATACCTTCATACCGGCCAGACGTCTTCGCGATCCGCGCTACCAGGCATCGGCCGTAGCCGGACATGTGACGCTCCGACGCTGGCCAACCTAACATGCTTCATGTATCCTAAATCCCCCTCTTCGTATTGCGTACGTATCCGTATGTCGGACCGAAAAGTAGAGTGACTCCCAAAAACACCGACCAATGCCAACCAATCAGCAGATGCAAGATGTTTCGCGACCCTAGCCCGTATACAAGAAGTCCGTGTTTCCGCAACCCAGAATCCCTGACGCAAAATGGCACTTTTCTGTTGCCGACTCTCCTGAAAGTGGCGGCGGTGTCGACCCGCGCCCCATCACAAGGATGGTCGAAATGGTTTAGTAAATATAAAAAGTCTTCATAAGATCCAACGCTTGACATAGGAAAGAAAAAGCACGCGACAGTCTGGGTCAGCAGTGCTTGTAAATATGGCCAATAATATGCACAAGGTCAACGAAGAGTATTGAAATCCATCTCGGCAGTCATGCCAGTAATACCTGGCATGTCCGAGTTGGTGCGCTGGAGTGCGTGAAACTCTCCAACGGTCCGTGGTAGGGGTTGTTGCTGTATTGCAAAGCTCTGGGCTCGCTGGGGTTGCTGCCGGGATATGGAGTTCATCATGTTGTTTCCACCAGGCCCCATCGGATGGGAGGTTGGTATTGACGGAGCGTTAAGCTGTTGCTGGCCCTGGAACGATGGTGGGCTGATGCTGCCCATGTTGTGACCTTGCTGCATGTTGGGATCGTGGTGCTGAGTCATGTTGGGCTGCAGCTGTTGCTGGCTCATGCCTTGATTCTGCATCATGTGATGCGACTGGTGTTGTTGATGCTGGTTCGAACCACCCAAAGACGATCCGTTCTGGCCCATCGGACTCATGACCATGTCTGGCATCGGTGCGCATCCGTAATCGTTGAGGCCGTGGGGTGTGTACTCCATCGGCGGAGACATGATTGCTGGCGAACTAGCGAAGGGCGAGTTCATGTCTGCGGCGGTCGAGGCGGCGACGGTGACGGACGGGGCCCCGGTGGACACGTTGGTTTCGCTTACGTTGCTGTTCATGTCCGACATGCCGTAGTTCTTGTTGTAGTCGGCGACAGAAAACTTGCGTTCGTATTCGGTGTCCATCTGCATCTGCATCTGCGGGGCCGGCTGGGCCATGCCCGCATTGCCGAAGCCATCAAAGATATCGATGTTGCCCAGGTTGGAGTTCTCGGGGGCGTTTTGCAGCATCGGGTTGGTCAGGCGAGGCAGAATGTCGGCGACCTTGCTGAGGAGAAGAGGCAGGAAACGGTAGTTGTTGTGTCGGAGAACGGCGACAATGTTGAGTGTGTGGTTGAGCTGCTCGCGGGGGCCGACAGTGAAGGGATCGCGCAGGTCGGGCTGGACAGCAAGGAAGTCGGTCATGTTGCAGGTGATTTCGAAAAGCTTTTCAATCTGTGTTGTGGTCAGCTCGCTGCGGTTTACCCGGATCAAGCTACAATCTTACCAGTCCAGAACCCATCAGTTCCATGCCCTGGCCAGGGAAATGAGAAGCGAGGTTCATCAGAAGCTCGCGGGCCATATCAACGGGGTAGGAGTAGTCCAGGTTCTCCTGGTTCTGGGAGTTCATGCTGCCGTGGGTCAATTGCCAGACGGTGGTCTTGAGCCACTGCTGGTTTGTGCGCAGATCGGTCAGCTGGCCATCTTGGCAGAGGTAGCCGGGCTGGACCTCGGTCAGTTGCTTCTGCAGGTTGGAAACGTATAGGTTGCTGCGTGTCTTGTTCCAGACAGCAGTAAAGGCGTCGTCGAAGGGACGGAACAGGTTCACCATCATGATGAAGCTATTGAGCTGGTGGCTGAGTGGGTCGCTCGGATCGTCGGCGGAGTTAGGCGGGCTGATGGTCGCCTGGAGGGTCAAAGGTCGCTGGCGTTGGATGGCGTGGGCCCTGGGTGAGGATCGACAGTGAGCAGATGAAACATTGCGTCGGGAGTGCGAGAAAATTGTTACCTTTCCATAATGAAGAACAGCCAGTAAAGCCGCTTCCTCCGAGACGACTCGGCATTGTCCCATTGAGGGCCGTGATATGTCTCCTCCTTGTTCATGCCGCTCATGTGCATCATGGTCGAGGCCTCGCGGAGGTAGTACCAGGCCTTGTCGTGCAGCTCGAGGCCGTGGTAGCAGCCGTAGATGAAGAAGTTGGTGGCGAGCATGTTGAAGGTGGTGTTGTCGAGGTAGTCGTAGCCCTTGCGAACCTGCAGCGTCTCCTCCAAAAGCAACTGGCTGGCGACGAGGGTGGCGCCGGGCATAACATCGAAGTTGTAGGGGTCGCCGGTCGGCATGGACATTCCGGGCTGGAGCATCATGAAGGCGCAGAGCGAGGTCATGAGGCAGTAGGTGTCGCGGTTCTGCTCCATGAAGGGCATCTGCTGGTCGATTTGGCGTCGATCGAGGATTGGCATCTTTTCGTAGAGATTGGCGAAGTAGAAATCGACGCATTCCTTGACGAACTCGGGGGAGAGCAGGCCGGGCGTCGGGGCGAGGTTGATGGGACCTGGAGGGTTGGGGATTCCGTTCATGCGGTTCTGGACCTTGGCGGCCAAGCTGGTCTGTCGCTGCGTTTCCCTCAACTCGCTGATGACTTTGGCGCGCGAGCCCTTGGGGCCCTTCTTCTGGGGGATGGCATTGTACGTGCAGGATAGTTGAGCCGTGTGGCAGTTGCGGCACGGGTTGACGCCGTCGCACTTGACCTTGCGACGATGGCAGGCGTCGCAGGCCCGCTTGACGGCCTGTGTCATGGCGGCGACGTGTGATGAAGACGTGATGGCGGTATTGTCGTGGTTAACGGGGGAAAATTAGAGTCGAGTGGCTTGCGGTTATTCCGTGGCGATGCGGCGGACCAACGTGGGCGATGGCATCGACAGCGAAGCCACAGCGACGGCAACGGCGACAGCGAGAGATCCAGCGGGCGCAAGGACGATTGAGTTTTGCGGGGAAGGCGACTGATAAGGGATGTAGGCGGTGGTACTTCTAGTCGAATGGGCGATTCGTGGAGGAGTTTGTGAGGATGGAGAGAGTATTCGGCCCTTTCTGTATGCAGACGCTGGGAGCGAAACGCGGGGGATGGTGCCAAAATCCGGGGCTGCAACGCCCGTCACAACCCTTTCGGTCTGTCTGTGCAATTTTGGAAGGTTTCTAAGGCGGATATGATCGAGTACCGGACGTCGACGTGGATGTTTTGTTGAAAGTCGTCTGCTCAGAGGGCGAGTCCAAAACTGGCGATGTTGAATGAAAGACTGGATGGAGTTCTCGGTGAGGGTCGGTAGGTGGTGTGAGTGAAGGAGGGAAAGAGGAGTTCGGACAGCGGGCTGTGGAAAGGATGAATGGAACCCGTCAATAGGCAGTCCAGTGTGGGCTGAGCTGAGACTTGAGGAAAGAGCGCCTGGCAACTGGGACTCGGGAGATGAGAGTGAGGGAAAGTGCAAGTGCAGGAGGAAAAGAACGGGCAGGAAAGAGCTTGTAAGAGTGGAGAAGGAGTGGATACCCGGTGGGAAAACGGGAAAGAAAAGAAGGGAGGAGCGACACTGGACTTGCTGTTGGCAGTTCGCAGTTGCCAGTTGGACTTTTGGATTAGTGGGCTTGGCCGTGGCGCTAATCCTGAATTGGACTGAGGTTTGGGACGACTGGGCAGAAAAAGGGCGCTAAGATGGTCTGAGGAGGGAAGAAAATATTGAACACACTGTGACAGCACACGGTGGTTGGTGGTAGAGAATGGCGGGTAACACGGCGTAGGAGCACCTCCTCCTGGACAGTCACAAACTACAATATTGACTGTATGGAGTGGGTCACCGTCCAACAACAACGCGATGGTACGTACCTGTCATCCCAGCACTGTCACCGTCGCCCAATGTGTGCTGTTCGTTGTGAAAATGCTTCAAATTTCCACAGTCAATGCAGAGGAGTCCTTGGGGTCCTTGGTAATCAGCCAGATATTCAAGACGATGGATGGCTTCTACCTCTTCATACTGCTGAATCACGAATAGCAGATGAGATCCCGTAGACAGTGGCAGAGCCTTCAAGAAGCATCCCGTCAGGCATAATACGGTGCCGCCTGTAACGTCGTACGAAGGCTGGAGCTGCTGCCTGAGTCTGGCATTCCGTAACGAACGGGCCAATGAGAGCCGATGACGACGGTGCCGCAGGCCGAGGCAAGTGCTACCTAGGTACATTGAGAGACTGCGCCTGCAATTGCCCTCGATGTATCTTTTTCACCAACGCAGCCGCAAAAAGCTACATCTCATCGACAAAACACCTCACCTCAGCCTGTACGAATCCAGTTGCTATTTCTGCTTTCTGCTTGCCTTGTCAGCTTGCCAGGCCGGGCCAGCTGCAGTGCTGTGGCTGCTGTTCGCCTCTTCTCGCAGTACCCGACGGCAACTTCGATGTTTCAGTCGCAACTTGACCGAGATCCTCGCCTCATCTTCGATACCTCTTTGTCGACTCGGGCTACATTTTTCATCGGCATCCGCAGCAGAGAAACCACGCCTGATTGGAATGCCACATCGCCGGCCGGTCTCGTGATGCTCCTCCACTATTGCCGCAGTCAGCCGTCATCACCACCAGTCCGCCCACCGGCACCGGCACTCGTTAATTACGGACACCAAGAACCCCCAAGACCAGAACACGAACCGCCTTACGAATGCCTCAGTGCGCCACGCCGTCCCTTTGTTTTTATTCTGGAGCCCGGCCATGGCACTCCGCCGACCATTGTCTGATCTGATCTGGCCTCCTCGACCGCCAACATCGATTCCACAAGCCCACTCAAATCTCCTGTTCACTGCTCACTCAAACCTCGCCAATCGTCTCGCCCTCTCCTCGATGTTCTAAAATTTGAGGCAGACGAAACGCCTGTGCGAGGAACATCCTTCGCCGCACCTCGACAGCCACGCCAGCAGCCACAAACAGACGCACTGATGACCCGGGATATCATGTCTTGTCGTCTTCCTCCGTACTGCCGGACTGTGGACATTGCCAACTTCTCTACACGGCTGTCCAGCTTTCAACACTGGCCGTCTCCATTTCGACGGGGCTCGGATCAATGCCGCCCATTGTTCGAGGGCCACTACTAGCCAGTAGTCCAACAAAGCATGAACTCTGTTGACTTGGACAACCTCTTGATCGTCCGACACTTGGGATGGCTGAAGACGCCGTCTTGCGCCGGCAACGTGCAGAATGTCTGTTCCCACCGACCGAGCACCTCCGTCTCTAACCCAACGACACAACAGAACGCTTCTCAACCGACTACTGGCGGGGCTGGGCTCAGTCAACAGCAAACAAGTGTCGATAATTCACATCCTCAGGCCTCATCATGAAGAACATCCAGTACTTCGTCCACACAAAACAGTGGCTGCTTCAATCTCGTCGACACAATGTCCGCAACACAAGCAACACAGACAGTAGGGCCTTGGCAATCTGGCAATCCGCAAGCAATCTCACCACGCAACACAGGCAACACAAGTCACCCCTACCCTCCATCAATGACCCCTGGACCTGTCATCCCCCAGATCGCCCTCAGGCGACACGGCAGGGAACCTTCCAAATCGTCTTCCACCGCGCTTCCATTCGCTCCAGCCGACCTATCAAACCGCCGCCCGCAGTCGACCGCCCTCCTTGCTCGACGCACCTCGCCGTTTGCAGCCCGTCGACACTCCGACATGTCCGCTTGAGTAGCCTGTGTGCTTGTGTCCGCTCAGATGGTGTTTGTCAGGACGGTCGAGAGGCATTTCTCGTCGGCAGCCCTCATGTCAATGATGACGAACATATGTCGACTTCCATTGTCTCTGGCGCCGGCCTTGACAACCACTTCAGGACTCAACTTTGAAAATGACAGAAAAGTCAGACACCTGCCTCGTCTTGGTAACCTGCCCGTTGTGGCGGAGGCCACCGAACCAACGCAACAGCTACGAAGACAAGCCCAACTGTTAGCGTCTGTCGTCTCCTATCCCCAACGCCGCTAACGTGCATCAACACCGCCTCCATCTGCAAATGCCGTCCTGCCGGCACGCCCGGGCTGCCGTGGAATACTATGTACCTGTAGGGCGACTGCTCTTATGTCAGCGGCAAAAGGTCCCCCGGGATCGTACACAGCTGAAGTCAGAAACAATCTTCTCGGTCCCAGCATCTGGGAATGCTACGTTTCGACCAAGATGCACAACAGGGCTGAGGAAGCCTGTTCACTGCCCCGGTCATCCTCTTCGTGGTACCGGAGGTCACGACAGCCGCCGCAAAAAGATCAAGTTCCCCCATTTCTTCGCCAGCTTCCTGGTGTCTGGCGACTCGAGCCCTGGCTCTGATCACTTGTCGATGACAGCGCCCAGCCAAGGTCCTGCGTCGAGAGACACCTCAGTCCGTCCAACTTCTCCACCGCCGTTTTCCCCATGCCCAAATTCAGACGCCGCCCAGCAAACCAGCGCTCGAGCAGCCCGGGGTTGCGGAGGCGCCTCTCAATAAACCAGGCGGAACGGCACCGCGTCCGATGGAACGATTCTGTGCGTCGGCGTCCGTCTCAGCCCACTTTCCACCTCCACATGGGCTTCGCTTCTCCGGGACTAGCGCCGTCAGGTCGGTCCGATAAGGCACTTGGCCCTGCTGCACCCTGCCTCTTTTTCTTCAGCACATCGCCAGCACTCCGGGGGGCAGCAGCTGCATGCAAGGCTGACGGACAGCTGCTTCATTCACTTCTAGCGGAACGCCTCCGACGTTTCCCACCAAATCCTTCACCGCCGTCATCCGCAAGGCGCGGACGGGGGAAACTACACAGCGGTCATTGTTTTATTGTTCGCAAACACGGCTGGAAATGGTTTGGTTCATGGCGTTTTGTTCTGTTCCAACGTTTTTCGTACGGAGGATTCCGCTGCTGAGGTCGACAGAGTTCGGAGTTTGACGTGCCCGAGCGCGTGGTTAGACTTTTGCTTCCATCTCATCTCTGATGCGGTTTCACCAGACAGCAGCGTCTTCGGTGTTTGCAGGCCTCGTCGGCGTTTAGAACTGCATACCCGACTCTCCGCCGGCAATCCGGCTATCCAGAGATGAAACACCAAGTCGGTTACCATCACACATCACGCACTGTCCAGGGAGCAAGCACCAAGCAGGCTGCGAACATTTCGAATAACTTGATTGTTACAGCCCAACTGCCGACTAACCACACCGGACAGGAGGAAGCAAGGTCCCGATCCAAACTCCATGTTCCCGAAAACGCCAAGTACCCATGATCCTAACCCAAGAGTCCTCGTACAACGTCACGGCCTTCCAGCCTTACAAGTCCTCAACCGACCCATACGAGGCCTGGCAGTTGCCCTTGCACCTCTTCGGGACATATCTCACAGTCGCCGCGCAGTTGTTCGCATCCCCGTGCTCCCCAAGCTCGCTCGCAGGAACGAACTGTCCAGTCTGCAGACTGCCCTTGAGGTAGTAGCTGTACCACGCCTCGTGGAGCACATCCCTCCCGCGCCCCGAACACCGGAGCACCACCCTCCCCCCGCTCAGCCTCTCGAGCGTCTTGGTCACGTCGGCGAGGGCGTACTTCTTCTCGCGCGAGGGCACGATGCCGGCCTTCTCGAGCGCCGTGAAGGTGTCGAGCTGCTTGAACAGGGCGAAGGCGCGGGTGAAGTAGTCCACGACCTCGACGCCCGCGTCGTACGAGTCGCCGTAGCACGACGTCGCCAGGGTGTTGATGCACGAGGCGTGCTTGTTGTATTCGTGCGCCCAGAGATGGTTGTTCCCGCCGCTGTGATGGGAGAGCGTCGTGTTAGTTCATCGCCATCGCTAAAAGACCAGGGGTGGACATACTACGCCGCGACCCAGTACCTCTCCATCGAGGCCAGCAAATCGTCCTGGCCGTAGTGCTTCAGGATATCCGTGATGTTGTTGAAATGCGGCGTCATGCCGCAGAAAGCCTTGTAGCTCCCATCACACAAATCGGGCCTGTTGATTGATGTGTCCATGTCGTCAGTGCATTCCATCCCATCCACAAACGCATGACGAGACCCCCGTCCGCTCGCAAAAAGCCAATTCCCATCATCGAGCAGCCCCTCAACTCCCAGCCGCAAAACATCGAGGCCATCCACAAAGGGGAAATAAAAAGAGAGAGAGGGAGAAAGAGGACATACCATAATCCGTGAACAGTCCAATCCTCCTCCGCCCCGCCCGCGTGCACCGCGTCGTCCCAGAACTGCGTGAGCAGGATCCGGCCGGAAGGCGCGACGAAGCAGCACGAGTCGACGGCGCCGCCGGGGGTGTGGCAGCTCGTGGGGCCGTCGATCGGGCAGGTCGGCGCGCCGGAGAGGGGTTCGTAGGGTGTTACGGAGATTGTTGTTGTCGAGGGAGAGGTGGAGGTGGAGAGGGGTGTCTGGGTGAAGGGGAGGAGGCGGAGGAGGGATTTGAAGGATGGTGCCATCTTTTTCTCCGTTGTGTTCGATCTGGTGAAAATGAGGATGGTATTGTGATGATGGATATGGATGTAGGAGAGGTGGTTGAGGAGAAGAGGTTGATTGAGGAGGAGTGGTGATGGGAGCTTGGAGGTTGAGAACGAGGCGGAGCTATGTCTGGGGAAGACCTAGGGATTCTGCCGTGTCATGTGGGGGCGTTTGCGGGTGTGATTGGGTCACCGCTTTCAAGGGACGGGATGTGATTGGGTGGGTTGGGGTCGGGTGTATGCAGGGGAGGGGGGCGGCGATCGCGGGGTGTGGGGCTGTGACGTTTGTTGGTTTGGGGGCATGGGTTTGCGTCGTGACTCGTGTGAAGTTCGCTGATGGGGGAGCTTGATGGGGTGGTTTGGGGTTGAGGAGTGGAGGGAAGATCTAGTTCTTCTGGTTTTATCTCTCGCTGGTTTACTGCTTGTTCTCTACACATCTTGGGGCATCATAATTGGTGTTCTGGACATGATGATTGCACAGTTCATTTTAAACTGAGCGTCTTTTAAGCTCTCTTCGTTTCAAGTTGGATGTCATTCTACGGCTGAGATGAAGACCACGGACATTGGTTTTGTAGAGAAAAATAACTCTTTTCACCAGGATCTCTAGTCTACGTATTTTTCAGATTGGAATCGTGTAGTATAGCGGAAGTTGGATTGTGCTGAGACCGACAACATCGTACCATGTACACCTTGGCGGCCGAGCCTGTCTCACACGGTTTATCTCGTACTAGTACTCTCATTGAGCCTACGTAGGTGGCTGTACTCTTTAGGTCACTGAAGGAAGCCTATTAGGCGTTTTCGTTGGATCAAGTATCTCGATATATGTTATATTGCGTGCTCTGTTTTTGGCGAGTTTGTCGGGCATTTTCAGCAGAACCAGATCAACTGCACGGGGCAGGATGACATGAAGGCGATTTGTCTTGGTGTGAGATGCTTAGGGTCTCAAAAGGCACCGTATCTCTAACCCTGCCAGTAGTTATTTTTAGCGATCAAATGTCCAACCAGAATGTCTATCTTATTCCAAAAGAGGACAACGCAAGTCACTCACAGACAGGCTGAGACGTTTCCAGATGGATGCCGTTGAATCCAACCAAATTCACCGCAGGCATATCTGCCTATGAGAATGAGCAGCTGGTGCCAAGATGGACACATACTCTAGCGATCAAAGGGATAGATATGCCAGGCAAGCTTTTCTGGCGAGTAATCTTTCTGCATCCAACTCCCCTCATTATCTCACCCCTCCTAGAATTGTACGAGCATGTATGTTACCTTTCACGTGCACACACGAACCAACGATCCCACAAGCCTCCACCATGTCGGCTAATTCTACAGACTCGTATACGGAACTGCAGACTTTGAGGAGCCCCGGATCTTCCACCCGCAGCCCTTGTCACGATTCGACGCTCGCTTGTCGTCTCTCCGAGACGGAAGGTCTCGTCAGAAACCGCAACTCCTATCAAGACGAAGTCGACGTTAGTGGCGACGATGACGGCGTGACTGATATCGACCGCGATGCAAACTTTGACACTTGCTCCGAAACAGGGTCACAGGGAGAGATCTTCCACGAAGTTTCACTCAACGAACAGGGTGCACGCGGCGATGTCGTCCACGGGGATGCCATCTGCGAGGACTTTACCTACGAGCGTCATGAGGTTGACGAGACCGTCCCCGAGAGCTCGGTGGAGGATACGGCGCCTCCCGGTGATAAGAACGAGCCTGCGGCTCATCTCGACCCCGGGAGTACCGAGGCTCCAACCTGGCGACCGACCTGGCTGCGAGTTGAAGCCCTTGTGACCTTCACCGGCATATTCCTTGCCATTACCATTGCTGTGCCTATTCTTCTTTGGTATTCCGAACGGAACAATGGTATTACGGAATCTCGAGAGACATTTGTGTATGTCTGGCGGTTTGGTCCAACGGCAGGTGCGTCTCATGAAGAGCCTCAGCTGATGCGTGGTCGCTAACATTTGAGGCAGTCCTGACGCTAATTGCGGCCTTTTGGGGAAGAGTAGAGCTCCAAGCCATGAGATACACACCCTACATCATCCTGAATGCCCACCGGGAATCGCTCAGCGAGAAGGACTACACCCTAGACTATATGTCGATGTCGTTTCCAAACGTTATTATCCATTCAATACGGCGAAAGCATCATCTCGTATATCTCACCGCTATTGTCTCGCTCCTTCTCAAGGCCCAAATCGCACTTATATCTGGTCTGCTCAGCCTCGCCGACAATCCCCACAGCAAAGTAGACGTTAGAGTCCTAGATTCGTTCAACTCAAGCGCCAATGTCCCGGCAACGCCGCATGGGAACGTGTTTTACATCGCACAAGGGATTCAGCACTATGATTTGAACTACCCCTTCGGAGTCACTGAGTCGATTGCATATCAGACTTTCGAATTGGAAGACGGCCGTGCCGGTCGTCTCAGGGGCAGTATCGACGCTCCTTTGAAGCTTCTTGTGGACGGCTTCCAATCGGAATTCCAATGCCTCAAGTTGGAGAATTACTCGGGGACGCTAAGCATGGACGTTGACGACGACGACGGCCTGGTCTTCGCCACGATCGACATGGATCTTCATTTCGGCGGGTGTGGAAGCGTTCTGCGCGGTTACGCAGCAACGATGTTTGAGGAAGGGCTTGTCAGGACCAGATTCATGGATCAAAAAAACGTAAGAACGAAGTCCCAAGCATGCCCAGAACTACCGCAACAAGACAAGCAATTCATGATCATCACGGGGATCGCAGAGCGGTCCGAGGATAGCTCCTCCGCGAAGCTTACATCGGCTGCTGGCGTCATCTGTTCGCTAAGCTCATGAGTATCCATCGTAGAAGTTGTGGATGACGGAACCAGCCCAACTGTCACCCCGCTGCCTGGGCAGCCAAGACAGTTCGTAGGTGCGGATATCTGGGAAATGATCACGGATGTGGTCCCTAGCGAGCCCATGGGGTTTTTGAACCCTTTCGGTGGCGTACGTACCATTGGATGGGAGAATAATGACACCAATTTGGTGGAACCTGTGTTTTATGACAGCAACGCCCTTTCCGACACGATTGAAAGCTACGCATCCAACATGAGCTCTCTAGTAGGGCACTACTTTTTGAGACAACAAGCGAACTACACGATAGAGGCCTCGAAGTTCGTACCCCTCAGTAAGCTTAAGGTCACTCCTGGAGTTTCTTTCTACATCACAGCAATATCAGCAACAACGTCAATTTTGACAGCTTACGTCACGTACATCTTCCACAAGCGTAATTGTCAAAACAGCGCCTGGATCCGCAATCCAACGACTATTTTGGGAAATTTCTTGCTTCTTCATGGACAGAAACCAAGTTGCGGTGAAGCTTGCAGTTCCATTGGCACCGACTCAGCAACTTCTTGGACCAAGGGAAAATCTTCGCCCATCGTAATGCGGTACTGGGTTCAAGCTTTGGTAGCAGTCTGGGTCGTCAATGCCATGTATTGGCTCATATTCAACGAGAGACACTATGATGTGATTGATCGGCTGACTCCAATCCGCAACGGCAACGAGGACCGCATTCTTCTTTTGTGGACATCTATGATTACGTTGACTGTGCTAAGTATATCTCTGTACGCAAGTGCCCGCAGTACGGTGCATCGGTCTCATTGTACCCTCTGGCTTCTCTCCTCAAGGACCTGCAACTTTCGAGAGATCGAACAGTCATTTCTCGATGTGCTAGGGATACGCGCATTATACAGGTCCATTCTTTCAAGGGCTTATAGCGTCAGTGTATCACAGTTGCTCGCCTTTGCCTGTGCTCTTTTGCCGACCTTAGCTTCTATTCTCTTGCGCGTAGACGTCTCGCCAGAAACTCAGCCTCAACGACTGCACCAGTTAACCAACCTCATTCCCAAAACGAACAATTGGACCAGAGATGATCTGGTCAGTTTGCAGACGACTGTCCGTGTCCTCCTGACGCTCCGAGACGACGATAACTTCACATACCCTGACAACACTTATGAAGATCTTGTGTTGCCAGTCTTAAGCCATGGAGGCAGTTCCAATGAGTCGGCAATAGTTTCGGCAGAAGCCCTGATACCAGCAGCAAGACTAGAGCCTGTCTGTCATAGAATCTACGACGTCGAATTCAACCTGTCTGCAACCACTGATGTGCTGCCAGATGAGCTGCCAGGTGCAAAGAATTACCGCGAGGAAAAGGACCTCATGATTTATAACCTCTACAAGCAACCATTTACCTGCCCGAACGGAACTCAAATTCGTCCAGAGGACATAGTCGTGGGCCAGCGTTTTGCGCGACTGAATGATTCGGCGGAATACGCCTACATTGGGACGAGATCTCCATTACTCTTGGCTAAATGCATCACGGAACCGCTTCATGACATTAACTACACGCAGTACTTTGCTGAATTCTCCGAAAATTCAAATCAGACTTCAATGCGAACTTACTACGTCTGGGGAGCATATTCGTGGGCTCGAAGCAGCCTCGAGTCTTTGTTCGTATGGCAATGCGATTACGCCTGGGCCGAGATAAACGCTCAAGCGTCCCTGTTGCTTAGTGACGGCAAATGGACGATAGATTCGACGAGACCGCCAGTTCCCGACCCTGGGACGTCGAAACCTTGGTCCTCGTTACTCCACGTACATCAACTCATATATTGGGATCTTTATCCTTCGATCGAGCCCACTGATTTACCATCAGCGGGTTCCGATGTAGGTGAAGAATTTGGCGTTTTGCTGCAGCCTTTTGGAGAGGTTTCTTTGGAGGCTTTGGGCGATCCAGGACAACAGCAGAGGGTACTTCGAGGCCTGAACCGGAACATCGGCATTGCCGCTGCACAGGTTGCAAGCCTTTACAGCCGAACATACATCAACGAAACCTCCGAAAGCGTCGCACAAATGGAACTCCCAGAAGTTACAGCAACAATAACGTACAAATCCCGTTACTGGATTACCCAGAGTACGCCGGTCACATACACCATCACTGGCATCCTCAGTGCGGTCCTGCTGGTCAGCTTGTGGAGCCTCATTTCAACACTCGTCCGGCACTTTGGAAGAGTGGAAAAGAGCCTCCTTCTGGATATGAATGTTGAAAATCTCGTACCGCAAAGGTTTGAAAGTCTTGCAGCCACTACCAGTTTGACACGCGCTTCGAACATCCCTTCTTTCTTACCTCAGGATGCCAATTCAATGACCTCAACGGAGCTTCACGTTGCGCTTTCTGGGTTGGGTTTTCGCATGGGCTGGTTCGAGAGCAGGAAGGGCCCAGAGGCAAGCAGATATTTCACTGTTGGTGTTCTGGGAGACGAAGACTTCGTGTTTCTGGGCAGCAAGGGAGACATGAAGGGAGAAGAGATGCTAGAAAGCCAAGGACATTCGGCGGAAGGAAGAAGCAGTGGGTACGACGCTGGACAGACAAGGAGAAACGGGACTCGCCCCGAGGAAGCTGAGGGAGTCTCTTGGGAGTTGACTCCTATCACTGCTAACGGCCGTTCATGACCGCGAACGGCATCAATACGGTCCACGACAACTTGAGTGATGATGGTAAACCACGAAAAGTACACAAATCTTCACCCCAATTGTTTGCTCATACTGCTCAATTCAACAGCTACCTTACAGTTACCAATTTAAACAGTTGACCAAGCCCTAGCAGATAGATCACAAATGCTTACTCCCAAAACTTTGGTCCCAGGTAGGCGGTAAACGCTGCATCATCTCCGTCTCCAGCAGAAACAATTGATGCCATGTTGTGGATACCTGGATCTCTCTTGTCACCACTGTTTTGGACCAGTCAGTTACCGTCACATGGAGTAATGGAGGCTCTCTCAGTGGAACTTCTGAAAGAGCTTCCGCTGCAGGAATAATACTTACAACACGCTTTGAACCGCAGCTTCCATATCGTAGTCCCCCATCCCCTGCGACTCTAACAACCGCTGGTAGCGCCGTACGATCCCGGGCTCGTCGCGCGCGTATTGCCACACGGGCACGTACATCTTAACGATCGGGACCTCATTGCCTGGCACCAGCTCAAAGGTAGGGTTGATTCCGCAGTACTTGCTATCCGGCTCCCGAAGCGGCTTTCGCAAGGTCTCCCTCTCGGCCAGAGGAACGTCTTCCATATCCATAAGCAAAGGCCAGAGAGACGGCAGAAACTTGGGTGAGGGAATGCGGCCGCCTAGGGTGGCGATGTGACGGGCTGAGGCGAGAGAGTTGATGTGTGTGTGGGCGTAGACCTTGAAGCGAGGCTTCATTTGAGGCCCCGAGCAGTCGATTGCGAGGAAATGTATGAGGTTATCCTTGCCGTCGGTCGTTAGGAACTTTCGGAGCATTGTCCAGGCCGCAAGCAGCGCCTTATCACCATCGGCAAGTCTTGTCAGAATGGATTCGGTGAGATCCATCATGTCCTGACCTGTGGCGAGAGCCTTCAACTGCGGGAATAGATACAACTTCATATTGATGGACGGGCTACCGTCGTTGACGGGTTCCAGGTCGAACGCAACGAAAGCATTTTGCTGCGGCAGCTCACCAGCCGGTTTACCACTACTAGCGTGCTTCTCAGCTAGGCTGGCCTGCTCGTCATCAGTCAGGAAGACTGCGTCGATAAAGGTATCCACACGCTTGCGGTCTGCATGGCATGCGTCTGCCAGACCCTCGAGCTTCTTGCGTAGATCCACCTGCCCTAGGGGGTCGTTGCCCGCAGAGCTATTCGCCAGTGGCTGCACTGAAAACCGCACTTTGGCCTTCTTATGAGGTGCAAAGGCGATGCTGAGCTCGTAAGGCGCATGATCGTGCGTCCCAATATAATGAGGCCAGTCGGCCGCGCGCGGCGGGTTGAGGCGAGGGACCACGACCTCACGCGCAAAGTTGAGGTAGTACTCCTGCAACTTATCTGAGTAGCAACCCGTCCAGCGGAGGAGCGAGGAGAGAGTTCTGTCGACGGTTGGAAGCCATGATGAGACGAGGGATTTCCCTTGGGAGCTTTCTTTAATGGCAAAGGAGTGATCGACTCTGCTGTAGACGTTGTGAATATTCTTCGTGGCACTATTGGAATCGTGGACAATGCTAGACTGGTATGTTTCCGCCATGTTGAGGGTTGTTGACGAGCACAATAGTACCTCAAACAGCCCGGTAGCAGCACAGTTTGCGGTGCTTATTTACTTTTAAATGATCATCTCGTCTCTTTGAGCATTTACTAGTTTTGCCGAAGGTTGTGTTATGCTAGACGGTTGTTCGTGGATTGTATGCCGGCGAAGCCGGAGATCTCGCGACTAGTTGCCTGTTCCAGAAGGACTCGGAATTGGTCGACAGCGAAAGAAATTGATTCGTCAGAAACTTAACTCTCTAGAAGCAAAGTTCTTTCGGAAAGCAATTAGAAATTAGGTACGGGCCCAGACCTTGGTGCGCACAAGCCATACTAATCAACATCAAGGCCCTGAGAGTCAAGATAACATGGTTGTTTGCCACATGTGAAACTGAAATACACAATGGCATCTTACCACACCGTTCTTCGTCCCATCCTAAGCCGGGCTGATTAGTTTGGACTAAAAGTCTGAGATACCCTGCGAGAAGCTCCTGATGCGGAGTAGAACCAATCAACATACACCGAGCGGGATGCATTCCATCCGTACTAGCCAAACCCTAATAGCCGGAGGGCTCCGTTCCTGAAGTTGACGTCGATACATTACCAACTTAATGGCTCAAACCTCATGAGGCCCTCGAACGGCTTCATATAGACAGCCCGAGAAAACAGTATCCTCGGTAGCTCTTGGGGCTGACGTTCTCGCTGGCAACTTAACACATTTATTCGAATTCTTCTGGAACGAAATAGAACCGTAGCCACGGTGAACACGCCCTTGGGAATTGAGTTGCGGCGATCGTGGGATACCGGAACTTCGTGGGAATTCATAGCCTAGAAGCGCCAAACCTAACACAGAAGTACCACGACCTTTTCACTCCTCCTCCTCCATCCTCTTCGACCTCCTTCATAGCACCCCCCTCACTCTCAAGAAACCCGTCCGGATCACATACCTTTTCAAGACTAGATTTCTGCTTATATACCCAAGCCCAGGCGACTGGATTTCTTATTATAGGCCATCATCCATTTGGGCGATCATGGGTAAGCGGGAAATGAACATGCCAAAGATGTGACAAGAAAAAACTTGATAGTTTCACACGAGTTACTGTTATCATTATTGGCTGGAACACGAGTACGACCAAACTGACTCTCGGAGACGAACCGCCGCTTCCGCCCTGCGCTGACTCTCGGAAACGATCCACCACCACCACCATCGGAGACGATCCGCGGGCTCCGAGCTGCGCCGACTCTCCATTAGCTATGAGGAAGGTTATTCGCAGACTGGCGTGCAAAAAGCATGAGCCGTTCATCATTGTCCGATGTTGCTCCGTGGGAAACCCTCACACCAACATAGTTTTGCACCCCATCCTGCTACACAAGAGTTTCTCGCCACACACAGTGCGTGGTTGGCGATAAAGGGTTCAGGAGGCCAAAGAAACAGCCATCCTCCCACCGCGCAGCGCGGTTTCTGTGGCTTGCTTACTGTGTTCGATGTGACTCAGTGGGATATCAGGCTACGATATGGGTGCTTTCCCAGCCACAATAATTCTAGGTACAAGACTAGACTGATGGATAGGAAAGCGAAAGCATTGTAGGAGAAGGGAGTGAATGCGATGCTTTCGATATCAGTCTAACGCGAGGTCTCGTACCAAGCCTGGAGCATCTTCTCACATACTGTACAGTCTCAACCGACAGCAATCACAGCCTGTGGCCTCCGGGAAGGCTACAACTCAATCTGTAGTCATGATCCATTCTCGATTCCTATTTGCTAGTGATCAACCATGACGCGTCGCGAACTTCGCAGCACGTATCATTGGTCAGCCAGCCAACGACGATGAGTTGCCTGATCTCCAATCCATTGAAATCACCATGGGATGAAAACACAGCAGACTCTCGTCTTCCCCGTTCAGTCCCGCCGTTGCGGTCGCGCGGGCATCTTTGCGCTTGAAATTTCCTCGTCCTCGGCGCCTGGCATTTCAGTACGCGTAGCTACGTATCCATTGCAGACCAGATCCCGTGGTGTGCCTCCTTCATCATCCGCTAGGACGAGAAAGGCTAGCCATATACTCTTAACTTCGCCCGACAACAGCTTTACTACTTTCAGCTCCTTCTGCTGCAGCTGAGATTCCTTGTCTGCCGGAGGCAGTGCCGTCACAATAAAGCAGCTATCTAACGGCCACGTGGTATTTGCTCCATGGGGATCATTTCATGTTAGTTGGATTGTTTAATGACCATGTGTATCCAAATCGATAAGAGCATCCAGTAGTTCGGCGTCTCAAACATAGACAAAGAACACATAGCAAAGACAAAGCTGGTTTAACTCTTTAGTACAGCCTCTGGATATGCTGCCAGCAATCAAGCAACAAACTTACCAGTTAGCTAAGTTGAGACTTCAACATCATACAATAGTCAGCCAGCACCTAGTAAGCCACTTCTACAAATATTTCATTGATCACAAGTTTAGTAAATCTATCCCCATGCGTTCTCTATCGCTCAAGAGATATTTTACATAGCACAGCGCAAACAAACATTTCCTGTGAGGGGTTCACCACAGCTAGCGCGCCTAGCAGCCTTTCAACGTCAGTGCCTATAGAGAAATTTATTAATTAGAATTCGCGTGTATTGAGTGCTGTTAAACAGATCATTAGGCCTGCAATCATTCTGATTCGCTTCCTGGGAACTGAACTTGAGGCTGGAGGTAGCATTGAGCGCTGGATGGCCGCATGACCGTTCCGAAAGTTCGTTTCTTCGAGTAGCTCGGCCGATGTTATGGCCCAGGAACTCCTTAAATATGGCCAAGCCAGCTTTAAATGACAATACAAGTATGTTGGATCTGACGTCTAATGTTGGCCTCCATCATACAACGATCAATAGACTCGCTTAGCACATATATATCCGCTCTCAAATTCTCATAGTCCGTCAATACTACAGATTAAATCTCTACGAGGCTATCTCAAGCTGTCGTTAGATCCTTTAACAGGATGCTTAGTTCGTTGCGAGTGGGTTTTAATCTGTCCTTTAGCTTGGCAATCGACTTTTTAACCTCTTCTAATTTGTCTCTTTATGTCTTATTGATACTAGAAAGTTTCACAGCAGTCCCCTTATGCTTCTTATTCTCAGCCATAGCTGTTAACACATCTTTGCCGAGTGACTTGATTTCTTCATTTGCTGTTCTAGTTTCCTGCACCTTTTCCAGCTTCTCGTAAGTTGCTGTTTCATTTTCCAGAATCTTATTGCGCTGAATATTTTATTTCTCGATTTTCTTCTCGATCCTCTTCTTCTTAGCATTCCAACCCACAACTAGCTGCGTCAACTTCTCGAGGTTCATGTCTTTTTATAGGCGGTCTTCGTGCCCGTCGTGCTCCGTGAATATACAGCCTTGTGATCCTGGAGACTCTAATTGACGCAGAACCTTCCAATACGAGAAATGAAGTCGTTAAGAATATTTTTGGGTTCCTAGCCATGGGCAGGTGGACCTGTCTTTGATGTGTTGTGATTCCTTGTTGAAGCGGCGAAGCCACAATAACGGCGGCAAATGGGGTTTTGATCTGCCAAGAGACTATGAGGACACTCTTTAGGCCTATTAATATCTAAAGGTGGCCTAGATCGGTGAGAGACCCATGTCATGCTGACATGATACGGTCTCGGCAGCTCACTTTCGCTGATTCGCCAGTGATGCGCTCCGCATCAGGCTGGCGGCTACAGAATCATGAATACTTGCTCCTTTTTCTTCTTGACTGACGGTCGAGCGCCAGAACGCACTTCGCTTTCTCTCTTCCACTTTCGAGGCCAAATGGCAAATGCTGAGAGTCGGTGTTTGTTCCAAGCCGATTGGGGTCGTTTGTATGACAGTTCTCTATTCTTTCGTGGGCCGACATCGATTATATCATCTCAACCGACTCTCCATCGAACCATTTGATGATTCAGATCCTTAGTCAAGATGACGAACCGACTGCAGCATGGCGACTACAGGGTGGCATGGATATGTCCTATGGAGGTTGAGCAAATTGCTGCGGAGGAGATGCTGGATGAGGAGCACGACGACCTGCCACAATCAGAAGCAGATCACAACGTTTATAAGCTCGGGAGCATAAACGGGCACAACATCGTCATCGCTGGTCTGCATGAGACGGGCAATTGCTCTGCAGCCGCCGTCGTAACGCAGATGCGAATGACATTTCGAAAGCTCAAGTTCGGATTGCTTGTCGGCATTGGTGGCGGCGTTCCAGTTGCCACAGACTGCGGGATGATTCGTCTAGGCCATGTTGTGGTTAGCAAGCCCGCTGGCGCGCATTCCGGTGTCGTTCAGTACGACCACGGGAAAGCCATCAGCGAAGGTCTGTTCGAGCGGACTGGGTCTCTCGCACCGCCACCAGCTGTGCTTCTGAATGCGGCACGACAGATGGGAGTACAGCGCAAAAGGGCTAAAGGCAAACGAGATCCGATCTTAGAAAACGTCAGTCGAATCGATCCAAAACACCCTCCTTTTCGACAGTTCGGTTTTGAGTACCCCGGCGAGGAGAACGACTTTCTGTTTCCATCGGGTCACCGCCACCAACAACAAGGAATTTCCTGTGAAGCTGGTGGATGCGATCTTTCCACGCGTGTTCTGAGGTTGGAGGACACAGATAGGACCTTCGTGACGGTACATATGGGCAATATTGCTTCAGGAGAGCGCGTGATCAAAGACGCAACACTTAGAGATGGGCTTGCAAAGCAGTACGGACTATTGTGCTTTGAGATGGAGGCAGCTGGAGTTTCTTTTAACTTCCCCTGTTTGACTATTCGCGGTATTTCTGACTATTGCGATTCTCACAAAAATGATCGGTGGCGTGGCTACGCAGCAGCCGTTGCTGCTGGATATACCAGGCAGCTTTTCTTTCACATGCCCGTTGAAGAGGTGCAACGGGTGCAGCTGTAAGAGTTCTTTTTATTACGAGTACAACCTCATAAAATCATGTATCTTAGCTGATGATAACTAGACCAACCTCATTCACACTTGCTTTCCAATTATCGGGAGTTCATAGTGTGGAGACCTTCATCTCCAGAGAAACGGAGCTGATGCGCATGCACGAACTTCTGAAGGGACCCCGAGACCGCCGCATCGTTGTTCTGCACGGATTAGGCGGCATGGGCAAGACCCAGAAAGCGGTACAGTATGCGAAACGGCATCGCGAAGAATACTCTGCTGTCATTTGGCTCAATGCAAAAGATGTCACGTCTCTCCAACAAACCTTTCACAGAGCTGCCCGGAGAATTTTGAGCGAGCACCCAAGCGTGGCATATCTGCAGACCGCTACAAGTAATCAAGATCTCAATCGTTCAGTGGAGGCCGTTCTCAAGTGGTTGAATGAGAAGGGAAATGATCGTTGGTTAATCGTCTATGATAATTACGACGCTGTCAAGTTTGACGGGGACGACTCCTCAAGCCAGATGACTGTGAAAGACGAAACTAGAACGGGTCCTGATGCCAACGAAACCGACTCGAACTCTTACGATATCCGCCCATACATCCCTGAAGCTTTTCACGGCGCTATCATCACGACGCGTTCGTCAACAGTGGATCTGGGCCATCTCATCCGACTTCCAAAGTTAGAAGACGTCAACGACAGTTTGGCGATCCTAGCATCAACGTCCCAGAGAGAAAGGTTTAGCCAGGGTAAGTTGGCAAAGTTAGCGAAGCAGTCGGAATCACTCACTAAAATGGAGCAGAACCTGATGCTCTTTCTCTTGCACGCAAGCTCGATGGCCTTCCACTTGCTCTCGCGACCGCTGGGGCTTACCTCCGCCAAGTGTCAGTGACTTGCACCGAATACCTCGAGGACTGGGACAAGTCGTGGCTGCAACTGCAAGAAAATACACCGCGACCAAGAACTTACGAGCAAAAAGCATTGTACTCGACTTGGAACATTTCGTACCAATATATTCAGCGGAAGAACGACGATGCCGCCGTGCTCCTTCGACTATGGGCGTACCTCGATAACGAATATCTGTGGTATGAGCTTCTCAGTGCATGTGAGAAACAGTCAGACGCACCAGTCTGGCTACAGCGTATCACAGCAGCCAAGTTTGACTTCCACAAGACCATGAGAACTCTTTGCGAATACGGATTAGCGGAAGCAAGCCCTCCCACGAAAGAGCCTGGACCAGATTCCCGAGGTTACAGCGTGCATGAATGTGTTCACGCCTGGATAACACATGTGTTGAACGTGGAGGTGGACACGGAGATGGCCTACCAGGCTATCAAATGTGTCTCATGGCACGCCCCAACTGACGAGGAGCCTGAGTACTGGGTCTTACAACGACGTCTTGTTCGACACGCCGACAGATGTTTCAGAACAGCAGTCAGGAAGAACGAAGCAGAAGCTGACGCAGAGACCAAAGAAGCGTGATCTTACTATAATTTGGCACTGTTCTATAAGGCACAGGGCCGATTTGAGGACGCAGAGACTTTGTATCGACGGGCAGTCCAAGCTGGATCGAGACTTTTCGGTCCGGATTCCAAGTTCATACTTGACGTGCAGAACAACCTGGCCGAAATGTATACGCACCAAGAACGTTTCGAGGACGCCCAAAACATCTGCGAGAAAGTTCTTCAAGCCAATGAAAAAGCAAATGGCCCCAATGATTCGCCAGACTTTGACTTAGTCCAAAATTTGGCAGGTCTCTACGCCGAGTCAGGTCACTTCGAGAAAGCCGTGGCCATGTACAAGCGGGCTGTAGAAGGATTTGAATCGGCACGCGGACCTGACGACATCACTACCTTGGAGACAATCGACAACCTTGCTACGGTCTACCACGAACAAAACCGATTGGAAGAGGCAAAGGCCATGCATGAGAGTGCCCTCAAAGGCAAAGAGAATTCTCCTCGTATAGGGCCGAAGCACACTTCGACACTAAAATCAGCAATTCTGCTAGGCAACGTCTACAGTAGTTTGAATCAACCCGAAAAGGCGGAGTTGATGTATAAACGTGCTGTTGAAGGGCTTGAAAAAAACCTTGGACCGGAGCACTACGACACTCTTCTAGCTGTCGGCAATCTGGCGGTATTATATCAGGACCAGGGACGTTTGCAAGAAGCAGAGGTGATGCACCTACGGGAGATTGAAGCTCTCGAGGCACGCCCAGACTCAGATCGGTTGACAAGGTACTTTGTCTCATTGCAGAACTATGGTTCGCTACTTGCAAAGCTAGGCCAAACGGACAAAGCGATCTCCTACTACGAGCGAGCACGGTATGGCTTTGGACCGCAAAACCCTCGTCACAAGAAATTGTCGGACAGGATAAGGAGTTTGCAGTCTCCAGGCGCATCAAACGGCAAAGGATATCTCAGCGTTCATGGGCTGTGGTGGATCTTTGCAGCTTTACTTGGAGTGTTAGGTGCGTTTGCTCTGAGATGGGGAAACTACTGGTTTGGGTTCGAATTTAATTAGGCTATTGCTCAATGATGAGATGTGGTTTCTCATGGCTGGAGTTTTTTGATTATTTCTCTTTCAAGGTCTATGAATGTAACATTTGTTATGATCAGCTTGTAGAAGAACGCATATTCTTCGCATATGAACGTTACGGCGCTATCCAATGCAAACACAGCAGCTATTTGCCTCGTTGAAAAGAGGTTGCTGAGCCATAGAGAGTTGAGTCGGTTACATTCGAGATTTTTGAAGGATATCAAACAATGTGAACGGATGTTTACTAGTGCTGGAATTTTCTCATGTGAGCTTCAGATGAAAATTATAATTACCATCGAGAATGCAGTACTGAATATTATCGAAGATGATTCTACTAGTTTGTTGCCTTCGTATAAGGCAAGGCTTGAGCCCACACGTACTTTGGATCCAAAAGTGACATGTCACCGAGAGTCTTCTTGCTGACTTGAACTTATCAAATTTCCGCTTGGGTAAGAAATCAAAGTAGGTCACTTTGCCATATTTTTTTCTAAGTTTCTAAGCCATTCTGACACCCACCTCGAGCTTCTTTCGTACTGGAGGTCATTGAGACTTTCTCGTAGTACTCTGCATTGAATCCCGCATGAGACTGCTCAACGGCAGTGCACGGAAACGCCAGTCGATTGGAGCACTCATTGACTTAGAAGGCGAACAGGAAGACTTGGCGTTTTTCGTATTGAAGGAAGTAGGATATGAAAACAAATCAGATGTTCAAAAATAACCTGCGCGAAAATGAACAGTAAAGATGGTGTTGGTTGAAATGAAAAAACAACGGGGCAGACGGGCAGACGGAATTCGAGCTGGAACGCCCCGTATGAGCTTATCACTGTTATCAACAACAGAATGTTATTGGAAATGATCATGGTACTCGCAGGGCGGCGATTTCCACATAAAAGGTGAAGGAAATGGTACATAGCTCATCTTGCCTTGAGAATTTCGGGTACATCTATCAAACAATGGTGGATCAAGCACATACTCCAAGTCCGCAGACTATTCCAAGTTCTCAGTCCTCAGAATCGTGACCTTGTCCGTCCAAGATTTGAAGTGCTCAGAAGGTAAAAGTTCCAATAATCAAAGCTCTGGGCCGTGTTGTGGTCCTCGCTTTCGGTATTCTTGGAATGCACAGCAAGCCGCTCACAAGCCAAGAAATCTTGCAGCATGGACATTGTTTCAGCTGATACGAGATGCAGATTGAAATAGAGAGAAAATCTTCAAGTTCGTACAATTACTTTTCGCTTCAAGACAAAGCAAATCCAAATCCATCTTTGAATTTCGAACATGGACTGCTCTGTGGCTGTCGGTTGGCGCCGACCGGCTGGGCGGAGGTGATCCACTCAAATCTCCACTTCAGACCGGGCGGGGTCCGCCCTATCGGGCTCGGGCCGCTCTCCCCGCCCGGCCCGACAGCCTCTTGAGACATCGTCTTGTCTCCCTCCGCGGGGGAGGATTCTGACATGGACCTCCATCCAGACCGTGCTACATTCCAATCTTGTGTTCGGCGAACGGCCATCAATGCCCCATTCCCATTTCTGGGCCACGGGCTTTTCTACGCTTGGGTTCGGGTTCGTGTTGGTGCGTACATGTATCTGCCGCATGGGATCAACCATCGTTCCGACGACTTCGTAAGCTGCCTCGAGGTTACTACCGAGGAACTACAACATCTTGCCGTAAGCCAAGAACTTGATTGCGGTGCCCGAAAAGGACAAGATTGCCGGCTGCCGGACAAATTGCGGGGAATGGCGGCCGCCTCCGTCATCATTCGCAACCCCAATCTTGATCCCGCAGCCCCCGATCTTTGGCTTCACGCGGCGTGGTCTCCACGATATGGCGGGAGTATCAAAGTGCCACGCATCGCCTCATGGTCTTAGACTTCACTTACCCCGCGCATCACGCCAGTACCCCGCAACCTTCAAGAAAGCCTTGGTCTCAACTGCAAGTCTAGAATCTCTCTCCGCTTCATCCTCAGTTTCCGCTTATCGTCGGTTGTTTGAGAAGTTCGTAAGCTGGCAACCTAGATAGAGAAAAGGAAAAGCACGGCTGTAACACCAACTTGCATTTGCTACGTTGGAGCTGCAGCAAGTGAAAACCCAATGCTCATTTGGACATTTGGAGATCCAATGCACGTTGAGGGGTTAAGCAAAGTCAAACAGAGACGGTGCCCATATATTTTGATAGTGTTGTTATACATGGCGGGGAACATGGGGAGACGGAGCTTGACGCCACCAAGGCCCGGGCAGCCACGTGGCGCGAAGTTTGCTTTTCATCGGTAGCATCCATGGCACACGGCTCCAATGTCATAGACTTGACACGGGCTGACACTTTGAGGCTAGCTCGGTTGTCACCTCAAACCGGACCAGCTCCCCATGCTTTCTTCCGATGTTGCCGCATCTGAGAGATCCCTGCATCGTAGATCAGCCTTTCGAGCTGCAGAGTTGAGTTTGTTGGGACTGTATCTCAGCCTCATGAAAACTCCACACGTCCTCCTTTCGTCACCTTGAATTCAGCGCGGGGAAGCTGCATCCAAGCATCTTCCCGAGATTCGTCCTCAACATCTGAGAGCCCCGCTTCGTCGCCGTGCTGCGAGAATGTCTCCTCATCAGGTTTCATCAAAACCTACATCACAAGGCGACCACAGCCTGCCGTGTAGCCTTCGCTGAAAGAAACCCAGACAACCCCTCACGGACGTTCAGGTACGAATCGTCGTAAGCCTTTGACTTCATCTAGCGCCAAGTCTGCTTCAGCGTCCGCAAGAGCTCTGCTTACGGCGCAATGTTCACATGTAAGTGCACAAATTCTGATCTTGGACGTCTCATTGGCAAGTACTGTCTAACTCTCAGACCAGCAGGTTTTCGATGTTACGAGGTGGAATACAACCGTCAGAGTCTTTCCATACATGTTTCTACAGTACGAGAAGTCCGAGGCTGGGAAGTACCGACGCTTGTTTTCCGAACATCTCCTTGTTCTTCTCCGCAGCATACGATGCGAAAACCTTCGCATCGATAGCGATGGTGCATAGCATTCACGACCTGGTTTGAGTTGGGGTTTACGCATTCCATGATTCACCTTGCAAGGCCGAAGTTTGAGAATACCTTGAAGGGGGAAGTGTGGCCTGTCAAAGCTTCAAAAAGGGTATAAAGTCTTCGAGAAATCTCTCCAACCTGGGAATTCTTCTTCAGCAGCATCATCAGGATTTCAGCTCAATATATCCACATAAAAGTACAGCATCTAGCACAACATCCTTTCAACTTATTACAACATACTCTACGTAACTTTTAACTTCAAAATGGGTGACATTCGCAACACCGAGAGAGACAGCAACGTCCTCGCCCTCGTCGAGGCTATCCTTGGACACAAGGTCGATCAGCCCGGCTCCTCCTCCCAGAGCACTCTTGATGAGTACGAGGACCTCGTCGACATGAGCAAGGACCACGAGTTCAGCAAGGACGGTCCCCGCCCCGACTCTCCCCCCAAGAACCCCTGCGTCGGTGCCGTCAACCCGTACGCCCTCGCCGAGGCTCTCATTGGCCGCAAGATCGACCGTAACTCCATGGCCGCTGCCCAGATTCTCCAGAACGTGCTCCAGACCGACTACGATGAGCTCTTCGACATGCGCCACAAGTCCGTCCTCTTCGCCGGCATGAAGCTCAACGAGAAGGAGCGCAAGGCCGAGATGTACGATGAGAAGGACATGAAGATCCTTAACGAGCGGGACCTCCAGACCCCCGACTTCTCCGGCGTTCGCCGCCTGGACGACCTCGAGAAGGTCGGCCTCAAGGACATCAAGGATGCCAAGGTCAAGGTCGCCCGCATGCAGAACGGCAAGCTTCGCCTGGTTCTCCACGCCCATGAGCTCGGCAAGACCGTCTCCAACCGGGAGGTCACCATGTCCATCAACGAGCTCGTCACCCCCTTCAGAATGCAGAAGGGCCGCTGGCAACCCCCCAACGCCTCATGGCGCGACATGTACGACTACTTCTTCCAGCAGGTGAACAAGCGCCTCATCTCCGACATCACCATGTTCCGCATTGGTGACCGCCGCGAGACCGTCCGCAACTTCGACGACCCCACCCAGGGCTGCTCCAGCAACTCTTGGTTCGTCTCTGCCCTGTTCTCCGTCTTCTGGGCCGACCCCTGCGCCATTAACCGCGCTACCCGCGTCCACACCCACGGCAACGAGAAGAAGCGCTTCTTGAGCATCAAGTTCCACGACAAGGGCGGGAAGCAGAATAACCGCACCGAGACTGTTGAGGTCAACTACGAGATCCCCATCAACAACTCGGACAACGAGCCCCTGTACTGCCGCTCCAGCGATGGTGCCGACATCTGGCCCTCGCTCTACGAGAAGGCCTTCGCCAAGTGGATCACTGGTACCAGCTCCGAGCAGCCCGATATCACCCAGACTCACTGCGGTGACCCTATCAAGGCCATGGCCCAGATCAACGGCCGCACCCCCCACTACTATGAGTGCAACAACCACTCTTCCCACACCCTCCTGGGCTTGGTTCGCGCCAACAGCGTCAACAACAAGACCATCAACCCCATGACTGCCTTCACCTACGCCACCGGCCGGGAGTTCCACGGTGCCAACATCGTTGCCAACCACGCCTATTCCGTCCTCGGATACTGCGTCCTCGGCGACAAGCAGTACATCGTCCTCCGCAACCCGTGGGGTGTCACCGAGCCCCAGGGCCTCACCTCCTACACCGGTCTTCTCGGCCGCCTCGACCCCGAGATTTGGAACCCCGCCACCCTCCTTGACCACGGAGGTCTGTTCGCTCTTGAGGCCGACTCCTTCAAGAAGTGCTTCTCCCACATTGGTGTTGCCAAGTAAGCACCACGAAGCAAGTGACCGGTCATTTGGTTCGCCAGGGAATGTGCTATCGTTAATGGCAACTGCGATTTGGAGTATGGTCTTGCACACTGTCTTTCCATCTGCTTTAACTTGCGGGGTGTCGACTCGGGTTTTCTGAGTCTGGAAAAAGAAAAGGTTGGATCGCTTGGCTTGGGAAAAAGTTGGCGGTGTAACGGAAAATCAAAAAGGCAGAATGAAAAGTCGGTTTAGTTTACTATTACAATGCAATCTCAGTTGCCGAGACACACAAAGTTCGAAGCACTTGATTCATGAACGTGATAATCTGAGATCAATCATTGACAATGCGTCATATTTGATACGGATGTTCAAGACATAGTTTTATCGCCGGCGACGTGCTCGTCTGTGATTGACTCGCTCTTGGTTCTCACCGAGGTCGAAAATCAAGTCCGATCTTTGGCTTTTGGTTCTTAATCGACAGCGTGTTTGATCATTCATGATGACATAAGAATAGTATAACACTCGCGTCAGGGTATAGAAACAAAAGCAGGTATCCAACTTCCTCCATTTCCATCAATTTTACGTCAGGTTCTTTGGTCCGTCCCCCAGTGGGTATCCCATGGCACGCCGACGTCTAGGACGTTGACCCCTCGTTTCTCGCGGTGTATGCAGGCGGTGATGACTGTGATGAGGTAGGCCCGTCGTTGTTCGTATTGCTGACCATGCCGTAACCTTTGCCGTATTGATATCCGGTCTCGTTGTTGTAAGAGTAGCCCGGGTAGGTTCCCTGGCCATAACCTGATGTTGTATTGTTGACTGAGGACGACCCCTGATTCGATCCGACGCTCGTCCGGTTATCGCCCATGTATTTCTTCATCTCCAGCTGATGCTGACGTTGCCGTTCCTTGCGTTTGCTCCGAATAATGCAAGCAGACACAAGGGAGGCGATGATGAGGACCACGACGATGACAATAACGGCAATGATGCCACCGCCAATAGCCTGAGCGGTGCTTTTTTGACTCTCGTACTCCGATTTCGTGGACCTGCTGCTGCTGCCGGAGTTTCCGTTGGCGTAGTTGTCCATGTAATCGTCGACCACGTCGTTCTGATCGCGGGGCGTTAAGAAATTGAGAGCGGCATCGGCAACGGTTCGAACCTGAATGGCGGGCATGATGCGGAATAGGTAGAGAACTTGACAAGTGTTTGCGATAAAATGACCTTGACTTGAGAATTTGATGGAGCGAGATCAAAACCCAGAGCTTTGAACCTTGGCAGGAAGAAAAGCCCTTTAAGAAAAGTGCCTGAGACCTTTGTTCGCAAAATCCAGGGACTGGAAGGGACTTTGGGGCCACCCTGATGCATCGCTGGAGGCACAGCAGGTCTTGGCAAGATCCTCGTCTCAACCCATGACATCAGCAGCTTTGTTATAACCAGAATGGGTGGTGATGACAGGGGAACTCGGGCGAGCCGAACAGTTCAGGCAATTTGGAAGTCGAATTAAGCTGTGCCGTCTGCTGTCATAACATTAGATAGCAGCGGCCTTTTTCTCTGCCACGATGATCAGAACCACTCCGCCCATTCTTGTAAGCTTGCAGGCGATCCTCTTCGAAAATGGTCTTTTGTCGATACACAGCCTCCACGACAGCTGGTTGCCTAGAAAGTCCCTGCAGGGGTAGAATCCTAAAGGAATCTTACCACGTCCCAGGTCGGAAGCTTATTCTATGGTAAGCAAACTTGCCAAACCCGGATAAGTTGTGATGTGCCTCTCGAACTCCTCTCAGGGCCGATTTCCAATTGTCCGAATGTTTCCCTGGATCATATCATTCACTCACCCCTAAATTGTGACAGTATATTGGCAGTACGCTCTCTGAAGACATGCATCAGTAAATTTTCCCCGTAGTATAACTATAAAAATCATTGTCAAGGCTTTACTGATCTTCAGTTTCTTACTCGCAAGTGTCTCCCTTCAGACCAAGTGATGCTGGATACGCCGGCCTTGTCGACCATGATGAAACTCCAGCGTCGAATTGACAGATTTTCACTTCAGAGAAATTCCAGGAAACATGTGCATATAATATCAAGCAAGTGCACTTTCCAATTATTCGATCTTGTTTGGACGTTGATTGTGCAATCGTCAGCGCCGCCTGCCTTCAAAATGGCAGTCTACCAAACCAAAATGTCTCCGGTGTCGCAAGTGCGGTGACGCTCGGGACTTCCCCTTCAGAACCCCAACTCAATTCATCTCCCGACGCGCAATGACGACATCAACATTGCCCTACTACAGGTCTACTAACCCTTAGCACTGCATCATTCGCTTGTTTGTGAGCAATGTTTCTCAACCAATTGACGGTTCTTGCTCATTGTTTCTTACTTCAATCGAGCCTTACCACATGTCGGTCACTACTGGGTCCAGAGACGACGATTCAAGACATTCGACCCCTCGAAATCCCTAGAGACATTCCTGGTAGGCTCTTTGGCCAAAAGTTGCTCCCCAACACTGACATCAGCAGGACAGTATGCCTTCCTTATGCCCGAAAGATTGACAGACTCGGCGCAGCCGATCAGAATCATGATCGCCGGCGATTCCATGAGCCACGGCCAAGAGGGAGATTTCACCTGGCGGTACAGGTTGTGGCAATGGCTTCGCCAAGAACAAGTCAACTTCGAATTCGTCGGTCCCTGCAGCGGTACCAAGAAGCGGGACAAATCGCAACCTCCGAGTCCACCTCCATTCGCAGATGAGCCACCCCCAAAAGAAGCGCCAGATCCCTGTGCATTCGACGGCGGCGGCTATGCAGACGGCGTCCAATTTGGCTCCTGTCACCTCTCACGCTGGGGAAAACAGGCTGCCCAATGTGTTGACGAGGTGAATCAGCAGATAGCACGATTCGAACCGGACTATCTTCTCGTCTTCCTCGGATTCAATGATTTGGGATGGGGCGTTTCTGGACCAGAGACTTTGATCGATGTGATGAAGAGACTGGTGCACAACGCCCGCGATGCGAAGCCGTCACTCAAACTCGCCATTGCCAACATACCGCAACGCACTCCGATAGACGGGACGGAACACTTGGCAGAAATGGTCGACACCTACAACAAACAGATCCCTGCATCAATCTCGGCCTGGGATAGCAAAGAGTCCTCTGCAAGGCTGGTCAAAGTTCGAGAAGCCTACGATTGTTTCGCTGGCAGCTACGACGGTATACATCCCAATGCCCTGGGAGAGTTCCAGATTGCCAAAGCCTTCTCTCAGGTCTTGGTATCTGAGTTTGGTATTGGAGCAAAAGAGCTTTCCGTTCCGCCACAAATTCCCAAGAGACCAACTCCAGTGCCGAAGTACGTTGCTGCAAAAGCCGTGTCTTACGGAATTGCAGTCACATGGGACCACGTTTATGGCGCTATTGGTTACGACGTGAGGAGTCGCAATAGCGATGACTCGGAGTGGGACTACTGGCGGAAAACCAGCAATCGGCATGACACTATGAACGTCCAAGACGGTGTCAAATATGAATACCAGATTCGGACGTACAACGGCGAAAGCAGCGGCGAAGAAGTTACATCAGAATGGTCGCCCGTTGCGGCAGCCGTTGCAAGTCCAAAGGCAGCCCCAGGCCCGACTGATATCATCGTGACCCCTGGCGTCTCGGAACTTGTTCTTGAATGGCAACAGCCATACGGGCAGTGGATCATGGATCGTTATGAGGTTCAAGTCTTCGATGCATCCGCTTTCTTGACTTTCCCGCTTGTACGGGGCGTCAGGGGTAATCGCGATACCATTTCCAACGATGAGCTGATATCGGGACATCGCTATGCAGTGCTCATCCGAGCCTGGACTCAAGAAGGTCCCGGAAGTTTTGCAACGGGTCGCAACTTCATCGCAGGCCACGGAAGGCCCATTGAGCCAATGAATCTACAGGCTGAAACCACAGACTCAGTCACGGCGAAACTCACCTGGAAGCCGTCACAGTACGCATCAAGTTATCGTGTATGGGTACGTAAATATGGGGAGGAATTCGAGTTCGACGTCGATGGGGAGACGGAGGATACGGAATACGGAGTCACGTTTCTGATTCCAGGCGCATGGAACTTTGAGTTCTCCGTATCGGCATTCAATGGTAATCTGGAGTCACCCAAGTCAGGGTCGGTTGTTCCTCCAAGACGCGAAGTAGAGCTCTGACGACTTCCTTTTTCTACCTAAGTCAATTAAATTCGGTACGATTCCATATTTCAATTGGTCCCCATAATCCCTGACGAGTCTTTGCCGATACCTCATAGGGTAACAGTTCAGCCGGAGGCTGGAGGGCGCTTATATTGTGATACATATGCAGGTCGCCACAAAAGGACCATATCCCGGTGACGCTGCTGACTATTTCTCTCCTTTCTGCAATCCGAATGGTTGTCGCAGCGACGTCTGGATCGCGCGGTTCTTGTAACTTGGCACCTCGTATTGAGATAATTCCCTTAGAAGACGCCATCAATCAACGCCAAAAGAGCGTGGCGAAGCAGACATCATCTGATTTCTTCGACACGTTCGGCACATCGGGCTGTACTCTTGACTGCGCCGCATATGCCTCTCGACACAAGTTATCCGCTGAAGCTATCAGGACATCACACGCATCTCATGAGGAATTCACCAAACGAGGCAGACATCGAGTTGTTCAAGGAAAAGAGTTCACATACGATGACCTGGCGTCTTCGGCGCTGAGTGGCTGTGGAACATGCATAGCCCTCAAAGCCGTGCTTCATATGCTTTCAAACGAAGATCTAAAGTTCACGGCATCTTCAACTACTGTGAGATGGATCACCAGACACAGCGGGACTTTGGAGATCACGGCATCAGATGGGAAGGGTTATTACTTGAGAATCCTCAACGTCGCAGGTTCTAAAAATATCTTTCGACGTCTTCAAATGACCAACGGTCTCGCTGGAGACACGTCTTCCCCGTTGAGTTTGCAGCGTGTTCGTAGCTGGGTCATGGACTGCGAATCGAACCATCAGCAATGTGGCCGAGGCGTCGACATGAATTTGCCAACACGACTCATCGACGTCACCGAAATTTTTCGGGGAGATGCAGAGGGCGTGCGACTTGCGGAAACTCAGGGGAATACGGGAACCTACATGTGCCTCAGTCATTGCTGGGGAAAGATCCTCATCAAATCCAAGACGGAAAATGCTTCTCTCCGGGAGAGACTGGATTTCATCCCTTGGTCACTACTGCCCCCGAGCTTTCAACAGGCAATCGAAGTCACACGAAAACTCGGCATTCGATATCTTTGGATCGACTCACTATGCATCATCCAAGACGACGCCGACGACTGGGAGAGAGAAGCTGCACAGATGGTCAACGTCTACCGCAATGCTTATGCCACCATAGCCATCAGCTGGTCTCACGATTCCCAAGGCGGATGCTACTCGAAGACGATCCCGCCAGTATACTCCAAAATAACGACTGAAGAGGGCGATGAATTCACGATCGCACTCGCACTAGGTGCCAAGCGAGACGACCTATCGGAATATGAACGGGTGCAGGAATACTTCCCACTCTTCAACAGGGCTTGGTGTCTCCAAGAGCGTCTGCTCTCCCGCCGCATCATTCATTTCAACTTTGGAGAGCTTGCGTTTGACTGTGGGAAGGGCTACTCTTGCGAATGTGGAGGAAAGCAGCATTACAACTGGCACAATGTGGTCGATCTCTCCGGAACATACACACCTCTGCGCTCGCGGTCCAAGTACCTCGCCCTACTCAACAACTCGACGACTGTGTCATCGAATGCCATCATGACCGATCAGGGAAAGCTTGATCCCTACGTGAGATGGCATCGCCTCGTGAGCGAGTATACCTGCCTCAATCTCACTGTCACGACGGACATGCTCCCCGCATTCTCGGGACTCGCACACGAGATGGCGGAGATCACGGGAGATACGTACCTCGCGGGACTCTGGAAGAATAACCTCGAGCAAGATCTGATGTGGCATGTCGTGTCCGTGGCTGACTGGCGCAATCAGCGTGAGAAAATACTCAAACGGGGTTGGATTGCACCGTCTTGGTCTTGGGCGTCGACGGGTAGCGGTTGCAAGGTTGGCTTTCCGATTTTCTCCGGAGCTGAGGTTCTTGAGAAGAAGACACCGGGCATCGTGGAGTCTGTAAAGATAAGTTGCCATCCGTCCGGGACTGACCCGACGGGATCTGTTTCGTTCGGCCGTCTAGAGGTGGAATCTAGACGGTTGCCAGTTTTGATTCAGAGGCCGTGTTCGCGATGGGATGTGAAGCGGCGGTGGACCGACCGCGTGTATGGAAGATTTCTTCTGTACGCTCGTGAAAATGATCGCGAGTGGCAGGAGGACTGTCGACCTTGGACTGGACAAGAGCCTCTCGAGCTTGGGCCTGTCAAGTCTTCACTTTGGGTTGACCCGACGGTTGAGAGAATGGGAAAGCAGTACATCCGCAAGGAGGGCGCGGACAAGGATTACAAGGTCGGCCTGTGTAAGCATTGCGCCTTCCTCTCTGCTGAAATTCTGTACATCAGAGGCATGAAGACCGACAAGGGCGCGCTTTCGAGTAGGCTTCGGGACTTCTTCTTGGTTGTTACCAAAGATCCGGAAAGCTCAACGGACAGCTATGTGCGAGTTGGTATGCTCGAGATCATCAGTGACAATCGGGAAGATCGGGAGGATTGGTTTGAGAGTTATTGGGAACAGTTGGCTTTGCCTTCAACTATCATAGCTATCTCATAGCCTTTTGTTGAATTTGTTTACTGTATCTCAGAGTTAACCCTAGAAGAGTTGTCTATCTGGAGACGTGGTCACCGATATTTTACATGATCGACTCATCAAGACTTTTCCATTTCCCCGTCTATTGATTTCTATGTTTGTTGAGTGGATTCAAAGGTCGAATCTTGCAGAAGATCCATCATGGCCGGATTACTATAAAAGAAATCTTCCAGCTGAGCAGCGTTTGTCATCCACATCATCGGATTCCCTGGCTTCATGAGACCCTCTTCCATAGCATCCACACCCATACCAGACATGACAGCGTTTCCTGCCATCTCAGACCCATTGTTCGCATTCTGATTATACCCAATCGAATGCTGTTGTTGGTTTTGCTGTTGATGCTGTTGCGCTTGTTGCATCTGCTGGCCTGCACCGTTTCCTGTCTTCGCCGGGAAGCCCAATGCCGCCAAGTACGCGTCCATCTCTGCGCTTGCCTGTGTCTGTTTCTCTTGCGATGTGGACGTTCGGATCTCAATGAGTCGTAGAGCCACACTATAGAGAACCTGGAAGAGGCGGTGCATCTTGTGTGCTGCGTCGGAAAGTGTGTTGGCCTCCTGGAGGAAGATGATGAAGCTGTGGAGACGTGCCAAATCTTGAGTGTCGTGGGTCTCTATTACTTGGCAGAAGAGAACGATGAACGGGATGAATGGGGCGAACATGACGATCCTGGACTCTGTGTTAGTATTTGTTTCTCGCGCTGAATACTTGAGTTCGAAGGGCTCACCAGTGAATGTAGGTCACGAAGTAGACTCCATGCGACTTTTGCATGATTGTCACGCATTCTTGGTGCTTTTCAAGAGCTGCTCTGGCAGCCTTTATGCACTCGGGGCTGAAAGTGGTGGGGGAGCCCTCAACTCGCGGCGCGGCTCGGTAAACCATGGTCAATAGCGACAGACGAAGTACGGAATCCGAAGTTAGATAAAAGTCGATGAAAGACTCGTCGGCCAATTCTTTTGACTTCTCGCCCCATCTCGCCTGTGGAATGAGTAAGTACGGGATATCACGATGCTTCTCACGCGTGGCCTGGGGAAGAATTGGGTCACTTACATTGGCTTGCTGCGTCCTGGTTTCGATATCTTGAAGCATGGACACCAACTCATGGACACGAGTCTGACGAACGTGGTACGGCTGGACCACGGACTCGGGGCTGTAAAGCATTTCGTAAATCTTTCCTTGGCACTTTGCTGTGTGAATCCACAGAACGTAGTATGGCACAAGAGGATTATCGATGGGCTCCTCCAACAACGGCTCCGGCATCGTGATATGCCAGTCAGGAATGGTTGACGCACGGCCTAGACGGAGTGAAAGGGTTTTGTCGATGTAATAGACATTCCAGAAGATAAACTGGTACCAATGTATCCCATGTACTCTGGGCTTCATGTCGTCTTTTGTGTTTATGAGGGCTTCCTTTCGGTGATAGCCCAAAGTCTGACATAGCTCCGCTGCTTTTGAAGAGAGAGTCCAAGCGAGTGAAGGTTTCGAGATTTCAACGGCATGGAAAGTCTTGTCTCTTAGCAAACCGTATTTAAGATAGGAGCGTTGCAAAACTTACACCAAAGAGGAGCGCAATGATGACGTCGGCTGATGCGGGTAGGTGTAGAGGCAAGTTTGACAGGCTGGTCTCCAAATTGATTCTGCACATTTTGGCATACTCAAGATACTCTTTTTTCTCTTCCGATGAGAGTTGTGCAGCGTAGTCGGTGAAGAGCGAGTAGAGTCCTCCGTTTACGGTGATGAAGTCAAATTCCGAATGGTTTTCCGAGAAGTAGACGTTCAAACACAGATCTGGAAAGCGGCGTGTGGGCAGGAAGTCGTAAACCCATGCCATGCCCGTGCGGGCTAGACCTCTCACGAGTTAGCTACTGTTTAAAGTAGGCGGTAAAACCGACTTACTCTTCGCAACTCGAATGGTGCTGACAGCTTTCTGGATTGGAGGTAATTCAAGACCCTGGATGCGCGGTCTTTGAATCGGTTTTGCAAAGGGATAGGTCATCTCTCCCGCAACTGATGGCTGCTTAAGAGCTGTGACGATCTGAGAAAGTGCGTCGAGAGTATCGCTCAGGTCGAGGCTTGAGTCCTGTAGCGACTTTGTGCTGACAACCTTTTGCAGGAACTCCGTGGCGAAGACGGAATGTGCTGCCAAAGAAGACTCTCCTTCCACGAGCGCACTCGGCTCATCATCTCCCTGGAAGGCGTGACTTGAGGGTGTTGTTGTTGATGTTGACGGTCCCTCTTGTGGGAACAATGGTGTGGCTTCGGTTTGAGGTGTTCCCATGATGGCATTGACCTTTTCAATACTCGTGCCTGCAGATGAGGGATTCACCTTCATGTCGTGAAGAAGGCGGATGACCGTCTCGAGGCGACGGTCAATCTGGTCGATTTTTCTCTCACTGTACTCACAAAGTTATCATAACACGAAATTGATACGATGAATGGTATTGTGTAACACCTTATACGAGAAAGAAGACAAGTCCGTCAGGCTGGCTTACTATTGTGGGGTGATGAGGATTCTCGTCCTCTTCTCTTTCGGTTTATTGTCCGCATGTGTGCACTCGATCTTGGCGTGCGTGCAATAAGAGCAGGGAGATTCTCTATTGCATCGGATCTAAAGTCATGTGAGTGTCTTGTCCCCCTCGCAGAATGTTTAACGTGGTCAAGTTTGAATTGATGCCAAGTAATGACGTGCATCGTGGGACCTAGGCATGTGGGTTCAAGACATGACTTTGTCAAGACGTCAACTCACCTTTCGAGCTCTACACGCATCGCACTAACATCAAATCAGTTGGGATTTCTCAGAAAAGCCACAAGACGACGATCACCTACAGCTCTGCGAATAGTCGTTTGTGTGTTGGCCGAAGACTGCTCAGGCGCCTCATCGGGACCGTCATCTGGAGCGTCCTCATGGCCGCTGGCATCCAGCTGGCCGTCATCCATCGTATGATTGACCGTGTATGTCTCTGGCGCGCCGGGGTTGGCTAAGATCGTGGTACTTCAGTGGGGGTCGCCAATCGGAGGATGGCCAGTCGATATGAAGGAAGCGGACTGCGGGAGCCGACCGTTGCCCGTTGGAATTGGGAGCAAGATATCTTTTTTCTTCGGGGGAGGAGTGGTCGGGACCCGAAATATGAGTGAACAGGCAGCCTTGATGTCTTCTACCGTTCTAGGAAGCATCTGTCAATGTGTCGTTATTTTAGTTTTATTTCTTTTCAGAGCGGCGTATCGGAGGCCGCGCGACCCGGAAGCGTCCGCGGCGCAGCTGGACTGGCAAATTTGCCTCAAATAGGCATTTAATGGGGCTCTTCGGATCTTTGCGTGCATAAACATCCCTGTCTTGCTGCATAATTAGTCATGAGCTAGTCACGAAAGCTCTGAGATCAGGGGATGAATTTGAGGATCTTCTTTTCTCTCTAACTATTTGTTCTTAGATCTGTCTACTTGATAGATCCTGACAAACTGAAAACTTGTAACTCCTTCCAGACATCGACTCTTCGCAATCACCCGTGACAAGAACAAGGTGGCTGAGTTTCACTGCCCTTAATCTCAGTCGTCCATTCGCCTCCTCGTAGGTTGGCGCAACGCTAATACCAACAGCGCCAACCTGCGGTCATGGAATCTGCACAGATCTCAACCGGTACTTCCGAGACAGCATCGGCGCCCACATCCTCTCCATGAAGAACCCAATTTCAGGGTTGGTCGAATTCGCCCTGTCGAACTCGTTCAGAGCGTTGGTGTACACCGTCCTCGGTAGACTCCATATCGTCTCGCGCCTCACAGCAAAAGTCCCGCCGTGCATCGCGCGTATTGCAGGCGGGTGCCGTCCGCCTAGAACCCTCGTCCAGAACTGCGCCGGCGTGTACCGAGCTGGCGTCAACGTCTTGATTTGATTCGGCGTAATCCACAGCGACTGCTTCGAGCTATTCCAGTCAATCTTTCTCCAGTCGGCGAGGTCGTGAAAGAGCGTCGGGTTGAACGGCGTGACGTCGTCGATTGGTAGTTTCATCGCCTTGTCGACCATCTGCGAGGTAGTGTTGACAGCGGGTGAAATGAGGTCGAACGGGTCTCCTTGTGAGAAGATCATGACTTCGTCGAGCGTGTCGTAGTTATTGGCGATGTGGTAGAGGTGGGTATGCCCTTCACGTCCGATATTGCGAAGAGGGATGTAGGAACGGAATTCGGAGTGCTTGACCGTATCGTTTGTTTGCGGGACGTTGCCTTTGGCGTAGACATAGGTGCTGTTTGCGACCGCAGACCACGGTTCGAGGGGTTCTTTGAAGCGGGCGACGACGATCCCCAGGCGATCTGCGGCTGTGAAACGGAGGATTGAAAGTAATAGCAAGACGATGTTGAGAGCAATCATCGTGAGCACGGCCGTGTGTGAAGAGGTGAGAATGAAGAGTTGTCCGGACGCTCCGTGGAAGAGGAGTTCATGAGCATAAAGATGAACTCATTGGATCGTTCCATGCATAGCACGACGGGCTGAACTCTAATTCGCGACGCGTCTCTATGAGGAAACTTTCGCCATGGGTCTGCCATTAAACACGCTGCGACTGCTTGAGTAGAGTTCGTCTTTTAAACCGGTGGGATGAAGCGTATGGTCTTCCACGGCAAGCCCAAGAGAACTTCACTCATCGCTCACTGTTCAGTTTCAACTCGGTTTCAGTTACTCAGTTGACTTGTCCTTAAAAATATTTGTGCTTCAAAATCCAGCAGGTCAATTGCGCAAAAGTCTATGCTTCCTTCAAATGAACTCCAATGTTTGCAAAAGCCTGAAGCTCCTCTTCAGATATTTCGTCTTTCTCCTGGTCAAACGCAGCCATCCTCTCCATCCAAAATCCCCAAAACTTCTCTACGGTTTCACTACTGTCTTGTAACTTGATCTCGAACTCTTCCATCAGCTCCTCCAGAGCTTCTGGTAAATAACGTTCCTCATCTCTTATCTCAGTAACGTCGGTTGGGTCCATGGTATGTATCAGCTCCTCCTTGCCATCGATAAAATCCGAAATAGAGTGGCCATCATTCGGAAAGGCATTTGTATGCTCACAACAAGTGTGACGCATACCAAGACGATCAAAAGTGCAGGCACGAACAAAGTCGGATAGAATTTCACGGCTTGTGCCAGAAACCACCCCCAGTGTCCTTCGAAGGTTCTGCCCATATTCGCCATTTGCGCTTGTCTGCGAGCCCAAGAAATGTTGAGGTCGCAGGGGCCGGGCTGCTCGTGACCATCCCTTGTTGTAAATTGACCCTGGGCTACAGCCTTTTCTCGTACAATAGCATGAACACGGGTCCTGTGGACAGGCCGTCAGAAGCTTCCTTGTCAGCGAGACATATTGTGCTCCATGACTGGCCCAATCTTCATCAGTCCATTCTGAAACTTCTTTTGCAACCATGATCTCTCCCATCACATATATAACGCGGTGAATTGCCCGAAATCTGAAAGGTTGTAGGTCATACGACGATGATGGTGACGATGATGACTGGATGTGAGATTTGTGGGGAATGATTGCTTGGAAGTCAGCTTCCTTCTGATGAAACCATTCAAGAAGCCTCGTCACCCCATTCAGTGTACCTCTTTCAAAGATCCATGCGGACCATCGAAAAAGCATTAAAGGTGTGTAACCACGAACGACAAAGTCAAACCCGTCAAAGCCGGATTGAAATAGAGCTTCCGCTAGGGTCGCGCTGAGATGAAAAGAATGATATATGGATCCCAATCGTGTTTGCTCGTATTCCTGCGGAACTGTTATGCCATGGGCCTTCAAAGACTTGGAAACATCGTAGGCGTTATTTTGTATCATCGACGTGTTCGATAAGTTGAGCCGTTCAACCTCCATAGTGGGGAGCTGTTCAACAGCATATCGTAGCATTGCTTTCCTACGGTGTGCAAGTTCGTTGCTCAAAAGACTGCAAACCTCGAGACTTTGGGGAGGAGTGCGTACGTCAGTTGGAAAGAAATTACTTGTTTCCTCGAGATTGATTCGAGCGCCTTTCTTGAGTAGTAAGGCGATGGACTTCGTTTCTTGGAATGTGATGGCGTAGTGAATTGGGGTATGTCCGCCGGGATCTGGCACTTCAATGAGTGACTGACTCTCTGCTCCCGCTAGATCGAACAGTAGCTCTAAGCCTCGCGGCCAGAACGCGGCGATATGAAGGGCCGTTTGGTCATACGCGCCAGTTTCGAGAATGAGATCTGGTGACACAGCTAATAACCGGCGAAGATCTGCTTCCGATTTCTGAAATAGTGCGGAGATTAAAACTCCGTAATCGAAACCTTACAAAAAGTCACTTCAGCCCTATTCTTGTTCGGACTATGCTACTTGGAAAATGAAAGTGTATGTACTCACAGTGAAGGGAATCAGCGAGCCATCGGTAGATACCTGGCACAATCGAGGCCAGATTGTTTTTCAGTCGTTTTGCCTCTCCAAATGGGTTTCCTGGACAGTAGACATCCATTCTGACGAACTCTTTGGCGAAATATTCCATGGTCTCAAGTGAACAGCGCTGCATAATTTCAGGCTGGTATGCTCGTGCCTGCTCTGAATCCAGAAGTAGAACTTGCAGAGGGCTACTGTAACAGGTCTCAGTACTTGAAATCAAACTGAAGTAGTCTGTCTATGAATATACTTACCCTGAAGCTCCAGTCTCATTGAGGGGCACGCCCATGGATATCAACGACTTGCAGAATCGAATGAACAGGTGCCTTGTCTCTTGAGGCCAATAATTGCGATACGTAAAACACGTCCACTAGGGAAGTTCCATAAGCTGCTAGAATTGAAACTAACCTGGGTAGACTTACGTGAAGAATATTGTACTCGTAAGCCTCATTGACATCGGTTGGCCATGCTCGACGATCAACAAATAACTTTTGCAAGCTTTGCAAAATATGCGCCATTTCGTGCTCGAGAACTTGTTTGTCTCCTTTGTCCACGTGGTCTAACCTTTGAACCAGTTGAAACGCACCAGCATTGTGGTCAACAACTGCACGAAGTGTAAAGTTGGGTTGAACTTTCAAGTCTCTCATGAACACAGAATGGGAATAAGAAATACCAATTCTCCAACGAAACAGTGTGTTGAAAAGTCTCATCTCGCCGGAGATTGTTCGGATGTTTGGATTGAGATAAGAAAGCTGGCAATGTTTCCTATGGGTCATACCTTGTGACCCTGGGTACTTCGTTTGATGTCTCCGGGACACAGAGTCACAACTGCAGCCAAACATCAACAACCGAGGTGACTCAGCGGGCTCGTTTTCCCGCGTCTTTGGTGGTTGATATCTCTTCAACCTAGTTGGTTCAACACCTTGGACCGTCAGGAGCTTAGGATTTTGCCTGACTTGGTCGTATCTGGATATCGGAACAGTGCTGTCTTTGCCAAGACCGGATACTGGCTTTTTGGGGCTTTGAATTGTTTCCTCAACTCTCTCGAGACGCAGTCTCACCGCAGTTTCGAATTGTGTCAGTCTGTTCTCAATTATTTTGTCGATTTGCGGTAGTAAAACGGCCAGTTGTGCTGTTGTTTTCTGGCCTTCCAAGAGAATCGCAGAACTCAGTTTTGCGGACTCGGAGATAGTTGTATCAAGAACCTGGTTGGTAAGATCACTAATTTTTAATGAGCCAGTTGTCCATGTCTCCAGTGCCTTTTGGGGGATCTCACCGGTTCAACAATAGAAGACAGCTGGAGAGCGCGGCATGAAACTCCCGCATCTGGGTTCTGAGATCATCGAACCTATGCTTTTGGAATGGGAATTGAAGATGCCTCAGAACCTCTTTTCCTTGCTCCTTGACGCCACGGACCGCTGTAGGCCGACAGTATTTCGAGCTAAGAGCCTTGAAATCCGCCAGGCATACATTGCAAGCGCTGTAGCACTCGTCCAGTGTGCTTGAGAGAGTCGAGTCGATCTTTCCGCCAACTGTCACCCTGTTGTTCAACAGATGGAGGAAAGCTTCCAATCTTTGTGCATGCTGGTCCAAAAGAAGGATGTCGACGTCGCGTGATCGGAAATCCTGGCAATAGATGTTCAGGCCCTTGCAGACTTCAATACCCAGGGATATGAGGCCAGCAACGCCGCTTGCTGCCGAGAAGGGGTCCATGGCTCGAATAATAACGTGAGCTGAACTGCATGGAATGAGTGCTCATGCTGCCATGGAGAATAAAGTTGAAGAAGTTGTCTCGATCAAAGCCATTTGTTGTTCCCCAGCTCTAAACTCGCTTCGGAAGCGGGGTGGGAAAGCCGGACTGGGAATGTGAAGTCTGAGACTGAGCTGAGCCGAGTCTGACTAGAGATAGGATGGCCTCAGTTGGCCCCGTGGCTCCGCCAGGATGGGAACAGATAAATAGGTTGCCGTACTCCATGTCAGCCGATCAGTGTGCCTTTGCCTGGAACACAGCCTGCTTCGCCAATTCTGCAGGCGCATGCAGAAACCCTCACTATTCTAGCTCTATTGGTTGCCTTAAAACACGATACGACGAGAAATGGTCACGTCAATCTCACAGCGCCAATAACAGGCCGACTGACCTTGTTACTCCGCACCATGCAAGAAGTTGATTCGTCCATCTCGTTCAAAACCCGTTCTTTTCAAGAACATCTTCCGAATGGCTAAACAGATGGGTCAAAACCAGCGATACACCCCGGCGAACGGGGAAAGATCTATCCGTCTGAGAGAACACTACTCAGAAGCAGTCAGTGACATTAACTTGTTTCATCACGGACTTGACAGAGACTCCAAGTTGTAGTTAGAAATGCGCTGGCAGAGACTCTGAACCCTGACCCTCCACAACGGCCCACACACAACAAGCGAGCCCTAGATGAAGAACAACTCCATGGCCATCGCCACCAACCATCCACCTGCATCAGCAGATGGGTATCATCGTCAGCGCCGATGGTTTAGTGGTAAAATTCTCCGTTGCCATCCAGCAGCGTCGGGGAGCCGGGGGTTCGATTCCCCCTCGGCGCAACCTTTTGCTTTTCAGTCCTAAAACATCGTCTTGAAACGATACGCAACTCATTATACTAACATTGAAGCATGCCTTTCGCTCTAGTTTTGACTTCGAGGAAGAATTTGACTTAGACAAACTTTTTAGCTGATACGTACAGACTAAAGGATCAACTCGCTTTGCTTGTATTGGGAGACAGCCTGCAGCAACGCTGCGCCTCTTGCCCGCAGCTTCACACCATTGGGCCCAGGTAGTGATAGAACATGCAGGTCATGCAGACTCAGGAAGCCTACATACAGGCTTACTGCAAGGCTCACTGGTGTTCCCACTCTGAAATCTTCCCCCCTCACCTACGAAAGGTCACCACCATCTTCGTCTTCAAAGGCTGGGTTTCTAGGAAAGACGCCATCTCGAAGTTCACAACCACCACATCCTACACGGTCTGTATGGATCCTTTATCGATCATCGCCAGCGTGGCTGGCATCTCCCAGGCCGGGGCTTCGCTCTCCAAAGCCATCTACAAGCTTATCTCTTCCACGCGCGGAGCACCCAGGGAGATCGCCGACATTGCGCGCGGCATTTCCGAGCTTTCAGTCATTCTGAGCGAGCTGCGACGTGTACTCCGGGATGGAAAATCACTTTATCGGCGAAAGTTGCTCAGGAAAATATGCTCAGCGATGAGGCGGATCGGGAAGATTCAGCTTGCTATCGGCAGATTGATGGATGTAGGAGGCGGGGTAGGGCGTCTCAAATGGGCTTTCCGACGGTCGACCAGTACGCAACTGCTCTATCAGATTGAGGCGCACAAGGGTGCAATCAACATGATTTTGCATACTATGACGCTCGCTGTTCAGATTCGAGTGTTGTCTAGGTGAGTTGATCTCGCCCACGTCTAGAAAGCCAGTGAGACGAGGAGTCCTGATATTGTGCCAGCTTTTCGGAGAAAAAGGACGAGATTGCTTCTAAGCCGGAACTTGAACTTGAACGAGACCTCAGCCGTCAACAGGCGGAGAACATGGTCGAGTCATCATTCCAATCTCTTCAACAACTCACCGCCGCCAGCACTCCTCCTCAACAGGACACGGACTCGGAAGATGATCACGCAAACCCCAGTGATGCCAGCAACAACACCCAGAACCAACTGGTTTTGTGGAACGGCGGGCCGGACGACACAGCAGCCTGGCTCTACCGAACCGTGTTCTCCTCCTATGCGGATTTGCTGGAGGAAAGTGACGGCGATGAAACCAAGTCCGACTCGAATGGCGATTCGGACGAAGAAGAAACACGTTTGCAGTCATCCGCACTGAGCCTTCAACTTACCGGACTCGGATCTGCGTTTAAGAAACCCAACGGATCCCAGAACATCGTGAACGAGCTTCTCGCTGAGTGGACTGTCCTGACAAACGAGGAGATTGATGGGGTAGAAACGATTCCCAAGACCCCGGAGGCCGATTCCGCAGCTGAACCTAAGATCGAGGAGCCACTGAACATCACAGACGCGGTGGGGAGAAAGTTCATATTTCCATTCCACAAGGCGAAGACCTGGGAGGTAAGTTGTTATCATGAGTGCATACTCTCTTCTCCGTGGATATCTTTGCTTAGTTGAAGTCAGGGGTTTTCAAAGCTCATGAAAGAGGCTTTTTTACACGTAGACATACTTGGGCCACATGTTCAAGAAGAACATTATGACATTGTATCATCGGAATCGAACGTCATCATGCTCCCCAGCCTCTGGGCCGACCTAGTCAAGCCTGGAGAAACATTCGAAATGCGCATGTGGCCAATCGCTGACCTGAAAGCTAAGATGGCGCCGTTTACGGGAGGGCCACCTGGTATGCACCCACGAGGACCGTTCCCACCAGTACGTTTTCAACCGGGTCCGCCTCCTCCGGGAGCTGCATCTCCAAGACTGCCTCCTGGTGGCATGAAAGTACCGGTGCTTTCCCCCGCAGGACCTCTACGACCGCCCCCTGGCCTTCTAGCGAAGCTTTCCTCTTCGGAAGCTCCGGTTAAAAGCAAGTCACCTGAGCCTCAGTCGTCTACATCAAAGTCCACAAAGAGTAGGTCACTTTACTGGCTCGAATGCTATTGATACTTTTCATGAAGCAATGCTGACCAAAAAGCAGAGAAGAAGTCCGCATACGTTGAAAGCGACTAACAGCAATATTTACTATTTTCGGGGGTTTTGAATACATACTGAATTCCTTCTCAAGTCCATGGCGGCGGCCGATAGCTCCACAGCTATCGAACTGGGAGGAAAAGTACTTCCGTGAATGATTCTGGTGAATGAATATACACTGTTAGAACAGACGGCCAGCTGGAATTCCTGAATACTCATCGAATGCGAAATATGCATATCGTGGTCACATAGGACTACATGTTCGTTTCGGTCACGGTCTTAAGCATCCATTATCTATGTTAACTCCCCTCCGAGAAATCTGATCAAAAAGCACGTGAACACGAAGTAAATAGGTCATTGACGCTGAACAAACTCAATTCCCATGCATCAGAATTTACAAGAAACACAACTTTTACGCCAACTTCTCACGAACCTGCTCGCTAGAGCCCTCATACCCATTCCCAATCTCATCAACAACCCACCTCTGCCTCCCATCCTCCCCCATCTTCAACCCATACGCATACTTCCTCCCCATACTCTTGATAGCCCTACGCGAGCTCCTCTTCCCCATCCCGGAAACGACGTCAAACTCTGCCACCATCGTCGTCCCTGCGACATACGTCATCACCGCCGCCACGGAGTCAGGTCTACGAGGCAGGTAAGGCAGGCTCGAGCGCCAGTAGAACACCAGCCCCTGCACGACGAGCATTATCGTGGCTATCACGACACAGGCCACGCCGCAGAAGATGTACTCCCCGCGGAGCTGGCCCGGCCGCCAGGGCAGACCGCTGATAGCGACGACAAAGAATTCGGCAACTAGGGCGGTGAGTGCTATGATTGCGGGGATGGTGTAGCGCAGTTTTGCGAGGGGGTAGATGCCGAAGAGAGGCACGCTGTTGCCCTTCTTGAGGATCGTGTCCCTCGCGTCGGAGGGTTTGGCGTGCATTCGTGCGTAGGGCGCGAAGTTCTGGGCATCGGCGAATACCATAGTCCAGTATCGAACTATCAGGATACCCGCCAGGGTGATGCCGATGCGAACTCCTGTGATTTGTGAACGGGTGGTATAGCCGAAGATCCGACGAGGGCTGTCAACATGTGTCAGGGCCGCGACGGAGAAGCCTAGTAAGGCGAGGTGGAACACGACGAAGATGAGGTCGGTGAGGAAACGGATATGCGTCCATGGGGTATCGAGCGTGAGGCTGGCTTTTCTCTCGACTGCGGTGGACTCGAGACGGTGCATGAGACCTGGACTATCTGCAGAGACCGCTGCCGGCACGAGACCATACTTCTCGCCGTTCCGGGATGGGAAAGTGCCGAGGTTGAACTTCTTATCTTTCAGGTAAAGCGCGAGCTCAGTCTGCGTCATGTCCTTCGGGATCATTCCGAAATCGCTCTCGATCTGGGGATGGCCCATGACCGCGGCGACGCCGGAGATGGTTGTTGCATCGACGTTGATCCGAGACGGCGTCTTGAACCATAGACCGATCGCGTAAGCCAAAGCCACAGAGATAAGTGCCAAACCCGCCGTCAACGTGTTCATGGCCCACGGATTCCTGCTCAACCGGGGCGGGCAGGGCGTGAGGTCGGTCGATGTAGCGGGTATACCACACCACCATGCATCCGGCGTCACGGCCTCCACAGCCACCGCGCTGCCGAAGTCTACGAGGAACAAGCTACCGGCGATGGGAGCGAGTGTGATGGCAGAGCCGGCGAGTGCGGCGCCTGAGGCTCCGGCGTTGGTCATAAGTTGACGCAGAGGTTCAAGGGCTGCGATCCGGGGGTATGCTACGTTGAGGGCCATGACGAAGGCACGAGCTGTGATGATAGGGACGTAATTACCAACAACCACCTGTCGAACGCTAAAGGAGTTGTCTTTCGACTCGGGTTTGGGAACGCGAGCGGTCGATGTGTCTTGTGACTTGGCATCCTTAGCTGTCTCTGTTGGATTCAGAGTCAGACGAGCAGGAGTCTCGATGGTCTTTGTATCAGAGATCACTGAAGCTGTGTCTGATTGAGATACCGTTGGGACTGAGTTGGTGGGAGTCTGCTCAGGGGCGTCCGACGTCGGAGCACTTTGTGTGGCGGACCTCTGATCTGATGCGGACTCTTTTGTCGACGCTGACTGTCTGTCCGACGCTGACATCGGTCTTGATTTCCGTTCTGCGGCAGTCTCTGCCATTGTCGGCGAAGGGGGACTGTGAGCCGTCGGCTGGTCATCGGCCGTGGCGTCGGATGCCGTTGGACTCACCAACAGAGGTGCGTTGGGCGTGGCCAACTCATCGCTCAGGTCAGGCCTCCTCAGGTTTGAGGAAGAAGAGAGGGTATCTGGAGTTGCTTGGGGCTGAATATTACTCTGAGTTGCCGGAGATATATCGGGGTTAGATGGGTCGACATCAGAGGGGACAACAGAATTCGGCACGGATCCCAGGCCCCCAGACGGCGACGATAGTGTGGTATCGCCACCGGATAACGGAACGGCGGTGACAGACGGGTCGACATCAGAGAGGACAACAGAATTTGGCACGGATTCTTGACTCCCAGGCGGCGACGACACTGTGATATCATCACCAGATAAAGCGGAAGCGGTGACAGACGGTGCTGAACTCTCAATAGCTACGATTACCGGAGTAGTAGCCCCATCCGATCCTGAGAGTGCAGTCTCAGCTCCTGAAACCGCCAGAAAAGGGCTGTCAAATGTTGCAGATGGCGCTGTTGGACTTCCAGACACCAGGCTTGGGTTCGAGGCAGCCTCGGTCCCTACTGGACTGCCAGCAAGTGGTGAGGCGTCTGATGGTTGCAGAACACTATCAGATGGTGCATCTTTGACGGACGAAGGGGAGTTAGACTGAAACCCAAGAGCAATAAAGCTCGGATCTGTGGCCGAGGGAACTAGGTCGGTAGCAGTTGGCTGGATCGAGTCTACTGGTTGGCTTATGAGAAGACTCTCGGGGGCACCTGGTGAAGGCTCAGAGACGGCTGTTGCCTGGTCCTGGCTCCCAACTGATAATGTTGGTGCTGATCCGGTTGTGAAGGAGGCTGTGTTGATTGGAGATGGTCCTTCTCTGAGAGATGACGTTAGTTCGGATCCGGCTGTAAAGGGAGCTGCGTTAATTGGAGATGATTCTCCTCGAAGGGGTGCTGAGTTCAGGATGCTGGGAATCGCTGTCGTTGGTATTGAGTCATCCTGAACTGGTCTCGTCGACAGCAGCAGCGAGTTCCTCGAGGTGTTGCTGCTTGGGCCCTCTGCTGAAGGTGATACTGCCAGGAGTGTTGTTGAGAAACTTCCAGACAGTGGGATTGGAATGATGCTTGGATCGTTTGCTGGAGTTGGTCCTTCTGGGAGTGTTGCTGGTAGACTTCCCGGCTGTGGGACCAGAGTGATGCTTGGGTTGTCTACCAAAGACCCGCCCGTGGAAGCCGTCATGGGCAGACTTCCCGATTGTGGTAGCGGGGTGAGGCTTGGATCGTCTACCAGAGGCGAATCCGTAGGCAAGTTCGTCTGCAAGCTTCCTGACTGGGATGGCGAAGTAATGGTAGAGGCGCCAATCTCAACTCCACTTGGAAACGTAACAGAGCCCGCGGGTTGAATGCTCTGAAGCCCTGAGCTGACGCTGGCAATAGGTGAACTCTGTTGCGATCCCAGAATTGAAACGGGAAAAGCCTCTGTCGGGCTCGATGGTTGTGGCGTTCCGGGCGAGGTATTGATGTTCGGCGTCGTGGGTGACACCGGTGAGATGGGCGTTACGGAACCGGATGCTACTTGACTTCCACTTTGCGAGCCGGGCCCGAGGGGGGTGGGTGTGTTGCTTTGCGAATTGATGCTGATAGATTGAGAAGTCGCCACAGTACTTGGAACTCCAGTGGCGGTGATGCTTTCAACGGATGTAACTCTTGGGGCAGACGTAGCGCTGGATTCAGTTGCGATGCTAGAGGCAGGCGTCGTTGTAGGTTTAGTTGTGGCAATAGGTGTCTTGATGATGGATATCGTAGTTGTGGGATTCCTGGTGATGGATGTCGTGATGGTGGAACTCGAGGTGATGGGGCGCGTGGTACTGGGAGTCGCAGTACCCAATTCAGTCGAAGCAACAGTCCCCGACGTTCCCGACTGGCTTGAGATGAAACTGGTGGAAACTAGACTCGTCTCTGAAACTGAGCTTGAATTAACTCCCAGGCTTGTCGTAGAATTACTCTCTGGAGTCGTGGTCAGAATTCCCTGCGAAGTCACAACGACGGAAGTCGGGGCGAAAGTCGCATCTGAAGTGGTGATCGACCCAGTCTCTGACGTGATTACCGAACTGCTCGTCTCTAACGTGGTGGCAGAGCTGCTCAACGGCGTCATAGTCAAGCTCATCTCTGATATCGTCGTCGAAATCGTCTCCAAGGTCGTATCCAAACTAGTCTCCGAGATCTGTGACGCCGTGGTTGAACTCGCCTCCAAATCGGTGCTCGTAGTAACGTCCGAAGTCGTGATCGAGCTTGGCTCTAAGCTCGTCTCTGAGCTCGTCCCTGGGCTCGTCTCTGAGCCAGTGCTTGACGACGCAGAGCTAGTATCCAAGCTCGTCGTCAAACTTTCGCTCGTAGGCGTATTGGATGTCGTTTCCGCCAAAGAAATGCTGGATGAAGTTCTGCTCGACGACGTAAGTATATTCGGCGTGGTCGTCGTCAAAGTCTCGCTCGCTGACGTATCAGAGGACGAGGAGGCACTGGAAGTACCACTCGACGTCGTGTCCGATAGAGAAGTACTGGAAGAACTACTACTCAACGAAGTACTCGTCAACGTCACGCTTGTCGTAGCAGTGCTCGTCAAAATAATCGTCGTTGTGGGATCATAAAACGTGTCGGTGGTCGTTGAGCTTTCACTCGTTGAAACCGTACTCGTGGGGGATGATGAAATGGTTGAGTCGGATGTGATACTGCTTGTCGATAATGGAGAACTGCTGATCAAAGGAGTGTTGCTTGTTGATGAAGAGCTGCTAGATGAAGAGCTGCTGGACGAAAGACTGCTGGTAGAAGAACTGCTCGACGAAGAACTGCTGGATGAAAAACTTCTCGATGAAAAACTGCTCGATGCAGAACTGCTCGACGAAGAACTGCTCGCGGAAAAGACTGTAGTCGAAGAAGCGTTGCTTATCGATGAAATGCTCGTTGTCGAAGACGTGCTGATGGATGTCGAGGTGTTGGGCGGTATCGGAATACTACTCGACGTCGAAACATAAATAGACGTGCTAGACGTCGAAGTCGTCGGCGGTAAAACAACCGAACTCGATGACGAGAAAGAAGGAGATGACGACGATGAAGGCTGTAAAGGTGGCAGTGAACTCGAAGATGACGAAGGAGCGACATATACTGAGGAACTTGACGAAGAACTCGACGAAGAGCTGGAAGATGACGAAGGAGCGACATATACCGTGGAAATCGGCGAAGAGCTCAAAGACGAGCTCGTTGACGATGATACCACCAGCGTGGACGAGGAAGACGAAGGAGTCACATACACCGACGAACTGGACGAACTGAACGAACTCGTCGTTGACGTCGTAACCACCGTCGTAATCACCGAAGACGTCGTCGGCGTCAACGTCGGCGTCAACGTCGGCGACGTCAACACCGGCGTCAGCGTCGAACTCCCCGGCCCCGAATCCGTAACCGGCGTCGTAACAGGCGGCACCAGCCCCCCCGTCGGCGTAGGCGGACAGACCAACGTCGCCCCCGTCCCCGTCGGATCGAACGAGTAATAACAAACCTGCCTCCTCTCCACCTCCACCTCCTCCCTCTTCCTCCCTCGAACCTCCCCGCGGACGTTCATCGCATTCCACAATGCCTCCTGCCTCCTATCGATCCTCCCCTCCCCGGGAACCTGGTACGTCGACTTGGAGCCGTCGGGGAGGGCGCGGTTCATGCAGGCCACGAGCGCGATGAGGCCGAGGGAGACGATGAGGAGGGCGATGAGGGAGGTGAGGTTTACGTAGAAGGGTTTCTTCTTTGCGTTGGTGGCTCCTGTGCCGGGGGGTCAGTTCACGAGATACTGAGAGGCACCTCTGGCGTGGTTTACTTACTTGTTGGGTCGATGGACTGGTAAACCTGCGCCTGCGCCTGCGCCGGCTCTTTCTTGGTCAACCTCATGATGGGAGAGAGAGTGTGTGTGGTCACCGATGCATCAGCTCGGATTCCCCAAAAGAATGGCAATAATCAAAAAGAGAGAGTACTGAGAGCACAGGAAGCTCTTCACGGACACCTGGGACAAATCCACACGCACACAGAAACAGGTCAGAATCCCCTCGGCGTCAGGCCTGAATAGCCTCAGGGCATCTATATACCAGACCCATCCACCGGCCAGAGAGAAGCCTCGACGACGCCGTCTCCAGCCATCTGCAACGTCAAAGACGAAACTCCCAACCGTCACCGCCTCCATACTCACTTTGGACGGAAAGAAACAATAAAAACGACCATGCCAGCCCGCCTCACCCTGTTGTCGGGATTCAATCCAAACAGGAAATCCGTAAGCCTCCAAGAGACGTCGGGTGGCATTCAAAGGAACAAACCGACACAGCCGCGACAGCGTCTTCACATCAAAAAGCCACGCACGTGGGAAAGACATCCAGACCCGGCGCGCAGCAGCCCGAAATAACATCTCTTCTTTCACTCGATCGGACTCGAGACGATACCCTGATACAGCGGCTTCCCATGACAGCTGTCGCAACTAACCATAATGCGGCGCCGAGGTTCCGGTTCGGGATGCGAGGGCGCATTCTGTAACGACGGGCTTAGGCTGCTAAGCTCGACGGCATTGAACATCCCTTGGTTCAGAGCCATGTAGAAACTCCCCGCGAAATACTGCAGTTGAGTCGAGAGTGTGTAGTGACTTCGCGATGTAGTCGGTGATGCTCGATGGCGTCGGCACTGGCCGTGGATCAACGGTCCGGGACTGAGTCTCCATACGCGGCGAGATACCAACCGCGCATCGGTAGCAGCTAAACTTGAACGTGATCAAATCAATCCAACCGCTTCAAAGAGGAAGAGGCCGTTCCACTGGGCTCGGCAACATCTCCAAATCTCGATCACACCCACGAACCAACCCCCAAAAACAACGCAGATCATCCCCCCAACTCGAACAAAATCCAGATCAAAGACCCTTCTTTTTTCCTCCCGGGACGCCAGCACTAGCCAGCGCCAAGCTCAAGCCCCCCGAACCGCCCAGTCTCCGGATGCAGCCGAAGGGACAAAACAATGCCCATCCTCGAAACAAGTGGCCGCGGAAATGGTTGCTCCTCGAGGTATTCCATTCACTCCGTATCAGGTTCTCGCGGCAGTCAGGCGAACTAAACAAAGTCCCGGCGCTCTTTTTCGGACTTCATGCCCTCATCCCAACAATGAAAGGATGAACCTCGCAACGGCCCCACGTCAATACCGGCTTCAGGGGGGGACAACACGGACCGAGGCCTGGGCTGTTCGATGTAAGGTGGGAAAATTTGCAGTGCAATAAATTTCGCCTTAAGATGTCAATTCTCAATAACAAGGGCGGGAAAAAACAGCATCAAGACCGGAAATGACGAGATGAGGTTGGACGGCTCGCTACCCAAACTTTCGCGCTCGCGACAGGACGGCGCCTTAGCTCGTCATCTGTGGCTCTAAAAACCCTTGTGTCCAGTCGCGAATCAGGGCTCAGTGATGTGTAAGAGGAATTGGGGGTTCCCCGACTGGCGTGGGGACGGCGACGGGCAGAAGTCAGTAAAGCACATGTCGAGACATTGGGTAAGTGGGCAAGATGATATGGACAGGTTCTTGTCTGTTCAACTGGTGAAGTTTCCATTGTTTGGTTTGTTTGTTTGTTTGTACACTCAACGGAGGTTTTCCAAGACCCCCTCAGTGGAGTCGAGTCGCGCCGGAGCTGAACCCCGTCAGCAACACGGGATTGAGAGTAATCCGTAATTATTCGTAGGGTGCGCTTCATCACTCGGCCGGCGGCGTTCCCGTTCCCCGCCTCGTCGACCAGGTTGGCGGAAAAGGCATCAAAGTGCGGGTGAGGCATCAAGATAGCCGGATAGATAGATATCTTTGTAGATTTCAACTTTGATGATTCCCAGAGACGGGATGCCCAAGATCGATCTGCGTGGCGAGCAATTCGGAACCTGATCCGAAAGAGCCCAAAACCGAGAGCGACCTGACTTCCAGAGCCAAGAGACAGGCTGACGGCTGAACGTGGTGCATTGCTTCGTACGTGGGCCATCAGTCGTGCGCATCTGGCATCAACTGCTGGAAAACCCACACCGCCGCTGCACCCATCTGCACGTTGCTGCTTTCTGCATGCATACAGCTGCAGCAGGGCGCCAGCGACCGTTCGGAGTAGCCCGTCGACGAGACAGCTGACAGAGTCGCCGGACTAAGTGGGAATCTCTTATCGCGTCATGCCCAGGGCCTCGGGAAGCCTCCCCTCGTCTCCGTATTCGTCGTGTCTGGGGACTCGCCCAAGATGCGCAGATCGGCCTGATCAGGGCATTCGGCTCGGTTGGTTGGTTTCTTATCCGTCAGATTCGGTTTGGCGCTGCCAATCTCCCCCACAATTTCTCGTCCTTCATCTCACTTCCATCGCCAGACGCTCATCGTCGTCGACGTCCTTCATGTCGGAAAACCGAAAACCGTTCGTGTGTCTCGGGTTGGTCGTTTCATCTCTTTCCATTGATCTCTGTCCCCAACCTCGTCCCCATCCCCTCTGGTATCGTGGTATCGGGTCATCCTCTCCTCCGCAATTGATAAGTGCTATTGTACAGTGTCATTCCAGGGTAGAAGAAAAAGAAAATACGTGTGCTCGCTGTAGTGTTGGAATCGGAAACCCTTGACGCCGGCCACGATGTATTCGTGACGTTATGCCCTGAACCCAATACTCCGAAAATTCCATTCGCCCTCTCGTCTCCTTGATTGAGGTATCATTGATCCCATCCTGACAACCCGGGTAATCGCCTTCGTTTGCCTGCTCGAACTGGCGTTTTGCGGCCGTCGCATCGTAGCATCTTTTGTCGAATTAATATTTTGAGTATATGAAATGCCACTTGTCCGTGGCTCGTCGTAGGTAAACGATATCGTCGTTTCGTCTCGTCGCAGCTGGGCGTAACACGCGGGTCCAACTAGATGAGTGAGAACTTGGAAGGCGCCATGTGGCCCAAAGCCGCTGCCAACGCCGAGTGCGAGTCGGGGGCGTGTTCCGTGTAATGCATGTCCTCCTCGAAGTACGGCAGCACCTTGATACCGCAGTGCTGCTGGAAGAACTGAACGCCAACGCTGTAACGGTCTCTGCATCGTCTGTCCCAGGGATCGATCTTCAAAGGGCTGTGGAAGCAAAATGTGTGGTGTTCTGCGCCGCGAACCGGGAAGACGAGGCCGGCGTCCTTCATCGTATTCCATAAATCCAACGCTTCCAGCCGGGTCGACTCGCCGTTTGGCCACGCTGCTTGCAGTAGCTGCACGACAGCGTAGCGAAGCGACAGGTCTTCCGCGCTGCCCTGTCCATGGCGACCTGCAATCTGTCTCCTCATTGGTTGAAGTTCCGTCAGCAGTTTCTCTAGCCTCTCGGGGTTGGCGTGATTATAGAATATGGCCAGATCGATCCATGTCCTCGCAACATAGGGGTGTCGTCGTCCGTAGATGGCCTCGAGTTCTTCGGCAATAGTCGGAATGCAGCCCCAGACCAGCTCGGAAAGCGTGATCGGGCCGTGCTTCTGTTGCACTTCGTATAATGTCGAGAAAGTCTGTCGAAGAGGATGCGATCGTTCGAAGTTGGTCGTCGAGTAAGCGGCCAGGTACTTGCATAGCGCAGTCATCATGCCGGCGTCGCGGTGTACCATTCCCAAGAGCAGCTCCTGGATACCTTGGGGTGAAAGCTGCTTCAGGTCCATCTCCAAACGTTTGAAAGCCCTCATCAACAAGTGGCCGCCTGCATCGTGCTCACCCTTCTCGAACTTCTTGTTGGCATCGGCAAACATGTCGCTGGAGCCGGCGCCCCATAGCATAATCGATGTCCATCCAATCTGGCGGTCCGTCTCGACCTCGAACTGGCGACAATGCAAGAACGCCTTCCTCATGTTCCCGACGATGGCTTCCTGCGCTCGGATCAAGTCTGGTGACTGCAGATAGCCCGGAGCGGGGGGCGGTGTCGGGGTACGGCATCGCACATACGCCGGAAGCTGAGCTGGCGTTTCGAAGTCGACGAGATCGTATTCGGTAACTCCTTTCCTCTTGAGATACGTGCCCAAGTTGACGACCCTGCCGTTTCGAACGAATTCGGAGACCTTGCCCTCGGCGTCGCGTTGAAACTTCATCGAGAGCAACCTCTTCACCTCGTCTTCGGTGTTATTCTTGACAAATCCCCACTGAGAGAACCGTGTCTTGTACATCTTGGGCCTGCGATGGTGAGATGGTGTGTCTGTGTTACATTGATTGTTAGACCTACGTTGCTTGGAAGCCATATTGATCAGCCATGATCTGCATGACTTCTTTGAGGGGTCTCCTCTCCTCCAAATACAATGTTTTGATGGTTAGCTTGAACGACTCCCATGCCTCGGCGGGGACCTGCTCTCGCGACGGCCGACTGCCTGTTGCTGGCTTGGGCGTGGGTGGTGGTGGTGCGACGCTGGGCTGTCTGGCTTGGCCCTGCAAGGAGTCAGAAGATAAGCTTTCTACGCTGTGTTGGCACGTACCGGGAATGATGTTGATGGTGGAGGGCCAAACGGCGTTTGCATCCCACTTGGGGTCGGACGCACAAGAGTTGGGGCAGGTGTTGGTGCCGGGCTGAATGACGACGTTGCCGGGCTGAACGGCGTGGGTGCGGGACTGAACGGACCCGGGCTGAATGGCTGAGGAGGCGGGCTGAAGGCATTTGGAGGAGGACTGAAAGTAGTCTGTGGCGGGCTGAATGTATTCGATGAAGAGTTGAAGGTGTTCTGTTGCGACGAACCGAATGGACTCTGTTGCGACGAACCGAAGCCCTGTAGTAATGAAGCAAAAGGATCAGGTTGCGATGAATTGTTGAAGTTAGTTTGCTGTGATGAGTTGAACGTGTTCCGTTGCGATGAGTTGAACGTGTTCTGTTGTGATGAGTTGAACGTATTCTGCTGTGATGAGTTGAACGTGTTCTGTTGTGATGAGCTGAATGTATTCGGTTGTGAACTGAAAGCGACAGGCTGAGGTTGGGTAGGTTGTTGAGGCTGCTGAGGTTGCGTTGGCGGGGCGGGGTTCGAAGGACCAGAACGATTGTTTCCGTCACCAAATCTTTGATCCGGTGTGAATAACGGGATGTTAGACGGCGCCCGATCTAACACGGGCTTGGTACTCCTAGGCACTGGTGGACGATATGACTCCGGGGCACGAAAGTAATTGGGCGTTGCTGGGCTGTTGGCGACAGGACTTGTTATTCTACTCATCCCTGAAGCAGAAGCACTCATGCTCGTTGCGCTATGCATGCTGCCGTGCATGCTGCCAAAATGCGCCGATGACGGGCTCGCGATTGTCGGGCTTGCGACAGAACTCATCGGACTCATGACCCTGCTACTGCTCGGCGGTGCAGCACGTTTCCCTTCAAACCGAGCGATCAAATTTGATACTCCGGGCCCAGCAGGGCTAAGTTCGTCGAGCTCCATCCCGTCGTTCTGTTGCTGTTGTGGTACATGGCTCATCGAGGGGCCGGCGTTGAAGCGCGCCTGTTGCGCGCCAGGCGTGGTCCATTCCATTGACGAGGAGAAATCCCTCTGCTGCTGCTGTTGCTGTTGCGGCGGGCATGTTGAAGAGCCGCCGATGCCTTGCGGCATGCCAAACCTGGGATATGGTTGACCTGATGTGTTGAGAGTGAGGCCATGCTGACTGCCTCCGTATCCTGAACCAGAGGGAGCACCGCGGGGCTTGTCCCCAGAATGATTGAACATCGCGGCCGCGTCCGTCCCCCGATGGAGCAGAGGTTCGGACCGCTGGCTGTTGAGTTCAAGACTCGGACGAGTCAAAGCTCCTCGGTAGGACAGGTGCCTCGTGTCGTCGAATGCGATTCATCCAAGAAGCCCAGCGCGCTGCCCTGGTGGCAAGGCAAGCATCAATTGCCGTCAGATGGAGGGGGCTGCCACTGGGCCTTCAAATGAAAGACGAGAGCGTGGGAGGAGACCGAACAAAAGTGCCCATGATCGTCGCCACATAAAAGAGAAAGCCTCTCTGTCTCTCTGGCTGCCAAGTTAAAAATAGAGCGGCAGAGGAGAAAGCGTCATGGTCCAGTGTGGTAACCGATTCGAAAAGATTAAAGACTGAGCGAGAGCCTGAGACGGTTGGACTGGCACTGGTCGGGAAAGGTCAGGCTCTGTCTGGCTTGACAGGTCGGATTAGGACAAGGACAGGAACAAAACCGCTGGAAGAAAGGCGAAAGGACCTGGACTGGGCTGGATCGGACGGGTCAGAATTGGACTGACAGACAGACGGCAGGCAATGTTGTCTCCTGTAAAGAAGAAGGATGGGGGAGCCGTCACCATGACTCCAGATGCAAAAGCAGCACGTCTCGCCGTTATGGTAGGGCTCTCTCGCGCTCTCACTCTCTCTCTCTACTTGTCTCGACGACGAAGACCACTTTCCGCTGTTGAGCTGGTATTGGTCGGCGGTCGCCAAGTTCCTCCGTGTGGTGAAAGCTGCAGGCAAAAGTTCCTTCGCCTAATTTCCTTAACAAGGAAAGCGAGCGTGGCACATGGGTAGAACAAGCCCGTATCCCGTCCCCTTGGGGGGCAGCTCTTCCTCTCAATGATAAGAGGGCCTCTCTAGCAGCAGAGCAGCAGCTGGGTCCGTGGAGCTGCGCGAAGGGGGGGAAGAAGCGTTACATGGCCAATGAAGTTCTGGTAGTCTCCCAGTCCGGGCGTCTGCTAAACGAATGGGGAACCATTCACGACCGCTCTCGCTGCTTCGGAGCGGGCGCTGGCGGCCAATTTGACCGAGAGGAGATTTGGGGGGCCCTGAACAGTTCGGATGGGAGAGCCTGGAGGGACGGGTTCCTATCGAGAACGAGGAACAAGCTGGGGGGTGGAAGTCGGTTGGTTCATCCTGTGTGGTTGGTTCAGTGGGTAAGCATCGCATCGCGTACCAGCGCCGGCGCCGCTCCCAGTTCGCCCTACTGCGTCCAGCCTCTGGTCTCCGGCGCTGGTCCAGGAGACCCCCAGGATTTCGTCCCAAGTGTATCCAATGGGTGATGGGTAGCATGTCGACATGCTGCGGTAGGGCTGTGAGAAAGTGGTTGGAGCGCACCGCGAAAGACACAGGCGGACCAGCAATTCCAATTTCCAGGGTGGCTAGGAGGCGGGGAATCGTGACAATGGTGCCACCACAGTTCTGGATTAAGAAGGTGTGAAAGTGACCTGGCCGGCCTAAAAGACGCCAATGACTGAGTCCTGACTCAGACCACCAATCATCATCCTTCTTCGCCAGTATCCTATCGACTAGGCCCTCCCCCTTTTCGGAAAAGCCGCGGTGGGAGTCGTGGGTTGTGTTTTTATCAACTCTGTCGAGTCCTCTGGTTTCCGGCCGGGCAGCCTTCCGACATGGTCCTCGGTCCACATCGCTTCTCAGATGAAAGGCGTCGCTCGCCGTCGCGGATGAGTGATGGGTACCTCTCGCTGTTCGGCCTTGGTTAGCCAAGCAACCAACGCCAGCTTGGCCAGCCGTCCGACAAAAGCTGGGGGAGGTGCTGCGGGCGGAAGACTAACGCCGTAGAAGCTTGGTACATGTTCCAACGGCCTTCCACCAAGCCGTACTGGTGTCATCCGATAAGCCTCCCCGGGGGCACGGCCAATGGCCGTGATGCTGTCAGAGACATCCGAACGAACGCCGCTCAAGGCTAACCCGTTGAGTAAGTTGAAGGCTGCCATCACGGATGTGCCATTAAGCCACTTCCAATAGCCGGCGGCGGACCTGGCCAAGAAGGCGGCTTGGGGGCGATTTCCCACGGACTGGCCGCAAGACAAAGGAGATCTCTGTCTAGGAGCGCCACGATTCAGACTCAAATGCCAGCCGCTATGTGAAATTGGCATTGAACTGAAGTATTGGGCGGTTTTGGCGGACGCGGGGCCGCTGGCCAACATGTTTTCGGCCGGTGGACCACAGCCCATAATATCCTTGCTCTCCTGTCAAGGCCGAGGTGTGGCCAAAGCATCGACGACCTCAAACAACGGGATCTCTTGCTCCAAAGGCCTCTCTTTCTCTCATCAACAGAGAGCGTTTCGACTCTTCAGCCTCTGCAGGCCACCGAAGGCTGCTGAAAACAGCGGTATGTCTGCGTCTTAGCATACAGCTGCATGTCCTCGGAGGATGCAACGCAGGTTGCCGAAGCCTCCCATTGCAGTTAAGTGCCGGGTGTCAACCACGCTTCTCGAATTTTCGACCCCATAATCCGTGCAGCCAAGGAAACCCCTGCGGAGCGTCTCGCGAGCACGATAACCGGCGGCGGGCTCCATGTCAACCTAAAATGAATTTCAGCTGACAACAGTCTGACTGTCAGAGTGTTCCCAAGACAGATTGCAGTCGGGGACCGGGGAAATCAAGGGCGTTGAGCCGGACAGCGGTAGAAAATGCCCGGCCGAATGAGACCGCAATCGATGCGGCAATTGCTCTCCATATCAACGTGGGTACTGCCTCCCGGCGACCAAACCCCGTGAGATCCACGGCGAGAACGACGATGCCGTCAAACATTTGCCAGCAATGAACGCAATTTTCATCGGGGATGTGCCTGAAGCACGACTTGAGGACACGAAGACGTGCTGATGTCGCCATCCCACCAAGACCAGCCTGTAGATGTCGTCCCCGGGATCCATCATTCAGGGCACGCGAGCCGAGTGGCTCTGGGCGTTTGTGATCGCCTGGGGCTTATCCACTCTTCGGATGTGAAAGAGTGCTTTCCATGGAACATGGAACTTCTCGAATGCATCCAATGCAAAGTTTTTCCCATCGTTGAGTTGTGCTACAGATTGTCGATGATGTCCGCTTCGTCGATTTGGGGATGGACGTCAGAATTGAGGTGTGGCAGCCACGAAGCGATAAGAGGCGCCCGTTTATCTGCCCAACAGGTGCCAAATCAGCTCAGACCACGCCGCGAGCTGAACGAGGATATCTTCGCCGTACTGTGACAAGTCGGATCATTGTTGACTGCGGCGCGCGTTCCGTCTTTGAAATACGTGGATCGAAGTGGTCCGGAAGATAAGACGACAGAGTCCCACCTCGTTCCTTTGGGAAGGTAGATAGGGTACTTTCGCAAAGTCCCCGTCACGCCAAAGACCTATGCTAACCGCGACGACGACGGTTGTTCCAGCTTCACCGAGGCTGCCGGTGGCTTCTACCGGTGACAAGTCGGAGAGCGATGTTTGCCGGAGCCCTCCAGGGGGGATGTTACCCCAGAGTAGATGGAGTTGCGGACGTGTGTGTCAATGCAGAATGCAAGAGGTATGGCCTGGCCGAAAGTGACACAGAATCGTTGTCGACCTCGCAGATGATGCCTCTTGGCAACCATTCCAGTAAACAGTTCGTTCGTTTGACACCGGCTATGCACGGAAGTTGCTGGACTGCCGATCCTAACCTGCTCCATCCTCAAATGCAATCCGGGGTTATGGTTCGCCTGCAAGTCCGATGTCACCTCGAAATCGTCGTAGAAAACGCGATGGATGTTGGTAGCGTCTAGGTTTGGAATCTCGACTTCCGTATCTTGCAGACGGGTGTGGACTGGCAGACGACAATGTTAGCTTCACTCGTGTACCATAGCTTCAGGAGGGTTGCGAACTGTGGTGAACGTACAGGCCATTCTCCCATTGGGTCTGAACGTATGTCTATCAGGCCAAAGGCCAAGGGCCTATGGCTAGCTGATGGTGATAGGGTAGTAACTGGTGATGCGAGACCACCCTCGACACTCGATGGCGGTAACTGTTGAAGCTTCCTTCGGCAAGAATCTGGTCTGTGTTCAATCTACCAAGTCTTCGTTGGTCTTTTGCTCGTGAGGCCCGGTGCCCTGCTGCAGGCAAAGGCAGCGAGAGCTTGACCAGCACAGGAGCGGGCCCAAATGATGACGATTGCCTAGAGCGTGGGGGCCTATGTACTTCGAGGAGGCTTGCAGACATGCTCATAGGTATTTGGAATGTCGTGTTGAGAGTGTTGTAGATTCCGCAGACATGTCGTCTAGGCTCCCTGGTCTGTCGTCTTAGTAGGGTCCGTGTTGGGTAGCGTAACCCATCCTTAGGTCGTTGTTGATGGACACCCGCATGCTTATCAAGCGTTCCAGTACCGTTCCATCCAGGCCACGCGTGAAGATCAGATCAGCTTCTCAAGGTCTCGGGCACCCGATCGTCGACGAGATCACACGAGAGGCCACATAGGGGAGGTATCGTCGAAAGGGGTGTCGAGCTGCAGCTTTGCTGGTTTCGCTGGCAGGGCAAGTGGAAGAATGTATGAAGTCGATGGTGATTCTAGAAAGGACCACAGGAAGAGAAACTTTCAGGAGCAAGGCCTTTCGTCTGCTGGAAGTCGTGACTGCTCGAAGGGAAGGTGCCCTTCAAGACTGCCTTACCAAAGCGGAAGTCAAGTCGCTCCTTCCTCGAAGTCAAAACTTTCGAAGACGATATGGCAGCTGCTCAAAGCCACCTTAAAGACATAACTCCTTCGTTTTGCATAAGTCAGTTATGCCACATAGATAGATACATATTCATTCACCACGAGACCAATTACCCATAGGTATCGTGAAGTCCGTCTGGCCTGGCCAGCATTACACGGAATATCACTCCTGAGTTCTTTGAATGTAAAGCCTGATATTCTTTTAAATGTTACCAATACCTCCTGTACTTTACGATTTACCGCTCAGGTCATGGACATGGTCACGAAGCCAGGACAAGATATTTACCTCGGAGGGACCGTCAACGCATCAAGTCCGAGTCTTGTTTCGCATCTACAAGAGCTATCAGAGTTTGAGGTGGCATACGGTCTACGAGAAAAGCCACCTATGGCATCAGTTAGAGAGAACATGTAAGCATAGAGCTGAGAGCCCCTCGGAGTATGGATCTGGCGCGGAAGCCTGTGCCCAAACACCAAATGTAGCTACAGCCTTCTTCTTACGACTGTTTCCATAGTACGAGTAGAACACCTGTCTAGAAAGACCAAGCGAGACCCCTGAATGTAGGAAGATGCTGCTGTGTGCTCAATCGAAATGTCCATGAACTACCTATGCTACGGTCAGGGTGTGCCGGGGATATCTAGTCACTCGTGTGAAGCACATGTCGACTGTGTACATAACACCACAATCTGGAGACGTCGCTCCTCAACAGAACTTTCTATACCCGTCTGACTTGGTCCAAATAGATATAGAGACACATGATCAGACGTCAAGTACTGCCTGAGTCTCTCTGCAGGTCCCTAGAAGCCCGCTTCTCTCACTTCAGCGAAGAACACTGCAACAAGTTGGCCAGCAAGAGGGTCTTTACGGCCTCTTCCTCGCCACTAGACCGCTCACACATCTACAAGAAGGCAGGACAGACGACGGAACCACGTCACCAAGACCAGGGAGAGATGAGTGAAAAAATGTCCAAAGACATCAGATATTGTGGGGTATAAGACCTATCTAAGAAACGCCGGAAATAGAAACCCGACCGGGAGATCGCCGTCCCCCCGGACAAAAGCAATAATGATACAGAGTGGTGGATATATATGTACACGGCCCGAGCCGGCCCCGACGTCGGATCTAGACGTCTGGCGGAACAATGCAAGTAAGTGCTTAAGAAGACGATGCTGTGCTATGCTGGTACTCTCAAACCAAGACGTAGAGGGCACAAATCTGGGCAGGGGTTAGCTCTGAAACGGACAGTCCTCGCGAGGGGGAAATTACTTACCATGCTAAGTCCCATGACCATGGAACACCAAAAGCAGACGTTGTTAAGAGTCTTCTTCCCGCGCACCCACTTGGTGCGCTGCAGAACGACGATGGGCAACTGCAACATCTGGGCCACGAATCCGTAGCCGCGCAGCTTCTTCGTAATACACGCCATCACGATCTCGTGGCCGATAGCGGAAATGAGGAAGGTGATGACGGTGGCGGGGAAGCGGCCGATGTGCGGGCGACTCGCGCTGTAAACGTGGCGGCGCAGGAAGCTGTACACCGGGATGTTCCACTCGCGCGAGAACTCCATCCAGTCGGTCGAGTTCCACCAGTCGGAGTAGAAGTGGCGGTCGGCGAAGTGGGTGAGCTCGGCGAAGGCGCCCAGGGCGTACTCGAAGATGACGAGGAAGACCAGGAGGAAGGTGAGCATGAACGGGAAGAGGAGCCAGGAGATGCTCTCTGCCAGGATGAGCAGCGCTTCGGAAACGGGAGGGGCCGGGGTCGTATTGAGGCGCAAAGAGGCGTCTGTCAGAATTGGGAGGATAAACTCCTCTGAGATGACGGTCAGGAGGGAAATGCAGCCGAAGACGGCAACGATCTTGGAGATGAGGTTTTGCCAGTCAATGCGGGCTGTGCGAGGGTACTCGAGCTCGTAGCAGAGGGTCGGGCAGAGGAGGTAATCGAAGTAGTTGGACCACGTCAGGTTTCGGGGATAGGCAGTGTTGCCCATGGGAGAGGTGAGCTCTTGGGCAAGGTCCTCGCGGAGCTGTTCGATTTCGTCGGACGTGGACGTGGAGTCGGAGTCAGAGCTGGTGGCCTTCGCATCACGATTCTTGGGACTGCTGACGGTTCCCATCGGGTTGTCGGGGGTCGGGTAGAGGTAGACCGGGTCCTTGGACGCGGTGGAGGGGTCGTCGAGATCGCGCAGGCGCTTCTCCGTCTCGCTCAAGTGTCCGTTGTAGAAAGCCCAGCTGTGCGTCTTCATGAGCAGAACCATGGTGTGCAAGAGCAAGAACACCTGCGCGGTCCAGGTCCACTCAAGCACGAAGGGCACGGCGATCCAGAAGACAAGCCAGACGACCTGGTAAATGCTCTGGACGGCCATGCCGCCGTTCTTCCACGTGAAGGCGCTGTTGGCCGGGGCGGCGCGCCACACTCGGTGCAGCGGCAAGGACACCAAGGTGCTCGCGACCATGAGGAAGTCGGCAATGGCCAAGTGCCAGATCTTAATGGTGAAGAGCGTCCAGATCTGGACGCGCATGGGGTATCCCGTATCCTTAATGTTTCGCAGCATGGTAGTGATGGCCATGATGGCGAGACCGATCCAGAAGAGGTTGAAGAAGCCATGGAAATCGCGGTAGTCGGAGCTTGGATCGAAGTGGGAGACGCGGCTGGCGAACTCGATGGTGGGGAAGATTCGTCGACGTTGCTCAGCGCGAGCTTGCTTTCGCGCCGAGGACAAGGACTTGACGGAGGGAAGGGCATCGGCGGGAACGGGTGTCGAGCGGCCACTGCGACGATGATAATCAGCTTTGTGTTGGCAGAGGCTCCAGCTAGAGGGGAGGCTTACCTTGTTGTGCCGCTCGTCTGGCCGGTTTCCGACAACGGGGTCATGCCATTGAGCTCGCCGACGGAGCTATTGCTGACAGTTCTCGCGAGTTGTGAGTGTTGAGGCTTCTTCGGCCTCGGTCGGAGGACATGATCGTGGGTACCGCCGTTGGGCTCGGCCGCTGTTGATGCCATGGTGTCCGGATTGTTCGGGGTAGAGTCGGAGCTGACGCCGGTCGTTAGTCGGGAGGCTTGAGTGTCGTGAAGCTTGTCGCAGTCGGTGCGGTATCTTGCAAGGAGAAAGTCTAGCAAGTGAGATCTGGCAGTAGTACAATACTCCGTTGGTCGGATGCGTAGTACGCGGCCGTGGCGGCAATCGGAGGAGGGGTTGTGGTACGAATGGATGATGCAAGCGGCGGGCGTCGTTCAACGGGATCGCATCCGGCAAAACGCGACAGCGACCTGACGGGGGAAGATGGGAACTTTTTAGGTTCGTCGGGAAAAGGAGAGACGGAGACGGTCTCAGGGTCGCATTTCAGGGGTCGCCATTTCCTCGGGTAGTGTCCGCGTATCTGAGGCGACGTTTCCGAATCTCCAGTTTGTATTTCCTGGGCGAAAGCAAGGAGCTCAGGATGCCCACTTCGGCTTCTGCACGTCAGGTCAGTCGTTTTGGTGACTTGTTGGGGGTTCGGCTTTCGGGTCGCACCTGCCTACCTGCAAATTACGCCAGCCTGCACGCACTTTCCCGCGTTGAGAACTTGCGGCCACCTTTACGTCACCCCCCACGTGATGCATTCCAAGTGGATCCCGGGCCGGAGTGGGGTCCACGGCGTGTTTTGGCCAATCACGGACACATAAAATCATCCCGGGGGGCCGCTCCCGGCGATCTCGACAGGGGTGGAGACGCCCGGATTCCGCAGTTCGGCTCCGTGAAGGTTGAAGGAGGAGGAACTTGCCAACGTCATCTTTACCTCTTGATCAGGGAATCTTGCTCAAGTGAGTATCGAAGTCCAGTCTTCAGTTATCCAGCTGACCCATTTCTGAATTGCAGTCTGACGCGAAAGGAATCCGAGGGCCGTGTGGATCCGGAGGAGCGGCTCCGGGTGATATCTCGAGCATGCAAGGCTTGGAATGCATATGCACAGCCGCGACAGCCCTACGCGTGCAACTCATATGCGTTGGAGTATTGTTGGATGGCGTTGACGTCCGACCTGCAATATCACTGCTTTTAAAGTCGGTGCCTATTGCGGTCCCATCTCTGACTGGACGAAGATGTGATCGGCACTGGCGGTGCGTCTTAGCGCCAACGTCAGCATCCAAATTCGATCTCCCAGTAATAACGGTTCCATCCTCATTGAGCATTGCCACGTCGCTTGTTTCCGACTTTCGCATGTGTGGCCTCAAGATGCCCCGTTGCCTCCTCGTCTGCCGAGGAAAGGGAAGCGTGGCTGGAGATGTTGCCGGCATTGCACTGCCCGGCACGTGGGAGAACTCAAGGCTTTCATTTAGGCTCATTCCGCTTCACGTTCAAGCCACGAATCCACACACCGGAACTACAGACGACCAGCGTGCGTATCCCAAGTCTGCGATTGCTGTTGTCGCCACTTGCGAGCGCCGACCTCGTTCGTCCCAAGCCTCGCAGCGATGGTCCGATATCATGTAGTCGCTAACTGTCATCTGATAGTCGCTAAGCTAAATAGATAGTGTTTCAATCTTGAGTACATGCTCGCCGAGCTCTATCAGTCTCACTTCCTACACAAGGTTGCGGTCACCTGGGTCCAAACAAAATCATGGGCAACGCAGTCAATCCAGACCTCAACACGCTTTAGGATCCAAACCATTCTAGAGCGGATTGTAGGTGGTCACTTACTGTCTCCCCAGTAAATGTTAAGGCTGCTATCTAGGTCTCACTAGGGGCAGCGCCACCGCTCAAACCAAGTCGAAGCTTTCAGCATAGCATCGCGGCACACAGAGGCCTTGACTCGCCAGTTTGACAAGCCCTCCTGCTTGGGACTGGTGTGATCTCCGAGGCATGACAAAAGATGCACAAAAGTGGAAGTCCAGATAAAATTATCACTCATGAAAGACCATGAAGGAAACCGTACAGTATAGAGTGACCAAGTAGGAGATTCAGTAGTTTGATCGTGTTCCGAGTTCCGACAAGCGATAGGCTGCTATCGAACTGGTATTCATGTTATGCAATTGCACAACTTTCGAACTTCGAGCATCTTGAAGGTTTTCTCATCAAAGCTGAGATCTTCATGTACTAGCATTGAACAACAAGATCATTACCATCGTTACTGTCATATTGGGATATCGATCTACAGCGCTTCTCATGCAAGGCTTTCGGAGTCTAGAGCTTACCGCGTTCCAACGCAAGGAAAACAAGCCATCCTGACTGCTAGTACTTGAACTCTCTAGACGGACCGCACCTTATGTTTAGCTGCTCAGCTGTGTAAAGAGCTAGGCCACGAGGGCTGCTTTAGCGTATGCCCTACCAGCGACCGCCTTCCATTTAATTGGTAACAATGATCTGCCGTAACAAGTGCGGTTCCCTAATGTGTCGATCTCGGTTTTGGCTTCGTGGGTCGAACTAGACCTGGACTGAACGAAGGGACGCTAACAGTAGATGACTTATTCGTGCCCGTTCGTGCCCGTTCGTGCCCTTGTATTTTCTCAACATGGTCCTATTTCACAACGTCACTGGGATCATCAGGTAGGTAAAATTCAGCCGCATTTAAGCCACTGCATAGACTTATATCAACCACTGTGGCGATTGATGTCATTTCCCAACAGTATTCCACATGAAGCTAGACACATCTAGCGAGCAACATCAGCCTTCAACTCAGTCTGTTGGAAAGGGGCACCTTGTATCTCATCTGTGGTACGAGTATGTGTTTTACATATACAGCGTCGTTTTCTGCTCTTGAGCTTGAGGAGACAATCTCCTACGTCTCTTATGTTCATCTGTCTCTATGTTAGTATATCTTACGTACTCAAGATGAGGTCAAGATTCTCAATCGCCATCTCCATGGTGGTATCGATGTTGTCAACCACCGCCATCACAAGTCCTGCTCAAGCTCCAGCTTCCAACGTGTGTTGTACTGGAATCTACGGCGAGCTCAGTCCAGCACTACGCGATTTCCCCGTTGCGCAAGCCTTCTGCAAGGCCGTGTTTCCAGTCAAATGCACTACTTCAAACAACAATGGAGCAGCACCGCCAACATCTAAGTCGGGTACGATGAAACCTGCCGATGCTTGGTCGAAATGCAGGAAACAACCTGACAATGTAATCTCCACGATGTGCTCATGCATTCAGCCTGCACCCACGGTAAGTTAATACCTCCACATTTCTGGGTTGGATGTCAGACGCCTCCGCGAGAACAAGGCAGCCATTGAACTTTCTTCCGACGTTGCTGCTCGGGGTTTTGGCGGAAGCAATGGTGAATGGAATGCTGACTGCAATACTAGGCATGTGCTGCATCATCCAAGACACTGCCTACGACGACGACAAGCTCTACAACAACTCCAAGCACCTCGAAGAGTATGAGTCCTTCAGCACCGGCCAGCTCATCAACAACCACGATCCCTACAACAACCGCCAGTCCAACAATAATCATCCCAACGCCCAGCACCACAGAGTCAGCAACGTCATCCACAACTTCATCCACCTCAAGCGCCGCTCCCCCAGCACATACGATAGCTGCACCGCGCTGCAATTCGAGCCTGCTCGAAAGCACGAACGGAGGCTGCAACGACGCCTGCGTTTGTCAAGCCTCCCTCACAGGGCAGGAATACTGTATCTCCGACTTTTCTTATGAAGACTCGAGTATAACTTGCAACAGCGACGATGATTGTCCCCAGGGGGATTTCTGCGAATCGCTGGATACGACCAACCGCTGCGCTACTGGAACCAGACCAGGAAACATGTGCACGTCTAGCTACAACCCCGGCTCGAAAAGAAGTCTCGGTAGGGGTTTGCGAGCTGAGAGAAGTTGAAGTCCTGGGGAGAATTGAGAAATATAACACAAGTTTAAAAGAACTTGCAGTAGGTTGATAAAAGATCATGCATTTCGCCTGGGGCCTGGTTTTCTGTTGTGGAGGTTACGAAACGACAGTCAATTAATACAAAAGTTCACACTTGTCAATGACATTCACAACGGTCCTCACCATGAGAAAAAAGAGTGTCTGCGTTTAGCCACCAAACTCAGTAACATATTTAGATTAAAGAACAGCAAGTCTGTCTACAGTAGGATACTTCTCCAAAAGAAACACTCAAAACACCGCTATTCTTCAAGATTTCTCAGTACCCTCTACTTATCAGTCGTCTAGTAAATCCCCCACACGACGCAAAATGCATGCGTTTTGGTGCACGCCTCTGCATTCTTACTTGGACCCATCACTAATATGGCACGTCTGCGCTGCAGTTATCACATTTGGTGGTGTAAGAACTCGAGTAGGCGTAGTAGTGCTGGTGTCCCATTGTCAAGGTTTTTGCCAATCGTGTAGCGGAAGTATAAGCGTCGACTCAATGGAATGTATTTGACTGGATATCGCAGCATGGTAGGCTCGTCAAGGGGTTGACCAGATGGGAGCCCTGGCCAATGCTTCCGTTTTTGCGAGGCTTGTTATCACGATGCACTGCTATGGAGAAAGGTAGGCAATTCTCGGCTTAGATGTTCTGCTGTGAGGAGGTTGAAGTCAATTTCTCAAGAACCTCTTGTTCTCGGTCTGGGTGCTTTTCAAAGATGATTGGGAATAGCTCTAAGCTTGTCAATTCCATGCTCTAGCATCATTTGAGTAAGGAAGAAATTCACCACCAGAACGGGATACGCCTCTTAAAAGTATCTGGCCTTGTTGTTGGCTTCAATACCATACCAAAGCGTAAGGCAGATACCTTCCGGAAGGATACAAGAACTGGCATATTGAACTTGAGATCAAGATGATAACTCAGAAACGACGCCTGAAGTCCTAGTAGTACATGTAGTGCATCTTGAGCTACTGAACATTTGTACTACGTCCTCTTCGATCTACGTCCTCACGCGCATCAGTCCCAGTCCCTCCATGTCAGGGCCTTGTGCACCGTAGACCAGCGCTTATTAGGGGATTCGCAGGATGCAGTTCTGCACGTTCGACAGCCCGAGTTATACCGATCCTTCCAATACAACGAGTCTCTGAGGACTTCACACAGAACTTTGACTTCGTCTTGTTTTGCCCTCTCCACCGTATCCCAGCTGATTTGATAGTACTCTCGCTTTCCAAACCAGAAACTTTCGGGTGTCTTCGGTGCCGGACATTTGGGTCCCGTGCCAACGCACCACGCCATCCCCATTTCTTGCTGCGGAGCCTCTGCTTCGCTCGGCCCTACCACTGAATCCGGCTCAAGATCATCTGGGTCGAATACCGTATACAATACCTCGCAAGGAGGAGGATCGTATACGACTGCGGCAAACAGGCCGATAGAATATGGATGGCCAGGCCAAATTAAAGCCAAATATCCCACCTTTGGGACTGACAATTGGCAGGTACCCTGACAGCACCATGTTCCTCTCCAGTCGTCGCCCAGAATAATCAGACTGTTCTCGCCATCCAGCGTCTGGTATCGTTCATTTTGCCTCTGACCATGTGTAAGGGGTCCCGCCTTGACACCCTGCACACCGTTTGGGACAGCGCCCCCGGAGTTCTCGGTGACTTCATAGAGCTGTATAGTGCGTTCGGGTGCCCATTTTCTTTGTCGTTTGAGCACCAAGTTTCGAGAATCTTGACAGGTGTGAAACAGTGCTTCTTGCGGCGTGAATGGCCGGTTCGATAGTATGTCGGCTGGAGGAGCAGCTTTTCTGAGGCGTGGTAGCCCACTCGATGTGGCTACCTCAATTGTCTTGTAGCCACCGTCGGATTGCGGAACGTGCGCAAAATGAACGGCGGGGCGTTGCTCGAGTGCGGCATCCCATATTAAGTGCTTGAGCTCGTTGGGGAGTCGCGAAAATTGCGGGAACGAGTCGGGTTGATGTTGCGTCATTGCGTGTGGATTCGAGATTGCGTCTGGGGAATGTGATAAGAGGTTTAGAACTTTTCATGTACAGTGAAGACTTCTCGAGAGAAAGATCTAAGTGATGTGCGTTGAATTTATATCATTGTTGACATCCAGGTTGTCGTGTGGCGAATTGAACCTTGGGCAGAAAGTGAGTGAACTCCGAAACCATTCTGCTGCTTTGAGTGGTAAGTTCAGAGCTTTTACTTAAGCAGGACCAAAATATGGCAGAAATCATACCTTGATGAGGAATTCGTTACTCCGACGAAACTCCGTGAGAGCTCTGAGATCCCCTTTTCAAGAGTTTAGATCCTCAAACCCCAGCCATCATGGCTGTCGCGGGCACCGCGAACACCGTACCAAGAAGCGAAGAAGTGCGATTCCATGCCGAAAAGGAACTATAATGAACGTGTATCGCGTTCCACGCGGTGCAGTTGCGACCGTTGGAACAGACACCTCATGACGACCTGCGTGATCACGTCCGTCGACCGGTTGTCTGCGGTGTGCGTTTCGGAGACATCACACCCTTCCCAGTAGCTGTCTGTCAAATGGAAGGGCTTGGGGCTGACAACAGCTGGTCATTCACGGGGTCGAACTGTTGTGTCCTGAGCTGACTGCGTAAGCAACATCTTGGAGATGCTCGGTGTTGGACGTTGGGCAATGGGCGGGTAATGTAATAGAAATGGCGAAAGCTCAAGTAGGGGGTTGGCACAAGTTGAGGTAAGAAATGGCTAGAGACTGTGAGGGAGATGTCGATGGAGAAAGAAGTCAGTCAGCGCAGATCAGACAAATTCCGAGGTTGAGGGTTATTTAGCCCAGACGTTGTGAAAACAGTAGAATTTGCTGAGAGCTTGGGAAGTTTTGGAGGCCAACAGCCCCTTTCATGAGCACGTAAACATCAGTTCTTTGCAACTTTTCAATCAAGATACCGGACTAGATGTTATATATCTTACGCCGTTGTTCTGAACGTCACGTAGGGATGTATATCTCGGGCAAGCCATTCCCGAAATGATATCAGAACCGCAACTTTCACTCGGGACTAATAATCGCCGAGTCTCAGCGTCAAAGACAAGACTTCCACATATCTAACAGGGTACATAGACCCAATAATTTCATGTGGTTATGGAGGCCTATGACCTTCTTAAAATTGATGTCTGCTGTTCAAGAAAGCCAGGAACCGACACCAAGTAATATTCACGTCGACACCTGCTTCAAGGCAAGGTCATTCCCTGATCTCACATACCTTATATCCTAAGAGAAACCATCAAAGGTCGTCTCAGCTTTCCGTCATCTCCTCGTGAGATTACATACGGAATACGTACAAGCCAGATTACCTATCAGTGGAGATCAACATGTGATTGTTCAACATCGAAGTCTGCACTTCATTACAGGTAGATGAGGCTTCAGAACACGAAAGGAAGTGGGCGACCTTCAAGTTGTAATGGCTCAACAACGAAGCTACACAGAGTTTGATTTCCAGCTTCTCTCATGATCAAAGTATTTTTAAATATGATATATCCTTACTCTCATTAACGTCGTGATTTTCACTACTAAGTCCCTTTCAATAGTCCACTAAAAAGGGACGACGCCGCGATTACGTCTTAGTTACAACAATAAATATCCTTAAGAAAACGAACACCGTTATTTTCTGCAACGGTGTAAATAGCGGGAGAGCCGAAAAGACACGTTGTAACGAGCTAGGAATGCTTACTACAGTCTGGCTGCTGAATTCATCCACAACCACCAAGGCAACATTTTCCCATCAAACCAACCCATCTCCAGCTCATCGCCTCTCCGTATCATCTTGCGTATATCCCAGCCATCTAACACAGCAAATGAAACCTCCGAGGATAGCTTTAAACCATTTTAAATTTCATGTGAAAGAAGATGCTAGATCTGGAATTATTCCAAATGTCTTTAACTCTCTCTCTTTCCTAAAGACACAAATTGACAACATGGATCTCCTTAATGTCATTGTTGGGTTTAAGGAAAACGTGTCGAGATCATGCCCCTTTATATCTCTTTCCAGTAGAAGTCCATTCGTAGCTTCCCCTATTCTTCGTTTCTCAATCAGAGACGAATGTAGTCAAAGTTCGTCGCATGTGTCTAGGCACTTACCCCTATGGTATGACCTAGTACATATGCCCAAACTGCGCATCCAGCTGACTTCATCGACGGCCTCCAAGAGCAACGTGATCCCACAGAACCACCCAATCTCCAGCACTCATCATCTCTCCGTATCATCTTCCACATATTCCACCCATCACATATCACAAACACCCTTACCAGGCATCATCCCCTGAATTCGCACGTGACAAAACGAGAACGCGATGCCGACACCTTGGACTTTCATTCTTTCACATGCCCACGAAAAAAGGTCAGATTTTCTCAAAAAGGTTAAGAGACCAGCATACTGCCGTGCTCCGAGATCCAGCTCGCCGAAAGCTACTTATACCAAAGCCTCATCCACGGCCTACATCATTACAGGATGTGTACGACGCTCGCCCTAAATGGGTATATATGAACAAGCTCAGCTGAGAAGGAGTCTGCTCCGGAAGGAAATCATCCGGGGCGTCGCGGCTTTCGACTTTTCTTCGTCCTGTGCGCTTCTTCGAGCGTTGGCGGTTCTCGGCCCGTTGAGACGACAACCCTGCGTCCCAGCCTTCCGCACCCGCCCGTTTCAGTTTGCCATAAATCTCCGTCGTCATACCTCATCGTCTGGAATATATTCACCAATCCAAAAAACACCACCTCCTTGGACGCGAACTATCTAGGTACAACTTCCAATGCTTCCGGGACCCTCGTGGAAGAAGAATGCCGGATCCAGAACAATCTCAAACATCAGCAGCAATGCTCACTCTACAGCGCCATGGTTGCTGTGGTTCATGGGAAGGAAACTACGATAGAGTTGCGATTTATATCTCTAAAAGCAAGACTTTCCTGCCGATACCCATCTAACACACTGGATTCTTGAGGATTGATACCATCACCGGTTTCAAACGGCTATAAATGTCCAGCCTCCGAACGATCGTGAATTTGCTTCGTCAACATTGAACTTTTGGCTCATGATTTGGACGAAGAAATGTGTCCTGCTGAGGTGCACTTGCACTTCCTCAGCAGCCCATGCCACAACCACCAACCTCCCAACCCACTCCTCACTACCTCACATCCTCAAACTCCGTCGTCTCGCCTACCCGTCGGTGATTTATTCTCGAACAAATACCAGCACGTCCCGTACGACAAACCGACAACGAGATTGACAACCAGACATTGTAGACCGGCTTCAGGGAAGTCGAAGCACTATCCGGCGCAATCACCGTCGGCAATGACACATCTCTTGTGCGATATTGCCTTCCACGAGACCTACTGCTTGTCGCCCAAGAAATTGAAGACGTCCACGATCTAGTCGTTTTATACCAACTCAAGCAGACAACACACCCCAACCCCATCACACAATCAAATCGTGCAGAAGAACAACATCACCCACATCCCAAATCAACTCATACCACAAACTCTCCCTCATCACACATGAGACCACCAGCACAAACACATCCCGAACCCCCGTCCTGAAGCTATAAAACAGACACAAGACCAAGTCCTTTCCAACCCCAACAGGTCCATCATGATCTCCAGCTGGATTGATATCTCAGTGTGATGGTGCGCTGACCAGCTCTCGAAGCAAGACATTGGCACCATTCCTCTACCTCCAACCCACCAGCAGCAGCTTAGGACACACACTTTCATCTCCAGTTCCTCATCCCCATCACCCACCATCTCTCCCAAAGTATTCACCCCTATCAGCGCCTAGCACAGCAAACCGATCAATCATTCCAAACCCCACCCACTTCATCATCCCAGACAACCACCAAAAGCAAAGCCTACGTGCAGGCCAATATTCAAGATAGAATTCCTATCACCAGACGAAGCCACTAACTCCCACCAAACCAAAAATCACACCCCATTTAAAGACCTCGCCCTCCCAGCATCACGCACCGTCAACACCGTCAACACCGTCAACACCGACACGCGGAAACCTCACTCACGGGTGCCGGACTACTTAAAACGCACAGCAAGACGTAATCCCCCTCTCCAGAACACAAATCGTCCAAGAGGTTTGTTGCCCGGAGACCAGCACGGGTTTGAACGAAGTCCCCTATTCCCAAGTCGACATCGTACAATCTTCAAACCATCGACCCACGTCGAGGCATCACCTCGTAATCCCAAATCCCCCATCCACCGGTCGTCATCGGCGTTAGTTGTATATCCACTGCGAATACCCAACCAACGACCAAACCTCATCATCAATGCTAGACATCCTCCGCCTCACGAGCCTCGGTTTCGACCTCGTCGTCTCCGGTTCACTTGAAAGATACCCTCAATGGCACATATCCTTTGGATGATCGACATCCCCCTTGCGCCTCGCGGTACGAATCATCCAGCTGGAATCCGTCCTTAAATACCAGACATTTCAAAACACCAGGGTACGAGATGGATGGGAAATCTTACCGATATCATTCATACCGCAGGCATCTCGTTTCGGACCATCACACACCCATGACTTCACAGCACATTCCCAAATATGAAATAAGCAGAAAATGTCCATTGACTTCTACCTAAAACCCCCCCGCCCTTCCCAAACAACCTACCCATGATACCCAATATAAATATCCCCCTCTTCCTCACAACTCAGCGCTCCCAATTCTCCTTCAAAAAAATGAGCGTGGTATCTCCCCGAATCCCGCAACTCCAAACGAGTGAAAGGCCCAGTTCAAGAATGAGCAAAAAAAAAATCTTTAGCTTCGTTAGGTTGGTTTTGTAAAAAAAAACCTGGATAAATAAATCGAGATCATAAGATATGAAATTTCTCGCCTTCCCAATGCATGCATATGTGTGTGTGTGTGTGTATCGTCCAAAAATGAGACTCCAGCGTACAACAACCTCTGTGAGAAACCCAGGACTGTCCCGAAATAGTCCCCGTGGCTGGGTTGCGACCGGCGGTCGTCAGGTGAGGGCGCGGCTCCGAAGTCGGTGGACTCCAAAGCCTTGGGCTGCCTCACGAATCCGCGTGACAACCCGACGCGGCTCTGGAAGTTTCCCCCGCCCCCAAACCGACCACGCCCGTCTTCCAGGCAACCGCCGGCCGCCCCAGCACGTCTCGCTCCATAAATGCCAATCAACAGCCGATGTATATCATGCGGCTCTTTCGTTTCCCTCATATGCCCCTTCCCAAGCGCCAAATATAGGGCTCTTCTACAGCCCTCTCCCAATAGTTGATATCAAAAAATAAGACAGATCGGTAGTCGTTACTGTATGTTTTTACGTCTTTGTTGTCGTCCCCTCATATCAGCACGAAACCAGAGAAAAAGAACCCGAACCAAAGAAAATAGCGAAAAAGACCCCGGCCTCACGCGGGAGAGGATCGCCATCAACGCATTTCTGCGGGACGATCGACTCTCCTCACAGGACGCCGGCGCAGACGAGAGGTCGGCAGCCCAGCCAGGCGCGATGACTAGTAGGCGTACTCGCCATCCCGATATCTGTGAGGAATAGTGCTGTACTGGATGTCCTCGGGGGCGTAACGAGTCGTGGTCTTAACCTTGGGGTAAGCGCCGGAGTAGGCACTCGACTCCCGGGTGACGGTGGGACGAGACTCGTAGTACTTGCGGGTCGGTGACTCATCGCGGTAGTACGAGTCGACAACTGGGACGGTCCGTGAGTTGCTGACGGTGTACTTTTTGGATCGACCATAGTCGAGAGGAGCACCGTCATGGTGACGACTCCTGCGAGGCCGGGGATCTTCCTCAGACTCCGATTCCTCGCTGTAAGTCTGCTGCTGCGACTGCAGTCTCGAGCGGTTGCGGCCCCGCGAGTCGGTCTCGATGCCGTAGTGGTAAGTCTGGGCCCTGGCGATACCCGGGGGCGGGCGGGAGTACTGGTCAAAGGTGCTAGCCCTGCCGAGATTCTTGGGGGGCGAACCTCCCATGGGAGACGAGTGTGTAGAGGCGAACTGGGGCATAGGACGAGCGGTGGGCGAGGCGTCGACGACGTACGGCGAATCCTTGGCGGGGGACTTCTTATGGCTCGACTTTTCGCGCTTCGTGTCGGACGACCGCCTGGACTTTGACCGGCGAACATCCTCGTCGCTTGTGGGAATGGGAGGCGGGGGAACCGAGAACGGCGACGACGCGGCGGGAGGCGTCGGAGCAGCTATGGGAGGCTCAAAGCCAGAAAAGGTCTGCGCGCGGTTCAGAGCCGGGGGGACTCCTCTGCGAGCTTTGTCCATGTACTCGGCAGCAGACATCATGGTCTCGTCGGTCTTCATCTTGATGCGGTCGACGGGGATGGTGGGGATGGGAGGCGGCGGAGGCATCTCCTCTCGCGTCGGTTCTCGAGGAATGGAGCGGGATCGCTTTTCCTCCTCCTTGGTCTTCTTGCTCGCCTTCTTGTCCTTGGCGACGTACGTCTCGTCGGCGCCGTACGGCTCGACGTAGGCGGCCTTTCTACTGCGCGCCTTTTCGACCGAAGCTTGTTTTCGTTCCCTGTCGCGCTCCTTTTCCGCCTTTTCCTGAGCCTCCTTCTCAAGCTTTCGCTGCCGGCGGCGGTATTCCTTGTCTTCGGCGGCCCTCTTGGCTGCCTTTTCAATCGCCTTCTTCTCGCGTTCCTTCTCGGCTATCGCCCTTTCTCTCTCTCTGCGAATGGCGGCCTCCTCCTCTTCCTTCCTGCGTCTACGATCGCGGTCGCGTTCACGGTCGCGTTCGCGTTCTCTCTCTTCGTCAGAACGGCTCGACTTCTGGTAGGTCGTCTTCTCGTAGCTGGTCGCCCGGCGCGCCCGAGGCTCCTCGAAAATGGGGGCCGATCGGTAGAGATCTTCATCGTACGAGCGAGAGTTACTTTGAGAGTACATCTTGGCACCGGCGGGCGGCCGATGCGAAGACGACGTCTTGAAGGTGTCCGGTCGGGGCTCGGCGGTGCGGATGTCGTAGGACCTGGCAGCGCTGCGAGTCGCGGAGGTGTTGGCAGAGACGGAGATGCCCTTGGAGGCCATCTCCTTGCGGAGCTCGGCCAGCTTGACGTTGTCGTCGTACTTGGCGCGCTCATTCTCGTCGCTCAGCAGCTCGTAGGCCTGCTGGACGTTTTGGAACTCATCCTGCTTCTGGGCCTTGAGGGTCGGGTCCTGGACCTTGTCGGGATGGCATTTAAGGACCAGCTTGCGATGGGCGGATCGAATCTCGGGCAGCTGCGCATCTTTGGAGACGCCTAAAATCTTGTACGGATCAGGAGGTAAGGACGAAGACATGATGGGCAGGGCGTCTGTTGTTGTTGCGGTGCTTGGGGGGCTCGTGAATCCAGCTCGACGGCGTCCAGGGGGGAGATTGTTTGATCAAATGAAGGCCTTGGTGACGTGGAAACGGCGAGGCGTCGGGTGTCGCTCGCAGTGTTGGGTGTCTGGGCGCACGGCGAGGCTATTGCTGCATTGAGGCGGTGGTGATTAGGCTCTCGAGGCTGGGGGGATTGAGGTTGTTTTGCTGCAGATTGCAGATTGCCGGGTGGGTGTGTTGGAATTTGGGGGCGGCGGTGCCCGGCGTTCAGGATGGCGATCCGTTCGGCGGAAGGAATTCGAGGGATGGAATGTGGATTGGAGGGAATGGAAGTTGAAGGAAGGGCCTTGAGGTAGCAGCAAGGCAAGATAAAGGTAGTAAGGTAGTAGTATGTAGCCTGAAGTGAAGGTGCGCGCAGAAAGAGAAGAATGTACTGTCGGATAAGGCAAAATGGCGGATAGGTGAGGCGAGATGTTGGGTTGTTATGGTGTGGTGGTGCTTGTAAGCAAGGTGGTAGTAGAGTGTGGTTGAGGTCGGTAAGGCGATGGAGTGTAGATCAAGTGAGAGAGGCGAAAAGAGGGCGAGATGGCGAAGAAAAGAAGAAAAGGAAGACGAAGCAGAACGAGAAGCTGGTACTGGTGCTGGTACTGGTACTGGGGAAGCTGCAGCTTGACGATCGTGGGTCGTGGCTCTGTCTCTTTCGAGTTCCCCTCGACAACGAGCAACCAGAGAGGAGAGAGGGAAAAAAGGTGGAGTTGTTCTTGGTGGGTTGATGTCCACGGATGATGTTCGCGAGAAGCGACGGAAGGGAAACCAAGAGGAAGAGAGGGGGGAAACCGGAGTGACACTTGAGCTGATATTGTTGGACTAATAATGAGCGAGCAAGTGGTGCAGATGCAGCGCGCGATTCCCGTATCGTTTTTTCGGTTTTTGGAGGGGACAATTGATGCGGTATCCTCCAGTTGAATGAGACTGTCAGTTATGAGTGAGTGCCCGTGAGTGTGAACAGCGTGAGTGAGCGTGGTCAGTGGACCGTCGACAGACAGCGTGGAGCCTCTGGGGGGCGTGGTCGAGGTGTGGGTCGTCTTGGGTGGATCTCCAGACTGAGGGCACTGACGGCGTCTGGCTGTTGCTGCGGCCAGACTTGGCAGTCAATGAGGACCGATGGTACGTACCGCCACTCTTTCTGGGTTTTCTGGAGCGCCTTGGAAGCGGAAAAAGTGTGTGGTCGGTGCTGTGGGCTGGGCCAGTCTCTGCTGAGGCGAGGTACGTACCGATTGACAACGGGAACCAGAGAAAGACGTCACGGTCGAAGGAGGGTGGCCCAGACCTGCTGCTGGTTGGACGAAGCAGGGTCAATGGCGGATGGCCGACCAGTCAGCAGTCAGCACTGGGGTTGCTGCCAGCCAGATGGGGCCTAGCGCGCTTGAGATACTTGAACGGTACGAAGTGGGTCGACAGCTTTTCGTCCGTTTCGCGGAACGGATACGGATAATGGGCGGTGGAACGCTTGTTTCTGCCGCAGGAGACGGCTCCTCAAGGTGTAACTGTATGTACTACCGTTAACATTCTCACTCTGAGTTCCGTCATATTGGTGCCCAAGTTGAGGCGAGATAGTTACTTGCCTGAACAGCAGTACTTTTCGCCTTTCCTCAACACAACCTGATGGCGATTGATACCGCCAGTCTTTCCTCTCTAGGAGGTGTGGTCAACCGTCGGAGCTGCTCCCCAGGGCTGTCGTGGCCAAAAACAACCACTGATGAGCGCTGTTTGGCGGCACCAACGGGAGCGGATGGGGCTTGTAACCTTGTGAGACGGTTGTCTTCTTGGCTCTGGCCGATGATGACGGGCGCTGGATAAGGATCCCACGTCTTGCCGACTCGTTCTGAGGGGGGCTGGAGGGGCTGATGAACGTGATGTGATGGCCAGCGGGTAGCCTTAGCCTTAGCCTTAGCCTTAGCTACACTAGCTCTAGCCCTAGCTTCGAGCTTGTATCGTAGCTTCTCTGTGGAGTTGTCGATGATGGTTGACAGAAGCGACTTTTGCAGTGAGATGTCGGTGCCTTGCTCGGACGGTTTAGCCCTGGGAAACCTCAGACACCATCCCGACTTTTGACCTCCAGTCTGTTCGACGTCCACGGTCCTATTCTTATCATCGACAGGTCGGCAGTGTTGGAACCGTCGCACCCGTCGTGCAACGAGTCCCGTCGTCTTGCTCGCTCAGCGTCCGTCCCGCCTCAACGGCCTCTTGTCTGTGCCCTTCTCTCCGCTTCCACCGCCTCGGACATATCCTCCATTCGCAGGAGGTAGCGCTCTGTACCTACTTCAGTACATCGGCCATGGCCCAAAGGAGCCCGGTACAGCAGGTTGCTGTGGCTTGCTGCAGCGGCGGCGGCGGGCGGACCAGGACGGCGAGCGAATGACTAAACCCCGGCGGAGCTGAGGTAATGCTGCAAGATGCGCAAGCTTGCAAGGCCCCGACTGACGTATGCGAGACCCCTGGACCCGGGGTCTTTTGTGGCTCCCTTCTCGTGGCCGTGACTGTCGACTGACAAAATCCGGCGTTGTCGGGGAGACTCTTTTCGTCCTCGTTCGTCTGGAAAGGGCGGCGTGGGGAGACGCTTCTGGCGATGAGCGACAGGGACGGCACATGGACTCCCTCCGAAGATCCAGTTCAATCCATCGCGGCGGTCGCGGGTACGGTGTAGGGACCGGCCGGGGGTCGCTTTGGAAAGGACGAATCGAAGTGCTCCGGGGCGGTACGAGATGTACAGCTTTCGTGTCCGCGGGGGCGTTCAGCCAGGGTCTTTCAGGTCCCAAGATTCCGTATCTGAAAAGGCGGACAGAGAGACTCGCGGCAGTCCATCAAAGATGGAAAGACGACGACGACTTGCTGCGCCTCGGGTGGTCTGCTAAAGGAATCGTCTGCTATGGGGCGAACATGACGATAGATGAATCAACATGAATCAATCTCTGCTCTTCTCTGACTCCTCCATTGCTGTCTTCCCGGGCGCGACGGGGATCCGGTATCATAGGGAAAAACGAAAGAGATTTTTCATCGAATTTTTTTTCCCAGGGGCAAAATGGCTTTGTTGGTTACCATTGGAGCCGGATACAATGCTGTGGTGCAAAATGTGGTGTGGTTGTACCCGCGAGAAGCTGGTTCTGAATGTGAGGTGGCCGAGGACAATTGGTGCGGTGGACGGCTTGTACGTAAATGTCGTGGGTACTTCCCTGGTGAGGCGAGCGACGGCGACTGCCACGTACCGTGTACAAGGATGGCTCGGGAAGGGCTGGACCAAGCACCGTTTTGCCTCCGTATTAGCGGCCACCTCCTGTTCGTCCCTTTTCTTCAGTGGCAAGTGTGCCTCCTGCCAGCAGCACAGAGCCCCGTAGCCCCTGAGAAACGTTTCTCGTCTTGCAAGCAACAACCCGGCATCAAAACGTTCCGTTTCGTGAGTAAGCGCCTTTTCCATGCCGTGTATGTACCTCCTTCAGGTGTTCAGGTTCAGCATGCAGTCTTAGCTGAGAGTCTAGTTAAGAATAAGGTAACCCAAGTACATCTCACATTTGACAAACAGCGGGCTGTGTCTCTGTCTCTGTGTACCTATCTCTCGGCGAGAGCGACGATCAGGTCGGAGGCTTTCGGGATGCCAATTATTTATGGTTGAATCAGCAAGTGTCTGACCCTCTCCGTGTCCAAGTCCAAATCAAATCCTCAGTCATGCCCATCAGCACTCGCTACCCCCGAAGAAGCAATCCCTATTTGGCTGCATAAACATGATTTCAAACGCATCCATCAGCCGTTGCTGAGGTAATGCCCATGCCTTTTTCTCGAATCCAACAGACCGCATCGCAGATACGATTCATCTGGCGGTGAACGAAGTGTCGAAGACCTTGTTTGACAACCGTTTGCGATAAAAGCGGACCGGGCGGGCAGGTGGAGCCCCGTCCTCCGACTCCGTGCCTCCTTCCTTCCTTCCAGTCTTTCCGTGATAGGTACAAGGGTACTTCTCTGTCTGAGCTTATGTAAGGCGCGGGAGATGTCCACGCGCTACGAGGAAGCTCCCAGTTCGGCAAGAGTGCCAGAGTTTACGGCGGCAGCTGTCGAAAATGTCACCGTCTGACCCGTCACCTGAAGCCACCACCTGGCACCAAACACCACCAACCCAACCCAACCCAAACCGTTTCAACAACATATGACGATATGGGCATTCTCGAATTCGATGCCCAACCCGTCGTCACCTTCTACACGAACACAGCGATACAAATGGATACTGCGATGAAGCCCAATGCCGATGGCTACCAGCATCGAAGATGACCATCCGGCTTGCTCGTGGCCGGACAGGCCTTCACAATGATATCAGTCTCGCCCGCGACAGCCAAAGAAACGCCGCCAGCAAAGTCATGGGTGCGCTATCCCGGATCGATATGCCATTACGAGGCTAGCCGATGCCCATTCAACGGCCTATTATTTAGTCGTTTCCCGCCCGGAACGCGCAACAAGATGCCACAGCACCAAGCAGCACCCCACGGAGAACCATTCGACTGTTCGACACATGGCCGTCACCTCACTCTGGCCTGGCCTGGCCTGGGCTAACCAAACGACGGCCAACCCACCACACACAACATTAGCTGCAGGACCCAAGAAGGGGCAGACGAACCGCAGCGCAAACCTGTCCGGCCGTCTGTTTGTCTTGCTCCATCGCTCCAGAACAACGTCACTGTCGCAAAACCGACACCTGCCCACGACGAGCGTCATCGGCTAGAGCCCTACGAAGGAGCGCGGTCTTGAATCACCATCACACCCTTTCTCTCGGTGTATCGGCCCTGTCTCAGAACATTGCCTCGGAGGGTTCCATCACGGACTTCCAAACGCTTCTCGAGCCTCGTGAATGTTCATCTCCATCCACCACCACCAAAGCGTTGCCTCTGCCCTGCATCTAGAGACCGTCTACTAATCGACATTACTCGCAAGCGGCCGACGCTCTCTCGTCACTGGCCAATGGAGGCCGCCTGTCTTTCGACACCGACTCCACGTGGAGTCTGACTCCTGTCGCTGGAAAATTCGTCCGCTACCCGTCGCCGGCATCCATATCTGCAGGGCCAGGGGCTCCGAATTCGCCCTCCGGCCAATGCTGTCGTCCAATGTCTGCGGCCGGCCGGCGATAGAGGCATCCACGGGCGGGTTTTCAGGGTCGCAATCGACCACTGACGGCGGCCACGGCAGAGAGCGTGCATGACACCATACTCACTCCCAGACTGGCCTGCTGCATCCTCCATCACACAATATCACAAACCGTCCGACTTTGAGGGCCACTCGACCCTTTGGGACATGTGCCTCAGCATCCCATATCCCTCCGCCATCCCACTCTCTCTCTTGCTCGTGATGAGATCGCCGTCACCACACGGGGTCGCGTGTCGGCGACCACACGAAGATCGGAAAGCAGGTACGAACTCTCTCGCCATTGCAGCCCCCAAAGTCTGAAGCGCCCACTACCGCCGTGTGGGTGGCAGGGCATCAACATGTGCAAATACCGGCACCCGTCTCGCGGTTTTCCTTCCACGTGAAATCTCTCACACGCACTCGCGGAGATGGAGCCTCGCATCTCGTCGCCATTGGACCAGGAGACCCAGTCGTCCAGCACCAAGAAGACAAGACTGCCTCCCGCGCCAACAAATCAGACGAAACATGGCACTTCCTGACGACCAGTCAGAGATGCTCAGCTGCAGCTAGCTCCCAGCGAATGGAGACGCAGACAACGGGAGGTTTTCTCAGCCGGTGCCGCATTGAAAAATACAGTGTTCGAATCATGTTCGCCCGAGATATCCTGGCTCGAGGCAAGCTTAACAGATAGCTCGGTCGTCGAGCTTCTTTCAGAGCATATCAACCCGGAGCTATCATCAAGCACCTCGTTACCCCTCAGCAGTGGCTTTTACAGCTCTCGTCGGCACCGTTTCTGACTGGCGCTTGGCGGCCGGCCGGTTCTGACGGGGTTTCACTTTGTAGCGGTCAGCGCCTCCTGGGCCAATTGTTCAAGAGTCGTCTCGTCTTGTCTCGTGCACCGGCGGGGGTCAGGTCCGTTTTCCCCACCGCGGATGATCACCTGGCTAGCACCGCAATCGTGCGGGTTAACAACTTCTGTTAAGGCATTGCCTTGCGAGGCCTCAGCATGGCAATCCCGCCCAGCGCTTCCGCAACCTTGTCTTAGCACTGATGATATCTCAGCTATCGGTCGATCACCAACGTTTCGTCCCTTCTTGGTATGGGTTGCAGCTCGATCGGATTGGTGCGGGGCGGTGATCGACCGTCTGAGATGCAGCGGGCAGCTCACTCTCGCAGGTCAGTTGGTCACTGTCTTGGTCAATGAGAGCACCGGGACTCGCTCGGAGTGAATTATTGAACGACCGTGGTGAGACTGAGAACTGAGTAGCCAACAGTTTGAAGCTACGGACATGTCGTGTCTGAGCTGGCCGGGTGCTTCAGAGATGATCCCGTCTTCACGAGTGCCGTTACCAGATCTTCATCAGGGAAATTCCTTCTATCCGTGCAAATCATCGGGAGAAAACCGCTCAAGCTGGCAACGTAAGCCAGGTCTTCCCAGCATATCTTCCACGTCTTCACGTCGGCAACCGCGGCCGGTAGCCTATCATCAACAAGATTCCTCAGGGTATGCAGGTCAGTTGGATGGGGATTTTTTTCCGTGGTCGACCATTCCGGTCAACTGCGGTCGGTCGCCAATCGAAGCCGCGGTTTCCCAGGCCGCAAACCCTCACGGCGCGGAATGCCATCCCATCTTCGCACCCGGGATCCAGGAACTTTATGCAGCCGGCGAGTCTACCAGGCTCCATGGTGGATAGAGCTGCTGCGCCTACGGAAGTATAGCTGGCGATCCTCCAAGGAAAGAGCTTCCAGAAAAAGAGGCATTTTCGAGATATGGTGTGAGGACGTCGTTTGCTAGCGCGATGGACTAGAGAAACCAAAAGCATTTCTCTCGGCCTGGGACACCGCTGTCGACCCCGTGGCGGTGAATGTTCCTGACGAGCTTGGCCGGACGGCTTTGCTTCGAGAGCTTCGCTCAAGCTCCCATCCATGCGATCTCATGCGCTGTTCGATTGAGAATTTTCAGTCGCCTCACGTTCACGTATGAGTCTTTCGAAATCCATGGACTCTCGACAGTCTCTATTCACGAAAGCCTCGAGAACTGACCTTGAAACAGAAGATAGGCAAAACCGGTGCTCACATCCAAGACCGCCCCCACCAAATCCAACCCCGCGATCCCGATCACATCACACCCGGCCATCATCCCACCGCACTCACAACCATTACCGCCGCATTCCCCCTTCCCTCTCCAACCAACCTGCCCCTCCCCCTCCTTTCTGGGCTCAGAGACACGCCCCGCAGATGAGCTCATTGGACGCGCGCAGAAGCGCCGCCTGCACGTCTCTCACCCACCTCCGCGGATGCATGCCCTCAACCACCGCCAGGCTGAGCGCAAATGTGCAAATTCCTGCCTTAATCCAGCCTCAGAGCCTGCCTCTTTAAGACGATGGCACGGCATATGCAGGCTCACTAAGTCGGCCTTCATTGGCAGATTTCGAGAACAATCGACGAAGTCGTGCCGCATTTATAACCACTAAGGTCGGAGCGCAGACCTCCATCGCAAAACCGCGCCCGACCAACCGGCTCTCCGCCGGGGTGGGTGTTTTATGCCGCTGACGGGATATCTCTCTGTACAGAAGGCCTATCCGAGCGTGCTGATCGTCTGAGGTCCCGGGGGGTTTATGTGCCTTTCCCGACGGTTCGCCAAAAGAGCCTTGCAGACGGCGGGCTAGATACTGTAGAGGTGTGGAAGGTGCTTGAAGGGTGCGCCTGGGCGGTTCGTCTTGGTTGAGCGTGAGGTCTGCTTAGATGTTTGTCGGGTCGCGATGCGGTCTTGTTGTTGGTGACCTTTCTTGATCCTCCGGCCGTGAAGGTGACCCGTTGGTATTGTTTGTTTGCTCATACCACGGCTGAGTTCCAACCAACATAGGATGCGAACGGTCGCTCGGTCGCTCACTCACAACCCAGCCTCATCTCATCTCATCTCACCCACGACGGAAAGGTCCCCTGGCTGGGGGCCCGCGGCGTACAGGATCGGAAACGCGGGTCCGCGGCGCGGGCGCGGCCAGGGCCAGGCACCTGTACTCCCGTCTCGCCGAAGCGTTAGGCATCCAGGGAGCGTGTGTGTGTGATGAGTGCGGAGTTCTTGGGTATTGGTTGGTCGGAGGCAGAGTGCGAGGGGAGCGATTGGAGGGTTTGTGGTGGAAGGCGATATCTGACCTGACTTGTCCTGGCGAGGACGGGACTTGGGGATAGGATAGGATGAGAGGTGAATTGCTGACTTGATGGGTTTGAGCGATGTATGGGTATGCAGAGAGTCGGGGAGATGTCGGGGATGTATCTTACATCAGCCAGCTAGCCGGTGTATCTTTCTCCAAGTCTTCTTCTTCGGGCTCGCCGTGAGTGTGAGGGAGAGAGAGAGGTCGTTCTTACGTCAGCTGTCATCTACGTCTTCTTCTTCTTCATACGGATTTGGGGGTTGAGGTGAGGCTGTTGAATGGGTATGCTGTATGTTTTGGTTGCCTCGTCGGCTGAGAGTGAGGCTGAGATTGAGGCTCGTTGTCTTGGCCGCGCAGATGCGCGTGAGGGTATGGTCGGGGTTGGAGTGAGGGTTGAGGATTCTATGGGATGGGATTTGGCGTGGTGGTTTAATGGTTGGATATACGTGGGTTGAGGCCCGGGAGGTCGTAGGAGTATGATGTGAAGTATTTATGTCTGAGATGAGAAGTTGGCATGGTTTGGGGGTTTTGAACTACGTAGGAACTGTGAAATTTTATTTACTCAATCAAGATCAAGTTGATATCGGTACCGCATCTTTCTCCGGTCCTGTCAGGTTCTGATGGCTTGTTTTCTGGCGTCGGCCTATCCGCATGACGCCCGAACTCCCGCTGGACATGATGTCCATAACTACCTCGTCTGGCTGGCGTGTTTAAGGGTCTAGCTTTTCTCGTCGACTTCATCGCCCATATAGTTCTGGCCTGTAACCTCTGCTGTGTTTTCGCCCCTCGAGTTTGTTTGATATAAGAGTTCGTCTACGTGAAGGGATGCCATATGAGCCTGGAAGGAAGGCAATTTCACTGATATACCGAGGTATATGAATAGGTTTAATGCTTTGGAGAGGTATGTCTACCATGGTCCTGGGAGGGATTCAGTGGTTGGGGTTGATATCTGAATGTTGTCGTCGCGGGTGCTTTCGACATGTGGGGTTTGGAACTCGTTCTCATTGTTGCTCTTGAGTCTCATGTTGATCTCGCGGGCCTGGACTTGGATGAAGTATCTTGCAGAGGACATTATGACATGGAGATGACCACGCCGTTTGAGGGTGAGATTTCAAAACACCCCTCCCACGAATGGTGATATAGACCGGATGCTATACGACTACTCTTGCTCAAGTCTACGTACATCTACACACATCATAAGAAGTCAAGTTCACACCGCCCGAGATCCATGGTGTCGGCAACTGTAGAGCTTGCATACGGAATCAGCATCAACAATGGTTTCAAACTCTCTATGAACCATCCTTCTATACCCTACAAGTAGTCCACGATCATTTTCTCCGAATCCTGGGCTTTCACGAACGCGGTTGGGAGGTTTTGGAGAAGCTTGTTGGGAGGTAATAAGATTTCCATGCTTCCAGCGAGTACCAGTGCCCACTGGAGTTTTGAAAGCTAGTCTCGTCTATGACCTCGCTCTCCTGGCGGTCTTTATTCGCGTTCTATAGAAGTTGAAGGGTTGTTCATCGAGATTGGAGACGGTGTTTCTGAGGTCGACTTAGGTATATAAGGCGGATTTAGACCTAGATTCAAGACGCCAATGTCCTTGTGATACTTATCCATGACCCCTAAACACCACACTCAACCCATCTCAAAGCTCAACCATCCCAAACAGGCAGATCAAGATCCACGACGATGGGCTTATTCACCGTCTTCCCCCCGACGTGCGGATAACTCTTGGCCATAACAGCACAATTCACAACACACGTCTCCCGCCGCCCCAACCGCCCAGCGAGGGCCTCCCGATCAGCTCTCGGCGAAGCCGGATCGCCACCGAGCCCTCTCACATCAAAACCCGGCTCAACCCTCGTTCCAAACCCCGCCTCCACGCCCGAACCGTCATTCAGCAAAGGCTTCCCGCCCCTCATCGAGAGATTGACCAAGGACTGCTTCGCCCCGACCCCGGGATCCTCCCACGTCTCGACCCGGTCCTCCTTGAAGGCCGCGTTGGCGCACCCGAGATCCCAGCTCACCCTCTCGGCGCCCCTCGCCTCGTGGACGTGCCCGCAGACGGCGAGGCGGGGCCGGACGCGCCACAGCGCGCGGCGGAGGGCCTCGCAGCCGGCGGCGCGACGGAGGCGGGACTCGTCGACGTGGGTGCGGGGCGGGGTGTGCGTGACGACGACGTCGGCGTCGAGGGGGATGTCGTCCCAGAGCGAGGCGGCGGCGGCGGGCGCGTCGTAGCCGAAGGCCCAGAGGCCGTTGTCGCGGGGGGAGTAGGGGGAGGCGAAGACGTTGAAGGAGGTCCGGGGGCCCGAGGGGGCCGTGAGGGTGATTTTGGCGGAGGCGTGGGCGAGGTAGGTTATGCTCGGGGAGGAGGTGAGCAGGGAGAGGCAGGCGGAGGGGTCTTGTGGGGATTGGTTGTGGAAATGGGGGCCGTGTTCGGCGTAGAAGGGTTCGTCGAGGGTGATGTCGTGGTTTCCTGTAAGTATTAGAGAGGGTAGGTGGTGAGAGTGGTGGTGAGGGAGGACGGACCTGCGATGACGATCTTGGCTTCGAAGTCTGCCTTTTCGAGCCAGGCAACTGCTCGTGATAGCTACGTGTGATGTCAACACAGGCCACACCGGGATGATGTTGATGATGGAGAACGCTACTCGGCGTTCGTTCATGCGTTCCCGCGAACATCCCAGACGCAGCCCATAATTCTAGCTTCATCTCCGTCCGAACGGTCTCCCACACCGTTCCCGAGGGGGAAGCTGAATCGACAACAAGGAAGGACCCGTTCACGGGACAAAATATCCAACGGGGCCGGCACCGCACGTACCTCGGAATAACTGCCTTGGTTCGTGAGGTCCCCCGCGTGGATCAGCACGTCGCCCTTGGGCAGCTTGACGGCGGTGTTGTGGGTGTCGGAGACGCAGACGAAGCGGGTCCTCCGTAGGGTCGGCGGGTGCGGCTGGTGAAGGCACCGCGAGGGGTGTTCTCGGGGGCCGGCCGGGAGTTCCATGGTGCCGGTGGTATGGACCGGGTGACGGGGCCGGGCACGGGGGATATGCGATACTCGGAGGGGTTGATGGTCGGGATACAATAGGAGATGTGGTCATGGATAAGTCATAAGATGGAATTGTGCAGATACCGAGGTCGTAGGTTGCAAGGTTGAAGACGCAGTTTTAGGGGGTTAATGAGACGGCGCGGTTGATTGATGAGATGTTTGTGCGCGGTGCTTCACTTGAAACAAGTCGGATGCATTTTAATCAGTGCCAATCTTGCGTGTGCAGTTGGATATGAATCGACAGCTGCAGCCAGGCTGTTTCACCGTGCGCTCGTTCGTTCTCTCCTTCTTCTTCGTCTTCCAAATGACGCCCCCCGGACGGACTGCCCGTGGCAGAAAAGTCGGAAATTATCGAGGGAAAGGGCGATCTGAATTGATGCTTTCCACGGTGACCCCTGCGGGAATCGAGATGAGACTGGTCCTTCTAGAAGGGGGCAGATTTGATGGTGGAAGGGACGGAGTCAGTGTTGTGTTGGGGGCAGGCAGGCCGATGTTCTTGTTGTTTGCATCGTGAGTTTTGATGAAATAAGCCTCGTTGGAGTAATTAGATGGAATCCAGTTGCTCGGAGAAGTGCGATTGGGCCGCGATGGCGACCAGGGGAGGTCATTCGGATGTGGGGCCGGCGTTAAATGTCTCCGTCATGCGAGATCCTGACCCGGGTCCGCTCATTGGATATTGGGTACCTTAGGTAGAGGTCCAAGGCGGTGAACGGTCTCCTGAGTGCTCTTGACGAGTGTTGGTGAGGTGCGAAGGATGCAATGGAGGCGGGAGAAACACGAGAGATGTCAGCCATTGGCTTGTGTGATGGTCAGATGCAGAGACAGACGGTCTGCAGGCAAGGTAAGGTGACGGCACAAAAAGCAAGAACGGCAGAAACAATACGGATAAGTTACTCGTACTCGTAAAATGCATGCAAGCCACATACACATACTGCGTACGAAAAGCATCATGTCGCCGTGGCTTGATGGACCAATGCGAGGCCGGAAGCTTCAAATTGCTCTCTCTAGGGCCAAGCCGAGTCAAGGGCGACGGTATTTACGACAGAAATGTCCCGAGAAGCGGAACTCCCGTCGAGGGGCCTAAATGAAGGAAACGAAAATGAAGGAAGAAAAAAAAAAAGAGGCACAGACCGTTGGAGCTTTTCCTGGGATTGATTGCTGCGCAAGGAGGCGCAAATGACGAGTGCCGGGGTGAAGGAGCAGAGATACAAGGGCCCCGAGGTCGAAAGAGGTCCAGACACAGTGCGTTTTTATGACATTTTTGGTGATTTGTGCAGACCTCAAAGTCGTGCATAATGTTGTACAAGTTGGCTTCTGTGAGTCTTCACGACAACATCTCAGGGCAACAGAATAAACAAATAGAAGGAAACATATATGACGGAGCATTGTCCGGGCTGACGTTGAATTTGGGTCCTGGTTTATTGTCAGCCGGCTGCAATGGACGGGATCAGCCTGGGTGACAGGTGACGATATCCAGCTTATCATTCATGCTAAGCACCCGAATAATCAATCCATTCTGCCCGCAGACCCCGTCGTTTCTTCAACGGTCCCTCTCCACCGCCAAAATTACACTACGAGCGAGAGAGAGATCCCCGATATTGGAACACCGCTTGGGATTTATTTTCTCCTTGGTGTTACGTCTGCGGCTCCGTTGTGGAAACTCGCTTCCTCTTTGCACACTCGGAATAGCATCAGGGCGGCGCCATAAAACAGCTGCCTACGTACTTGCTCCCGACTTGCAGAAGTCTTGATGGAATATGGAACCCGTCCGAGCGCAGTTGATGCACTGTCTCGCTACCTTTCTTATTTTGCGTTCGAATAAAATGTGCCTTTCCGCTTCTCCCGCATGGGCTGTTAATACTGCAGAAGGGGGTGACTTGGACCTCCTGAGCCAGTGGCAGCCAGTGTCCCTCTTGTTTCTCTCCTGAACCAGCCTCTACCGCTCGCTGCCTGTTTCTATTCAAAGCTTGCTCTCCTTTGTCCGCGATGCGATATGCGGCTTCCACAATGTGAAGCGGACAAAGGTGGGCCGTTGCGCGGAACCGATAGCCTTTTCGAAGGAGCTTCCTGACGATATGACGGCGGCCATTGGCTCTTGTATTGCAGCTGTCTTGCATCGTGCAGCTGCGGCCATCCGAGCCATTGGAGGGCACGGGAACATGGGAGCAACAAGCGCAGCAAGCGGCATGTCTGCTGTCTGCCTGCTGTCTGCTGTCTCCAATGGCATTGAGTGACAGACAGTGTCAAATGCCAGCGACGAACGAGCCGTGAGCTAAGTTACGGCGTAGGTTCATTCCATCGCCGCTCGTTCCCCTCGTTTCCCCTCCTCGTCGCCATAGAAATGCCTGTAATCTGTATCGAGATCGGACCAACACAGGTAGAAATGCTTTGACTTTTGGGCACTCTTTTGCCTCGCCTGACTCAGCCCAATCAATCCGACCTTTTGGAATAAATCCAACGAAAAAAGTTGGGACGAAGATTGCCAGATGCGACTCTGCTTCCCAGCAAATACGGATAAAGCCATTTAATTTCATGTGCCTGCTGTTGTGCCTTAGAGTACGTACCCCTCGAGCTGACATAAGTCATCAAAGCTCCTTTTTCTTATTCGCTGCTCTCTGGGTGCCTCGTTTTCTTCCTATCAGCGAGCTCGTCTCCCCGAAAGAGGGAATCCCATGTGGATCTGCGACCCTTGATGGAGCTGGGGTCGTGGCCAACCAGCCCCTCGACTTTGGACCCGCTACACCCGATGAGGTCAAGCGCCGTGGGATACGTACCCAGAGCAGCCCACCTCTTTCCCTAGCGGCCCCCCCTTCGTCTGCGCACTGTACACCGCAGTACCGTGCCTCGTGTGCCTGTGCGGCGGCCCTTCCTCCACTCTCTCATTGCTCTCACTCTCTCCAATCCTGTCGTCTCTCCTCTCTGCTGGCCACCAATTCGACTCTTACTCCAACCTAAACTTCCCGTGTGTTGTGTCTTTGTCCTTGTCCTTGTCTCTCCTTCTTCCTGGTCGTGCTCTCTTCTCTTGTTGGCTCTACCTACCTTTCCTCCAGGTCCTCTGTGCTACGTCGAAACACTTGCACTGTGGAAAACACCTGCTGGGAGCAGCCTTTCTTCAGAGACACGACGACGCAGACGCAAGACCGCAGCGTCAACCACTGCCGCGAATGGCCTCCCGCTGAGCAGCCTTGCAGTAATAATTCTCTTTTTTTTTTATTCTTCGGTTCTAACCACCCCGGGCCCCTACCTTCTCCAACTACGACACCATCCAAAATATCCGACCCAACCGCCACGTTCGTTCGTCCATCAGCTCCGACCTCCGTCCTCTCCTTCCCGGCCGCGATCCCGTCCTGACGCTATCTTGTTTTTCTTTGTTTCCACCTGCCGCCTTCTCACCTGGCCGCCCTGATCATCCTACTACAACTTGGTCCCGAAACCTTTCCCACCGTCGCGCCGCTTCGTGAGCGCCTCCTAATACGCCGCCGCCGGTGAACCACCAGAACCACCGCCGCAAATACCACCACGCCAACCGCGCTAGACCAACAAGCCGACGACCCAATCTCAATCTCCCGCTCGTGGTCGCCCTGCGCCATCTTCACTTCTCCCACTACCCTTTCGCCCACGCGCACGCCATCTCCCCGAACCCCTTCTTGGCCGACACTCGAGACCCCATATTCACGACACCTCGACACCGACACCGACAACCCTCCTCAACCTCCGCACACGACTGTCTGGAGATCGCTGGTCCTCCAGCTCTCCAGACGACGCGATGGCCGCCATGTCCGCCGCGTCAGCGACTGCGAACACCATCACGCCGCCGAGCAGCAGTCACGGAAACGGGAACCAGAGCTCTTGGAACACCAACGAGGTAGGTGCCGCACGCACTCGGGCAATTGGCCCCTGACCGCAGCGCCCTGCGACCCGGACGCTGATGTGTTGTCGCAGAACTCCCAGGACAAAATCTCTGCCGCGAAGAACGATCCGAATCGGGCACCCCTGACGCAAAACGGCAACTCGGCCAATATTTACGAGTACGGCTTCGAACCCCTGCCGCCCCCGCGCAAGAAGGCCTCCAACGACAACCTGTCTCTGGGCAAGAAGAGCCGCCGCGACACCGACGCTTCCTCGAAGCCGGGACTGAACAACACCGATGACGTGTTTGGAGGAAAGGTCGGCGAGAAGCGCTCCACGAACGACTTGAAGGGGGAACCACAAGACGAAAACTCCAAATGGATCCACCGCGATAAGCTGGCTCGCATCGAGAGCGAGGAGCTCCAGGCCGCCGGCATCGTTTTGCCAAGACCGCGCGCGAGTAGCAGACCGCGGAGGGGCCGCAGCGAGGAGAAGCTGAACGGGAGCACCAAGAGGACCACGTCTGCCGCTGCCGATGAGGAGATGCCTCGCCCGAGGTCTAGGAAAACCTCCGTCTCCCCGGAGAATAGGGTACCCACGGAAAAGATGCCCGACCTGGACGTCTCCAACTGGGATCTGCGACGGCCCGAGGAGATCGCGACGGAGGGAGACGGGAACTACTGGACGTCCAACGGCGAGAAGAAGGGCGTCTCCAAGATCCCCGTTGCCAAGACCAGCCCAGCACCGATCCCCGGGTCGTACATCGAGAGGAATGCTCCCTCGGCGCGGAGACTTAGCGGAGGACCAAACGAACTCGAGACGATAGCGTACCCCAAGCCGCGTCCTAGGAGTGGCAGCGCGAACACGCTGGGCTCTATCGCGAATTTGGCGCCTGCGAAGCGAAGCGCCACCGATGTATCCCCCCGCAAAGGCAGCGGCACTTCGACCACCTCTGCCTCGCGCAAGACTTCGACGCAGGTCAAGTCCACCGGCAAGGCCAAGACAAGAGGCGGGAAAGACTCCACGAGCACGACCCGGCCGACGACGAGGTCCGGGGACTTGTCTCCCGGCGTCAAGAAGCCCGAAGGCGACCCGCCATGGATGGTGGGATCTTTCAAACCCGACCCCCGTCTCCCGCCTGAGCAACAACTCCTCCCGACCGTGGCGAGACGTCTGCAGCAGGAGCAGTGGGAGCGCGAGGGCAAGTCCGGCAGCATCTACGACAAGGAGTTCCGGCCGTTGACCGCGGAAGGCCTGCTGAAGCCTCCCGAAGCTGGCCCCAGCTATTCCCCCGACGCCGAGGAAGAAGAGCAGCAGGAGCACAGCGAATGGCCTCTCAAGGGCGGCGACGCCCCAAAGAGCCCCACGTCTCCGAGCATCAAGCAGAGCGCCTCCTACTCGACCATGCCCAAGCTTTCCGATAAGCCTCAGACCAGCCCGCTGCCAAGCCCCCGCAGCCCTCGCAGCCCGATGATGCCGCCCGAGCCGCCGGCTCAGACGCAGACCATCGTCCGCGTCCCCGACGAGCCCTCCGCCGCGGCCCAGATGTCCATGGGCGGCGACAAGAAGAAGAAGAGCGGGGGCTGCGGCTGCTGCATCGTCATGTGATCGGCTTCGTTTGCGTCTTTCCCACCTGTCATATATCCGTGTCTACGTTACCCTTTACCGACATACCCAACACCCCACCGCGAGGCCAGCCTCCGACGACGTTACGACTCTCCTAATTCCAATTCACAGCATCGGCCCGAACGTTCACATGTATTTATCCATCATATTTCCAACCCGAACCTATTCCGACATCGTCCCGCTCAGGAAGACGATCACACACACCTCTAGAGAAGCCACCACGGTCGCAGGCTGTGTTTTCCTTTGTACCCTTACCCGACCGAAAAAAAAACACCAACCGACGAGCTCCTCGCACGCATGGGTCAGCGTTATAGAAATTCCATGTTGTTTTCCCCGCCAATCCGGTCGTGTGCCACTTTCAGAGGGGGGTGAACGGCCTGTGGCGACGACGACTGAGACGAGCGTGGATAAGGCGGGGAGGGAAACTATGTTCTAAGTTGCGCTGAGCTATGGAGAGGCGGGGAGACAACAGAGAAAGCGGTCGTGTGTGTTTTTTTCATCGTTATTATTTGAATATTACACCCCTGTGTGGGACTTCCCACTCCGGCAGAGCCGGTGTTTTTTCCACCACAGCCCCCCTCCCCGCGGACAATTCGGAAATCAACCACCACCCCCGATTATAAAATGTATAATCGTAGCGTTTTTTGTGTCTTTTTGAAGAGAGAAGAGAAAAATTCACTGGTATTTTTGAACACCACGTTCGTCGCGAGTTGAGGGTGCTGAGGTGAAGGAGGAGGGGGGGGAAAGGGGGGAGGAGTTGGAGAAGTTTTGGTTTTGCGGTTGTTGAAGTTTGTTCTGTCTTTTGAAAAGGGGGGTTTTGGGGGAGGCGTTGTTGTGTTTTTGGTGCTTTGCGTTGATGTTTGTATGTGTTCTTTGAAGAGGATGGGGTTTCTTGGGGAGGATTTGATGGTGGGATTGAGATGAGAGGGGTGCTGAGGCGGTGTGAGTCCGAGGAAAGAAGGGAGAGATGATGTAGTGAGTGGGATAGTGAGGTTGAGGCTGAGAGGAAGGTGAGGGGTTAGGTTGAGGTTGAGGTCTTGATATAATTGATACCCATCCCATTCTGCGAGCTTCGTGCTGTTTTGTGAGGGTGACGTGAGAGGTGATGGCTGGGGGTGATGACGAAGGGTGATGTTGAATGTGGGTGAGAGGTGAGCCTTGAGACTTGGTTTCTAGACGGTGTCTTGAGGTGAGGTGGTATATAAAGCCCAGTCAAGGGGAAACTAGATCCGTCCGGCAAACGACATGACAGAAGGTTGAATCTTGTTGGATGCTATGGTCCGATTCTTGAGCTGATTTTGGAGCGTGTATGAACATGAGGATAGGATTTAAGTTTCTTGTATGGTATTGGTTGTGCGTGAGTTTGGCCGGGAAAGGGTTGAATACTTAGGGAACGTGGAGGGGAGGGGATGAGGGAAGGGTATGTGAGGATTATTCGGTAGCCGGTTGAGCAAGATGGAAATTTGGGTGCTTGAAGTTGGGGACCTGGCTTGGGGGGTAAGCTTGGCGGGTAACTTTTGGACCAGGTTTTTAGTGAGCTGCAGCTCCAACAGATCCAGCATGTGCTGCGTGGATGGAAAGGTGAGATGGAGGCTGTAGGTGTTCCTTTTATATGTTCTGGTCATGAGCTGAGGACATGATGTGAGGGATGAGAAGACCAAGGTTGGTAGGTTCCCGAGTCTGCGTGAGTGAGAAAAAGTGTGACTGGTTTAGATCGTGTATGGTATATAAGACAGAGTCAGAACGTTGAAAGAATGTTCCAGCAGTCATGTGGAAAATGGATTGGTCCCGCTGTGTTAGGCTGTCCCCCCTTCAGTTCCTTAAGTTGGTCCCTGACTCTATCTTGGGGCATTTTTCAATGGTGCTGAATGGGAGTTCGTGATGATGTGTTGAACTTCTCTCCTCTGTCGATCTTCCCCGTTCCACGTGTATTCAGGTCATAGAAAGGACGTATCTTGATGAGACGTGTTCGGGGCGTGAGATGGAGGTTTTGGTGATTAGTTTACATATAGCCCTAGACGACATCGGGGTTTCCTATCATTAACCATAAGGGAAAGCATGACAGTTAATTGGGACACATCAGCTTGTTGTGTCGGTCTGTTAAGGAATGCTTTGTGAATTGTTGGTTTATATACTCTGCATGGGGAGGGGTGAGGTATGATGGGAGATGAGCAGCTCAAGATGAAGGAGGCTCTGAACGTGAGAATCAGATTGTGTGAAGAGTTTGGGATGTATAAGATGGAGGTATGTTATTGAAGAATGCTTCAGCAGTGAGATGCGGGCTTGAATTATTTCCTGTGGGATCCCCACCAAGATTCGAGTGGTTCCGCACTTGGAGTCTGATGCTAGCGGGTGTTTGAATGTGATTAAGGGTGCTGGGGAAACTTCTCTCCTCTGTCCTCTCCCCCTGTTTCGGGTGTATTCTGTTGGTAAACAGCGTGTAGATGGATATCTGAGACCAATTTAGTTTGGAGAAGAGTCGAGGTTTTGCGTGTGAACAGGGGATTACTAACGGTTCTGGACGATACGCGGTTTACCGATCTCTCGCACTCAGCTACCCATCTAGAGGTCCAACCTTGGCTCGTGGTGGTATGCTGGTGAGAGATTGCTTCTCAATATATACATCCTGCATGGGGTGATGGTATCTAGTGCTATTAGATCATTCTCGTTTCTGAACTGATTGATGATGAGATCTAAACGCCAATGCCAATTTCACTAACCCCTCCTTAAACTGGGCAAACATCATGAATACGCAAGCGCCTGGAATGTAGCTTAGCAGCTGAGTGTCTCTCGTTATATTGAGATTCATACTAAGTATAAAACGGTTCTGTGTTCCTTTGAAGTGCCTTCTAAGAGACAATTAGAATGCGGGATCATTATACTTGATGTATTAAAACTCTTGGATTTATAAAATGGACGTTTTGAAGTTACCTGTGACTGTTTCGACGGATCGCGTCTCACGAGTCACCGTGTTACCTAAATGAGTTTTCACCAGCATCTTTCATCTTCCCGCTGGTATGGTATATGAATAATGAAGTTGCAGTTGCTCTCTGAATGAAAGTGATATGCGCAATCGAAAAGCATAGGAAGTGGCAGAGGCTGTAGTCGTCTCTGGAGAACAAGACCTTGGACTCACCGAAGAAGCACGACATCGTGGAGTACTCGACGACATTGGGAATGGTTTGGCAAGAGTCAGCAATGTTCTAAAAGTCCGTTTTGAATTGAGGCTGCGTTAATCATACTCATACTCTGGTCTTGTTTCAATCTAAGCTGTAATTGATACCGGGACAATATCCATGCTTCGTTGCTTCCGTCTCTGAGCGAGTAGTTGGGCGTCTCTGGAATCAGCATGCAGCAAGTATCTCAGCAAATGCAATCTGCTGCGCAAAATGCAACAGCAGCAAGTATCTCAGGGAAGTCGCTGGCCCGTACTCATGTCGTTTTGGATGTGGCAGAGATTGACCTTTGAGGGTTTCGAAAGAATCGTCAGCTGTCTTGATGGGTTGATGTCTTGGTGATTGGAGTTGCTGAGCCTGTTGCTGTGTGTTCTCAGCTTGATGCTGATGTTGCCATAACAATTTCTCACATTCGTCGAGAAAAGGCTGCTGCAAACGATGTTACTACTTCATTTCAAACACAGTAGGTCTCAATGAAAACAAAAAATTGAACATTGCATTAATTCAATCCAGTTCACCTCACCCTCGCAACACAATCAATCTTCACCACCAACTCCCACCCCCAAACCCCCCAGCAACTCTCACCGGGGTTTCCCAAGTCGCAGCGGGGCCAGAGTGGAAACCCCTCAACCCTCAACCTCCACTCCGACCAGACCCACGATCACGCACAACCACGCAACATGATCCGCTTCCCGGCCTCTCTCCGGCATCCAGCGTTCCTTCTCGGAACAGTGAGATCATCTGCGCCGATGGTTTAGTGGTAAAATTCTCCGTTGCCATCAAGCAGCGTCGGGGAGCCGGGGGTTCGATTCCCCCTCGGCGCATTTCTTTTGAGTTTTGGTCGTGGGTGAGATGTGGGAAGGCGTCTTGTGTCTTTTTGAGTAGTTTTGTGGGTGTTAGAGGCGGAGAGTCTTATTTTTTTCTTCTATACCTTACTGAGAATCAGGATAGCTTGGAGGACGATTGAAGAAAAACTTGTGAGGCATCTGTTTATGGTAGGTATCGTCTCAAGTAATCAACCTCGTCCATCTGCCCAGTCCAGTTGAGAGTCTCAGACGGCAAGAGCAACATGTGTAGGTTCCTACTGCTTCGAAAGCTCAAAGACCATTTGATCCTTCTCTATCCAAACTATAAAGACAACCTCAGCGGAACGCTGACAACCTTTCGCAACTTCCATCTCAACACACAACTCGCACCTCTGCTCAATCTCACACACCATCTGCTGTGAAGCAAACACGTAAACTCATCTCACATGCGCCCGCTTCATCCACGTCACCATAATATGAGGTACTCTCTTGCAACCTTCCTCCCTCTTCCCACTTCATGATCATCATTCTTTCCTAGCTTGTGTCGTCGTTGACTTGCTGGTCTTTCCTCGAGCAGTGCCTCACTCCTGCCGTATTGTGGCTCTTCTTTCGCTCTTGCTTCTTTTCAGTCGGCCACGACCCCTCACTCCCCTCAACTGCCTTATTTAAATCCTTCATCCTCTCCATCCCACCTCTCTTCCAACTTCAACCCTTCAACAACTCACCACCAACCTCACTTCAGTGACACCACGACCAGGCTTTCACATCACAAGGGATATACCTTCTCACATCATACCCAAGTACTACCACGATACGTCTCAACAGAGGCACTCAGTCTGTTTAGAAACAACTAAGCTTCGTGAGGTAAGTACTACATCTTCACATGATCGTACTTGTTCATATTTACTGACTTACGCAGCTTTCGCTCAGTCTTTCTCCGAACGTCAATATCACATGAGCCGCAACTGAACCCGATGGCTGATCCTCACAATTCGCGACTGCCATCAGTGGCATCGAGCAGCACCACGGCCCAGGCTTCCACTGACATTATGGCCAACGCACAAGTGCCCACCTTTGCGAACATTGAGGATCGAGTCAAGGCCAAGGAGAGGATTCGTGAATTGGGCATCCAACGTCTTCAGGACATTCAAGAAATTCTCAAGAACGATCAAGCAGGAAAATTGCAAGAAGTTGGGGATTGGATTGCCAGCCTTGGTGAGAATCCTATCGGGTTTCCTACTTGACGTCAAGATACTAACATGTCACAGCAATCCTCCTGGAAGCTCATATGTCTCGGGAAATTCTCGTGGGCATCCTTGGAGAGACAGGTATGGGCAAGAGTTCCTTGTTAAACGCCCTTCTTGGTAGCAACATTGGGCCTACCAGCCAGTCAGAAGCATGCACAGCAGCCGTGTGCATTTTCGCTTGGAGCTCTGACCTCGACAAGAAATCGTTCTCTGCCCAGATCACATTCAAGAACAGGGAGACAGTGGAAGCAGACTTGTATGCTTTCAAAGAGGAATGGGCCGAAATCGAGGAAGCCGAGAACACGAACGGAGATGACCAAGACGAAAACTATGAGATCCGCCTCGCTGAAATCAACCAGAAAGTCACTCACGTACAGAATTGGTCTGGTCTCGCGAAAGCGCAGATTCACGCATTATCACCCAAGATGATCCTGAAGCGATCCAACGCTTTCGCGAAGTTTTTCAGAAACGGACGAGGCGAAAAAACTGAAAACAGTCACGAGAAAATCTCTCCCACCAACCGCACCAACTTTCTCAATCAGCTGAAGCCTTACGTGGACAGCTCCAAGTCGGCTGATACCAAGTCTCCTAGATACTGGCCCTTGGTGGAGAAGGTGGAAATCTTCCTCAGCTGCGAAATTCTTCGCCACGGCGTCAAACTGGTTGATCTACCCGGCTCGCAGGACGCCCTTTCATGGCGCTCTCAGGTTGCTGAGAACTATCGCAGTCAACTCGACAAGAGAATTGTGGTGGCTCCCGCTACACGAGCCGCCGATAACAAAGCTGCATCGGATTTTATCTTCTCCAAGCAAGACTCAGATGAGTTGCTGATGAACGACATGATGAAGAGCGAATCGCTCTGCGTTGTTGTCACCAAGGTTGACGAGATCGACTGCAACTCTGCCGAGAGCGAGTTTCCAAATGAGAACATCATCCAAGTTTGCGAAGCTCTTAACAATCTCGAGGAAGCCGAGGAAGAGCTTACAGAAGAGGATGAAGACGCAAGCTACCAACATGAAGGGAAAGGCAAAGGCGTTGCTCAAAAGTCTATCCTGGACAAAGAAACCAGGGCTCACGTTTTGGAAAGCGGGAAGATTGACAGTTCTTTGAGCGAAGACGATCTCAGATTCCTTCTCAAGCATCTTTGCATAGAGGCCCGAAACACTCAGCTGAAAAAGATAATCAACGATCATCTACTCGAGGCGATGAGTAAGGAGTCGAAGGATGGTGAAGCAGCCTCAGCAGCCCTGCCCTGTGTCTTGCCGGTTTCCAGTAAAGCCTTTCAAGATTTCAAGCGAAAGAAAAGAACACTTGATTCGTACGGATTCCCGGACAGGGAGTCTACTGGAATTCCAGCCTTGAGAGAATGGCTGGATCGCGTTTCTCTGCATCACCGAGAGGAATGGGCGGATTTCGACATACACCATATCCGGGTGCTGCTCGATGCAGCTCATGCGTGGATACACGGTGATGACATGAATCTCCCTTCTCTGGATGAGAGCGAGAAAACAAGAGTACAAATGAGATGCGAGCTCATCTCGAAAAGGCTGAAGGAGGTGAGTGAGAAAATGGTAGAACGGAGCTTTTGCTAACACGTGACAGATCGTCAACGCGAGAGTGCGGACTCGGCTTCGCATCAATTTGAGCAATATGAAACCTTTCCGAGACAGTCCCTTGATCAAGGGAAGACTTGGAAAACATTCAAAGCAAGGCGGCGGGCAATTGAGGAAGGCCAGCGAGATCCTTCGAAGGTCTGCCAAAGGGTGGAGGCTGAAGAACCCTTGGGGCAGCATGCAAGCCGCAGATAAAAACGACTACGTTTACTGGTCTACATACAAGGCAAGCGTCAAGCGATATGGAGGTCTTTTCGTCCGACCTGCAAGGAAGGGCCAGGCCAAGTCACACATTCACTGGATGGCCGATGTGTAAGGACATTGAACCCCAGTTTACGATTTCTTCATTCATGCTCACATACACTTCCTAGGCAACATGCATTCTGGAGGGGCCACCATGAGAAGTGGAAACATGAATTCACACAGCGACTTCCTGGTATGAAGCCCAGAGTCCAATGTGCTGGTCGCAAGGCTTTCGACAGTTGGATCAAGGACATCTACGACGACGACACTCTGCCAGGCCCTTACAGAGATCTGATCAAAGGGGGCATGTACAGGTTTGAGAACCTATTCAACAAGTACATCTCAGAGATCAGGAGTCGCATCGACACTTTCCTCGTGACTTCCCGAGGAAAGAGGATTACCTTGGCTCGTCTTCTAGCTGAGGACATGCGACCTGGCTTTGAAGCCGCGGCGGCTCACACGGGTAAGAAATAGCTCTGCTATGTATATCATCCGAATCTAACCGTGCCCAGGCAAAGGAATTTTGAAGAAGCAGGCTGGTGAAGTCGAGAACCATGTGGATGCAGTCAGCTTCACAATGTTTGAGAGAGCCCGCAATGAGCTGGAAGAGGAGCTCGCCCAAGAGCTCAAGCAAGTCTCAAAAGACATGAACCTCTATTGGGTTGATAAGAAAACTGGCTGCTGGACTCTCATCACGAACGAACTGAAGCGCATGGCCAGGCGCCTTTGCGCCGACAAGGCCATGAGAAGTCTGACCCCGAAGATTGGCGAGGAGACCAAGCTTCAACTTTCTGCTCTTATTGAGGAATGGAGAGAGGAATTCGATGGTGTTCAAGCCCGACTGCCTCAGCAGGAAATGGCTGATGATTTCGAAGATGACCCGGATGAAGATCCCAACATCAAGTTGGAAGAGGATGAAGAGACTGGCGAGCTTTACGAGACGTTCGCGCCGGTGATGGTCAAGAGCGAGCCAATGACCAACTAGAATCTTGGAGTATCGTTTGGAGGGCTGCGACGATTCTGGCCTATCTCGTTTCTTGAGGTCTATGGCATCTGGATTTGCTTTTCTTTATTGGTATTTGCGATTTCTTTCTTCATCGACACTGGATTTCAGGCAAGAATTTTGAGACATGGCTCACGGAGAGCCTTTGGATTTTCAGATTCGCATCTCGCCTTGGGTTGCGAGATACTGGCTTATGCAGCCGAGCAGACGGGCCGGCTTAATTTCATAGATTGCTTTTGATTCATAGACGAGTTAGCGCAAAGGATAGGAAACAAGATTGCTTTCTTTACATACCATGGTCCCAGAGAACTCAGGCAATTCCGCGTGCCGTGCTGCTGGCCCGAATGGAAAAGGGTGTCAACTTGATCCGGTGTGGGTGTGGCAGGATCTGGGCCTGTACACGTGATGTTCAAGAAGGGTTGCTGCATCGCATTACGCGGCGAATTGCAATTGGTACATGTGATGTTGACCTGCATATTCAACAAGCCTCGAGAGTTCTTGTCAGATCATCACGGCACAGCCCCGGTAGGCAGACAGGGCCTTGTCCAAACCCAACGTCAAATACCGCAGACCAGTTACTCGACGTCCAATTTCCATTCCGCCACGTCAAGTTCAGGCACTCTTGGCCTTCCGAACAACGCCAGATGGCTTCGTCTATGAACACTATGGGCAACGAATATCGCTACCAGCCACTGTCGAGTGCGCGGGCTACTCGCCTGATTATGCTTCACGGAGCCAGCAAAGAGGACGCCCCACTGGCCTGTACTATCGTGGAAACCACTCTAGACGAGCCTGCTGAGTATTACGCTCTATCGTGTACGTGGGGCGGTGAAATTCCCAGCGTACCGATGAGCATCTCACCAGACGACGCTTCGACAGCATCTGGCTTGTCGGCGGCGGTGTTCCTGCTGACTCCGAATTGCGCTGCGGGGCTGAGAAAGCTGCGCGAGTCTATTGGAGGGACAAGTATAGGGGTGTGGGTTGATGCGGTTTGCATCGATCAGACGTCAATTGAGGAGAAGAACGTACAGGTTGCGATGATGAACGACGTCTACAGCTGCGCGAAGTGCGTGATAGTATGGCTGGGGGAAGACTGGGCCCCAAAGTCGAGCAGAAGTTTGGAGTTTCTTTCGGATATTCATCTAAATGGGCTTGGGATGCGGCGGAAACACTGGATTCGGGGCACCGAAGCCCTGCCAAAACGGGCGGTGTCTTATTATGTGGCAATTACAGGTACGAGGAAGCACAATCCCATCCATGAAAAGCTAGAACTCATGAACCAAAGTATGGAGCGACCAAGAAATGCTATCACGTCTACTACAAGCACCATACTGGACAAGAACCTGGACCTTGCAGGAGGTTGCGGATGCGCAGGTAAAGCTCCTCTGCAAAAGCTCACATCTGTATGGTTTGGGGGACACGTACAAAGCCCTGAATTCCTACCGCTTCATACGAGATCTTAGTTATCCTGACGGGTGGAATCTACATCATCGCCTTTGGCAAAGGGCTCGACGTAAGCGGTGGCCAGGTAGACTGCGCCTTTCTAAAAACCTGGGCGCCGTCGATCTTGCGCAGCTTATTTCAATGAAAGCCTCGGAGCCGAGAGATAAGATATACGCGATGCGCAGCCAGTTAACGGACACGTTTGGTAGAATGGACGTGGACTACAATCAGCCGATCGAATCAGTATTTGCCACAGCCACAAGATACATGCTCATGCAAAGTAACGGGCTGGAGTCGCTTTACCATGCGAGCCGACCGACGAAGTTGGGCAACCTTCCATCTTGGGCCATAGACTGGGCTTCCGAGGAAGACATGGAATATTTCTGGTATCACAGTCTGCCTTGGATGGAGCGTAGAGTATGCGGTGGAAGCGAACCTCTTTACAGGTTCTCCGTCGACGGAAGGGCACTCTACCTCAGAGGCAGGCTGGTCGGAAAGGTGCACGATCGATACGTCTCACCTGTTTGTCCTTGCTGCTCTGATTCCCGCGGTACTGCGAAGTATGACACCTTCAGCGACCAAAAGGTGGTCAGCGTAATCTTGAAAGAGGCTGCTGCTTGGTTCTCAGACTTGACTGCCGCAGCTAACGCTGCACCAGGAACCATAGATCCTGCTCTCACGGTGCCCCAGAGCACGTTGAGTAGTGTTGCTAGTCTCCTGGACTTCATTCGTAGTCAGAGTTTCGAGAGAATTCGGAAGAAGTTCGTGTCTTCCTTCCAGCTAACCCCGAAGAACGACTTGAAGAAGATGGTCAGCAAGATTGCTTCTGATCGCATGTTTTCTAGGAAATTCGCTGCATATCTGGGTACTGGGAGGCTTTTCCTCACAGCCAAGGGCTCCTTTGGATGCGCTCTGCGCTCCATTGAGCCCGGGGATCTCTTATGTATCTTTTCTGGGCTTCCATACCCGTTTGCTGTTCGTCCGAGTGGCTCAAGCTACATTCTCGTGGGACCTGTCTTGCTTGATGGCGTTATGGAGGGAGAAATGTGGCCAGAGGATGAGAGCGTTCTGGAAGAGTGGGAATTTGTCTGAGGACATGTTACGGAATTCTGGCGTAAGGCGTAATGAAAGCCAGGCACACGTAGTCTGAAAGTACGCAATGAAAGGATAGCGTCTCTTAATCAAAATTCCAAGGTATCAAGTGGAACCGAGAATTCTAACACGTTCGGAATTTGGGTCATGTAGAAATGGCGTTTGCTCAATGTTTGCTGTGAAATGACCGTCAACTCAGTCCTTTAGGAGATGATGTGTTCATAGGAAACGGCACTGACATGGTTTCCACATTCGAATACGGTAGGATAGAAAACATCCAGTCTTTCGTGAAGACTAATGAGTTACTGCTTTCCGATTGATGCTGTGGCGGTTGAGGTGTGTAACACAAGCGGCACGGCAGAACAGCTGATCTTGAAAACCTATGCTGTGCCGATCCTGAATCCTTCCACGTTGACGTCTGTCAACGAATAGTCTAAGCTTCAAGTTGTGCTAACGTCATCTTCATTGAAATGATCTCAAAAAGGAAGCACTACTAGAAGAGGAAATACCTTTTTGAAGTCATCAAGTCGTTTGGATTCTGGGCACCAAAGGAAGTGACAAGATGTCCAGTATAAGTATTCACATTAACCCAGAAACCATTCACATACCCCCTAAGTTCCATTCAATAAATAGCTCACATAGCAACCTCCTAAGATGTTACCCTCACGACAAATCCTCTCATCCTTCCTCATACTAGGGCCCGGTCTTGTACAAGCACACATCACATCAAGAACAGTATCCGCAAGAAATACCCCCGAAGAATGGGAAAAACACCCAACCGCAACAGGAAGCTGGCCCATCTACGGCATCGACATATCCAGGCCCCTGACATCCACCCCCGACGCCAACGCCTACGGCCAGGGAAACGGATGGAGCATCGACGTCGCGGTCACGTACAACTGGACCGAGAACCCCTTCTCTCGGAGCAAGAATCGATACGGAGTCACCCTAACGGCCCCGGAGAAGCCCTTCGAGGTCCTCGACGCGTCGAACTCGAGCGCCGGGTATCAGATGTGTAACCAAGTCTGGTTCAAGACGACGTGGAGCGCGGAGCAGCGGAAGAAGCTCGCGGAGGATGTGGATGGGTCGTGCAACGGCGTGATACCGGATGACTGCGTCCGGGATCTCACGCAGTCGCTCAAAGACGAAGGGTGTGGAGATGACGTCGACCGGCCTGCGAGTTGCGATGCTGTATTCCAGGACGCGGGGGTAGTACGCAGCGGTAACAACAATTCCCTGTCCTCGAGAATTGAAAAAGCTGTGCTGATTGTCGATTGATTCTTCCAACAGACCCCGTCTCTTCGTTTGCGAACGCTCTGGACAAGGCGAGCCCGTCTTTCAAGCTGGCCGGCGCAAGCTCGGATCCCACGGCGGAGTCGGAGCACGGTGAGTTGGAACAGACGTACGATGAGGCCGTGGCGCAGGTGTTTGCGGTTTTGCTCCTCTGGGAGTATGATGACGGGGAGAACAAGTCGGATTACAGCGTCTTCCGGTGTGTTCGGGCAACTGACGTCGGCGCGCCTAGTTCATCTTTCAGACAAACTGTCTCGTTGGGGTTGGTTGCTCTGGGTGTCTTGGTTGCTCTGGGGATTTAGTGCTTGTTGTATTCGTATGTTATATTGTATATGTACCGTCTGTTTCTATATACTTCGCGAGTGCCCTCGTGCAAGAAAATCTCGACTTTGAGACTGGGTGACGCCGATGTCTGACATTCGAGACTCTAAGCATCCACGCGCACCATCTTCTCTCCCGCCAGAAATAGACGGCGACATCCCAGAACTGTGTCTTCTCTGCCGCACAAAGACGCCTTGGCTTGCGAAGCTGGTTTTAATCTTTGACTCCGTCGTAGGACTCGGCGGCGGGGAGACGCTGTGGTGCCTCTTGACCGTGAGGTACAACGACTTCCCCATCCCCAACCAAAAGGCAATCTTGCTGCATTGTGCGTCCGTGTACCTCGTCATGTAAATCTGATGCGGCTTTTCGTCTTTGTGAATCTGGTCTATGAATCCGAGATCGACCGATATGAGTCTGGGGCCCGTCCAATGGCGAAGCCACCGGAGTGCGGCTCGGCAGTTTTGATTTGCGAGAAGGATGTCCCAGTATTCGCCGATGTAAACCGGGCAGAACCTGAGATCGAACACGTCAGATGAGGTTCCATACTAGCGATTGACAAGAGAGTTTCAACTACTGGACGTACCGTCTGTTTTCGTCGTCTTCTCCTCTCCAAGAATATGTGAGGGTGTCATAGTCCGGATAACATCTGTGCTGAAAGACTTTGAAAGACAGATGTACCGGATAGCTCTTATGAGATCCCTTCGGCACAGAAGATAGATAGGCTAGTCGGAACTCTCCAGGCGCCAGGCTTCCTCCATCGAGGAGATTCTGCAAAGAGCTGGATGTGATATCCCAGGCTTTGAAGTTGTCAGTCCCAGGCAGCCAAGAATTGCTCAGGTGCCGCGTCTGAGAGCGGTCTGAAGGGCATGGAACCGGTGATGGCCACCAAAGACTGAGCTTTCCCACTGGATCTTCGAAAGGACCCGGTGGTAGCGGACTCCATGTGTCTCGATTGGCATCGAGTAGTTGTCTAGCAGACTTCTCACAGCTCCTACAAACAGGCGCTTCGTCTTGCTCGACGACAACGTCGGGCTGTTGGCAGGACGGAGCATGCCACCTCATTTTCGAGAACGATGGTTCTGTTACGAGAAATCATGATAACTCTGGTAAACTTGGGATAAAGCCTGGGTTGAAGGATAGCTGAAAAGGTCCACAGCCAATGTGGCGAAATCTCAGCCGCACGCGGGGTGGAGTGAGTTCACGATTTCCCATGCAGCTAATGATGCGAGTCAGACTATGTGACTTTGCTTCAACTCACTTAGCTACCCCTCTTCCCCACGAACACGCATCACACCAAGCCCGTTCTGTACAAGGCCGCTGAGAACCGCGCGATGGCAGCTTGCCGGTTGGAGAGTTCGGACTCGGATGGTTTCTGATGTTCAGTCGTCTAGGAGTAGGGTCGCAGAGTGTCGAAAACGTAATAGGGTATCTCATTCCGCTTTAGAGCTTTCGGGCTTGGCTCCCTTGGGTTGAAAAATGTGGTCGCCTGGGTATTCGGCGAGGTAACCTTGCAACTTCCATAACAGAAGCTGCAGCGCGACTGAACGGTCCTTTTTCACTACGACCAGGGAATGGTCTCTGAACAGAGAATGCCTCCGCAAGATAGCCATGTTCTCCGGTCCCAACAGGAACTCAAGATCGTGCACTGGCAGACTCTTCTCCCACCTGACACCGGGAACCTCGTAGGTAGCAAATTGCTCCACGGAAGGGCCCGCAGGCCCAGCACTCTCTTGGCTACCGACGTTGGAGGGCAACCATAGAAGACAGCCGCGCTTCTGCACGCGAGCTGTCGTCTCCCAGGTGGGACACGGCTGGAGATAGACCCTGCTATCCTTCTCAGCCAGTCTGATGTAGTACAAGATGGTGTTTACGACCTGACGACGCATGTTCTCGAGGACGAAGTCGTCCATGTCGGCGCGCCAGACCAGTTTGGCCTTTGCGACCTTCATGAAGCGGTCGCGTTTCATGAAGATCATGTTGGCGGTGCCCCCGTGTGGTGCCGCGCCCTTTGACTTGGGCATGTTCTTAAGTAGCTGTTTCCTGGCTAGGACGTATGCCGTCGGGGCGCTCATCGCCTTCTTGTAAGGGAATTCTGGTGGTGCGGGTTGTTCCTGGTTTGGAGGCGACGCTACGGCGGCGTCTGGTGATTCTTGGGAAGGCTCTTTGGCGTCTTCGTTGTTCTCTTCTGGCCCATCTTCTGAGTTCGACTCCTCTTGCCATGTTTGTGTGACAGTGTCTTCAGGCACGACCCATACATCGTTTGTGCCTGGTCTGGATACAGCTTTGAACTTCTGAAGGAAGAAGGAGGGAAGATATTTTTTGGTGACGGGACACTGTCGCAAAGGGGTGGCAAGAGCCTGAGCTGGAAAATCGGTCAGCCAGGGTTATCTATTGTCGCGGAACAGAATTTTACAAACCGAATGCGTTTACTCGGAGTTTGGCCTTTGCTCTGCCCTTCAAATCCGTCGGCGGTTCCCTCCTCGCCTTCTCTTTGGGATTCCTCCATCTGCTCCTCGCCTCCATGAAGTCGGGGTCCATGAAGGGAGAGATGGGTAGCTCGCCAACGGCTGTCGTCACCGTCTTGTTAGCCGTATCGAGAATGATCTTGTTTCCGTCGCCATCTTCGCCTAGTCCGCGGGAGAGCCTGTCTGCCAATTCCCTCCTTGTTCTGGCTGCTCGTTCGAGGGTCTGGGGGTCGAGGCTCGCGCGGGCGCCGATGGTAGAGAAGAGGCGACGATTCATGGTTGTTCGGCCTCGACCGAGAGGGAGGCCTTTACAAGATCGATAACGCCGGCGCGAAGGTGATTGGAGTTCGAATTGAGTGCGAAAGGCTACAATGACGTCGCAAATTTTGGGAATGCGGACGGCTTTACACGCTTCGGGGCAATTTTTAGGCGAGACGCGCCTAAGCTCGGAGCTCGGGGGGTCCTCAGGCAGGGGCCCAACGTCACCTCCACTTGCCGCTGTTTGCCGCATCGCATTCCCATCCCTCCAGCTTCCCGTCAACATCCTCACCTCCTCAGTTCGCGCACTACACCATTTGCGCCGCCATGAACTGCCAACGCACACTATTCAGAGCCTTGAGGGCAGCCCCTCTCAGGCGGCACGTCAGGACCTTCACAAACTTCCCCGTCCCGCCGATGGGAGGCTCACCACCGGTCGGAAACATCCCGCTGCCGTACATCACCGAGGTCTCGGTTCGTAACGCATGGCCCTGCAGCATTCGATGAGGGAAATGGCTAATTGAGCAGTCTAATGGCTGGAGGTCATGTTAGTATCATAGGTGGATCGAAATTGAAGCTGGACGCTGACGGCGCAGGTAGACGACATCTTCTCCAAGCTGCTACAGGTATGCTGCTCAGCGTCACTTCGCTGTGTGCTATCGCTGACAGCCCCAGGAACGAATTGTCTGCCTCAACGGTGCGATCGACGATACCGTATCCGCATCGATAGTTGCCCAGCTGCTGTGGCTCGAGTCCGATAGCCCCGACAAAGCGATCACCATGTACATCAACTCGCCAGGAGGATCGGTCTCGGCAGGTGGGCTACACCCATGTCGGGGAGAGGCAGCGCGTGGCTGACAGAACCAGGTCTTGCGATCTACGATACGATGTCATACATCAAGTCGCCCGTCTCGACAGTGTGCCTCGGCGCCGCCTCCTCCATGGCCGCGCTGCTCCTCACAGGAGGCGAGGCCGGCAAGCGCTACGCCCTGAAGCACAGCTCCGTCATGATCCACCAGCCTCTCGGCGGCACGCAGGGCCAGGCTTCGGACATTCTCATCTACGCGAACCAGATCCAGCGCATCCGCAGACAGATCAACGAGATCATGAAGCGCCACATCAACACGTCTTTTGGGCACGAGAAGTACAACCTGGAGGAGGTCAACGACATGATGGAGCGCGACAAGTACCTCACGGCCGAGGAGGCCAAGGAGATTGGCGTCATCGACGAGATCTTGACGCGCAGAGAGGACAAGGACAAGAAGGAGGAGGGCTCGTCGGAGGAGCAGAAGACGAAGCCGTAGGACGTTGAGTAATACGTATTGAGCCAGGCATGGGCTGGACAACGTCATGGCCCGAGTATCCACCGAAGGATTCGATTACGGGATTCGATTGTGAGGATTATGGAGGCCGCATGCGCGTTGCCGGGTAGCCGCAATCCACACCGCGGATTCGGGGCCTGAAAAGCGGGTCATATCCGGGACCGGACGCCGCCGCGGGCTTAACGGGAATAAGCACCTCCCGAAGAGGGCAATGCAGCAGTCAGTACTGTTCTGAATGGCCTCATTGGAAACATAGACACATTCGACAGACGTCAGATATACGATACCATCTCACACCAGAAAGACCTCATCAGAAGAAGGTGAATGCAAGGAGATATTCCTCACCTTGGCTCACCGTCACAATGAGCTCCTACACCGGCTCACCTCAGAAAGGCGGGACCACCCAAGCCAGCCAATCAGGGAATTCCTATTTCAATGCGGGGAGCGGCCGGCGGGGAGCTCCAGATTTTTACGCAGCCGACATCGCCCAAATTTCCGGGGGGCCGCCGGCGCTGCTCAAACCCCAAAATCCATCTTCAACTTCTCGTGCGCCGTGTCCCTGTGACTGTCCCTGTGATCTCAGGTCTTTGCACTTGTTACCGTGACTCACCTGTCGACACTATAAAAACACGACAGAAAAGGAGCCAGGAAGTCAGTTGAAGCTCGACTCAATTGACACGGACGCAAGACATCTCGAGCATCCACATTCCCCTCCTCTCCGCACTCGCTTTTACTCCGGGGCGTCCTCGCCGGTGATACCCTCCACACAATGCTCTCAAGAGCCATTTCCCGCCAGTCGCAAGCTCTCAGAGCTACGACGAGGCGCTCTTTTGCCAGCAGCAATGCGTACGAAGCTCCTCCCCAACCCCAATTGGCGGTCTTGTAAAGGTCAATTGCTAACAATACCCAAAAAAACAGCCGCCTCCTCTCCTCCACCGCCATCCGCCGCGCCGATGACCAGAAGCTCAACAAGGTCTCCTCCACAATCACTCAGCCCAAGTCCCAGGGCGCCTCCCAGGCGATGCTGTACGCCACGGGCCTCACCGAGGAGGACATGAACAAGGCGCAGGTCGGCATCTCGTCCGTCTGGTACGAGGGCAACCCGTGCAACATGCACCTGCTCGACCTCTCCAACCTCGTCCGCAAGTCCGTCAAGGACGCCGGCCTGATCCCCTACCAGTTCAACACCATCGGCGTCTCGGACGGCATCTCCATGGGCACCAAGGGCATGCGCTACTCCCTGCAGTCCCGCGAGATCATCGCCGACTCCATCGAGACCGTCATGAACGGCCAGTGGTACGACGGAAACGTCTCCCTCCCCGGCTGCGACAAGAACATGCCCGGCGTCGCCATCGCCATGGGCCGCGTCAACCGCCCCTCCATCATGGTCTACGGCGGCACCATCCAGCCCGGCTGCTCCAAGTCCGGCGAGTCCATCGATATTGTGTCTGCCTTCCAGGCCTACGGCCAGTACATCACCGGCGAGATCACCGAGGAGCAGCGCTTCGACATCATCCGCAACGCCTGCCCCGGCTCCGGCGCCTGCGGAGGCATGTACACCGCCAACACCATGGCCACCGCCATCGAGACCCTCGGCCTGACCCTCCCCGGCTCCTCCAGCAGCCCCGCCGAGCACCCCGCCAAGAAGGCCGAGTGCGAGACCATCGGCGCCGCCATCAAGAACATCCTGAAGGAGGACATCCGCCCCCGCGACATCATGACCCGCCAGGCCTTCGAGAACGCCATGGTCGTCGTCAACATCCTCGGCGGCAGCACCAACGCCGTCCTCCATCTCCTGGCGATCGCCGACTCCGTCGGCATCAAGCTGACCGTCGACGACTTCCAGGCCGTCTCCGACCGCACCCCCTTCCTGGCCGACCTGAAGCCCTCGGGCAAGTACGTCATGGCCGACATGCACGACATCGGCGGCACCCCCGGACTCCTCAAGTTCCTGCTCAAGGAGGGCCTCATCGACGGCTCCGGCATCACCGTCACCGGCAAGACGATGAGGGAGAACGTGGAGGACATGAAGGGCTTCCCGGACTCGCAGCAGATCATCCGGCCCTTCAGCAACCCGATCAAGCCGACGGGCCACATCCAGATCCTGCGCGGGCAGCTCGCGCCGGGCGGCTCGGTCGGCAAGATCACGGGCAAGGAGGGCCTGCGGTTCGAGGGCAAGGCGCGCGTGTTCGACGAGGAGGACGGCTTCATCGCGGCGCTCGAGCGCAACGAGATCAAGCAGGGCGAGAAGACGGTCGTCATCATCCGCTACGAGGGGCCCAAGGGCGGTCCCGGCATGCCCGAGATGCTGAAGCCCAGCTCCGCCATCATGGGCGCCGGCCTCGGCAAGGACGTCGCCCTGCTGACGGACGGCCGGTTCTCCGGCGGCTCGCACGGCTTCCTGATCGGACACATCGTGCCCGAGGCCATGGAGGGCGGGCCGATCGGACTGGTGCGGGACGGGGATGTGATCACCATCGACGCGGAGCAGCGCGTCATCGACACGAACGTGTCTGACGAGGAGATGGCGAGGAGGAGGGCCGAGTGGAAGGCGCCGCCGCCCAAGTACAGCAAGGGCACGCTAAAGAAGTACTCCTCGCTCGTGAGCGACGCCAGCTCGGGCTGCGTCACGGACGGCAAGTTGTAAAAAGGAGAGAGGAGAGGGCTGTCTTTCGTTTTTGGTTTACTCCGGGGGCGGTGGGGCATACGTTTTTTCTCTAGAGTTCTACACTGTTATACCATCTTCTTGTACGGCTTCGGAAAAGGGTAGTCCAAAAATCGGAGTTTTGTTTGTGGTCATTCGTCACGGCATTGCATTTTGTGAGTTGGCCTGGCTCGGTCTGGCTTGTGAGGGCTGCAGAGTCGGGTGTTGCGTATGCGCTTGACAAAAATCCGAACCGTGGTATATGAAGCTCCTGAACGTACACGATTACACAGCGGTATCCGTCAAATGACGCCGCTCATGCCTGCCTTTTTCATCTCTCACACTCGTCGATTTTGAAACACGGCGCATCAAGGCGACCCCCAGCTCCTAGCTATGCAATACCCGCGAAAATCATGAAAGCACTGCTGCCGCCCTGCTTGATTCTTAGCTCGAAAAGGTTGAGTCCCTCTCTCTCCTTTACTTCTTCCGCCCGTTCCATGCGTCGACGAACGCCGCCTTGTCCCGCAACGTGAGACCGACGCGCTTATTACGGCAGAGCCTGGCAAGAGCTTCCGCGACCTTGTCCAATACGCGCTGCTCTTCGGTCGAAAGCGTCGAGGGCTCGCCTCCCATGCGTCGTTGCGCGGATCCGCTGTCAGCGGACGAAGATGACGACACGCCATTGGTCTGAGCTGCCGAGGAGTTGAGGATGCTTTCGGCGACACGGACGCGGATGCATGTCGTGGGCCGGGACAGCAGGTCCCAGAGGAACTTGAACCAGCGGCCAGGGACGGGCGTCGTGACATCGGCGGGAGTGTACCTGATGCTAACAGGGAAGATGTGGACATCTGGTTTCGCGGCGAGCAGGCTGGGTGTGAAGGGGAGGACGCCCTTGCCGTTGGTGGTTGCGCCCTCGGGAAAGACGGCGACGACACGGTCGGGGTAGCGCTCGAGGAGGGCGGCGAGGTCGGTGAGCTTTGCGCCCTGGGGCGGGGCGAAGCAGATGGGGGAGAGGGCGTAGAGGACGGCGCGGAGGAGGGAGATGCGCTGGACGGAGCGGGTGTTCGGGTAGGAGATTGTGAAGATGGGGTCGAAGATGGCGGCGAGGTAGATCGCGTCGATGGGGGAGGTGAAGTTCGCCGCGATGACGGAGCCCGGGTGCGGGAAGCGCTGCGGGGGCTGCTCGGCGAGGGTACCGCGTCGGACGCCGTCGAGTTGGAGATCGACCCACCATATCCCCGGGATACCCATCATGCCCCAGAGGAGGATCTTCCGGGCGGCGACGGGGAGGAAGGGGAGGTGTTGGAGGAGGAGGAAGTAAGTGGCGACGTAGGTGATGAAGAGCGGGAGGCGGATGATGAAGAGGAAGGAGTGGAAGACAGCGGCGAGGGGAGACAGAGGCGTCTTGACGGGGATGAAGGGCGATATGCCGGAGCCTGTGGATTGTCAGCGCCGTTGGAGGCGGGGATGGTCTTGTCGGAGGTATTCACCTTTATCGCGAAACTGGCTGAACTTCTCCATTGTTGCGATTTGCTTTCGAGATGAAGATACTGAGGTTTGTTGGGTCGAAAGTGGTGTAAGTCGGGGTTCGGGAGACCGGAGGCGGGATATTCGGAGGGTATCACGGCGGCATCAGCTCCGTCGCATCCAAGTCTCGGACGATGCGATAGTCCCGAAAGATTGGAGCGCGAGTCGAGGCGAATGGAGTGGACTCGGTGTCAAGGATGAGCTCGGAAGAAGTCGACGAGGCTCGAAACAACAGCCGTGTAACGCGGGCCTCTTGTTGTGTGCCTCTTCCACGGGAAGGATAGCTTCGTGGCCTGTTTGCACGGAATCCGCGTTGTTGGGGGCGTCGAGACACAAATCTCAGGTGCAACACAACCTAGCGAATGAGCTTTCCAACGTCATGGTGCGGCCTGGCGCGGGTGTCGATGACATGTGAAAAAGGCCACACTTTTGGTGGTGTGAGCGTTGGGCGCATTTGAGGTGTGTGACCGCTTTCCCGATTGGGATGATGCCCCTCTTTACGGATAAGTGGGGTTTCGGCCTGAAAGGTGGAGTCCGACGTCTTTGGCCTGAGGCTTGAATAATATTATGTAATGACGGCTTATGTAACAATGAATGCTGCACCATGCACAACCTGCACAACGTCGTTGCCCCGGCAGCAGGGCGTACACAATTCGAGATAAACACTCCAGCAGATTGACGCATCCAAATTAGGAAGAGGAGCAAACAAATTAACCCACCCGACCGCAAAGACGGCACCACGAAGCTTGAGCACAACCCACACCCCTCTCCATATTCAATCATAGCTGTACACTTTTCGCGACCCGGCCGTTGCATCCTTGCTTCAACTTCACAACGTCCCGTCGTCGCCCTCAGCATCTACACCCGGAGCGCTGCTCCTCGTATCACACATCATCGTTCCCGTTGTCGCCCGCCGCGTCGACAGCATCATCAATATGGATGCCTCAGAGAACTCGGTGCGTCCGCTCTGCTCCGCTCGCTCCAGACCCTCCGCGCGATGACATTCACAACTGACCAAGGCCGCCGAAAAAAAAACAGTTCCGAACCTCAGTCATCCGACCCCCGAGCAACCTTCCCCGACCCGGTATCTCTTCTGGCCTCGGCCTCTCGGAAATGAGCGAAGCGCAAAATAACTCGCGCGCGCAATCGTCCATGATACCGCCGCCAGGCGCGAGAGTCGGTTCGCTCGCAGACCTCAAGCGCAATGTTCCCCAGCCAGGTTGGTTCTTTCCTGTCATGAATAATAACAAAGGCAGTCGCTGACGGCCTCTCCTGCAGCGCAAATATCAGACCCGAAACACAGAAAGACCCTCGCCGACAGGGCAGTCGAATACCCGCAGAAGAACAACACAACGGCAGCCACGTCTGGCCTCTCGAGGTCAACCTCAGTGCGAGGGCAGACTATTTCCTCGGTAGGTCTTCATTCGTCTTTGCGCTCTACACCCCATCCCTCAGCCAGCCCGGTCGTTTGCGATGGAGTCGTCCGTCACCCGAGCCGTCCCGCTCGTCGATGTCTTGCGAATCACCCACTGGATATGCCTTCATCTCTGCCGCGCCTCGCGATGGATGTTGCGTACGGTCGCCCTCGCGGCTCCGCGGCTTTCGACCCTGCAGAAGTTGCTGCTCGCCTTCTCTTTTCATTCCAACCAGATCGACTGGCATCAGAAGGAGGGCCGATCCAGCACGCCGCCACCTAACCGTCGACCCCGAGCAAAGTCTCCAGCTCCCTTGACCTATTTCCGCAGCGCATCCGGAAGCCTCCAAGTCTGGCTCGGCATGCAAAACGCTAGCGGCAGTACCCGAGGCCTTCAGCTTTGGCTGGGCGCGGATATGCATCAAGGGACCGGCGAACCGTGCATCGCGGACATCACGGACGATACGGGGGACAGGGATGAGCTGCTTTCTGTACCGCTGGCTGCTCGTTTCTCGAAATCGTCCTGTACGATGCTGACTCGTAGCAGATCAAAGGCCCTTCCACACTTAACCGACAGAAATCGACATCAGCAGTTTCGCGATATAACTCCAACAACACCAACTTCTCCGCCAGCGTCGGTCCCGGCAGACATGAACGGTCAAAGTCTTCGCTGTCCAACACCCGGTCGGCTCATGCGCAGTCGGTTTCCGGAGGTCCGCGGCCCCGAACCCAAAACGCGATGAACAGGCCTCGCACGGCGCACAGCAATCGAGTAGAGGACGACTTTGATGGACCAATGGCACAACAGCACGGTACGGCCAAACAATCTCAGCGACTGAAGTTTCAAGGCGCTTTAGATTTTTCTTTGAACAAGACTCAACCCAGCAACTCAGCACCCCAGATGCCGTGTCGTAGAGAAGTCTCTCTCAGCAGCCGGTTTGGTGCACTGTCCATCAAGGACGACACCAGCACGGACTCGACACAAGATGAAGATCAAGTGGTTTTCAGCAGCCAAGAGAACAGCATCAGCTCCATGACGACAGCAGCGAGCACCACGCAGGTGGCGGACAACGTCACGATGCGCGGCTCACGCAGACTCGCCATGAAACCGCCGGAGCTGTCGCCGAAGAAGAGACAGGCCAGTCGCATGACCGAACCAGTCACCCCTTCGCCAGACTCTAAGCGAGTGAGAGCCGACATGAACGAGCTCGAAGACGCCATTCTGTCGATCAAGGCTTCCAGATCCCCAGCCAGATCCCCTTCTCCTAACAAACTCATGTTCTTAACTAAAGATTCTAACTTGACTCAATTCGCAGCCTGGGATGTCGAAGGACGATTGGGCGAGCTCGACTCGCAATTCAAAAAGGTGCAGGACTCGATGAACAGCATGATTACCGATAAGGAGTTGATGGACGAGCGCGTCGCCATGTTTAAGAAGAGAAGTGAGCCGACCGCTTCGTCATGAGTGGGCGTGAGCTGACTGCCGCAGTATCCGAACTCGAAGCCGAACGAGACAAGTTCGCAGACCGCAACGAGAGCTTGCAGACGGAGCTTAACAGCATGCGAGAACAGGTTTCCAAGTTGACGATTGAATCAGAGACGGAAAAACGAAGTCACAAGTATGAGCTAGAGGATGAAGCCCGTAAGCGACGCCACGAGGTGGATGAGTTGCGACGCGAACTGCGGGATGAGGTCGCGCGACAGGAGAAGAGCCAGAGCGAGGCCTTGGCCGCACTCGAGCGACACTACAAAGTCATGCTCGATGATGAGCGCAGCAAGCAAGAGAAGGAGGTTGAGAATCTCCGAATGCGCCTCGGAAACGAACAGCAAGACCTGCACCTCAGCCTGCAGAAGAAGGACCGCGAGGTATCGGAAATGCGAGCGGTCATCGAAGGTCTCAAGGGCGACCTGGACCGCGAGCAGAGCCTGAAGAAGGGTCTGGAAGCGACAATCACGGAGCTTTCGTCCTCCAACCACCAACTCCAAGGCAGGATCAACTCCCTCGCCGGTCAAGTCGACTACCTTCAATCCGACAGCAAGGCGCAATCAGATTCGTACACCCAGATGGAGGCGAGATTGCAAGAGGCGCTTCAGGCCGCAGAGTTTGCCCAGGAAAAGCTCATCAAGGAGGAGACGGAGCGTCGCATTCTCTTCAACAAGTACCAGGAACTCAAGGGCAACATCCGTGTCATGTGCAGAGTGCGACCCGTCCTGAGCTCGTCCGAAGGCTTGCCTGCCCAAGTGACGTTCCCAGACGACAAGACTTCGGCGGAAATCGCTCTTGCGGGACCCGAAGAGACCAACAGCATCTCCGGCAAGGTCACGAGGAAGAACTACAACTTTGAGTTTGACCGCGTGTTCGACCCCAGTGCGCAGAACCAAGACGTGTTCGACGAGATCTCGCAGCTCGTGCAGAGCGCCCTCGATGGATACAATGTTTGCATTTTCTGCTACGGCCAAACCGGTTCCGGCAAGACGCACACCATGTCTTCGCAAGACGGCATGATCCCGCGAGCAACACACATGATCTACGACACGGTCACGAAGCTGAAGGAGAAGTCGTGGTCGTACAGGATGGAGGGCTCGTTCATCGAGGTTTACAACGAAGAGCTCAACGACCTGTTGACGCCGAACAGCCGCGAGTCGGGTGGCAAGGAGCGCAAGCTCGAGATCCGACACGACGACATGCGAAAGCAGACGACAGTCGTCAACTGCAAGACGGTGTCCCTGGACTCGGCCGACACGGTGGAGATGATGCTCGACGAGGCGTCGAAGAACCGGTCCGTCGCGGCAACCAAGGCCAACGAGCGTTCCTCGCGCTCGCACAGCGTCTTCATCCTCAAGCTTGTCGGGTTCAACTCGGCAACGGGCGAGCGCTGCGAGGGCACGCTGAACCTGGTGGATCTCGCGGGTTCGGAACGCCTCAAGCACTCGCAGGCGGAGGGCGACAGGATGAAGGAGACACAGAACATCAACAAGTCGCTGTCGTGTCTCGGCGACGTGATTGAGGCGCTCGGCAGGGGAAGCGGACACATTCCGTACCGCAACTCGAAGCTGACTCACTTGCTGCAATACTCTCTCGGGGGTAACAGCAAGACGCTCATGTTTGTGATGGTTAGTCCGTTGGAGACTCATCTCAAGGAAACTCTGACTAGTTTGCGATTTGCTACTAAGGTGAGAAGAGCGCATCGAACATTGAGAGAGGACACAAGGCTAACTCGACACAGGTTCATAATACCCATATTGGCACGGCGAAGGCGACGAAGAAGGTGTAAATGTCATGCAGAAGGCTGACGGAGGCGTTCTTGGATCAGTGCTACCGGCGACCGGCGTTCAGGGTATTTGTTGAGACGATGATGGGGCATTGTTGAGCTTGTATATCCTAGAAATACGTACGAGTACGATTTCGACACAGTCAATACAGAAGGACGATTGTATAAACCATCAATTGTGTTTGTAGTGATGGTGATGCGTGTTTTTGGTGTTTTCTACCTAGGTACCTAAGGGACGTCAGCGGCACCTGCCGGGCGGCTGCGTCATTCTGCGGCCCGCCAACGGCTGACACGCGTGGAGCTCGGCGCGTCCCCTGCAGCGGCGGGGGGCCTCCTTAAACTGCGCCCCTCATCGGCTTTCCAACCTTCTCTTCCCCTCCAACGATCCAATTCCACCACTTTCTGCGCTCGGCCGGCCGCACAATTGAGCCAACAAAGACGTGAGACCGGCGGCAAGGGAGACTGCATTACACTTATCCTGCATTTTTGGTATTCTGAAACGGCTTTATTGTTCAATTGGCGCCGAAACCATCCCCCCCGGATTCGTTTGCCGAAACGAGCTTCTCGCCGATTAACCCAGACGACGACGATTCCGAGCATCTTCAACCCTTAACCTCTCAAACTTCGTTTCTCTTCCTCTCGACGACTCCAGACGGTAGACTAAACCAACGAAAGCAGAGAAAGGACTCACGCAACGCAAGTAGAGCAAGGAAACGCTACCCCCACGAGACACGATGCAGCCGACCTCCACCATGACCCGACCACCGAAGAAGAAGGGCCTCGATGACTCTATCTGGGCATCCAGAGGCAAACCCTCCAACTTCACCACATCCTCCTCCTCCTCCTCGTCCACATACGCAAGAACTCGCCAGGGCCCGCCGCCAACCTCCACAATCATCCCCGCCGTCCCGCAACCCCCGTCCCCGACCAAGAACGGCCACGCCTACGCCTACAACTCCCCAGCGAACAGCGGCAGCAGCAGGACCGCATCGACGGTCGCCACGCCCGCCGCATCGACACCCACACCCACACCCGCCACGACATCGACGACGCTCAAACCCGCCGCCCCGTCCTCCTCCGCCGCGCAGCGCGAGTTCAAGAGATACATCCAGATCGTGCGCCGGCTGAAGTGGAAACTGCCCTACCTCTCGCACGGCTACCACCACGCGATCGCGCGGCCCGGGGACGCGCTGTACGCGGGGGAGACGAACGCCGCCGAGGCGGAGCTCATGTTCAAGCTCGACTTTTACGAGTACTACATGCTCCTCGAGCGCGCGCTGATTCACCTCCTGGGGGTGTTCGGGATCACCGTCTCGCGGGACGCGCGGGTGGGCAACGGGACGCAGCAGCATACGTATCACCAGAACGTGCTGGCCGCGTTGGAACGGCCGGGGAATCCGCTGCATGCGGCGCTCGGGGAGGGGGATGTGTTGTTTCAGCTCACGCGCGCCAAGGAGTTGAGGAATCGGTGGAAGTACGCGGAGGAGGTGGCCAAGACGGGGACGGGGACGACGAGGAGTGTGGTCAAGGCCGGGTCGAGGGACGGGACGGCGCCGTTGGAGAGTTATGACCTGGACCGGATGTTTGAGCATGTTTTCAGGGGGTTCGACGCGGGGTATGCGGTTGCGGAGAGGAGGGTCGCGGAGGAGACGGGGGCTGGGGGACGGTTGAGTTGGGCGGATGAGGTGGAGGGGATGGAGGTGGAGGAGGCGATGGAGGAGGATGTGGATGAGGACGAGTTCGGGTTCATGGTTGAGGCTATGGATTGGGAGGCTGTTTAGTAGATTTCCTGGGAGGTGTCTTGGGTTGTGAGATTGCTTTTTTTGGATTATGGATTGTGTTCAGCTTTGCTGATGGCGTTTGGGCTGGCCTGGTGGTTTTGTGTATTGTGTAAAGATGAAGTCGACTGGGTGGTCTGTTGATTAGAGCATGCATTGTTAGACGATAGATACCCTTTCGTACTCCTCTGGATGGAGTCTGCAATAATGTGCTATACCAAACCGCTTTCGCCGAGTCACGCAAAACTGACCTCGTGTGATGTCGACGCTGGAGCTATCAACGGGAGCTCCCCAAGCTTGCATGGCTTAAATGTGCAGGGGCATATCAATCTGTGACGTTGCTCGACGTAAGTACAGAGGTGAGCTTCAAAAGTTATTACTTAGATCTCTAAGACCTATATACTTCAGTTACTTTATAAATAATATAAAAACTAGAATATAAGAAGATTGGAATAACCTCTCTATTTTGCCCCTAGAAGCCCCCTGAAGAGCTTAAATTAAGGTATTCTCTCTGATAAGAAGTACCCAGATTAATCTAGGCTTATAGCTACTTCTGCAAGCGAGTAAGGACTTCTAAAGCGCACTTCGGCATGGAGTTGGCTTATGATGTCTTTGAAGGTGACAGTTTTGTGCAGACATCATCACGTCTTCCAAGCGGTTGGTCACTATTACCAGACCTTGTCTCAATCCGAGAGCCACCTGCCGAACACGGAGTACGAGGTGGATATTCCTCGGGTCCCGGAGCCGTCAATTCCCCCGGCACGGCAAACCGATGTCTCGGAACTGGGGGCCCATACGGAAAACGCACATAACCCGAACATCGGATCCTTTCCTCCAAATCCCTAGGGCGCGGCAACCCGAGGGCTGTTTAGCTTCGCGCGGTCGCCTCAGACGAATCATGGGGCCAACGCGAGGAGTACGAGGCAAACCGAGCTTTTCCCACCTCGCAACCCCACACACATCCTCGCATTCCAACGCCAAGTATCCCGGTGCCAAGTATCACGATCAACGGCGCCAAAGAAAGCATCCTTCCAAGAAGCCATGTCGACATAGGGGGAACAATCCTGAATCCCTTCGTTTGAATTGGCTTTCTCGATCCAATCAATTCACACGTCCGGAAGTATGCGCTGTGACGGCTGCACAGCATCGCCGGGGTAGGTAGGGTTCGGTTGGATGCAAGTTCGTTGCTTCACTGGCCGCATGTCTTCTTCCTGCCTCTCCTCCTCCTCCGCGACATCGCTTAGCCCCAGTCTCCGACGGTGTTTTCGTTCGACGGCGAGGTCCCTTGTTCCCTGCCCGCCCGCCCCCAATGAACCGGCTTAACGTTCAGAGTTTCATCTTCGGCTCGTCCATCTGCCGCGCACCGTCTCCGACTAGCGGCGGATCCGCGGCTTTTGGCAATCCCCACCAACTTTGGGGACTCCTTGCCCCCCCGGTCATGAAGCTTGTAAATCCCAGCTGGTGATTGGTTTTCCTTACGGATGGTAGAAAGAGGTTAAGGGCGTGTTTGGGAGGAACGTCATGTCAAGCAAACACGCGGTGTAGGTTAGAATGGGGAGTAGAAAGGTTTTTGACTCGATGGGGAAAATCGTATTCGTCATTGTTCGACTGGGAGAGCTGTCCCTGCGTGTTCCCTCGTCCCTCCCCCGGTCTTTCAACTCCACGGTGAGATTGAGGGTCCCTTTGACCAGGTGACTAGGTTGCCCCCCCATTCGTATGTGGACGTACTATGGTAGTTGAAATGAGGGGAAAGCTTTCATCTTTGCATCCTGGAGGCTTGCCTAGCGCGCGTTTTGTGAACGACTGCGCTGACGTCGAAGGAGGGTTTAGTCGAGTTTAGTCTGTTCCGAACAAGAGGGTTGGAAAAAGCTATCTATCCTTCGTCTCGTCTTTTACCGCCACCTTGGGTTTGTGTCTTCTCTCTTCCTTTGGACCTGAACCAAGCTTCTTCTACGCCTGGGCATCCAAGAAACTCTTTCTCTGAACTCGAGTCTCAACATCCACAACGACGACGACGACGAGACGTACACGATGCCAATATCGACAGCCCTCTCCACGGCCCTGCACCCGCAGAACTGGCCGACGAGCATCTGGGTCCTGCTCCTCACCGGCGTCGCCTACGCCGTCGGCTTCCTCGCCTACCGCCCGTCCTTCCCCCGCAACGCGCCGAAGCTGTTCAAGGGGTACCCCGTGCTGGGCACGCCGCGCTTCTTCACGGACCGGGGCAACTTCCTCACGGAGGGGAGGCGGTTCGGGAGCTCGGGGAACTGGAGCTTCTACTTTGGCAAGATGAGGATCGTGGGGTTGTCGGGGGAGCAGGGGCGGCAGGTCTTCTTCGAGAGTCGGGATCTGGACTTCACAAAGGGGTGAGAGAACCTCGAACCCTGGCCGAGGACTTTGAACTGACGATCATCCAGCTACGGCGCCCTCTTCAACGCCACCCCGCGCATCGAAGTCTCCTCCAACTCGTCGGAGGAAGACTCCTTCGCCGGCAAGTTCAACCGCAACATCGTCCGCCTCCTGCGCAAAGAACAACTCTCGAAACGCCTCGCCTCCCTCGTCAACGACACCAACGACACGACGACCCGCCTCGCGGCCCGCGCCGACGGCATCAGCGACCCCTTCGAGGACATGTACCGGCTCGTGTTCCAGCTGACGATGCGCATGGTCGGGTGCGACGAGATCGCCGAGGACGACGCGCTCCTCGTGCAGACGCTGCGCATCTTCGAGAGCATCGACGCCGCGAGCACCGCGACCAAGGTCATGTTCCCCTGGGCGCCGACGGTGGGCCACTTCCGGCGGGTCTACAGCGGCGCGCGGATGTACATGATACTGGAGAAGGTGATCAAGGCGAGGAAGGAGAGGGGGGTCGAGGGGACGGACGCGCTGCAGTATCTCATGGACCAGGGCGACTCGACGGTCGAGATGGTGGCGTTCATCGTGGGCGCGCTGTTCGCGGGTCTGATCAACAGCGGGATCAACGCGGCGTACCTGCTCTGCTTCCTGGGCGCGGACGAGAAGTGGTACGGCGAGGTGAGAAAAGAAGTGGATGGCGTGATCGCGAAGCACCGCAAGAGCGCGGACGAGACGCCCGAGGACGTGCTCTCGCGGTTCGGGGTCGAGGACTGGGAGGCCGAGTTCCCCGTGATCGACCTGGGGCTGAAGGAGACGATCCGGCACACCATCACCGGGTGCGGGTTCCGGTACAACGGGACGGGGAGGGACATCGCGATCGGGGCGTCCGGGGAGGTGGTCCCCGCGGACTCGTACGCCGTGTACCACTTCGACGACACGCACTTCGACGAGAGCATCTTTGAGGAGCCGAACCGGTGGGACCCGGCGAGGTTTCTGGCGCCGAGGGAGGAGGATAAGAGGGACGCGCACGCGTTTAACGGGTGGGGTGCTGGTCGGCATCCGTGTTTGGGGATGAGGGTGAGTCTTTTCTTTTTTTCCGTCTCTGCGCTTGACTGTCTCGATGTGAGGTTGACTAACGAGACGATTCTGCCAGTTTGCGAAATTGGAGACGTACGTCACGACGGCGCTGTTCGTGGCCAAGTTCGACTTCCATCTGTGCGACGAGAACGGGAAGAGGATGGACAAGGTGCCGGAGGACTCGGTGGATCGCAACAAGCACTCCGCGTCGAAGCCGAAGAAGAAGCTGTGTTTGAAGTATACGCCCAGGGCCAAGTCGTAGGAGGTGGTGCGTTGTAGACTGGATAGATTGCAAGATGACCCCCGAAACCTCATGATTGTTATTGTCTGATGCGTGAAGCTTTTCGAACTCGCTTTGACGATGAGGTGAGAGACATGATTGACTTGGTGCTTCTGCGGTGTTCCGTAACAGCCCAAAAGCAAGTAAATGGCGTCGTCCTTGAGATATTTCTTCATTCGGTGACGATGTGATGTTTAAAGAAGAAAAGACACCGAGGTCTGACCCGACCCCCGAAAAGTAAAGTGGAACCCCCGAACGCCGAAGCGGAGGAAGCCCCGCCACCTCGCGCGGGGCGCTGTGATTGGCCGGGCGCATTGGACGCAGGTCCGGTCGCAGCGGCGTTGCGCAAAGCACGTCACTGCGTTGTGCTCTTCATCTCAACTCATCTCACATACCGTATTACATTTTTAACCTACATTTTTACTCAACCTCCGGATTCTCTACAGCTTTTCTTCCTTACTCTCATTTGAACTCATCGAGAAGCCTCCCTCGACGTCTCATTATCACGAGCAAGAAGAATCTCGAGCGGCGACCCCGCACCGGCCTCTGCCCTTCCATCGCATTCGGCCTTCATCTCAGACCGCACGTCCGGCGAGCCGACCCCGACGGCACAGGAAAGGGGGGATTTCCGCGGTAGTTCGTCCGGACAACCTCGTCCACCCATCTCCCAAGAAACATCACCAGTCCAGACGGCGACAGCACCCCCAGCCGCCACGATGGTCGTCGCAACATACCCGAAAGAGTGCGAGGTAATCCAGCCCGCCCCGCCGCGCGCCCGCTCCGCGATCCCTCTCTTCCTCATCCACGACGGCGGCGGCACCACCTTCGCGTACCACTGCCTCTCCCCGCTCTCCCGTGCCGTCTTCGGCATCGCCAACCCGCGCTTCCACTCCGCCACCCCCTGGGACGGCGGCGTCCCCGAGATGGCGAGGGCCTACCTGCGCATGATCCGCGGCACCCTCGCCTCGCCCGAGTGGCCCCCCATGGCCCCCTGCACGCTGACCAGGGACGGCAGGAAGAAGTGGAAGATCCTGCTCGGGGGGTGGAGCCTGGGCGGGCTGCTGGCGCTGGAGATCGCGCGGCTGCTGAACACGGGGGCCAACGCCCTCGGTCCGGACGAGGGCCCTGGTGAGGGGGATGACGTGGAGATAGCGGGCATGGTCGTCATCGACAGCGTGTACCCCGTGTGGCCTGTGGGGTCGGAGGTGAAGATCGGGACGTGGATCGAGACGGAGGAGCCGGAGCACAAGAACCTGAAGCTGGCGCGGCAGGCGATGAAGCTGGCGGGCGGCATGGTCAAGGTGTGGAGGATGCCCAAGTGCGGCGCGGCGTTCCGGAACGGGGTGGAGTACGAGAGGCGGGAGGGCGAGGACGGGGTGGAGAAGTCGTTTTACGGGAGCCGGGAGGACAAGGAGACGGCGGAGGTGGTGTGGGACCGGCCGCCGCGGGCCGTGCTTGTGAAGGCTGCGGATTGCGTGCCGATGCCCGGGGAGGGGATCAGTCCTGTTGACGTCTACCGCGGGGACGCGAAGCTGGGGTGGGATGGGTATTGTCCGGGGTATGTCGAGAAGAGTCTTGTGACGAAGGGGAACCATTTTGATATGTTCTCGTGGGGGTATATTGAGGACATTACGGCGCAGGTTTCGGAGGCGTGTCGTATTTTGGAGGGTGGAAATTAATGGAGTCGTGTAGTCGGAAAGAGGCTGGAGTACTGATTGAACGATAATGGGATGGATGGCGTCTGGATGGGTTGGGCACACGGAACCAAGTAGCATATCATACCATATAGATTGAATAGAATAAGCTTTGAGCATTTGCGCAGATTGGGAACGGTGTAATTAACAGAGAGCCAAGTCTGTAGCTAGACCATGTCGCTGCGCAGCTTCGTGATTTATTAACATTATGTGTGGCTCAAATTGTTCATCTTGACATTGCCTTCATCCATCGCGTACATAATTAAGACTACACGTAATAATATTGAGAGCTCATAAGACGTGAAACTGTTGCAATATTCCCCGTTAATCAATGCCCAAGACCGTATTTGAATGCATCCCAGCCACCCAATCATCACACATATAGCAAAAATGCAGACAAAACAAAAAGATTGCGCACGCCGAGATTCGAACTCGAGTCCCTAGCTAGCCCAACGGAGGATGGGAGGCTAGAATGCTAACCACTGCACCACGTGCGCTGATTGATGCCAGAGACGACGACGAGGTAAGCAATGGAGGCCTGGACGGTGAGGCAAGCTGTCCAGTCGCAAAAGGAAGCAGCGGCGGCAGCCTGCTCCTGCCCGTTTGTTTTTTCGGAAGGCAGGCACCGGAGGACCCACCCGGAGACGACCCTCCTTCCGTCCACGCGCCGCTCCACGGTCCGGGCTCCTCACCGCTCCGGCTTGGCGACGGCTCGGTGCAGGACACCATGCGCTGGTGTCTTTGGTTTGTCTTCAAGACCCTCTCCTATTCCGCCTTTGCCTTCGACGTGATCCCTACTCAACTCGTCGCCTCACCTCCGCCCTGGACCACAACTTTCTCCTTCTCGACGACAACCGCCGTCCCCGCTTCCCTCCGAACCCCCTCGACAGCCGCCGGCGCCTCAGAACCCCTCGCCCACGCCTCCAGCGGCGTCGTCAGGACCTTCCGAAGCGCCCCGAACCCGTACGCGACGACGTACACCATCAACAAGCTCGACATGGCCCACGTCGCCGCCACGACCTGCAGTATGAACCACGGCTCGTCCTGCAGGGACTCGCTAAACGACCAGCCGAGCTTCTCCTCAAACTCCACGACGGCGGTGGTGAAGTTCTGCCTCGCCTCGTTCAGTCCGTCGCTGCCGCCGCCGCCGCCGTCCTTCATCTCCTCCTTGTTGAACTCGTCCAGGGAGGTGACGAAGAAGTAGAAGACGCCGAAGAGGGTGAAGAGGAAGAACATGAAGACGATGCGGGCCAGGTGGAGGAGCCAGGTCACGGAGAAGAGGAGGAGAGCGAGGGCGCCGTGGGGCGAGCCGTTGTCGGCTGTTGCTATCCACGTCGCGAGGTTACCGCTTCTGTTCCCTCGGGATGTCACCGGGGCCGAGGCCGCGACGATGAGTTTGGCTACGAGGAAGGTGAGGAGGGAGGGGAGTGCGATGAGTTGGATGAGGCCTGGGTCCTGGCTGATTGCTGTGCCGGCGAGGAGGATGAGGACGATGAGGCTCCACGTGCCGAGGATCGTGACGGCCAGACCGGCGTAGAGCCATGATGTGGCTTGGCGGAAGACGTTGGCCATGGCTGTGTTGAAGGCCGGGGTTGAGAGACGGCGGGGTGAGTTGAGCTCGATTCACCAGATCTGAGTATTTCGTCAGCCCAAACTCAAGATTAGGGTGCCACAAGATAAGAAAACTCTCCAATGCAGTTCTTCTGATCGCGCCGCTCAAGTCAAGAAAGCAGTCAGAAATACACGAAATATCTCCTTGAACAGTCAGAGGCCGTCCCTTGCCCTGCTGGAATGAGACGGGACGTGGTGAGAGAAGAAAAAGGGGTTCCACTGTATGGTGCTTGGACGTATGATGAAGCTAGCTTAGAAGGGATTAGCGTCATCGGTGTAAGAATACACGTGCAAGAGTCAATCCACGATACGACGGCGTCCTTATTAAGTGGTTTATTAATAACCATAAAATTAGTTTCTCATTGAAAGCTAGTGGGCGGTTGGGTTTTGTTATGGATGTAGAGTTTATGGTTCACTGTGAGATGATACTGGAGAAGGTCTATGAGTGACTGCTGCATCTTAATGAACGTAGATTCATTGTCCTCCATGTTCAGAAAACATGTGGATCAAATATCCTAATTATTATATCACATATACTGCAAGCCCCTCTAGAAGACCTGTCCCTTGGTCTGGTGAACCTTCGCAACATTGACATTCTTCCACAAGAACACACACGCAAGCGCCAACGGCATGAAAGCCGCGCCGCAAATGACCATGTGTCTCTGGACAGCACCGTAAGCCTGGATAATGCCAGACCTGATCGGACTGCCCCAGGCGTACGAGAGCTGCACCTTGAGATCGCCGTAGATCGTGAGAGCGTCGCCCTTGGCCTCCGCGGGCAGGTACTTGTTGAGTAGGTCCAGGAACTCGTTCGTCCAGATGGCGCCGGAGATGGCGCGGCCGATGGAACGGCCGACCGAGGTCGCGAGGCCGATGAGGGCGAGCATCACGGAGACCTCGTTGTGCTTGACCACGGACATGACGGCCAGCTGCTCGCAGATGATGATGGTGCCGGCGGAGACGGCCTTGAGGATCTGGCACATGATGACGTAGCCGATATACGTGTCCGGCGTGCGGAAGTGGATGAGCAGACCGGTCGAGAGGCAGGCCACGGGGATCGCGGCCATGGCGATCCACTTGTAGTGGTTGGTCTGGCGAATGAGCCTAGCAATCGTCAGTATCGTCCCGTATGCACACGCGTGTAAGAGCGACCTACAGTCCAACGATGGGTCCCCACGTGCAAGACGCGATGGTGTAGATGTTGCCGATAAATCCTGCCTGGCTGATGCTCTGGTTGTGGACGACCTGGAGGTACGACGAGAAGTACGACTCCCAGGAGCTGAAACTCAGGGCGATGACGCCGGCGGTGGCGGCGGAGCCCAGGATGGTCCTGTCCTTGAGGTTCTTCCACGGCACGAGGGGGGTCGCGGCGTACATCCTCTCCCAGAAACCGAAGAGCACGAGACAGAAGATGCCGAGGATGATCATGGCGATGATGTGTCCGGCGGTCCAGCCCTTGGAGGTGTAGCGCACCAGGCTGAACGGCAGCAAGAAGAGCGAGAAGCCGAACATGATGAGCAGCATGCCCACGACTGGCGCCCTCGTTAGCCGAATCCTGCGAATAAGTGTCTTGGGTCGTTCTTACTATCAAACTCCCTGAAGTAGAAGATGAGGGATTCTTGGATACTGCGGCCGCTCTTGACCAGCTCCGGGCCCTTGCCGATCTTGTACGACTTGCGCAGGTTCCACCACAGCATGCCCGTGATGAGCAGGCCGAACGCCGGGAAGATGATGGCGAACGCTCCGAAGGCCCAGCGGAAGCTGCTCTTCTCCACGAACAGCTGGGCGACAACGGGTCCCGCGAAAGCATTGGCGATGTAGGCGGTCGAGTTAAGAGTGTAGATGATCATTCGGTTGCGGATCGAGGTCGTGTCGGAGATGATGACCGTGTGGATGTAGCCGATACCTCCACTTCCGACAGTCCAGAAGACCTTTGCATATCATGTTAGTCTTGTGCACCCTCTGAGGCTATCATGGTCTTACTTGAGCAGCAGCATAAGTCTCCACGTTACGGCATACCGCCATCAGGATGAGTCCAAAGCAGCACAGAACGTGCGCCAGGATGTAGCCTTCCATGCGGCCGAAGACGTTGAGGATCTTTGCAAAGGGCAGCTGGGAAACACCACCGGCAATCGAAGCCACGACACCAGTCGTCGCAGTGAGACCGTGACGCTGGAACGACGAGGTCACATAGGGCGCGAGGTTGCTGTTCATCTGCTGCTGCATGGAATGCGTGTAGGAAGTGACCCAGATGCTAGAATCGCCATCATTAGCTCCATCGCAGCCCCGGATGTTCGCACAACATACAGCACATAGGTCAGGATGAGCGCCTTGTACGACCATGTGGACGTAATGGCCTGGATCTTCTTGACACCATTCTGAGGCTCCGTCGTCTCGTCGTCGGACTCAGAGTTGTCGGCGCTGATCTCGGTCGTCGTCTTCCCGGGGTTCTTCTCGTCCAGGCTCTGGCTCTGGCTGTGGCTCTCGGCAGGAGCCGACTGGACGGCGGGCGCGCTCATGGTGGCAGACTGCTGTGGAAGGCGCCAAGAGAGGGGTCGTATCTGGGAGCTTGGGATGAGCGGTGATCTGTACGACGAGAGCAGGTCACGGTGGACGGCGGAGCAACTTCATTATGTAGGTAGCGACTCGGTTCCACCTCTACACGTCCTTGTCAGAAAGAAGCTTATACGAAGGGGAGCATGCAGAGTCTTCTTTACGTAACGTTCTTCGCCCCATGGCAACATGCAACGGAACACATGAACCGAACGAGAAGGATCTCGCAGCGTTCTAGACGAAAAGATGGACATCCGACCGGCATCGGACGACCTATGGGAACATACGAGCGGCACAGTCACTGCAAAAAGGATTTGAAAATTTCATCTGGCCAGGGCTGGGCGGTCTTGGTTTCCTGCAAACAACATCGTGTCGGTTCCGATTTTGCGCGAGAGAGGTCCACCGAACAAGACTTGGCAGCATGTCCTCGTTGGTTGGGAGTAGTCTTCGAGAGAGCCCAGGCTGTAGACATCTAGAAGAGGCAGTTCGACGGCCACCAAAGGTGGGAACACGGCATCGTATTAGTGCGAGTGGTTACCCGGTGTGGCATTCCGCGCCGAAGGGTAGAGCGCGCGGGCAATGTCGATCCCCGTGCTGGCCAACAAGCTCCCGTCCCTGGGCTCCATCGAGGGCCCTCTCGTTCATCGCATCGCGCCGTCTTGGCGGTCACGGCTGGCGACGGATCAGATAAAAATTTTGCCTTGAGCTTGGCATCATGCAAGAGCGGATCTGATAAGATGAAGATGGGGGGGTCTTGTTGGACCAGAGTCATTGCGGGTGGGGGAAGTTCTAGCCGAGACAACCACATCGGTCATTGGCGAAGGCTGTCAGACAGTTTGTTTCTTTGGTTATTGCCAAGGTGATTGACAATGTATCAGTCATTGACGGGATCCAATACTGTCATTGGATGAAGTAAGTATGCGAACAACCCGACGGCGGGGATCCGCCTCGACCACCGACACGGCTTTTCATGTTAAATTTGCCGATTCCGGCGAGCAGTTCGCATAGACGTGCAGCAACTCGGCAACCAGACTGCGTCTCTATACGTCTAGTGGTGCCATCGTCAGGCGCCAGCATCTCGCGGTCAAGGTCGGCCCAGCTGCACATGGCTTCACTTGGCGTAAGCAGGCTCTACTTTCTGACCAAGACTCGAAAGCCAAACATGTTTATTGCCATTAGACACGAGCCGTTCCAGTTCATGAAGATTAAAGGTATCGAACTACTGCACGAGTAGCGTCGGTGGAACCTCTGTGTTTGACAGTTCCCACTTACAAGGTCATTCCATTCCATGTGTCATGCCCCTTGTCCCTGCACCGCTGATAGCGTCCGATAGCGTGAGCTATTTTGCAGAGAACCTTAACGTCTTAAAAGCATCTTTATTCGATTTCGGTCTCTGTGCCTCGGTTTGCATGTTTAGTCGATTGGGGTTCCGCAAGTTTATTTCAACCTAGACGAGGCCGAGTTAAGCTACATGTATGGTTTGGGTTTCCGCCAAGAATGAGTCGACCCCTCTCGAGATTTTCAGGACTGTCATCGATAAAATCATACTCACCATATGTGATGCCGAAATGCCCACAGTCCTTCCGCTCACGGGTCGATAGGCTATCATATTCTTGAGCACAACTCTGAGGCCATCCACAGACTTCCTAGCGCTCGAATTAACCGTTCATGGACGGAGCGCCGAATTGAGGGTCTCCTCGGAGAGCTCTACCTTTGACGAGACGGAAATCCTAGCCGTGTCCAATCAGAGAAGTAGAGACCACATGTTGATCGGAAACCGTATTCCATGCCTCCAAGCCCAGAACGTTTGGGCTTTGGAGCCAATGCCGCATTTCCAAAGAATCCTTTTGGATTCGCCACATCAAACACGACAAGCACAGTAACAGTAATCACCACAGGACATAGCACTTCACATCGTCTGCTTCTTAGGGGGCACAAGAAGGACATCAAATTGAAGTCATATTTCCAAGGTTTCCCCCGTGAGCTTGAGAGCGAAGCATGACACACACAGGCTGTTCAAAAGTCCGTCTGGCATGACTATAATCTATTGAAACTGCCTACATCAGGAATCGATGAATGTGACGTGACGGTCCTGAAATAGTTGGTGACATAATGAACGAAAAGTCAGTTGATTCCAATGTTTAGTTGAGTCACCAGCCTCTCAAGCACTTCCCATTTGTCTTCATTCTTTTCATTCCCATTTCTTCCGCTCTGTGCTTGAAAATTTCCCATACTGGGAGGTATTTAGGATTGTTTCAGGAATAGATCATGATGTTGTCGAAGGCAAGCTTCAGATTTTGTTGCTATCTGAGTGTCACGGCTAGCTCGGCGTAAGTAGTCTTCCCATCCGATAACCCGAGCTCTTTTTTGTCATCCTGATGTTGAGACGCCAGCTGGGCGCAGTACATCATCATGGAGGCCAAACCGGCGGCGAGAGCGGTACTAACCGTCGAGCCGTTGTGGTACCTGACAGGTTCTGACGACCTCGGTTTGGCTTCGGCCACTTGGTTGCCCGAAAATAGTAGTTGATCCTCTTCGTGTCCTCGGAATACGGATCTCGCTGCCCTCGAGACAGCGAAGCATGTCCATGGCACTGGCCTGGACGTCGACGCTCGCAGAGCAAAACATGATCATTCCCGCCGCCTTTGCCGCGCCAATGACATCCCCGAGCACTTGCATTCCCAGCTGATCGGCAGTACTCGTATCGCTGAAACTCCCTTTTCTGAAGTCAACGCCCATCGGTGAAGTGTGGCCACCTGCAACATAGTGAGTTCTTTATGGTCCACGACAGATATGATACTATAGCGGCTTAAACTGCTTTTGCGACGCTACTGGCATGAATGTTACGTCCGTCGCCGCTTCTTGAAGGCTTGTCGTGGGTCCCAATAATGTCTGCGAGGACGGTGCTGTGTCTAGTTTCGGAACAGTGCCAAGGGTTCTCCGACTGCCCTTACCAATGGTTAAAACTGAGCCCATTGACCTTGACATCGCCGTTGCATATGTCCAGATTGCTCATACTAATTCCATCATCGATGAGTGCCAACTAGACGCGCACGACGTAGTCAATGGTCCGTGAGAGTGGCTCCTTTTCACCTGGTGTCTGGTGCCTGAGGTAAAATAGGGTGAATGAGGGTGAGCAGGTTGACGGTCGACCTACCAAACCAAATAGCTTGAAAAAGCACGAAACCCGCTCTGCTGATCTAAAGGTACCTTCCCTGACTCTGCGATTTGATTTGATTATATTTAAATATTTTAACACGCTGATCGAAGTCTATTTTGTCCATGCTCTGTTTCCTCAATGATCCTCTACAAATTTTGTAATCCCAGAATCTCATAATCCCAGAAACCCCATCTTCATCTGACAATATCCGCTCTCCGGTTCTTAGGACTATCACCACTACTCGAGGCCCGGGGCTTTTCACTAGAGATATTAATGGTTCTAGTAGCTCAGTGTCCAGTCGTGTTGTGAGAGTATTTCGAATCGATCTACAACGAGATAGACTTCACACCGCTCGGGGCCCAGGGGGCCATACCAGGTCCATCAACGCGATGGATGCTCTCGGAAATTCCGTAGCAGCTTTCAATCGAAAATTTTCGTAGGCTTACATTTTCTGTTCCGGCGCTACAAACGTTGAACATTTCTCGGCTAGTCTGAGCGTAGCCTGAGAGTTCCGGGAGCAGAGACTCAAAGTCAGAGGTGCTTGGGATGCCTGCGGCGGGTGCCAATTCTAAAAATCGGTAGCCAAGTGAGAGATAAACCGATGTGGCGACAGGGCAGGACTACAGACACCTCTCGTGCCGTCTTCATTCTTGTTGTCCGGCTCACAGAAGTGCCATGAGATAACGACTTGCTTGTTGTGCAACGACCTTACTTCTTTGACACCAGCCTGAGATGTCTATGTCAGAGCCATGTCTTCGGCGCTACGTTTTGCCCATAAACAAGTAGGAAGTTTGATGATTTGATCAGTGTTGTTTCCCCCAGCCAGATGCTGAATGGAATCTTGGAGATCAGGTCATCGGCGCGGAAGGATGTACCTTTTCGAGATGAGAAAACATCTCACTTAGTATGGAGGCAATCTACCTTAGCTGAGTAAGCATATCGGTTGAGGTAGTAGTTAGAAGTGAACGAATTGTGTCAAGCTTAGTGACGGTTCATGCCTTGCTCGTTTCCACAACAGAATCAACTAGTTCATGCTCTAAGAACCAACAGAAAGAGACGAAACACCCACCCTCATCCCTAGAGTCAATTGTTTTGTCTCTTCTGCTCAGTCACAAGTGATCTTGAGTGTCATGCTCGTTAATGACGTTTCGTAGATCTGACAGCTTTTCTTCCAGGCACTACATGCCAGATTCTCATGTAGGATTCCGAGAGTAGTACATTGTTGCCTTTTGCAGCATTTCAATACCCAGACGATACACAGTGGTAGCGCATTTTTTCCATTGTAATGCTATTGCTATAGATGCCGTCTAGCCTTTGGATTCGTGACCACTCAGACGTCAATGCGTGAGTATTTCATTAGAAATGCGAATGGATGGATAGTAAAGCGCTTGCCGAAGAAACTGGCCTTCTTTATTTTCTGAGACATGTAATACTTGTCTATAATCTTTCTATTACGACTTACCACCATGAAAATTCCCAGTTCTCGTATTGCAACTTTACGAAGATCTGGTCTATTCCACCCATGAGCTGCACCGCACGATGCATGTGTCGTGTATATACAAGGTTATGTTAGGTGTTGGTAGATCGATATATTATCAGGCAGCAAACCAGCCAGAAAATCAGGCTGCTACACACCTGAGCAACGTCTAAAGAGAAAGCATGGGAGCGCTCTACTATCGGCACCCAAGTAGAACTCTTCAGAGGGTTGCCTCAAAGTACGTACCAAGACGTTTCCATGGCCGCCTCGTCATCTTATGTGACCATTTCGAAAATTGTCGGCTGTTCTCTGCATTCTTGAACATATATGATTGGTCAGAACGTTGAAAATCACTGAGGCTTTGCCATAAGCGCAGGGCGTTTTTCCTCTTCAAATTTGGAGACATTGGAGTTGAGCGCCACATATTTGAGGTAATATATTGTACTTCCACACCATTTTGCAAACGAAAAGAGTCGGCAGACTTGACCAGAGTTATCTCATTAAGGCGGCCGGATCGTTCTGACTTAGCTGGCGGTAGGTCTGGAGGTAGGTATGCACTCCGTAAGGCTTACTCCCGGAGACGGTTCCGGGTGCGGATCACATCGGCCTCGCACGCTGCACCATGCCTGCAGCCCGGGGGACTTTGGTAAAGCACTGGAGCGGATCAATAAGCCTAAAAGTGGGCGGCTTTGAAAGATATTTAAGTTAGTCCTCTCCCCTATTCCGATAGGGAGGGTCTTGAGTGCTTACCGACACCGACAAATTCATTCCTGTCTGGTAGCAGAGGTAAACCCAACATTGAGGCGTCCCAGGTTGACACAGTATATCTAACTATTATACAGGGTAGCTCCCAAAGTTCTTCGGTATCATTAACCAAATAGAGATGCGAATCACTCGTTGTATCACGTTCAACCGCCGGCATTAAACATCAACATCACAATTAAGCCATAGTGCGACGAAAGGCTTTACCCCGTTAGCGGATGAATCACAACCAGCGGTTTATCATATCTCAACTTAAGCAGTCGCTCAACTATTCGCAAAAATGGCACCTCATTGGATTCCTATGGCACCACACTTAGTCGGAATGCGCGATTTTACCGATTTACCTATCGACCGCGATAATCCGACCAATCATCCTCAGTCGACTGAAAGCTGCCATAAACAGAGGGGCCAACATCGATACAGCATACTTCGCAAACGTCACACAGAGCTTCTGGGACAGGGAAGTGACATCGGTTCTTCCCAGGATGCTCAAGTAGACCTCGGTTGGTCAGTGAATGAAGAGAAGGTGGAAATTTGGATGACACAGGTCCTGGCTAATGACGATGACCAAATTACGGAGGTCATAGCCACAGGACAGACACACGGGAAAGAAGTGAAGTGTATTCCACTTGTTGCCAACTTTGTCGCAGACGTACTCCTCGCATCCGGACTCGCGGATATGGGCTACAAAATTGCCTTAGAGCCACGAAGCAGCTCGCTACTGCCAACATGGACGTGTCAACATGGCTGCGAGTACGAGGATCTTGTGAGCGACATGCTTGGTGGGAAGAGTGCCATCATTTCCCAGGGCATCGCCCGAAGGAATGATTTGAGGTCTTTGTTTGAGGGGATGCATGTTGGAAAAGTGCTCTTGCTGCCTGATTATGGTCGAGTCTGGTTATTCACCGACAGCTGCCAGAAAACCATGAAAGATGCTAGCCAAAACTTCGAGCGCTACGACATGTTTAACGAAAAGAATGGTTCGGTCGTCCTTGACAAATTCAGAGTCAGAGAGCACTGCGGCGAGAGGCCAGACGTTCCGGGCGTGATCTTCTGGCCCCAGACTGTCGAACGTTCGCCCTCTCAACCCCCAAGAGTACTAGACGATGTCATAGTACCGGAGAAATTGGACCCGAACGAGTTGCGACCTGAATCGAACTTCATCGACATCATGACACGTCAGAAGATTATCCGCAGCAAGGTCCCCAACAACATGCCCACGGTCGTCATGAATGTCCAGACCGGTCAACGAGAGTTCGGAGTGGGACTGGCGCGGTACGTCATGATATCACACTGCTGGAGCCAGGAAACATACGAGAAGTGGCAGATTCCATTGCGCCAAGCGTGTGCCTCTGTAGGTATTACGCACTTGTGGGTGGACACATTGTGTATACCTCAGACGGCCAACCTCGAAACGGAAGACTGGAACAAGGAGAAAGAGATTCCGCGAATGGGGCAATATTACTGCGAAGCCTCCGCCACACTGGCGCTTGTGCCTGACTGCAGGAACCTTGTTCAAGGAACCCTCGAAGTGGATGAAATATACAACTGGCGAGTTGTGAAGGAAACATACGAACAGAGTAGAATCGAGGTGAAGGAGTCATTGTGGAGCACTCGAGGCTGGACGTATCAGGAGGCAAGGCTCTCCTACAACTTGTGCTTCACCAACTCTCGAGCGGCCTGCAACGCTGAAACGCTGAATTACGCGTGGCATGTTGCAGGACTCATGACCGAAGACCTGTTTTGGGTATCTCCAGGCAGACAGATCCAGGCGAACGATCACTGGCAGAGCTCCACAAGCAACCAAAGCTACAGGACTGGGACGATGGAAAGGTTCAATCTGTCCAGACCTAAGAATGATCACTTCGACTCCCGCGAAGGGTCGACCTTCTGGGATGCCTGGAAAGCCATGGTCGATCGAAATACGACCATCAGGGAGGACAAGCTAAATGCGCTGATGGGACTGGTGGACGGTCTACAGTGTCTTCTGGGCACTGGCTTTTCGCTGGAACAGATGATGGAGCATTTGATCCGGACGAGGTTGATCGGGGTGGGAATCCTGGGTTGTACAGGGCCAACTAACGTCGGCAAGAAAACCTGGATGCCGGAGGACTTTACTCAAAGCAAGTTAGCTCGTCTCAACTCTGACATCGTGCAAACAAGAGTTTTCGATGAGGAAACCGCAGTCGTCACAGATGATGGTGGTCTTGAGGTGAAGGCAATGAAGGTGGAATTCGTCTCAAGGGCCGGCGGACCATGGGGTTCATATGGAAATATCAAAACGAAGGAGGGACTGGTGCTCAGGCTCGAACAAAGTCCCAGTTTTACAGTGGAACAAGTTCTCTTGGTCGTACCTGCAGAAAAGCCAAATTCCAACAAAACACATTATGTTAGAAGGTGCTACATATTATCTGGTTTTGATCAGCCGGGCAGGAAGTGGCACAAAGTAGACTGCAGATATGCAGAGGTAGATCCCCGGACTTATGGGCAAACAGCTTGGGATTCGATAGATGTTTGGCAGATCGTTTGAATACTTCAGTTTCAGTGTACATTTACAATATCCTGTGCATGACTAGGGAAACCAATCTGTATTCGGCCGTGTGTAGAAATTTAATTGTTTGATGAGACGTGGTGTAATACACGAACGTGCATATGTACCTCGTGACCTAGTCGAAGGCCGCGGCGTAGGGTGAAGCCATCACACCAAATTTATTTCTGAACTCCATGAGATTTGATAGAGCCAGTAGTTCTAGTCTATCTGATGCTAGTCCCGGGGAAGTTCCTCGATTAATCGCAAGACCTAGTCCGATGTATACGTTTTAGCTGGCCCTTAGTTGTGCCACCTTAAGTTCTCGGCAAAATCAACCGCAACTTTCCGACAAAACGATTTCTGAAAGGCGAGCTTACTTTGACTCTGGGAACTTTGTCTTCCCTTAGATTAGGAAGCGTATTCAGGGTTCTTCGGAAAGTGGCCATTGCTTTGGCCCATGAATAATGCTTCCCCGCCGCATCGTCGCTCACAGGAACCTTCGTGTCTTCGCCGGCCACAATGTCGGCCGCCAGGCTGTTCATGCTATGTCTAATAATCACAGTCACCCCGCCACCTATTTTTTCTCGTTACATATTGATTGAAACGACTCAGTATCGCTTCCATTGTTTTTTCAGTTTCGATTCCCTCCCCTGTAGATTAGAAGAAACGTGAAACATCATCTACCAGGCCAAGGTAATGGTGTCATATAAATGATAATCTGTGGACCGGTCTGACCAAGCCTTTTCTGAAGACTTACAAGGTCTTGCTATCTTCGCTTTTCCTTTGGGGATCTTATTAGACACGTCGATGAATGTCAACATATTCGAGGCCATATCCGCAACCTCCATGATTACGTAGCAAACAAGACGAGGCCCAACCAAAGACTTTGGCATAATTGAGTGTCGTATGTGACAAAACTTTAAGATGTCTTCATCTAAGCTTACAAAGGGTGACAGAGATTGACTGGTAAAAGAACTGCACCAATCAGCTACCTCCCCATGTTTTGCGCCTCATTAGTCAAAGGTCGCATGCCCAGGTGTGGGAGCACCGGACATTATCTGCCGGTTATGCCCGGCTTGTTTGGGACAATTTCAAATCAATCAACCTGTCCTCAAAGTAATCAAGTAACGCAATTTCTTCCACGGCCAAATTGGCTGATTAAATCTCAATTAGGCTGGACAACGTTATATTGTTTATGAATCTTAAAAGGCCACGTAGATTACTTGCGAGATAACGTTTTAACTTCTCTATTTCTTTCTCGCCATCACTGCACTGCGTGAGAGCATGTGTAGCTCGCCGTGGAGGTTTGGCTTACGAAGCTGTCAACAAGCTGTTCCGATTATGCTGTAGAAAAGCATTATGTGAAAACAAAAGTTTGATGATACCGTCATTTAAAAAACTATATAACAGGTTCTCTGGCATACCTCATAGTTGGATTCCGTTGTCGCAGTAGCCCTAAGCTCTTTAGACCTGATAAACAGTCTATCTGAACATTCTCCCAATCATCAGCATTGAAAATACAAACCTACAATGTCCAGCGATCAAATCTCAGCATGGAGGATTCGTAAGTATTTTCAAGGGACATACACCGCTGAAGGCGTCGAGCAGAACCTTTCCCTCGAGCAAGTACCCAAGCCCATCCCTAAAGAAGGCCAGGTCCTCGTTCGCATCCATGCTGCAACTCTCAACTATCGCGACCTTCTCATCTCGACTTCGGATCCGCGATACATCACAAGTCCTGCCGACGGCCTTGTTCCCCTCAGCGACGGTGCGGGTATCGTCATCGAAGTCAACTCTACCTCGTCTCGATGGAAGCCCGGCGACAGAGTCATCAACGTGACGAATTCGACTTGGAAAGCCGGCAAGACCGCCGCGACTTTCAACAACAAGGTTGGCGGCGGCTCCGGCGACATGGATGGCGTGCTGCAACAGTATGCCGTATTCGATGAAGATGCGCTTGCCCGCATGCCTTCGAACTTGACCTTCGAGGAAGCTGCATCTCTCAGTGGGTCGTACGTCACCGCTTGGAACGCATTGTTCGGTGGTCCGCAGCACTTGAAGAAAGGGGACGTCGTGGTCATCCAGGGAACAGGAGGCACAAGTATCGCAGCGCTCCAGGTGGGTGGCCAGATCGTTCCACAACCCTCATAACAAGACACTGACTTATCGAAGGTTGCGGCCGCTGTTGGAGCAGTGACGATCGCCTTCTCAACCTCGGAAGAGAAGCTCAATCTCCTGCGCAGTCTCGGCGCCTCGCACGTCTTCAACTACAAGAACAGACCAGACTGGAGCAAGGACGTCCTCGAGGTCACGGGCGGGCGTGGCGCTGACCATGTCATTGACGTAGTGGGAGCCGCGGCCATTGCTGAATCCCTTCGTGCGCTTCGCCAGGACGGTCTAGTGTCGGCCATTGGGTTCTTGTCCGGGTCCGAAAAGCACGATCTGATACCCGATCTTATCTTCGGAGCTAAGACTAGTACGATTTCCCCAGAACTATGCAGACTCAATGCGTTGCTGACGTGATGTGGTAATAGTTCGAGGTTTGATGTTCGGAAGTCTCGGTATGTTCCAGGACATGAGTGCCTTCGTCGAGAAGCACGACATCAAGCCGCTTGTCGCCGAAGTTTTCGAATGGCGGGATGCGAAGAAGGCTTATAAAGCTTTGCTCGAGCAAGGCTTTGTGGGAAAGATTGCGATCAAGGTCGATTGAGGCTGGCTGGAGCCAGATGTTCCAGCGGTACTTTTCTCCGCTCACTGTTGCGATCAATGAATATGGCTGCTTATGCATTTGTTATTATCATGGTTTTATGTCAAATGAATGTCCCGAGAAATACACACAAGAAGTGTTCCAAAATTCCCAGACTACCGTCTCCGTGGCGTTCGATACAATCGACAGCCCGAGACAAGTTAGTGGCATAATTCATCCTCCGCCTTTTTTTAAGCATCACACTAACAATCGATTTCTGTAACTGGGTATTGTGTAAACTGTAACATGCTGTTCATGGCCATCGGCGTAGGAATCAAGCCGCATTACTTGTAAGCAAAGTAAGCGGCAGAGAATTGCCGGGCTCAAAGGAATCCAGCCATGACGCAGTATATTTTATGCTGCTTGACGGGACATCTTAAATATGGTTATTTTACTAACAACTGGTCATCCTCAGTTCAAATCTCTTGGCATAGAACTGCCTACCTGAAGTCTCGCTTTAGTAACAGACTAGAACACACCTCATCATGGCGCCCCTGAACATTCTCATCGTCGGCTGCAGCATCGCCGGCCCAACTCTTGCGACTTTCCTTCTACTCGCTCCCACGCGGTCATCAGAAAAGCCTCACATCACAATCTTGGAGAGAGCGCCTGTGTTCCGTCCCCAAGGCCAGAACATTGATGTTCGAGGTGCCGGTGTCACCATCATCCGCAAGCTCGGACTGGAAGCAGCGATCCGTGCTGCTACTACAGGCGAAGAAGGCGTGCAATTCGTGGATAAGGATAATCAGATATGGGGCAGTTTCGGCGCCGACAAGAGCGGAAAGGTCCAAACCCCCACGAGCGACATTGAGATCCTGAGAGGCCGCATGGCAGATTTGCTTTATGGACGAAGCCAGGAGGTCAGCAAGCAAGTGCAGGACGACGGCGGCGCGGGAATCGAGTACATATTTGGCGACTCTCTCGATGAGCTGGAGCAAGACGGAGACAAAGTCCACGTCCACTTCTCCAAGAGTGGTGAAAGACGTACCTTCGACCTTGTTGTTGGAGCCGACGGCCTCCAAAGCCGAACCCGAAGCCTGGCATGGGGCGAGGACGGAGAGAAAGATAGAGTCAAAAGGCTCGATATGTACGGCGGCTTCTTCAGCATGCCACGCGGCCCCACGGACTCGGAGTGGCGACGGTGGTTCCACGCCGAGGGGCGCCGGGGGATCATGATTCGCCCGTCAGGACTCAAAGATCGAACAACCGTCTTCATGGCCGTTGTGAATGGTCAGGATGAGAGACTTCGGGCCGTCGCGGAGAGGAAAGGCGGCAGCACCGCAGCCCAGAAAGCGATCCTGAAGGAGTACTTCCAAGGCCTTGGATGGGAAACGGATCGCATCATCAAGGAGATGATGGCTACTGAGGATTTCTACTACGACACCATCAGCCAAATCAAGATGGGAAAATGGAGCAAGGGGAGAGTTGTCCTGCTGGGAGATGCTGGGTATTGCGCCTCCCCATTGTCGGGCATGGGAACGACTCTGGCATTGAACGGAGCCTACAACTTGGCTGGTGCCATCACGCGGTCCCCCAACGACCTCCAGACAGCTTTTGAGGAGTATGAAGAGAGCATGCGTGCTACTGTTGACAAGGCGCAGCGTCTGGCACCGGGGATGCCGCATAGCCTTCACCCGGAGACGGCCTGGGGTGTCTGGATGTTGAATTTCATCATGTTCGCTCTTACTTGGTCGGGGTTGATAGCTTTCGCTGCAAGATTTGGAGGGCCGCCGGCTAATTCGGTGCCTGTGAAAGAGTATGGATTTAGGAAACTACCGGAAGAGCCAGCTGCATGAGCCACAAGTCTTGCTCCTCGGTATATGCGTTTCCTATTAGACAGCACTACTAGACAGCACTACTAGACAGCACCACTCAATCACGAAATCCCGGTATTCATACAACGCGATGCTACAACTAATGAATTTTGTCACTAGACTATGAAGCGCCATCTGACCATCCACTACTTACCGTTGCGTGCATACATTATGCTCGTTGAAATTCGAGGTCCTTGACAGCGCAGTCATGAGATCATGATCATGGTGTTTGAGAAGCAAATCAATCAGGAATGAACCAAGATCACCCAGATACGCAACGAAGGAAGAAGGTAGCGACTTATCTAACGCGCTGCACTGTTGTTATAAGCTTGAATTAGTCGTGCACCGACGTCGCGCACGTTGAAGCAGGCGACGCACGGGTCTGGGCCTTACCATCATGGCAACGTGCATCTCGGTCTGCTTTTCATAGTTAATATGCACTCTCTGTGAAATTTTCATGAATTTCAGATAATTAAAAGAGCCTGTATCTGCTTCGTGGGTGGTTCGTAAGTTGAGTTTCCCCCTTATTTTGTCCCCTGATCTTGAAGAGGCTCAGCTCAATTGAAATTGTCGCGACGCGAGACTGTGATACTTCGGACGAAGAAGGATTAACGCACTTTATCTAATTTGGTAACTTGGACATGTTCGGATGGCACTTCCTTGAAGACACCCGAAGTATGCGGCGGAAAAAGACCCTCGTTGAAGCTAAAAGCCTCGGACGGTCTTGCGGGACAAAGCTTTTAGACCGGCTTCCAAACCAAAACCGACTTTTCGACATCGTACAGACAATTCTAATCCCACAGCAATAGCTCATATCACCGTTACCTGGGAGAAATACCATCACAAGAGCCGCAATATGCCATCCCAAGAGTACTCGGGCTTAGACACTGGGGAACGGGAGTCTAAGTGATGCCATGAACCCTGAACCCCAAGACGACGGTCTAGAACCGGCGCTGGTCTCAAACCTCCGTATTTCAAGGCTTCCTCCAATTCGAATCATCATGAGAGTTATATAAGATCGTGAAGGGCGTTGGGGTGATTCATCTCATGCACTCACCATCTCCTTTTCTCAGCTTTCATCACATCCTGGCCACTCACCCACCAAACCCAAGAACGGCAAAATTGGCATCTCTCCTTCCTCGATTTCGACTTCACGGCTCATCATGTTGGCCAAATGCTACACCTCGCTCATTGTGTGCGCCGCACTCCTCACCGGCACGGTTGATGCCCAGACAGGAGCAAACTGGGGCGGCTTCAACACCATCCGCAACATCTGGACCGCCGGTGCCTCCATCGACTACATCGGTAGCGGTGCTCTGTAGGTGTTCCCACCCGCGACAGACTCTCACAACCGCTTGACTCACGATCTTTCAATACAGGAGCTACAGCACGACCGCCAACGGACCCAACCACATCAACTACATCGTCAACGCCCGCGGCGCCAACAACGTGAACCTCAACAAGTTCGCCTTCCCCGGCGCCGTCACGGACACCCGCTACGCCACGCCCACCACCTTCCTGGGCTTCAACCCCATCATCAACTGGAACGACCAGATCACCATGATTTCGAACGTCTTTAGCGCCGCTCGCCTCGCCGGGAACGCCTCGTCCAGGGATTCCCTCTTCATCTTCCTCGGGTCCAACACCGGGAACGACGTGCTGAACACGTACAACACGACGACCAACCAGGCCCAGACCATCACCAACCTCATCGGGACCATCAGGTCCAAGTTTGCGCAGGTACTGTGATCCCCTTCTCTGTGCTCATCCCCGTTTGAATCGTATTGCTGATGCCCAGTTGGCAGATCTACAACGCCGGAGCCCGCAACTTCATCTTCCTCTCCGTGCTGCCCGCCGAGCTCATCCCGCGCATCCAGAACCGCGGCGCGGCTGACATCGCCAAGGTCGCCGACTTCGCCCGCAACTACCAGACCGCCGTTGTCGCTCTCATCAACGAGCTGAACAACAACCCCACCTACCGGGGCCAGATCACCATCTTCGCCCCCGACTTCACGCAGACCCTGCGCGACATCAAGAGCGGTGCCCTGACGACCGGTAAGGGATACTTCTCTCCCAGTTATGGTTCGATCTAATTCTTCTCAGGACCGACTGCGGGATACCTCGATCGATCCGGCTACTGCGCGGATGCAGAGCTCATTGGCATTGTCGTGTGAGTATCATTCTCGGGAGTGTCTACAGGTCTTTGTATAAGATTGAAAGCTGACATTGAATCATCTCATAGCCCGCCTAACCCAGACTACACGTCGCCCAACTGCCAATACCGGGCGCGCAAGTATCTCTTCCACGATGAGATTCACTTCACCTCGCCGACTCACTGCGAGTACGCACTCAACTCTTTAAGGTCAATGGGCGTCACGGCCACTCCTCAGCAGTTGTCTTGCCAGATTGCTTAAGCATTCTCGCCAATGAAGCCAGAACTGGCCACAACGACAGATAATCAACACATGTACATATGTAAGAGAGCTATTGATCAATAGAGGCAAAAAAGAACTCCTCGACGGGGAATTGAACCCCGGTCCCCTGCGTGACAAGCAGATATCCTCACCACTAGACTATCGAGGAATTTGATGCTCTTGATTGAGTTGGATGGATGCGAGTGATCGCGACTCATTTCGCAAGCGTCTCCGTCGTGGAGTGGGTTTAGGGCTGAGCGGACTTGACTCAGTGGGGCCGGTAGTGGACTGTGCTGTGTAATTCCGTATGAAGAAAGTGATCGCATGCGGCAAGTGCCTAAAGTTTTGGTTGATAACCATGCATATTTGATGATGTTGCTGCGGTAGAGGTGGGCAAAGAGAAGAGAAGCAGCGGTGTTTCTTCCGATCGATGCCGGTATGAAATGGTCGGTGCCCGGCCATGCTCCGCCGCTACCCGCTTCGGCTTCATGCCGTTGTCCGGAAGCTAGACTACTAAAGTCAGTATAGGATCTCGGAGCCGGCAGTGCATCTACTGAATAGTAATAGACTCGGCAGTAAGGTAAAGGAGTTGCAGTAGACCATATTATCCTACAGCCGCGTGAAACTAACTGACCCCCAAGGAGTACGTGCGATTAAGAAGTTAATGAGCGCAAGATCTGAAGTTCAGTGGCACATTGAGAGAAGTAAGCTATCTCAACATCTCTCCAGTGATATTTGCGAAGAGGTGGAAAGTCAATCGTGCGGATAGACCTTACGTAGCCGTACTTCTCCTATAATCCGGCGCGATCCGACTCATCACTTAATTTGTACAGCAGACTGATGGAACACTTAATTTCAACCAAAGTCTGCATTTCTCATATCCCCTAATTCAAGCTTCAAGTTAGGATATGCTTTGAAAACTCTTTTTTCTCCAAAGCCTAGCGAACATCTCAAATCCCATGTCACCATGCCGTTCACTCGCCGATGCAATGAGGTCTAAATTGCGTAACAGAGTACGAGAGTTTACGTTCAGGAAAACTCATGGAGTGTGTCTGAGAGCCCCATCAAAGAGGCTTCGTGGACGGAACGTCTAAAGCTTCACTCCTTAATTCGTGTTGCCTGCAGATGAATAGATCACCAAAGCGACTTTTCCATCAATTTCCACAGACTCCAAGACAGAGTTATCTTAACTGAATATGCAGCCAGCCCGTATCAAGTGAAAGATTAACTCATTGACTTGCTACGTTGACCCCATACCTTCGGGTGCCATACGCGAGGTAGAGTAGCTGTATCACGATCTCCATTGGCGAATCGAAACGGGCTGACGTGAACTCGTTCTCCTCTGGACTTCCATCTCTTTCTATACCCAAGGCAGTGGGTAGCATTCTGGGCTTTCCGCGGCTCTCGGAAACCACCTCTGCCACGCGTGAACCCATCCAGCCCTGCATGAAGCAGACGGAAACAAGGGTAGCACCTGGCGATCGAGATAAACGAAGCTCCATACCAGGGCTGCCACGACCTCGTTACTCCCAACACCTCAAACCATAATCAGATAATCGTTCGTTTCCTGGAGCACGAGACGCAAAGCCAAGCCAATCCCGCCCCTCCGATGTCTGCTGGAAGCTTCCCCCGCCGGAGCAAATCCTCCGAGACACTGAGCACCCCGCGGCCCCGCAGAACCCGGCGCGGCAGTGTGGAACATCTCGGGTGCGGCATCATGAGCTTCGGCCTTTCGGACCCTCACTATGTATGGAAGCAACTGGATCGATCAACCGGAAAATGGCACCATGGCCGAAATATCCGGTCAAGGGGTATACCTTGGCACGTCTTGTCGGTTTCCTAGGACGGAAAGTGATGACTGCCGTCCCACACCCTCATTCCCAGAATCCTCACCGTCTACTAGGTACGGCCTTTTACCGTTTTCGTGCGTACGCGAGGTTATTTCATCCCGCAGGATTGTATTAAGCGCTACGGTATATGTGAATTAGTTCTACAGGTCTTGGGCTGCCTTAACGACGCCGAATGCCGAGTCTTGGTCTAAATATTCTCACCAACGACGACGACATCGCCGTCACTCTTCCTTATCGACGATGAACTTGAAGCCCAAGTACGCCATGCATTCACCGCGTGTCATATGTCTCGTCCGCAATGCAGCAACAGGACGATCAATCCCCGGGGCCATGTTTCTCCGACAACCAGCGCGCGTGCCATATCATCACGACCGCAGGCCGTGTCGTCGAGACGTAGGCATTCCACCTTGGCGATGCGCGTCCTCTCTCACTTACACCCCCATCGTCATCCTTCCCCCCCCCCCTCCAGCATTCCCGCAATCCAGATTCACAGGGCCCAAACCAAGGCCACGGATCGGAAAAGACGCACGTCTATTTCACTCCCTGGCGGTCAATCACACGCTGCCTTTCATCATCGTACATTGGCGCCGCATGTCCTCCCGTCGACGGCGCTCTAGACCCCGATGATCACTCTGCCATCTGCCACGCCCCCAATCGAACCCCCCGGTCCGTCTCGGCGGGTGTGAACGTTAGCGTTCCTCCGTTTTGGGACGACATGTCCGCGATGCCGGCGGGGTGTGTTCTGGGGGTTGGAGAGAAGAGACACCTCCGTGGGCATCGTGAGAAAGACGCGGAGGGACCGAAGCGCCGAGGGAGCCTGTGCGACGGCGTACGGCAGATGAGGGCTTTTTCTGTCGGTATTGCTCTATCGAGGCTGTGACGATGGATGGGTAGGCGCGCTTAGCGCTGTTCAGAGTTTGTGCAAGGCAGGGCGCTTTAGATTGCGTTGCATGGACATATTGACACACCCCGAGAGAGAACGAGGCATATATCGCGGGGTATACGGAGGGACGGACCCTCACTTCACAGCCCTGTATTATTGCTTTTTGCGAAAGTGCCTCAAGATTTTCCGTGCCCCGTAGAGTTTCTGTGATCGAGCAGCTAAGCTGTCGTGGGAATACGAGAGGACGGCTCCCGCGATGGGAGTGGGTGAGATTGAGATGTTCGGGATTAGGCGAACCTTGCGTTCAGATGGCAGATGGGAGCCGTGCCGGGGTAGTCAGACTGGACTAGGACTGATAGGAAAGACACCTGGCCAGCTGGAATAAACCACGGCAGCAAGGTTTGCTGTGAGCTGTCAAAAACTCTTCCAACATTGGCCCTGTCATGGCCAGCCAAGTCGGGAGTGATGGCACCATATCAAACGAGCAGCATCAACCGGCCCAGACTTTCTGTACGGGCTACTCTGTACACAACATAACTGCCAAAATCAAGAAACGGGCGTGTGCGTCGGTTGAACTGCCAACGACATTACAGATCCAACGAGACGACCTCGCTGGTTCCACAGGCACCTGGCGCAGGCAACAGAGAACACGAGAGAGAGAGGGAGGGAGGGAGACAGCCCAGCAAGAGAGCCGCAGGGCAGACAGTCTGCGTCCATAAACCTTTCCCCTTGGAATTGCGGAGAGCAGTTTGGGGGACAGCACCCAATAGCCCCCAGATCCCAGCTACGTTCGAAGACGGTCTAGACCTCGGTGAGGTGGCATTTCGAAGGGGTCCCCATCAGCAATGACTCCCACTCGGGCATCGATCAACACGGTTGTCCCCAGTGTATTCTGTACGCAGTAGAATGTTCACTGGGGCCCTTTGGAGCTTGGCTGGTTTTCCCCCGAGTACCCCTCTCCCTGTAAGGATCCTGCGCCGGGCAGGGCTGTCAGACGTGAAATGAGAGCCGGATCGGCGACGTCGACTGGAGCAAGGCCACGGGCATCGGAGGACGCCTCGGGGGGTTGATGAAAAAGCAGGGCAAAAATGGGTACGGAAGCCGGATTTCGAGCAAGGCGTGAATAGTGAGTGAACCGAGGAAGAGACCGTGGGCAGGTTCCTAGCAAGGGACCGAACGGAATGGCTTCATCGACCCTGGATAGCGCCAGAATTATGCCCGACCGTCAAGAAGGATGACAGACAGATAACCAGGCAGCGTGCGGCAACAGAGACGACGAAGACGACGACGCCTCTCATCGAAGGGCATGACTAATCAGGATAAATAATGGGTTTTATAATGAGTATCTAAATAGTAAAGCCTCTCATCGAAACATGAGATGGTGCGCCGTTAGAAGTGCGTCAATTGGCCGACGATGGTGCGCCGCGCCGGTGCCGTTGGCCAATAGCGGTCACTAATGCCGATGCCTGGCATCGGGTGATGGGCAATTCTGATCGCGATCGCATTCTCGCCGGATCAACGTCAGGTGCGCGGCGGTCTTGGTGGTAGCGCGGATGGGATTGTTGTATGCGAATCGATCGATGTGTGATTTTCCCAGGGGGATGGAATCACGAGCGTGTCGTTAACAGGCGAGAAAAGAAAAACGCAAGCTACGGGATGGAGAAGAAGAATAGACGAGCCGAGGAAAAACGTGCTTCTTACTTCATCCAAGGGACACTGACGGAGGAGAACATGTCTTTGCCAATGGGAATCGTGATTGTGTGCGCAAAAGGCCATCGATCGAGATGGTGAAAAAGGAAAAATTGGAAACGTTGACATGTCATCGAGATCCAGGTAGTTGGGAAACACCACAGGGATCCGGGCCCATAGCGCGCTGGCGTTCAAGTTTTCGATCGCGTGTCACTTTATCGATGACGGGCATTCGGACGGGGCAGGATTGGCTGCGGACGTTGTCTTCCGAGGCACAATCAAAGCAAAAAAGGAGAAGAATAGAAACGTCTGAGACGCTATTGCCATCGCGAGACTTGCGGGACGACGGTCTTTATCATTCGATGTCGATGACCTGTTCGTCGATGTCGATGTCGGTGTTGATGGCAGATTTGGCGAAGGGGAAGAAGACAACCGGCGGCTTGCTAGTTTCAGCCAGCCCCGGACTGCTGTAGGGTGTGCATGCCACAGCCGCGGCCGGGCATGATTGTCTCGGTATTAGAGACCTGGACGACACGCATAGAAGCTCTCGACACATGTCCGTTTGGTCTGAGGCCAAT